TACTATACAGAGCCACCAGCGTCTTTAACCGCTTTACATCCAAGATTTGAGGCTAAAAATTTGCAAGCATGCGTGGCCGGCTGAGACCAACGGCGCCACCAAATTTTAGATCCATCCAACTGTCCATCGCAAAGATATGGGCCCCACAAGATCTCTGAACCTAGACCAAAATTCCTTCTCCAAAATCCGAGGTCCGGGGTACCCACATGCCGCTTGAATGCCGTTCCCGCGATTATGGGTAACGGCATGCTCCTCACGTGCGACTTCACGCCCCGCCGTTCTGCCTCCCACGTGCGACTTCACGTCCCGCTGTTCTGCTTCCCACACTTGACATAATCCCGTCAATTTCCGCCATCGGGAATCTTCTGCCACGTGCTGCCAAAGGCGTCTACCGCCGAAGGCCCTTGAGCCGAAGGCGCATCTTCCGGCGGTTCTTCCGCCGAAGGCGCTTGCCCCAAGGGCTCATATCAGTAACTTCTGACACTCATAACTCATTGATCTATTATCCGTTCCAAGCGTTCTTGGGCTCGTTAGAACGAGCGTGTCGAGCTCTTTTCAACAAAATCCTAATCGAGTCAAGGCGTTATGAGTGTCAGAAGTTAATGATAGCCTGAATTGAAAAAGTTATGAGGAATCCAGTCTTCCGCCGAAGGCACTCTCCCGCATCGCCGAAGGCGTTGACCCGACGGCCCTTGACCCAAAGGCCCTCCCTATCAATAACTTCCGACACTCATAACTCATTGATCTCTTATCCATTCCAAGAGTTCTTGGGCTCGTTAGAACGAGCGTGTTGAGTTCTTTCCAACAAAACACTAACCAAGTCAAGGCGTTATGAATTGAAAAAGTTATGAGGGATTCACTCTTCCGCCGAAGGCGTACCGCCGAAAGCACTCTTCCGCCGAAGGCCCTTGAGCCGAAGGCGCATCTTCCGGCGGTTCTTCCACCAAAGGCGCTTGCCCCGAAGGCTCCCCATCAGTCATTTCCGACACTCATAACTCAGTGACCTCTCATCCGTTTCACAAGTTCTTGGTCTTGTTAGAACCACCGCGTTGAGCTCTTTCCAACAAGATCCTAAGTAACTCAAGGCGGTACGAATTGAGAAAGTTATGAGTGATCTACCGCCGAAGGTGCTCGAAGCGGGTTCTGCAGCATGAACCGCCCGTTCCATCCCAAGCGTTCGACTGTGGCCTAAGCCCAAAACCCCTTGACTGTCCTTGATCCTCTTTTTACTTTGGTTTTGCGTACCAATTACTATTCACGACTGCTACCGCGGTACTTACTATTCAAAAATGTTTTAGTTCCGACGAAAAACAAAAAGTGGGTTACCACAAGTTTCTATCTTCAATCACTTTTATTGTTACAAGATATTTTTCAGATCTTATAAAACAATTATGACATTTTACAAGATTTTTATCAATAAAACATGCAGAGATTTAGGAATCTAACAAGAATTTATCTTTTATGATATATGTATGAGAATTAAGATTCATAATAAAACAACAAAAATATTCAGAAGATAGAATACTACATGATGACATGACAACACTTGTCAGCCGCACAAATCCTGATGTGGCTCATTGCTATTTGTCTCCGATTTGATCTCCTTGTGTCTTGGCTTAGAATTGCTTGAAGTGTTTCAAAGTTTGTGCATCCTTGATCTTTGAGGTTTCAAAGGGCAGTTGTTTAAGGTGTGGTTCTTGCGTCCACAATAAAAACACAAATGCTCCATTCAACGTTTTTGTTCGGTAACTTTAACACATTCAAACTGTTGATTTGCATGGACTCTAGAATTGAGTGCTTGAAGATGTTTGGCAAGTTGAAGTTTTGTAGTCTCCTTGATATGATCCAAACACCAATTGTCATTCTTTTTGCTGCTCAAACATCCAGTTTTTGCAGTCGATTGCTTCAATAATGGCTTCCAACATAGTATTTGGTTTGGGCAAGTTAAGTAAAAAGATTTTGATAATGTCTTACATCAATATGATGATGAGAGTTGTATCATTCCAATCAAGGTCACATGCAAATTGTTGATTATTTGCAACGTAGCTAGGCTTAATCATTGTTACAGTGGTTGAAATTTTATTATTGCTATATATAGATCATTTTCTTTAAACTTTTTGTTGAATTCTTTTGAAAAATGATTAAGATTTGTTAAAAATTGGAAAATACTTCTCCTATAGTGACAAAAACCAAATAACACAATTCTAGTGAGTATTGATTCAAAAAATCTAACTTCTATTTTTTCTGTTGGTATTTGTGTGATTGAAGACGGTGACAAGTCAAACTTGAATGAGAAAATTTCAAAGTTTTGTATGATAATCGTCAAGTTTATCTGGCAAGATTACTTGAGCTTCTTTTGAGCCTTGTGGAACTAGATTTGCTACGGGAGCTGGAACATGGATTGGAGTGCGAGCAACTCGGAGTTGTTTCTTGAAGTCGTTTTCTAGGCTAACATTCTCTTGTTGTAACCGGTGCAACATGGCACCCATGTCATGCATGTGGCTGTTGAACACATCATCCATCTTGGTAGTGGATTTTCAACAAACTATTGTGAATGACAATTCATGCAAAACTCAAAATAACATTCGAATCTCCAACACTGCAAGTTGTTCCAAAGGTGAAAAACTCACAATGTAACACCCCAACCAAAAAAGGTGGAAGTAGTAATGAGAATTGTAGTATTGATATTGAAACGGCAAGCTCAAACGGCAAGTGATGTGGTCAAGATTGAGAAATAATGTCCCAAGGTTTAGGGTTTAGTTCTGCTGAGAAAGAATAATTTAGCTGTGAAAATATTCAAGCTCAAGGTCGGTAATGTGATCTAAAGCAGATTGGATGAAAATGCGCTGCTTTCAAAGATACAGCCGTTAGCGGGGAATTCAAGGGTGTCTAAGGAGTCCTGGTCCTTCAAATTTAGAACTCTGGCGAGAATTTCATTCTATGTGGCAGGTATTCCTAGGATCATTAGCTTATCAAACTCTGAGTAAGTTTTGATATAAAGTCACAAAAAATTACCGATTTTGTGTCTAAATAGTAAACATAATACAGATGGTGAAATATGTTCATACACTGTTTCTATCTAATATGAAACTCTTGATGACTTATAATATTTATTTATAATATCATTAGTGAAACTATGGGAGTACTTGTACATGCAAGTAATTTTACATGGATAAAATGTCAGTATATTTACATTTGATTAAGATTAGAGTAACCTATAATCAATCAAGGAATCTGGGGTCAGTTTGGCAAAAATTCTAGTTATCAATCATCCATTCTATCCATGCTAAGCAACAAGTCAAAGGTAAAAACCCAATGCTCCAAGTTAATGCATATACTTAATAAAGAAGTTTCTTCAAGAAAAAATGATAAAGAAAAAACTCAGAAAATGCAAGTTACTTATTATTTTAAATGTTTGAAACTGTAATAACAATTTATATAATCATCTATTTACATCTTTTCAAATGTTTTTAAAAACGTGAGGTCATTGAAGCAGAACCCCATGGTAAACCATTTGGGTTTATCTTTTAAATAAAAGACTTGGGTACTTTGATTGCTTACAATTAAGTGTATGCGTTCTTATTATTCGGGTGCTCTTACTGGTCTGACTAAGCTTGAACCATTCCAGTCAAGTTCTGTAACTCGTCCACTGGAACTGAAACGTGCTAATCAGTGTCACCATATGAAGACAGTGATGAAAGTGGAGTATGGAGGAGTATGCTGTGTTGTTCGTCTATCAAATGGTCCCTTTATCTTCGACGGGCTCACAGTTTTACTGCAATTCGCAAGCACTATTAGTTCGACAAACTCAACTGCAGGCCGCTCTGGGAAGTAATTGGTGAGAGGGATCGAAGGCTCAGAAGTACCTGTACATTGCAAAGCACATGCAATTAGATGACTCGATTGAATTCGGATCTCTTGAGACGATTTGAACTTCGTGAAGACCATCAGCAGAGGGCCTCAGTCGAGATAACAAAGGCTTCAACTCTACTGCTTCGATAAGAATGCTTAGTGACAGCATCCGGTGTGGATCTTCTTAGACATGTCACGGATAATGTCCGCTTCATACCCTTGGTGAAGAATAGGTAGAAACCACAGAATTTATTTGCTTTTAATCTTGAAATCAAGGATATTTGCCTCTATGCTTTGCTTCTGGTTCTTCCCCGTGTGTCATTTCATATTTATAGCAAAGAACGAATTGCCCTTCTGAAGCTGCATTGAATGCTAGAATCAAGACGAAGGGAGACACAAGGTGAGGCCAGATATGGCAAATCGTATGAGTTTTTAGTACCTACACGTTGAGCTAGCAACAAGAGCAGGAACACACATTCGGGTCTTGCATAGAGGGAGAGCAAGATGGCGAGGTAGAAGTGAACAAATTCAGTTGAGAAATCCAGCTTTTACAACAATCCGATTGAAGTTCTGGGAAGTCAAAGAATTGATTATAATTCGCAAGGTTACGTCTGAATCCATTTGCAAATGTAAGTGCAGGTAAGGATATGGAGGAGCTCCACTACTTACTCTTTACAGAGGCTGAGAAGTATCAAATTATGACTTTCAATAGTTCTACATCGAGGAATAATACGCTAGCTGCAGAGCTGGGACTGTGAGCCGGGAGTCTGATTCCTGGTGACGTGTGTCGACGCTTAAGTTGCTCAATGATCCGACCTGAGGTGATTCAGAATGCCAATTGAAGTGATTGCCAAGGAAGATGGGCTTCAATCGAAATATAGGAGCAGATGATGATGATTCCATTAGATACGTTAGATGCGACCATTCCATTAGATACATTAGATACGACCAGAATCACGGAGACGAACCGCTGGAGCTCTGGTGGACTCTCACCATAAGTATCCTATGCTTAAGGCCAGCAGCTGTCAGAGTGGACAGCGCGTTTGTCATTTCCATGAACATCAAAATCGAAAACTGTGTCGAAACATTTGCGAGTGGCAATTCCCATACACCACGGTAGATGTTCACATCTTCGAAGGAATAATACGATGCAGATAGCAATTGGACGATAAGTTTGAGACACACATCTTTCTTTTTATAAGGATGTTAGCAAAGTATCCGAGCTCCGCAGCAATGGTTTCGCGGGCAAACTACAGCCAAAATCTGAGAATGATCTACGTATATATATAGTAACTATACTCGTGGGGCAATGTTCTAGCCAAATTCTCAGAATGATCTACATATATAGTAACTCTACTTGGAGGGGCAATGTTCTAGCCGGATCCTACTTACATGCGGAGCTAGAAAGAAACGGGGAGAAAATGTTTGAAAATTGCAGTAGCTTTATACTACGGGTCCAAATAGTCACTAACACTACCTCTGGAGTCTACCACGAGGCCTAGCTCAGTGCCTGACACTAACAACAGAATGAAGAAGGAAATCCAAAGATCACTGCAGGTTGTGTTTGGGGGCTAGCCCATCTCTCATCAGATAGACTCTACAAAAAAAAACCTGATCGTACAGCTTCATAAATCTAGAGACCCTACGCGTTCTATCCAGTGAGGATGTGATAGCCAAATTTCTCAATTTTATCCAAAATTTTAAGATTTTCCTACGAGGTAATGAATGCGGCTGATGCATTGATGGACTGAATCGCTCGACATTACCTACTCAAAATCGGCTCAGAGTCAGATAAGACGGGGACCTGCACGAACGACAAATCCGAAACAGTCCAGTCCAGATCATTGACTCCGAAGTTGGTGAGAGTCCAGGCCCTAGTATACATGTCGTACACCAGGACCTGGGATCCCCAGGCCCGATGGCAGACAAACATGATGTAATCGCCCTTTCCCAGGCACAGAATTTTGTAGCGGAAATGAGGAAAGGCGTAATCCTCGTCCTCGTCGGGAAGAAACTCCAGGTTCGTAGGCGGACGCGACACCGAAACCTCCGACCAGGCTTGCACATCGGGGGACCCAGTCACGTCCCACGAGAACACGTCGGGGGCCCAGTGTCCATTGCGCATGCAATCGGCTTCCTCGAGGTCCCGCTGGAGAACGAGAACCACCGAGCTTTTGCTCACAAACAGAGTGGTTCGCTTCTTCTGGTGGATCGTCGCCGGCAGAGATCCAGGCATGACGATCCACATTCGCCTCTTGAGGTCGAACGCCAGGAGGCGGTAGCCCGGGCACGGCCCCCCTCGATCGACGATCACCACATGGTAGACGAATGGCCCGCAGGCCGCCATCACCAGCTGCCCCCTTCCGTAAGGCTCGTGCATGAAGGAGAAGTTTTGGAGCTGCGGGACCTCGCCGCCAGCTTCCCACTTGTTGCTGATGGAGTCGTAGACATGAAATTGGTTGAAATCGCGGCGGTCGGGCTCTTTCAGGCTTCCCGCAGAGATGACCGTGAAGCTGCTGCTGCTCTGCACCACCAGCGACACCTTGCGATTCCACGGGTGGATCGAGGTGCCAGACGGCCGAGGCGGCAAGACGGACGGGGCTGGCAGCGGCAGCTCGCGCAGCGTCGAGCCGGTGACTCGGTTGATGACGCGAATGCCATCTTTCCATGGCCCGAGGTCGACGATCGACGACCCGTCGCAGACGCGATTTCTGAAGCGCAGAGACGAGACGCGCAGCTCGTACCATTTGTGCTGGTACGTGTTGTAGACGAAGGCCGTCGTGCCCCGTTCTCCCGTGCAGTGCTCGCCAGAGATCAGGAACGCCGGCCTGTGAGTGCACGCCTTGTCGAACGCCGGCGAGTCGATCAGCTGCAGCCACCTCTTGCAGACGAGTCGGAGCTGCAGCAGCTCTCGAGCCGAGAGCAGGAACAGCACCTTCTCCACCACCTCGTCCGGCAGGCTCTCCCAAATCGAGTCATCGCCCTCGTCGCGATCCATTTCCGGACGCAAAGTTTCTGCGAATTTCACACGAACACACAAATCCAGCAAAATTCTTCGCACCTTGTGACAGTATTTATGTCACACAACACAAGCAAGCCTACCTAATGTGCTACTACTACTCACTCCTAGATTTCCTACTCGCACTCGCCTCTCGCCTCTCGCTCGATTGGAGACTGCAGTGCCTAGCGCACCGTGCTTTTAAAAGGCACTGCAAACACGCGTACGAACCCTAATCTCCAATCGCCATCTGCCCGATGGATGATCCATGACTCGATTGCTTATCCGCAAAAGCAGCAGTCTGTCATCCTTTGGCTCCGGCAGGAGCTGGATTCGTTCCCATTTGTCAAAGGGTGCAAAAAAAGCACACCATGAGAGGTGTCGGCGGGATACGCCTGCTCTCTGTCCGTGCCTCACTTTTGTGATGGACCGGATGCCCGTGACAGAACTCGCAGACTGGCACCACTGAGCGCGTGAGTGTGAGGCTCTGTCGCCTGACCAATTTTCAGGCTCGAAGAGCTGGAAGTGCACATTCTGCGGCAGGCAACGAGATTGAACAGGAATCGACATCTCATTGTGCATTGAATTCCCGTGGATTGAGCAGGGCTCCAGCGGGGATAGGACTTCTATTCTCCCGTCACTCTCTCGTTCACTAGCGTAATCTGAAGAGAAGGATCACTTCATCGTCCCTGTAGACAGCCGGCGGATCTGCAAAACCACTTGCCCATCTCATCCACCCCAAGCCCATGCCCACCCCAATCCCACTTTCACACATTAACGCCATGTCCGAATAATTATGAAGTGGATATCATCTGAAACTTTCACAGGATATAACGAACAAATCGCCCAATTGTGCGGATTTGAGATGCTCGTTTCAAATTACTCTATTATCAGATGAGAGTAACTTTTACTCTTCAGCGGTGGCACTGGCGCTGGTGTAGGTGGTGCCACGAAACCTGGCCTCGCCTCTCCGCCCACACCCTCTCCACATAATATTCGTCTTCATCTTCATCGCATGTACATGGAGTCACTCTAAATCGAGCTGACGGACGGACTGACGGGAAGGTGGATCCTCATGGCCCCGCTGGCGCCTCCATTCTGCACTGCCCGGGCTTCTGCTGCGATGTTGTTGTCAGCATTCCTGCTTTGGCTCGCATGCTTCCTTCCTTCCTTCCTTCCCGAAAGAATTCGGGAGTAAGAATCACTGCGGCGCACACCGATGAGCTGATGTGCACTTTCGCTCCTCGGAGCTGGCACCCGTGTCTCTTTCTGTCTGTCGAGCAAGTTGACGCCCGACTGCTGTGCCTGTCTTGACCTCGTCCCCCTCATCCCGGCAAGATCCAGCCTTTCATGTTTGACTTCCGCATCCGAAGACCTGCAGGAATCAAGTGAATGATTGACGGACATCCGGTACGCAGCAACTCGATTCACTTTGCACTCTTTGCTAATTTTTACTTTTTTTGTCTAAAAATCTAATTGGTCCTATTCTTTCGGCCGTCTGTCGAACATGGACTTCGTTGTCCCCATCCCCGGATCCCCCGAGAAGCTCGAGCTGGCTGGAATGTTCAGACCCGATGACTTATGAAACACACGAATAGCTGCTTCTGTGGATTTTTAAAGGCTGGAGCCTCCACAAGAACTAGAAGTAACCCTCGAGGGTTACATGCGCGAGTCCGGGTGTTTCATTGCAAGAATGTATGGAAGATGGTGAACGAATGTGGTCAACTGGGCAGGCTTAGAACAGTGATCTCTGAACTGGTTGGATGATGCATTTTACGTCGGCCTCATACTCATACCGTTGATTCCAAAGGCAAACCATCATGGTACTCGAAGTCGCGAGATCGGTGGAGATCGTTCGGAAATTTATCCGAGAAATAAAAAATTCCTGAGTGATCAAAAGAGTACATTCATATATGCACACACATAAGTGTGGATATATATATATATATATATATATATACTTACTTCCCTAATTTTAAAAACTTCGGATCCAGCCTATAATATTACTGTATTATAAGAAAATCTGCTCGAAGGGACTTCTGGAATCGCTGAGTATGCCGGAGCTAACTTTTACTTTGAATGCTTTGACGATGTACGGTTCGTTGCACCCTATGAACTTGATAGGACAAGAATTTCGAACGAGACTTGAATATTTCATGCACATTGAGCTTCAGAAAACGCTTCAAACTGCAAAGATCACGTCCATGACAGTCGTACTTTGAGAGTCAAACGTGATGGAGAGCATTGAAGGCTCTCCTACGTAAAACACAAGGGCAACTGTGAGAAGCTGTATATCGCAAGTACAAGGCTGGAGCAGAGCTCCTCATGAATCAGATTCTTCTAGTGAGTCTTGATGTGATTTAATTAAGAACCAAGAGGCATCACTCCGTACGTGAGAAAATCATAAGCAAAATATTTATGAATTTCAGATAGAATTTTGTTTTTTAATAAAGCAACTCTTTATGGGACAAAGAGGTAAATAAGGACTTGACTTAGCGCTTAGAATCCTACGGAAGTACTATGCCTTCGGATATCATAGTCAAATACGACTGTGATGCAAAAATTTAAAATCATGAAGTGAGATGCTTCCGAGAAAAACTGCGGACGCAAGAAACATTTGGACCATTGCAAGCAGTGGTCTGATAGCAAGCACTGATATTTGTGCGAAAAGACATTTCTACGGTGCTAGTGAAATATCGTTTGAAGCCGAAAGCTGGAGTAAGAGATTTGATGCCAGTAGAGAACAATAAGTGTATTCATGCAAGTATGGATCAATTTCTCCAACCAAAAGTAGATTGGGAGTCACTGGATTTGACAATTCAGTGGAGACGGCTGGGAGCTCGTTCCTGGTATGAAGATGAAACTCTTTAGTTCTACAAGAGTATGCGCGTTTGAGATAAAAGCTCATCCCGACGCTTGGCACTCAATACTGTGGATTGAAGCTCCCGGCAATAAGTCCAATTGGAACAGAACAAACAGTGTGGTGGAGGTGAAATCTAAACAGCAAAATTGATAGTATTCTGTGAGCACAAAGTTTCAAACGGATCTAAGGTAGAAATAATTAAAGAAAAAAAATCCGGAAATTGATTTTTATCTTGAACCAATTGTTCTCACCATACTATGCATAAATTCTTGATGGTTCAGGGTTTTGTGACATTGATCATCAAGATCTATTGGGAAATCATCTAATCTGAAAGACTCGCTCCACATTTCTTACTTTCTTGTCAACATTTACGGGTCGTATGGACTAGTGTCGTAAATATCACGTGGTAGAGCGTATAATCTAAAAGAAACTCGCTTATAAATTTGAGACTAGTGGATCATCCTAGAGCCGAGTTGAGGACGAAGTTGAGACTCCTCCTCCGAAACCCGAAGTGCTTTCAGACCTTCTTCCCGAGGAGTCCATAAGATGACCTTCCAAACAGGAAGCTCGGGTAATCCAAGTGACAACGTCCTCCTGATATCCCCGAAGAGATATCACCTGTGGGGGTCAACGAAGTTCCTCGGACAAACAACTTTCGGCTCCTCATCTGAAGTCGAAACAAGGATGAGATCCTCAGGCTGATGTTTCCACTCAGATCATCCGATCAGTAGATATGGTAGCGCAGGCCACAGTGATCAAAATAACACAGTGAAAGAATGGACATGAAGAGGGTCTCGTTAAAAAATGCACAAGAGTGCTCGGACAAAAAAAAACTGGAGAAAGAGCTTCACCAAGTGATAGAGTTGGAACTCTGAACTTAGGAGGAGAATCAGAGAAAGCCTCATGGAGTTGTGAGGGAAGGTTGAAGGCTGTTGAAGAAGGAAGATTGGCAAAATTAGAGTTAGATACTTCTGCGCAGGTGCATGTAGACAGGTGCCATGCTCTTGAAGAAGGTCAGTTGTCCTGTCTGAGCATATTTACGAATTCCTTTGTTGATACCAAAGAGCGCCGGAAGGAGATGTATAATGCCATAAGACGGGAACCCCAGATTGATTCAAGGTAGCTCCGACCAGATATGGCGAGTGACACATATGAGAAGCACGTCGTATTGGCTGTGCTTGCTAGGCAGGCAACTACAAACTTGCGCGACGTTCAAACAGTCAGGAAACTTAAGTGCGAGAACTTGTCGTAAAAGTTGAGCAATGTAGCTTTTTTCTGGTGTGTATGTTTACAGGGGTAGAATTAATCCGGGGAGATCTTCTGACAGTTGCAAGAATTTAACGGAAACAAGAGAGTAAACAAGGCGGAGGACAATTCGAAAAACTAGTGTTTTTTTAATTCTCCCACCTTGATTGAACACCCTTGAATGTTATCCCGATTGTATCCCTGAGCACGCATGATTAATATGAGTAAGAAGATTGTTTGTAATCGTCTGTATTGATCTTGTAATTAGGAAGCTTTCGTTAATTAATTGACAACTTTTCGCATAAAAGGACATCCTAGTTGTGCCTCGTGAGTGTTTGTGTATGTGTTGGAATCTTCTCAACTGTGGTCCAAGATTGACTCATTCGCTGTACTCTTTGAATAAAGATAGTCCGAACTCTGTAAAGACGAGTGGGTGTTTCTCCATGGATAGTTTGTAGTTTTCCAAATTTCATGGGAACAAAGCCCATCTTGCTCCCATTGCAATAATCTGTGTAACTCTGCTTTGAATCCAATACAATCGTGGGCTTTGAACATCCTAATCACCAAGCTAGAATCTGAAGTGGATATGAATTGCGTAAGCTCACCAAAAGCCAGCAAGAATAGATGATACAGCCCCGAAGGAGATTACAGCATCGCCTCTAGAGTTTGAACGTGAATCCTCATCCGCTTGGAATGTAGATTTTGCAGGTTTAGATTTTTACAATCGACAGACAGTAAACCACATTCAAGACTAGTGGTGCTAACCACGTTCCTCCCATTGGATAAGCTATTCATCATGTAGGCAAGGTGATTGATTACTTCACACCGAGACACCATTCCTCCAACTCATGTCTAAAAATTGTGCTCTGTAACATAAAAGTGGTATGAACAAGAACGTATCTACCTTGCCATATGAAGTGCGTAGTTGATCCTATTACCGGTCTATGATACTTAAAATGCTCATCAAAGCATATGTACAGACGTACTCTAACATTACCATATCATTATATTTTTTCAGGTTATAACCAAAATAATATAAATATCAAAGGACATGATAAGGTTCGCAATCAAGAGCCAGCATACTAGAAAAGCTCCATGCATGCCAACTTAACACCAACTTTTCAGAGTCATGTACCCCTTGTTTGGTCAATTCGATTTGTAGTTGGGTTTGATCCTAACCCATCCGCATCACTCATTCCGTTCCATGTATGTGCACAAGAGTAATAGATTAAAACTGATCGAACTATTGTGACTTCCATTTCATGTTCATCTCCTCATATATATTATCTTTACTTTCAAGAAACCATTTATCTCTACTAGTAGTTTCATCTCCTCCTCATGTGACCAATGTAATAGCACATCAGAAAATTGAACCCAAACAAAGTTGTTGATGAATTATTTTTTCAAAAGGACTTCACTACCCTTGATGAACCACTTCTTTCATCATCTAACCAGTTTTCCTTTTTTCCTCAACATTGCAATCAAAGCATAGTCAAGATTCTGCTTGATCATCTAAAATCTCTTCCATGTATCATAGACTACCATATGAATGCTTCAGCAAATAAATGTGTCTCACTTGGAAGGGTTGTCCACAGTGGGTGTAGTATATGGGGGGAAGAATGGCAGTCCATCTTTTATTATCACCAATGGAATCTGATCTCAATACCTCCCAGAACGAATCAGATTGAATCGATGTGGGTCTACGAGCATAAACCTTGGCAGTATGTTTTAGCACAAATTTACAAACATGGCTTATAGCTAGAGGCCTTGAATTATATCGAAGGTATTGATTTCGAAGACCCCTTTGATCTTATCATGAAATCGGCCTCAGGACGCTTATGGGCGGCTCAAGTTGCACCTGTATCTTTGGTTTCTACTTTATATCGACGTGAGAAGTGCTCTTTTGAGTTGTTTGCTCAGAGAATAAGTGTTCATAGAACAACCTCAACCTTTGGACAATAAAGAGGATATACACAAGTTTGCAAATTTTCTATGAGCTCCTCGAGCTTGATATGAACAAATAATCAGATATTTCACGTCCCTAGGTCTGCTTCAAAGTGACTTTAAAGCCATGTGTAATATAGTTTTCTTTTCTATTGTCACCATATGGATTTGCGCAAATGTTGCTCCAACAATCAAAATATTCAAGAATGAGTGTATCAAGTTGCCAATTCTTGTACTTTTAAAATTCCAGTAATTGAGAGTTCTGGATGTAAGTCTTGATGTGTACCAAAGGGAATGATTGAGTCAAAATAAATATCATCTTTTTCGCGTAATAAATTTTAGGTAATATGATTTTATTGTTCTACAAAGAATTGTGCGGAAAATTATACACAGTAAAGAGTGATTATATTTATTTGATGTGTCATGGTTTCGTGTTCTTTAAAACTTGGTAGAATTCTAATAGTTTAGATATTACAATACAGTACACACAGACAATACTTAAAATATCGGGATAAAACTTGGTTTCAATAATCACTTTCCTTGTACGGCTCGATGGTCTTCCGATCTCCTTTGCTATCCACTTATCCCCTTTTATTATGTTGAAGACATGATCGGAATGCTTTATGAAAAGGGAACATGTTGAAACATGCTCGTCTACATCCACACCACACCACCACACTGATGTTCACCAACTTATCAGCACACCGTTATGACTGAGATGAGACTGATCTATTGTTAGCCGCTGATCACATTCGTAGGTATCACTCAACAGCCATAAACCCATAGATCTATCTGAAGTTACCACAGTGGGCTCGTTTCTGTCTCCCATAATATGTTCTCCTTTAGTCATCAAGCAATCATGATAGCAATCATGAAATCTGGGTAGCTATGATTGACCGAATTATTCAGGTGACACTTTGTTTGCAAGTAAATTAGGACATCGGAGATCCCCACCGAATCTACTGTAGAACCTAGTCTCTCCGTGAGACAAAGTTGAGAAACGCTTTCTGGAAGCTATCGTGATCCATTGCTTCTGCTTAGACATCAATGATCAATGATGAAACCTTTTGCCGTACGTACCATCGTAGTAATGTGGCAAGAATTTAGGCTCTGACAATAGGAACATAGGGAATGAGCAAAGTCTGGAACATCAGTCTGCGTGTCAGGTTAAGCTTCTCATGAAGCATTCCTAAATCATTGCAAGAATATCGACGATATGTTTCCTCCAGGACGAAGTGCAGTCGAACATAGCACGCTTGCCTGAAGCAGCCAAGGGATGAACCGCAAATCATCGGCGAACTGCAGATTTACAGATGATTTGAAACAAGACCATGCAGCGCAGCTGTCACATCCATTTTCCGTGGTGGTATTAACGAAACCTGCGAGTCTACTAGACTGTGTGTTTTGATGCTAAAAGAGAATCGGGCTGCACGCACCATCTTGCAGAAATTTTCACGGTTTTGATGTCGGGTATAACTTGAGGAGCATCATTTGAATGGGATGCGAAGATGGATTAAACATAGCTTCACAAGAGATTCTCGGCGCCGTTATCTGTAAATGCCTGAATATTGAACGTCGACGTAATGCATGTCGTTCTTCGGAGCTGAAACTGTGCAACATCAAGAGTGGTATTCAACTGTAGCCATTGCTGAAGAAAACGATTTGTAACCTGACTTCTAATACATATCAACAATCAGGACAGAAGTGACAGAGAAAGGTTCACAAGAGCGCTCCTAAAACTCCAGTGTGAAGCGTGGTCCTCGGGGTGGCATTCAATGAGGTGACTTCGAGTGTGAAAATTCCGAGGTTGTGATCGTATCCTCGAAAGCAAAATCCATTTATTCCCGGTTTTGACTTTCTCGGTATGGCACGTGCTTCTTCTGCACTTGACCATGAACATTTGCTCAACATACATATATTTGCACCTTTGCGTTCGACGCCACACTGGAACCTCCAAAAAATTAGAGTCATATGATAGTAAGCGAAATCAGATTCTGCATGGCTTTCAAATGCTTGTGTTCGAGCATATCTGTCAACGGTGCTCCCAACCTTCGTGTCAGCCTGTGCCAAAGTGTGCAAGGACTGTCATTTCTAGTTTGCTTTCAATTTGGACGACTTACTGGCCAAACAGACAGGAAATTTCTTCGTGTGCTTGTCCATTGACTTTTGACGCGACACTGCTTCAAATTTGGGGGTTCTGACTCTCCCCTCCATGTGGAAAAGGTTAAATATGGTACGGCAGCCCTTTGTTCTTTTTTCTCCCAGCGCTAGAGAAATGTCTGCGGGATGCAGTGAGCAACTTTTGTGGTCATCAATCATCACTCGCTCGTTTGGCTCGACAATCAGCGACCTTTCTGAAACATGGCAAGCTGCTGTCGTGGTGATTGCCCATGAGGAATGTGTTCTCTACTTTGTTTCAATTCCAAAGAACCTGCCACTGTGGCTACAACAGGGGAAGATTAAGACCGACGTCATATGTGTCAAAGAGCAGCCCTTCAAATCATTTACACTAATGCGGTGGAAACATCGAAGGGGTACATGAGTATGAGAAGTCCCATATGTGACGTACATGACCATCAATCAGTTTCGATGCCGACTTCTCAATCAGAAATCAGGATGATATTAATTCGTAAACGAATCAATCTCTATTTAGAAACTGATAACTAGAGCCAAGTGTGGGACTTCAGTGCTTGCTACGCTGATCATTACAGTACCTAATGGTTGAAGTCTTTGCTTCAAGAATCTGTGTGGCACCTAGCAAGAGACAGCCACCAGTACTCTTGAAATCCATGAAATCCAAGGAACGTAGGGAGCCTGTTGCTAACCCGAGTATAGTGGTATGAAACTTGCCTCCAGATGTGTCGTCAAATATACACCATGTTTGCTGACATCTCACTTTTGGCTATTACGAGGTCGAGCATTAGTCAGGAGGCAGTTTAGTAAATTATTTTGTTCGTGCTTTGTAGATCCTTTTTGGGATCCTAAATAGCGACCATGTTTGTCCGTGTCCATATTTGTCCGTGGAGCTTTTGCTGATTCACGGTTATAGACTCCCCTCATATACATGCAAGATCGACCACATACTGGCATAATGACGACCAGTCACCAGCGAGCGGATGCAGATGAACACTTTGAGGCTTTACAGTACACTCAGAAGTCTTAAGCTTGCTCTAGACTTCGACAAGAAAAACTCCATCGCACCTGATTGATCTCTCAAACAATAATAGTATGAACTGCACAAAATCAATAGCTCAGGATGTCTTGTACTCTGAACCGTAAGTCCTGAAATTCAGGTTCAGATTATCGGCTTTGAAACTGGGGACTGTAAAGAGTCGGATGCGGGCTCATGTGGGAAGTTACTAGATCATCCACATGAACAGCAAAAGAGGTGTTAACATGAGCATGAGCAGAGCTGTTCACCTCCGGCAGCAGGTGGCATTTGCTTCTTCCGGGTCAACATTCGATTCAGTTGTATTGAGTTTTTCTTTCTATCATGTATCAGCAAAGTTCGTGTTCACGAGTAAGATATTAGAAACAGCGAAAAGCATCAGCTTTTTAGTCAGCAGCATCTGCACTCAGCCAAACATCACATCGTCGGGCCAGTGTGATATGATAACTAACTCCATCCTGCTTTGTTTTTAGCTGTTCTTCGACCAGAGTCCAACACATTGATCAGAGAAGGACCAATTATATCTCGTGCTTTCCCGATAATTTCTTCTCCTGCGCATCGATGAAGAGTACAACACTTTATAAGGTCTATCGGATTTTCTGAATATTGCTGAGGAAGCAGAGCTCGTACATTTGCTGGTCGAGAATCTACACGTAAGGCATCTCACTTCTTACCTGGTCTGGCATGAAGGCAGACATGAGTAAGTACACTTCACTTTCCGGATGCAGATGCTTTTTAGAGTAAAAGTTTGTCCTTTACGGGGAAGTGCGCAACAAGACTCGCCCGGACAAGCACGGATTTTCAATGCTCGAGGCCAAGTGAAGTCCCGACGTGACTGCGGGCATGCAGTATATATACGGTCACCGTCATCCGTACATGTGTCAGGTGGTTTTAGACCAATTGTCCAAGAATACACGAATGACAGTTCGCGTGACGAACAGCAGGTTGGCTGTGTTTTTTCGTGAGACACACCATCCATACTTGCAGAATCTACCATCAACCGACCGTCTTTCTGACACATTCGTCAAGAGATAGGTGCAAAATCCCCGTACTCATCAACTTGTGTGAACAATCTCTACATCCATCTCGAGTACGCATTGCATCCGCTTTATAGAGTGTTGGAAAACTCACTACATTACATCCTGTGAGGTCACTGAGTCAATTTCTATGCTCTATGCTCACCTTTGCTTCGTTGCTGTACAGCTTTCGTGGTAACGTTGGAAGCGTATGCCTCCCCATTGTTTCAGGCATGATGTACAGCACAAAAACGAGGCTGTTTTCATCGGGAGTGCCTACTTATCTAGTAGAGGAGAATTCGGTGTTCCGTCTTGCACAAATAAACGATCTGCTCTACTAATTGGCGAAAAGATAATATTACCCTACCATAGCACAGGGATGGAATGAGCGAGTTTTTTCCTTTCAGTCTACATGCTGATCAAAGCTCTAAGTAAGAATGTGTGTACCTATGCCCCCGCATTTTTTAATGGTATGGGAGGTCTATGTCTCTCCTCTTTACATATGAACATGTGTACATCAGTCTGTTCCTACCGGTGTGCAGACAGAGAGAAATAAGCAGACATCTGTCGGAGAACTATCTTCCCTCCGGGAGCTCTCGCGTACCGATGTCTGCAGACGTCTCCGGTCAATTGATTACCAAATCTTGAGGCGCGTTCTGCAGGGACATGGATCGGTCGAACGATCGGCAGAAAAAAACCATCCTCTATCACGGCAGTCCTCCAGGGGAAACGATGATCGAGCGCCTGGAGTCATCGCAAACGCCGAACTTCGTAATCTACACTGCACAAGTCTTCTAAAGTGGTAAACGGGTCGAATGAGCTGAGCCTCGGCTCAGCCTAATGATGCCTCTGTACAAAGAATGATATGAGTCGGTTCGAGAGCCGCGGGCAAAATTTGACGATGCACTATACGTATGAACAAGGACGTCGGACTATGGAGCAGCAGCTGCTGGCACTGAGTGTACGTACAAGGGCGAAACCAAAAAGAAAACACCAGTGGTCCTTGTCGACGAATTCGATCGAGTTCTCGAGTCTCCCCCTAAGGGCTAGGAGAGTGACCCTGGAGGCTGAACAACGCCGAGTAAGCGCCGGTCGGGCCCCGCGAGAGCAACTCCTCGTGGCTGCCCTGCTCGAGAATGCAGCCGACCTGCAGGACGGCGATCGAATCGCAGTTGCGGACGGTGGAGAGGCGGTGCGCGACGACGATGGTGGTCCGGCCGACCATGATGCGATCCAGCGCGTCCTGCACCGTCTTCTCGGACTGCGCGTCGAGGGCGCTGGTGGCCTCGTCCAGCAGCAGAATAGCGGGGTTCTTGATGATGGCGCGCGCGATGGCCACGCGCTGCTTCTGGCCTCCGGACAGCTGCACGCCGCGCTCGCCCGTGGACGTCTCGAATCCGTCTTCCAGCGCCGAGATGAAGCCGTAGGCATTGGCGGCCTTGGCCGCCTCCACGACCTCGGCCTCCGATGCGCCCTCGCGCCCGTAGAGGATGTTGTCGCGGATGGTGCCGGCGAAGAGCGTCGGCTCCTGGCTGACGAGCGCGATGTGCGTTCGGATGGAGCGCAGGTGCAGGCGTCGCAGGTCGTGGCCGTCGATGAGCACCTGGCCCTCCTGCGGGTCGTAGAATCGCTCGATCAGCCCGATGATGGTCGACTTGCCCGACCCGCTCTGCCCGACCATGGCCACGTGCTTGCCCTGCGCGACGCGCAGGTTCAGGTTGCGGAAGATCACCACGTCGGGCCGCGCCGGGTACCGGAAGTGCACGCCCTTGAACTCGACGTTGCCGTCGACGCGCTCGAGCTTCATGCCCTGCTCGTCGTCGGGCTCGATCTCCGTCTTCCGGTCCAGGATGTCGAACACGGCCTTGACTGAGTTGGCGCCCTTGGCCAGGTCCGTGGTCATGCTACCGGCCACGGCGATCATCTTGCCGGTGGAGATGAGCACAAAGAAGCACTGCAGCAGGTGCGTGTAGGTCAGCTGCCCGCGGACGATGAGCTCGGCGCCCCACCAGAAGTCCAGTGCCCAGATGGCGTAGACGGTGAAGGAGGCGGCGCCCAGGCCGAGCCCAGCAATGACCGCCCGCTGGCGCGACTGCTTCTGCGGGCCGACCTGGATGGCCTCGAAGATGCCCACCACCTTGTCCTGCAGGGCGAATGCGGCGATGGTGCGGTGGTGGCTAACGGCCTCGCTCGCCACCTGGCTCCCGGCCTCCTGCGCTTTCCTAGTCAGCGCGTACGTGCGCTGCAGCAGCGCCTTCTTGGCGTAGAAGCAGACGATGGTCAGCGGCGTGACGGCGATCATCACCGCGGCCAGGCGCCACGTCAGCACCAGGCCCAGGGCGCAGGCGAACACGATGGCCGTGACGGTCTGGACGATGAGCGAGATGCGGTCGCCCACCAGCGAGCGCACCACGTTCGCCTCGGACGAGATCTTGGAGCACACCGCGCCGCTCGAGTTCTCGTCGCGGTCGAACCAGCCCATCTCGAAGGTCAGCACCTTGCTCAGCATGGTCTCGCGCACGCGCTTCGACAGCCGCTCGCCCATCTCCGCGAAGTAGTAGTGCTGCAGCAGGTTGGCGATGCAGCACGCCGCGCCCAGCCCCACGAACACGCCGGCCGTGCGCGCCGCCGCCCGCAGCAGCTCGCCGTGGTCGCGCATGAAGAAGATGTACACCGTGCTCGCCAAAAAGAAGGCGTACAGCGGCTGGATCACGCCGTACATCACGGCGCCCACCGACCCCAGCAAGGCCTGCCTCCACTCCGCTCTGCTCAGTCCCAGCAGCCGCCTCAGCGACGGCGCCCTCGACGACTCCGACTTCGCCTTCGACTCCGACTCCGATTCGCCCTCGGGCTCTCGCTTCTTCTCGGGCGCCTCGACGTCCTCCGGCGAGACCGCGGACGATTTGGACAGCGACCGGCGCACGGGCACGTCGCGGCCCGAGGGCTCCCGGCGCATTACGGCGTCGCGGGCGATCTCGCCCGCGCCGTCCCCGCTGCTGATGTCGGCCGTGGCCTTGCTGAGGTTGACGAGCGCGGCGTAGGCGCCCCCCTCGATGCGCAGCAGCTCCTCGTGCGGCCCCAGCTCCACCACGCGCCCTCCGCGCACGACGGCGATGAGGTCCGCGGTGCGGATGGTGGAGAGCCGGTGCGCCACCACGAGCGTCGTGCGCCCGACGGCGGCCGCGTCGAGGGCGCGCTGGACGACTTGCTCCGACTCGGCATCCAGCGCGCTGGTGGCCTCGTCGAGCAGCAGGATGGCGGGATTCTTGATAACGGCGCGCGCGATGGCGATGCGTTGCTTCTGGCCCCCGGACATCATCACCCCGTGCTCGCCGACCTGCGTCTCGTAGGCGCGCGGAAGGGCCTCGATGAAGTTCTGCGCGCTGGCCGTGCGCGCGGCTTCCACCACCTCGGCCATGCTGGCGCCCTCCTTGCCGAACAGGATGTTCTCGCGGATCGACGTGGCGAACAGCGCCGGCTCCTGGCTCACCAGGCCGATCTGCGTGCGCAGCCACCTCAGCTGCAGCCACTTGATGTTCAGACCGTCCACCAGCACCTGGCCCTCGAGCGGGTCGTAGAACCGCTCCAGCAGGCTGATGAGCGTCGACTTGCCGGACCCGCTCTCGCCCACTAGCGCCACAGTCTTGCCCGCCGGCACTCGCAGCGAGAAGCGCTGCAGGACGGGCGCTTCCGGGCGCGCCGGGTACACGAAGGACACATTGCGAAACTCGAGCTTGCCTTGAAGCTTCGGCAGCACCTTGCCGCTGAGGTCGTCTGAATCGATGTCCGGCACGCGGTCGATCATGGCCAGAATGCGCGTGGCTGCCGCACGCCCTTCCATGAAGTAGGTCAGGCTCGGGAGCGCGTTGCCAAGTGCGATGCCCGAATTGACAAAGGCCAGGCCCGCGCACACAATCTTGCCGCCCTGGACTCCGTGGTTCACCACAAGCGTGCTGCCATACCAGGTCATGAAGCCCCACATGGCGAAGGTGATGCCGTTTGCGCCCATGGCCAGGCCCTTCCAGATGCCCACCCTGAGCCCCAGGCGCAGCGTCGAGTCCAGGCTGCGTGAGAATTTCGTCGCCGTCCGGCACTCGCCCACAAACGAGAACACGGCGCGCACCGACGAGATGGCATGCTCGGCCACGGTGGCGGCCTCGAGGTTGCTCTTGTGCATCCTCGAGTACGCCTTGGCTAGATGGCGCCCGAACATCATCCCCGGGATGATGAGCAGCGGCGTCAGCGGTAGTGTCACCAGCACCAGCCTCCAGACGAGCACGAACGCAATGACCAGCCCCCCAACGAAGTGAGAGAGGCTGGCGATGAATTGGCCCAGCTTCTCGCTCAGCGCGTCCTGGATCGCCAAAGTGTCGTTGGCCACGCTGTTTACCACCTCGGCCGAGTTCGCGCCCGACGTGTCGAAGAACATGTCGTCCTGCCGGAGGATCGCCCTCAGGTACATGGACCGCAGGCGCGAGACCTGCCTCTCGCTCGTCAGCATCCAGCACGCCACCTCGAGGCCGCTGGCCGCGAACGATCCCAATGCCAGATAGATGTATAAAACTGCGAATTTGTTGATTTCATGCTGAAACTCTCGAGGGTCCACTTCGTTCAAGCCCTGGCCAAATGTGTTCATGAGCCCGCTGGTGATGTAGTACGAAAGAGGTTGAATGAGGCCGTCCCCGATGCCCCCGATCGTTCCCAACGCCATCAGAAGGTAATCGAGAGCATCTGCGTAGGCCAGAAGTCGCCTGTAAGTGGATACGCCTTTTGGTTTTTTGGTTGCGGCCTCGAAATCTCGGAGGTCCGCTGCTGCTGCATGGTCCTGTTCAGAGCCCGAAAAGTCCAGCGACCTGCGGTGGAGCTCGCTGCAATCCACGGATCTGCGGGCGAGCTCCGAAAAATCCACCGACCTCCGGAAATTCTCCGAGCCCGAGAACGAGATGCGCCCCGACTGAGTCTGCCCGGAGGCAGAGAGCCGAGGGCCAGAAAATGAAATTCGAGCCGCTTGCTCCTCCTGGCGTACAATCCCTAACACGCAGGTATCGCGATCGTTGTGGAGCATGCCGAACGATTCGAAAAGATCGTCCTCGGCATTTCGAGACACCGACGGGCGATGATGAAACGGAGCGACCGGGAGAGAAGGTTGGACATCGGGCACTCGCTCATCGTCCGAAGCCCCCAATTCTGGCTCTTGGGAAGCCCGACTCGGAGTGCCCGCAATTTCCACCTCCCCGCGTGTCATTGCATCTCCCTCTTGCTGCGGCTGGCCGGATCGAACCACCATATCACTAGTTCAGGCGCCTAGTTCCATACGGTGCTCGACGAGCAGACCCAGACCGAAAGGAGTGCGGATTGACACCGTCGAATGGCGGGTGAGCGAGCCTTTCGCTCCACCCGAGCTCACAAGACGTCCAGTTCCGATTCTCCCCCGCTTGCCTTTTGCTTCTTATACCTCGGGCGACACGTGCGCTAGGGCTCCTCCTTCGCATCACAGTACGCCCCTCGCTCGCCTCCTCTCGGGGCCACTGCTTCCTTCCGTGAATAGCTATAGTTGCGCCCTCCCCATCGGCTGAGCGCCAAGACAACAACTCCTGGGAACACAATCCCTGCTGCCGCATGTGCCATCCTTACGGTTCTCGTCACCTCAGGCCCCAATGCGCCATCTTATGCGCGAAGTCAGCCTACGAGCTGAGCACCGGGGCGTTACTGGGCTCTAGGCCCGCAGCTTTTCCTCAGAATACTATATTCGTAGCGAGTCCTGAGTTGCTGCAAGGAGGTTTGTACACGTGAAGGCTTATAGGACCAACCCTACGAGAGCAAGAGGAGGAGGAGTAAGGGAGCAGCACTCTAGTACTGAAAGTGAATGTAGCTGGGGAACCCTATCCATGACGATTGACTTGACATGAACTGGGAAGAGAAGGGAAGGGAAGCCCATGAAACGGAGGTTTGGGTTGATCAGAGGACCGACCTCTAACAGCCTCGGGCTTGCTGCCGGGATCACTGTTGTGAATGAGGTTCGGCAAACCCGCCGTAGCAGTGGAGTGGAGGGCATCCTCGTTTGATTTGAAACCGTTGACGAGGAAGTCCGTTCGATGCTGCATGGACTCGAAGTCGAAATAGTTCTCGGCTCCCGCTGCTCGGAAAATCTGACCGAGCAGGCGTCCGGCGGAATCTATGGCATATGTTAGGTACAGTACAAGGTGGTGCAAATGTTTTGCTGCTGCATCGGCTCATACGATTTGCAGCTCGGCGCGAACTGCAGAATCAAATCTGCGAACGTAAAATCTCTGGTGAACTTGGGATCATGATCTCGTTGGTTGTGGACGAAGTTCGAACATGTCAGCAAAATTGGAGACGCTTATTTTTGGCTGTTACTGGATGTGAACCTGCCCAGCCTGAAGCTACACTGCTCTTTAATGTAACTGCAGATGCTTTTTTTGCGTAACTGCTTTTGACTCTTTAGTCACTCTACACACTTTGGACCTCAGAACGGAGGTTCATGGAGTCAACACTAAAAGCAACGAAGAACATTGCCGAAAAAATCCGAAACCCCTCAGAACAAGTGCTCGGAAAGATGATAATGAAAATCCATAAAAAATTGAATAAAAAAAGATCTGAATTTGAATCTATGTTTATATTTGAAGGTATATATATATATATTCAAAACAGGATTTGCTTTTTCTCTCACAAGATAAATATATATATCATCAAAATAATTGGAAAAAGGTTTCGATTGAATATGATTGTCATAAAAATGATACGAAGACATGACGTTATAATTTTGTATTGTGATAACCCTCAATAAAAACGATCCCTCGGATTCCTTCCAAATATGCATGCATCCAAGGCATCTTCGTGTGATATTCTTATTTATTCGGAATGAAGATTTCCAGCATTCAATCATTCACATCACTTTATCGTGTTGTAATCAAAAGCAAAATACTTTAGAGTGGGTCTACTTTCATCGTGTGCCTCATATTCGTGCATTTTGCAACGAACATGGAGATTAAGATACCATCTATTTGAAGATATTTATCGTCATAGCAATGATCCTTAAAGCTTGGAATTTTTTATACGCAAAGATTACTCAGTTGAATAAGTCAAGATAAGATATGTAATTGACATCGTTTGATATTTTGTATTGCAATATTCAATACATAAGAGAGACGAAGCTAAGTGGATAGGAAACAAAAATGGGAAGAATTCTACAAGGATGAAACTACATGAGTAGTTTCTACACATAAGGGATTGCGACACATAAAGCTTGTTCCGATGTTACCCACTGCTTATTTCATAGGTAGGACATTGCAAGTTATTATAATAATTATCCTCAACAGGTGCAGCTACAGTAATCCCTTGCCACTTTAACGCATGAATGACTTTTTATAAAGCCGTCAAGAAGATCACATTCATGGGACCTAAAAATTATGTAGATACATCATTTCCCCTTTCTATTGCATTTACAACTCTTCTTCTTTCCGACATTCAAATCGCTCGAAAATGCCTTCGTTGAACTATTGGACGAAAACTACTTGACAAAGTAGCGTCTAGTTGTTCTTCGCTTTGCGAATAGAGAGGATAATACATAGTAGAAAAGTTGAGATGGAGTACAATTCTGAAGCAGATGAATCAGTTTCACTAGTGATTATCGCGAACCCCAACAAGTTACTAGTAGCTCCACACTTCCATAAACTAGCACAAAAAGTTAGAATGAAGAATGATTGAGGTTATACTCTACAAAGCGCTTCTTGTCTCTTTTATTCAGGAAACTTCAAATTTGAAGTCCTTCAGGATCCTCATTATAGAATTTAACCGTTGTTCGAGTTCTCAAATGCACCTCTTCACTTTGTTGGATCCTGGAAATGGTGTGGAATAGGGTCGAATTACTTCCTTTGACATATACAGGACTACTGCATGAGAGATGCATATGTGATGCCCATGCAATCTCTATCTACTTTCAAACCCACGTTCTAACTTCGTCATATTTGGGTGATGAAGGAAGCATAGGCCACATTTTAAAATATTGAAGCAAGGAGTATACAGAGTGAATGAAACAGGGAAAGAGAAGAAAAAAAGTAGATATACTATCGTCTGCTAAAACTCAAGGACTAGCCTGAGAATCACGAAGCTCGAGGACAAGGATAAAGATACAGCATCCTAGATTCCCGTAAGAAGGGCATTGAAGAGAACTATAATTTTTTTATGGGACGTGAGACAACAGGGATCTTATAAGATGGGCAGCATGGCTCACACACGACTCCGCAACGTGTTCAGGAGTCGGATCTCTTTAGACCGACAATAATACAAGAGAATAGAATTCCAAAAAATAACAAAAATAAAGGATGGCTAGAGGAAATCATGCGCAAGAAAATAGTTCCCATCTTACTCTAGACTCGAATGACATCCATTTGGACCCTCTTTTACTCTAAATTGAAATGAAGTGGACATTCCCTATAGAGAGCGTGAGAGAACGGTGGGAGCTTCTAGAATCCTCCCAGGAGGAAAACCTGATGGGGCAGGGCCAGAAGCCTGGAAATTGTGAAGCTTTGGCAACTCACCGGCTTTCCTGAGGGTGGATCTTTGGCACAATTACTCTACAGAAGGAGCCCTGCGTTTCTTCGGGAGAGGTAGTGCAGATGTGTAAAGAGTGGCCTAGGCGAAGGCCTTAGCAGGATGCAAAGGCCCTGCCATGGGAGAACCATATAGTTTGTTCATATGCTCTAGATTCGCGGTACTGCATCAGAACTGAGCCTTTAGACTCACCAAACCACGAGCCTGTTTGTTGATATCAGGCTGGGCGGTGGAGGAACAGAACTTTAATCTTCTGTTCTCCTCATATTGCAAATATATGGATATCATGAATAGTGGCCTGTAGGCTAATATAAGTAGTGCAAGATCTTTGCCTTAGGAGAAGCCATACATTTTGTCTTTAGGAGTTGTGTACAGCAGCTCGGGCAGTGGTTTTTCAACCTACATTCCTCCTGCCGATGGTTTTTTCCCTCTCGTCTTGGTTTGTTGGCCCACCCGGACCATGGTTTTCCCACCTACATTCCTCTTCCCAATTAGGCCTGCAGCCTGCAGTGCATGGGCATGAGCTCCTCCTTTTGCTTTGCTGTATCGGAGAGGACTCTTCATTCCTTGCTAATTCTCAGCGCATGCCTGGTGTTGACGTTTAACCCTCGAATCGAGGGAGCGGAAAATGAGGAGCTCATCCGGATCGAGGGCCTCGATCCGGATGAGCTCCTCATTTTCCGCTTCTTTCCGGAGCTGCCACTGTCCTCCTCGCAGTCGAGCCGATGTTCAGCCCCGCACAATTCCAACATCTTTGTGGAAGAAATATTGCAATTGCAATGGTGTGGGCAACCGCCTTCTTCGGATACTCAAGTTTGGATTTTTCTCTGTAATTTATATCCCATAACAAGTTTTGCTACAACTTCCAGTACAGTGTAAGAGCAGTAAGACATATGTTTCTGTACCAAAAGCTGGATACCGATTTCCAGCTCCTGCTGAAAGTTTTTGTCTAATGTCCTAGTTCTGGAATCGCACTCTTCAAACCTCAGCAAGTGATTCATATCTTTATTCCATTTTGACCCTACTTCTATCATCACACCATTTTGTTCATAACACTACAATGTTGGGCTGGATGATGGTTTGACACTAGACTTTATAATATGTGATGACTTCATTGTTGGCATTAGATATGCACCCTTAGGTGAGAAATTTGCTTGATGGGACCCCATCAGAACGTTGACTGCTTGATGGGACCCAATATGTTACATTTTACCCGATGGGACCACTCCGACGGATCACCGTCAGTTATGTTCTTGTAATTGATTTGTTTCCAATTCAATGAAAGAAAATCATTTCTTCCCGAATTTAAGTTAATCAGATTTTCCATGGCTCCCAATCTACATCGTGGAAGAGCCTAATTTCTTGAGTCCCATAATGATTTTGCAGTTATAATGTATAGGCATAGGCATAATCTACTTACTCCTTACTTTTTTTTCTAAATCTCTTGGTCGAAATCATGCCAGTTGCGTATTTTGGTCAGTGAAAAGCATTTTTCTTTTCAACAAAGAGCCTCAGTGTTTTTCCTAGCCCGGTTTGAAAGCAATTACAAGAACTCGCAGTAGAACATCGAGTTTAAAATAAACTAAAATTCTGAAAAATTGATGAATCACTCAGTTCGATTTTATTCATATGAAGGTAGTGTAGGAACAAAAGAAGCCATAAAAAAAAATGGAAACTATGGATAGCGGACTGATCTTTTAAGTAGGCTTTTGAGTTTTTAGATTATCAATTCACAACTTCCCGGACCCGGATTGAAGTGCCCTGGGAAGAATCCCATCGGGTTAAATGGAATTTATTGAGTCCCATCAAGCAATCAACGTTCCGATGGGGTACATCAAGCAAATTTTCTCACCTTTAGGTGTATCTTATCATGTTTCTAACTCTCTTAGTCCTAAAACCCTCAGGCCTTGTATTGCTTATCCACTTTTGTGATGCATAAAAATGTTTATAGTATTCTTGCTGTTATTTCCTTTTTTTTTCCTGTTCACGTGACCTGCAATTGTCTACTCGCGTATGTTTGACCAAATCCAAGGCATAACGGCCTTGGTAGAGGGCTTCACTCGACTTGCCCTGAGAGCATGTTGTACCACATCTCTCGATTGACTTTCACTAAGTAAACGCTGGCTCCTTCTTGGTGTAACTTGACCCATGCCAATGCTGCCGCCAGCTCCTGCTCCGCCTCAATATTAGTCCAGCGCATGGTCGTCGAAGCGAAGAGTCTCATCCGCCGACGTCGACTGTACGATGCTCATTCTCTCCAATCGGATCTACAGAAAAATAACATCATAGGCTTCCTGAAATTATGGTCACGTCAATTATTCAAAGGACGTGCAATGAATACCGTAATAAGCAGGGAGATGCTCCGCTTACAAGCATCACATCAATGCCGATTCTGTTCCGAGCGATGCCGTCATTTATGGCCCGAAGGTAAAGAATCGACTACCATGTACAGCAGTGGTCTGACTGTGGTCGACATACCGAGATACAACGTCCCGACTTCGCTCGTGACTGCATCATGCCTGACGTCGTACGTCTCGCAACGTATGGTCATTGGTGTATGCACCATATCCATTAATGACAGATTCTGTTCTGGGTCAAGGAATATTTTCATTCTCTTTGATTCTATTATCTCCGCAGCTCTGTCTGGTCCTTGCCGAGGAATCTCGGGGAGGAGGTGACATTCCTTAAGCTTTTATGAAAGTCATACTCGGACCGCAAAATGCATCAGCCCCGAAATGATGGGAGAGACACCTAGCGACAAACCAATCGCCTCGTTGTGTGTTTTTCCTATGGGACTCTTTGCAATGTCTCTAGTTCGATCTAATATCAACGCCACGACTGACACAAACTCCGCTGGCCCATCACAAGTTCCATCATTCGAAAATGTCCCCTCGAATTGCTTTGCACTGGCGCTAGTTGCTTTAGGGGGACCCGCACATGATGCCAAACAAATAATTATAATTTACAGATTCACTAGTCTCGTTTATTTTGTTTTATATTTTATTCATCTTTGTTAGTCAAGACTGGAATCGGCTTCATGGTAACCTCCATGGATTCCAGAATTCCGAGGTTAGTATGCTCGGAGTAGATTTTCGCACATGCACTTCCTTGCACATATCAACTTGGATCCTTAGATGATATAAAAATTGATCTAGCAACTGACATATATTGAATAGTAGTCAAAGAGTTAGTGCATGCGTCCAAATATTGTAGATTGCTGATGAAATTTATTCAGAAGGTTTGAATTGAATAATATGACTCTCTCAGAGATGTGAACAGGCAGGAGCCTCCGCCGTTCGTAACATTCAATGTCTCTTGACAAAAGGGTGCACATTGTGACCACTCATATCGGTACAAGTGCTTCTTGGTTATTCTCTAATCCTGAATGTTCTGTTTCACCTCTAGAGATGTCGAAAAGCCAAGTCACTCGGTATGACATTAGAATATACACTTATATATGGGAGGGAGGAAGGCACCTCAAACCCTGCTACGAAGATTCCAGCATCTTTCAAAGGGCAGTAAGCATTCATTTATATCTAGAAAACACAAAATATTTCAGAAATCTAGTCATCCATGAATCTCTTGAAATAGAACTTGCTGATTCATTTATTCGATGTGACGTCCACAGTTTTAAAAATTTTAAATTTATAATGCAGATGTTATTTGTCCGTGACATCATATCAGCAGACGTAAAGGTCGGTCGGTGGTCTTCATCATAAAAAAGGATATAAACCGTGCTCTTGGAGGTATGCTAAACCTCTTTCTCTCTCGTATGAGGTAGATCCAACTAGCCGAGGTAGATACAACTAGGATTCTCAGCTGGAACTTGCATGTGCATGGCACTAGCACATGTGGGACATCTGAGACACTGCGTATGTCAGCGCACAGCATCATCATCTTTATCCACTTTATGTATAGCTATGCAGAGGGAATGCCTCTGAATACTCGATTGCAGATACTCGCTAATCTGAATGGCCCGCTTATCGTAAAGAAGGTCAATTAGACTTACGAATCAACCGTACAGCGTAATGTGAAATTTGTGAAATATGATATGATGGGAAGTAGACCTGAGGAATGAAATCTGAGGCCATATAACGTAAAAGGAGGGTCATAGCTTTTATACTTGGTTCACATCTTATTTCCCTGTAAGAGAGATCAAGTATACCGATCTTTTCGAGTCTCGATGTTTGACTTTGGAAAGAAGTTACAAACACCTTCTCGAAACTCTCACTTTAACAAACCCTTAAATTCTCGACGAACGACCCCATGAGGATAGATGCTTTACGTTATGATGGTTACTTTGTAATCCTTCCATACTCTTGATATTTATTAACATAATCTTTGCAGATGTTAAACATTTAGTAAAAGACAAAGACCAAACCGAGCTTTCAATCTAATGCATCTCAACGTCAAAGAAACGTGTAGAAGGCATGTGATGTGGACTATGTGCAATTAAACATGTCTTTAAACCTCGTACCTAAGCTCACGATGAGCTAATGTACTATAGTTTGTCCAGTTTTTAATGTTTCAACTGGGAACATCCTGACAAAGAGAGGTCAAAAGGTGGTCACGATTGCGATTCTTTTTGGGACAAAAGCGGATTGCGTTTGTCCGGAGAGATTTTTCTGGTGAGCGACATTCTGGAACATAGTGAACTTTCTCCAAATTTTATACTGCAAGCGCTTTTCGGAGCAGAGTGCTTATGTCATGCAAGAGACTTGCTAGAACGGACAAGAGCCCTACGCAATCTTTCTTTCAGTATAGCTTTTCATGCAAAGGTCTTTTGTCAGACAAGCAGAATGAAAATTGCAGATTTTTCCAATATTCCTCATGCCTCACTTCAGTAGGGCGTCATGGATATAATGGGTGAGCTACCAGAGGTCGCACATCCTCAGTTGAACGGGATATACCATACATTATGGTGATTGTAGGGGTAGTATTAGAAGTTGTAGTGTTGTTCCTTCTTGTATCCCATTCTGTTCGTGCCCCACCAAAAGCTTTAGCATTCTGAAATCAGCATATTGCAGCCTTCATATTATAATTTATTATAATTCACCTTGACCTATAATTTATTTAGTTAAATCATATGGTTAATATGTTCTTGAGGATGAGCACATTAGTACTCTATGTACTCATATTAATAAAATCCACTGATAAAATTCCTTTCACGCCTTTTTCAGCATGCAATCTGCTGCCGTAAGAAGCTGGGGCTCGACTCCAGTGGGAACTTCGAAGTAGATGTTCGGATCCAATCTGCAACCGACAGGAGGGATAACGGTAGTAGAAGGAACCTTTTTCAGATCGAGAAGTGCATTTTTTTCTCTTGAGATTTGGAAAGAACCTCCTTTATAACTGATTCAAATCTTTGATGGCTTTTACAAATAAAGTTGTGTCCGCATCATAGCTCTGAAACATGAATTGTTTCTCTCCTGGAAGTTGTTGACCCATTAAGTTTTCAGTGGTCCCGACTTTCACTAATCAATGCCATTAGATGTTGCGTTGATCGGGTAAAGACTAAAGGTGCCTAGTGGCAACACTTCCTCAGCCCTCTAGCCATGGGTAGAATGTTACCCTCCGTGAAGTAGCTCCTTCACATGGTACCTCAGTTCTAAAAACATCAAACTGTACAACCATATTTTACTGTGTATCACCACTCAGTGCACATGGTTTCACTCCACAAACCCCCTGCTCAACTCAGTTCAAAGACAATCGAGAGCTCTGTCCGCTAGATCCCAGCTCTGCAGCAACAATCGGACTATTTACTGATGATAACCCTAAGTAATGGTCATGTCCTGTTGGAAGGTTGTGCGAATGCACCTCATTGACCACATGGTTTCCGACAACGTTCATGTGTGCAGTCACCGGTAGATTTGCAAACATAGCTTCTACAAACAAATCCGAGAATTTTGTCGAGCTCATAAAAGATTCACAGGATGGAGAGTTTTTCTTCTCTGAGCGGCATGAAGACTGAATGACTTATTGTATCAATTTATTTTACTTTATCTATCAATTTTATGTAGTCATTTCATTCAGATTTAAAACCCGCGATCGTCTTTTGAAGACCCTCAAATTGCCGAAGCAACAACTCACACATAGACCCAACAGCACAAAATGGCGAGGAATGGGTGGATTGCGGATAATTCCGGAAGCAGATCGTGAAGAAACGATTGCAGCTGAAGATGAGCGTAAATTCGTATATCCAAAACCGCTCATTGCTGCAGATTTGGTTGTTTCGATGAACCCCATCCTAAGAGTTTTCTCGTCAGAAGAGATCAACAGGAGACGCATGACAGCAAATGCAACACCAACTGTAGCGTTGAGAAAACGAAAATGGCTGACCGGTGTCCATCGAGTGGACAAAGGTCAGCCATATCACTTTCATAGTTCATAAAATGCCTAAAAACGCTTCACATTCCTCTATAATAAGATGTCGTCCATGATTATGCCGTTGACAGATTTATGTAATGATTGATGTCATGTTAGTGTTGAGACGAAGGTAGACCAGGGAGGAAAATTTCGTACTAACTGACACAGACCGAGACAGCAAGAAGCAAACAGTGAAGATGTATTCACCACTAAATATAGTGGGATTTGCAGCTGCAGCTGCACATACAAAGGCAGCTGCAAGGGTAGTGCCGGGGAACACAGGGCGGGAGTTCGCCACCTTATGACCGAGCGATCCACTGTTGTGCCCTTCACGTCCTCCGAGGCGGCCCCTTCCACATTCACTTCCCTTTTCTTGTCGTCAACCAATGACTGAACCGTGACTGCATTATTGTTGACAAGGTTCTGCCTGCCTGCGATGAGTGAACGAGAACCTGTATACCCATTTTTCGAGAGAATCAGTAGTTCTAGAACATCGTCAAATGTGGGTTGAGGGAAAGTATCGGCCATAGAACCACCGGAATCATCCACTGGAATTGATTGCGAGGCATATGTACCCTGGACATGAGGTTTCTTCTGACTCTGCAATTTTATGAAATGCAGCGAGACACCCGTCCCATGCAGCGAAGACGAACCTCACACTCGATTCTGGACAAAGGTCCATGGCGGACTGTACCGAATCGGCGCAACATGCAATTTCTGACTTCACGAGTTGAATCCTGAAACGACACGATGAGCAGAATTCTTTTTTCCCAGCGTGGAAATCTATACTCGCTGTAAAGTAGAACTGATAAACGTATGTGAATGACACGCTTTGGCAAGTGCCTGGGTGAAGAATCGCTTGCATGGAGACGCGATTCGCAGTTTGCAATGAGCAGGTTCGATTGCTACGTCTCCGATGATTGGTACAGCATACATTTTTCCACAGGTTTACTTTCCAAGTCTTGAAGATGGCAGAGACCACAACGGAGTTACAATGAATTGTGAGCTTTCAATGACAGTCTTCTATCGATGGTCTCTGAGTCATCACAGCCTTTTGGATTCGGGACGTGGGCTTTATAGCGTCAGACGTCTTTGTGAGCTGAATCATGAACTTGGCTTCGAGGTTCTGAAGGTAAGTTAGCCTTATGCAGTTTAATGGAAACATGCTCTGCCCTTCTGTTCCAAGTCCTTGGATTCAGATCTCCTGTTCAATCTGACTAATTCCAGATCCGAGCGAGCAAAGCATCCATGCATGTGGCATTATTTTGCAACTTGAAGCTATTTCCGTGCTGAGAAGCGGGGAAGAAACTCAGTGCTGGATCCGGGCTCCAGAGCCAAGAGGCCGGGAGACGAATTTGTGCACAATGTGAACCATAAAGTCGTGGCATGATGCAGACTGAGCACGTTCTCTGAGCGAGTAAAACACGGCGAGAGGCAGTTGACGACGATTTTGTCCTCAGCTCCCTCCCTCGCGCCCTATTCAGGATGCTCAGGTATGCACAAGTGACTGATTCGTAGCAAGGAACTGAAGCGAGGCCAATCCCATCCCGGACCCAGAGCCAGGCCTAAGCCCAGGGCCCCATGATGATGACGATGGATGGATGAAGCGGTTTGTGACTGGTGTCGAAGGCGCTGCAGTGTATTGATGCTCTAAAATCCGAGCGAATCGGATGTGGGCCTACATTTCCTGAATCCGAGACAGAATCCAAGAGATGCATATGCATGCCGACTTACGGGTGGAGAATGCACCTGCACGTTGTCCTATTGCTCGACCTCCCTCGTGCCCCCGACTCGAGTCAACTCGTAGAACTTCCAGGGAAAATGGAGACAGGAAGGAGGCAGGGCGCAGAGAGGAGCAGATAAGTCCAACGAGTACTATTGCAACAAGCAGCGAGCGAGCTCAATGCCATAATTGGCGCAACTGAGCGTTGCAAATCCGTCTCGTCGACGTGTTGTAATCTGCTCAGTACTTCAACTCCTTTCGGTCTCACTCGCTCACTAGCTCACCGACTGACCGACCGACTGACTGACTGGCTGGCGGGCTGACTATTGGCGTGGCTCACGATAAGCTCGGGATTCCATTTTAACCCTCTCGCAGCAGCGTTAATTGCGTAGCTTCGGCGCTATGTTGGCCCGCCAACCTATAACCCAGACATGCTGGTGGTGCAGCTCGCTGCCTTGAATGTATCTGGCACAAATCCTCCATAAAGCATTTGCATTCCGGTGACACATTCTACAATGTGCTTTATAGGCTTGGGAGGGTTCGTGCGTGCCCACCGCTCTGAAGCTCTGGCAAGTGGGTATCAGTCCAAAAAGGCTTTGTCATCGTCGGACCGAGCGCCTCAGCCTCCCCTACTCTTCTGTGAAAGCCCCACTGTAGGATCAGTCAGGCGGATTAGAATGCATGCTTGCAGTCTTGTCCCGTCTCGCACCATGCACAGCCACGGATTCTCTCTCGACGGTGGGTCAAGGCAGAGGCCGAGACCGAGACCAAGGCCAACCTTTAGTGTTGCCAGTGTATGGCTCGATGTTCGGCGAAATGTACGCCATCCGAGAGATCAAAAGCTCACAGACGAAGTTCGAGAAGATGTTTTCTCTTCGGGCCGGACGTGATCGATATCTGGCTCCGTGGACATGGAACTCTCCTCTTGCTCGAGTCAGCGCGACTCCTTTGTCTAGTCAGCTGACATCTTTTTCATATTAGACTGCGGTTTGACGTGAATGTCAGCAGGCAATCACACTAGAACCAACCATGGCCGACTTTCGTGTACAGTGATGTGCCCCCAAGTGTGCCATCAACGTGTTCGATTCTGCTGTTCCCACCCTCGGATGGAAGGCTCAGCTGAAGTTCAAATCTCGGCTGGTAAGTCGATCGGAACTGTCAAGCTGCTCCCTGACAAAGAACCGAGTCTCCCCATCGTCGACATTATCGTAAACTCACCCACCCTGATTAGAGCAGTTAAGCGACTTGTAGACAACAGAAGACAAAATTAATCGTGTGATGTGAAATCCATGAGATATGCTGGACTAGCGGGGCTCGTAATACGAAATAGTTGCAGTGCAAGCTCCTGCGCAACAACCGGTTGCTCCCTCAGCTTTCGATTCAGATGGTTTGGAAAGTAGAAACTTGTAGCTTCATGCTCTGACCAGCAGCCACTGTAGTTCCAATTTGCTCGTTCAGGACTTGTGTCTCTTTGCCATTTGTGATCTCGTAATTAATGTACAAGACTTTGGCCGATTTTCGTACGTGAGAAACTCTTTATGGTGTCAGAAATTCAGGAAGAGGTTGGCTAGTGGAACTACTGTTGGTGTCGTGTACTATCCCTCTTCTAAAAGCTTGTTCTGGACGGTTGTCTCCAGAGCTGTTTGTGATAACCTGTGGAGCTTTGTTCTCCAGCTCTGTGAGATCATAGATGTTAGAGATGCCACAGTGAAATGGAATGTCATGCAAATGAAAACTCGGGATTTGGATCCCTCACGCTTGAAGGCTTTCACGAGGCATATATACCCAGTCGAAGGCGGAGGAACTATTTACTGTCAGAGATATGACGAAGAAAGTTATCGGTGTCTGCTGCCAGAAACTGAGCGGGTCCTTTTTCGATCCACCGTAATCCAGATGCCATGGAGCCTAGGTCTATCTAGACCTGAACTCTCGGTCAAGAGTTCGGATTCATTACCATATCTTAGCAACTGCCGGTAAATTGAAGTAGCACTGTCGTCGTTGATGCGCATGCCTCAGAATCTATACGAGTCATATGGTGACCTATAAACCGAAACTTATGCAGTCTACGATTATTTCAGCACCTTTAGAGATCTGGACGAAGACAGCAAGGACATCAACAGTTGCTTCTAGCTATGCCAGTGTCTTAAATAATGGCGGTGCGTACTGGTTTTCTCAGCTCACTGGTCACAGGGTTCAGTTCTCGAGTGCGTGAGAGAAACTTCACCGTGTGTGATTGAGTGTGGAGAAAAGCAATTGAAGGACGTACAGGGTTTTCTACTGTTCCTCGCCTCTTCATTAGAAAGGTTTTTGAGAGAAAAGCGATGCTTATGCACATAATTTCCACCCGCTACTAGTAAAATGCAGGTGGTTCCAAACTGCTAGTCTCAATCTATATTTGTATATAGTATTGAGCAGCTGTTGTGACCCTTTATTCCTCGCATCTGTTATTTATAAAGCACAAATTTTGACCCGTTCTGAATTTTCGATGATTATTTTGCAATGATGATCAGTCTTGAGTCAGTATGAAAGTTCAATTTTGGAACAGCATGGGACATTCATCGAGACAGTCACCTTGAAAAAAAGCCGTGTGTGATTGTCTTAATACCTGGTCTTGGTCTTAGACGCTGCGCAGCCATATGTGAAGTACAAGCGAGTTAAATTAAGCTTAAAATCTGTTCAAAGGGATCCAGATATCCGAGTTCTCACAGTTCAAAAGAATTTGCGTCCTTCTTATTGGCTGAGCTGAAGTACATGAGGGAAGTCTACTTTCTCAATGGAGAGTGTAGACAGCCGAAGACAAACCATGACAGCCCCCTTGATGCGAAGGGGATTATAACTGGGAGCACTATTCCTCACTAAGGGATTCACGATGAAGGAGAAACCGCAAAACAGCAATGTAAAGTTCTCGGTAAACAATTACATCTCGGTTTGAATTGTTTATCCAATTTCTGTCGCTTGTTTTTGGTCCATGGCTACCGGTCTCACTTGGTCAGGCCCATGTCTGCATGAGGCCGAAGCACTTGTCATTGGAAATGGTTTACTTTAGAAGTCATGTCTATTGGTGAGCCATGTTCCATGATGACACGGTTCCCACACCGACGTCACCAAGTACGTCAATGTCTATTATTACCTACTGGTGGTTTGAGTTGCGCATGCAAAATCCAGTTCTGATGATGCTAATCTCAGAGGATCTGAGATCTCGACTTGCAGAAAATTAATAATGTGCACTTGCCTTTTTTGTTGATCGGATCTCCATGCAGGTCCACTGTACGTGTAGTTTTACACGAGTTACAGTCCAGAAGGTTTCTCAAATTCCATCGGAGAGCGGTACCCGAAACCTGATGAAAGAGTTGTACGAGCCTCTAATATAGCAGTAAAATTGAAATTATCCGACCCTGATCAGGTGTGTATACCCCACGACCTGGGACTGAAATCGGAGTGATGCTCTTGCCTCTTGTCATCAGTCCACGCAATGAGTATTTTCTGTTTGTCACGACTCTGAGCGAAGTCAAAAGAGTAAAAGTGGGCACGATTCTTCTCAATGTTGGTCATGATCATGACACATGAGAAGTATGTACATTCTCGGGAAGCAGATTATGTCTTCGTGTCTTCATCCGAGAAGCATATGCAGCTATCTCCCTCGCATGGACTCCACAAATGGAACATACTCTAGAATGTCAACAGGGTTTGACAACTTGTAACCTGGAATAGAATGGAAATATCGCAGATCTGCTTCTTAATTTTGTCTTTAAGGTAGAGTGTCTTAATTTACACAGTAAACCAGCGCAACAGTTGCCTCTTGGGCTTCCTTGCTGTTCTGAAACCGAGGGACTTTTTGGTTCTCATTGTTTAATGCAATTTAGCAGTTATTAATGTCTGCACAGCAACAGTTGGGGTTGATTTTGCTGTGGAGTTCGTAGACCAGTGAAGGGTAGACGTGTTTACTGACGGGAAATGATTTCCTTCAGAGGACTCAAGGTCCAGCCTCTAACTCGATCGGTCCCCTGCTTTAGGACCGTCTTCTGGCGCTGGCCATGCGTCTCTGCTAGTTGTTACTAACAAGCATTTGGGGCCCTCAACCAAATAGCATATATCAACCTGAACATGGAATGGATTGATGAGCTCGAGGAATACAATGAAGATCGTATACCCGCTACCACGACAATGCCCATTTCCTCGTCCCTGGGTGCCAAAGAATCTTCTCCATGAATGTCTTTCTATCAAAACTCACAACTTGTAATTCTAGTGTGAATCTCATACACGACGTGCGTGAAGAAAGAAAAACCTGCATATTGTGATGTCTATCGAATATAGTTCGATGCTTTGACAGTCGACTCATTTCCAGTCACTTGGTGCGCACTTGTTTCAAACTGAAGTTATTATTATTTAAGTATATTACCTTTCATAATACTAGACTTTCATTAAAATTGCATGTGATAATTACACATTATGTTATAACGTTGTGATGCTTGCAATGGCGTGTAAAATTGAATCTCATGAATTCTCACTTGGTATGTCCTGTTATCGTATAAATTTAACACAGATGTAGATCAAGTTGTATATTTGAATTCATCAATCCTTCACTTGAATAATATATATCTATTCATATTTGAATTCATCAAATACAAATTTAGTTTGATTGTTGACATGCGCTTCAGCATCAACAATCAAATACAAGAATGTATAGAGAGGTTTTCTCTTCTATATTGCCTCAATTGTTTTAAACTATGTAACTTTGATTTGACATGTCAATGAAAGAGTTAATAAATAAGTTTTAGACTACAGTTTAAGAGTTCAACGCTTTCTTGTTTTGTGCGTTTAATTTAAGACATCGTGTTCGCATTTATCTACAATAGCAGATATGAGTGATATATACAATAGAATAATCACATTATTTCATATGGCAAAAGTTACTAATGATATTTGTAGATTGTTTGATCGAGTAAAATTGAATATTATATGCTTTAAAAGATATGTGTTTTCATCATGATGCTATGTTTTCCTTCGTTTAGAATTTGATAAAATAATTTTATGAATATTGCCACTTTGGTATACTCTAACAATTCAATCAACATTAATATTGGTTGAATTTCATTTCTTCAAAAAATGACATCATCGATTAGAACAAAATTGACATTTAAGAACTTATTTAAAAACATCAATAATATAATTTTACTTTCAGTTATACACAGACCTACTTTCTTAACATATAAAAATGCCCAAAGTTTTACACAAATTCTTACAATATGAAGTAATGATATAAGTTTCATTTAGCATGATTAGTTATTAGGTTTTTACGTGCTCAATGCACCGCAATGCACAAAAAATCCGAGAAAATTATGTGATAGTATTTTTTTGGATCCAACACAATTCATTTTACCAAATGAGATTTCCAAGAGGGAGTTGCAATATACGTCATCTATGTTCCACTACAAGTTCTGGATTAGGTACAAGCCACAGTATGGACTTGACTCCAGTGGGAATGTACCTAACAGGGCGAATAGAGAACAGAGCTTCATCAAAGGGAGCTCGTGAAAATTCCTTGAATGCTTCACTCGGAAAGGTTCAAGGCCTTGAACTCTTCTGGCTACTATGGGCTACCGTAGGATAAAATAAATAGTGTTGGGTACAATAAGTGTTTTGCGTTCCGAAGGAGTCTCATCAAGTGATTTTCTCAAATAATTCCATAAGCAGCTACTAGGTTTGTGCTTACAACAAGTGTAACTCTTTTCCAATTAAATATGCATGAGTACAAATGCGAGGCCTATTTCTCCTGTTTATGCATTGCTTCAAGGGAAACATATATGTTTACAACAGTCTAGTTTATTTTTTGGTCAAATTTATTGTTAGGCTACATAATCCTGCATCTCTAACTTTGACTGTTCTCTTGTAATCTTACCAGCCCAATAGCATGATCGCAGCCTGGCAATCTGCAAGTGCAGGTCGTGTTCTAGGCATTCATTAGTCTCTTAAGTTGAAACCCTTAGGCAACGCTCTGTATCTTCCATGCATCAAGGAAAGTTGACAGCAGAAAATAGACCACATGTAATTTCCAGAAGATGATTCAGATTTGTCCAGGTGAGATAATTATCTGTGCAAGGTGTACAAGGAGGAAAAGGAAGCAAAATCAGGAGCGAGGTGACAATAATATCGAGATGAGAAATAAAACCCTTTCAACTCCAAAGCACACCAAATCCTAATGGCAAAGTTAAACCGGCTGTTAATAGAGAAGCTTCGTTCGTCCCGATACACAGAGCGAGGATTCTCGGCTTCCGAAAGGAAAGATTTGTAGCCCGCACAAACAGAAAATACAGGCCCCTTAATTCAGCTGGAACTTTAGCTGATCTGCACTTCAGACTGCATGAAGACCCAATTCATATTAGCAAGTTTCCTTTTAGGCGTGCTTGAAGATGACATTGGATCAGTACATGCTTCCGGTTATGGCAAAGTGCAAGTAAAGCACAGTAATGTAGGAGTAAAGACCGTACCTCAATCGTAATTTAGTAACACTTATTTTCCGTAGAGGAGATACTCTAGAATCTTAACTGCTACACATGTGAGCAGACATGATGGTGATAAGGGTACAGACTACGAACAAGAACTGAAAAAGCAAGCAATCAAGGAAGGAGGATGAGCAGAGGGGGCAAGCCTTTCAGCAGTTACGAACAACAATATCATTAATGGAATCCCGCAAGCTAGAATTTGCATCAAGTCTTTCCTTCCTCCGGTGATTTGATGTGAAGCCTGGACTCGCAGATTCGGAGGATCTTAAGACGGGTGGATGTTGGACACCCACGTTAGATCGATCTACAAACTTATCAGATCGACTAATTTAATCAGATGGTGTGTCTTCGTTTGTGTGGCAACGGGAAGTCCGGATGCAACCTGCTCTGTATAAGTTTATTTGTACGCATCCTAGAGAACAAAATGGTACTTTGTGACGCAAAAGTAGCAGCAGCAGCTGTCGTATCTCTGATTTAGTAAGGCCGGCGTTCATAATGTATTTGAAACAAGTTCTCGTGCTACAGGTCAGAAGTGCACTGGAAATGAGGAACTTGAGAAAGTGACACGAGATCCGTGTGCTTTCTGCGCATTGATCACTCGCGTCTGCCTTGTGGAGCGGTCTTTACTGTGGTTGTACATTAATGAGGAGTTGAAAACAAGTTGTATAGCAAACGCTGTGCATCTCCACATGGGAGTATAAATTCATAGGGGACGGAGGTCAGCGGTGATCTCATGTCTGTGTCACCAGTACCGGGTCACTATCGAAATCGGAAGATGTTTTGATCGTGGGAGATTATGCAGCACTGATCCTCGGCTTGGAGCATAGATCATAGCCTACGGCCCAAGCCTTCTATTCGTCGGAATTTGTCAATGTGCTGGTGAGCATATTGTACATGTCCTCCTTAGTGATGCTTCTGCTTCTTTTCTCCTGCTCCCAGTTTATCTCGATGACGGTGAATCTGTAGCCCAGATTCAGCCAGGCTCAATAGTAGTAATTTAAGAAATCATCTGTGCCAGGGCAGTAAGAAATAAATTGCAAAGTACACACAGGTGCAGGAAAGACCTCTGTATGTTCCAGTCAACAAAGTCTGTCCGACAGGTTTCTCTTTCAATTTCGATTATATGTCGTGGTCCTTGTGATCATAGACTTCGTCAACTTGTCCGACTGGAGCCCATCCCTTTTTTTGTAAAAACCCAAGAAATTGATTCATTCGTCAACGCAAGAGTGGTCGAAATCTGTTCTTTGTTAACCTCCAAAGACTTTTTACTATCGGGAGGTCTATTACTCCGAAGGTAGAGGGAGAGCATGAGCCTTGAAGATACATCCAGTGGAGTACAGCTTCGTATGTTTAAACGTGACCGATAGGGGTGCACTGAATGAGTTCCAACTTAGAACTAACAACTGTTTTGGGAGACGAGGACGAAATTGACAGTGCAGATGTGCACGTTTCTTACAGATCGTGAAAAGCAGATGTAGAAGGTTAAGGGATCATCACTATAATGATCTGCCGCAAACTGAAAGCAAAATGTTTCAGCATTGGCAAGGAAACCCCAGTATGAACGTCCCAAGTCCAGGAGTTCATATTGAAGCCTGGAGGTAATTTTATTAGTATGCAGTTGTCATAGTTTCAAACTTTCGCGTGTGTCCCATCATGGGGTGTAAATACGCATCCAATCTTCAGCTGCATTTTATACGAAGGCATGTTCATGACACTGACTCCCATATTGCTCACAGTTGCAAAATTGCATGTACTGTAAATAATGATCGCCTGGGAATGGAGAATCACCTGACTTACATCCTTGAAATAGTGACGATCAAGAATCCATGGCAAGAATAAGGTGGTCATCTTCTTGATTTTCGAGACGACTGGAGATAGAAGAGAGCCTCTGAAACATCTAGAACTCACTCTCTTCTCACTGGAAACTCAGAAGCAGTATTCTACCTCTGACGGAAATTGGTGAGATTCACGACTCGAAACCAGGAATTTGAACTGGAGTTGTTGACATATTTGAAGCTCATCGAACTTGACTACCGCTGTCAAACGAAAGACCTTTCCAGTTTCCGGATTTAATGGTTATTTGAGGTTGAGGTTCAAGCCAATCGAGCTCCACACTAAGAATTATGATGCTTTCTAATCATTTCATGATTCATTTTGTCTCATTCTCTCGTAAAGGTCTCATATATGTCCTTCACTGCTACAGTGCTATGTAAAGAAAACTCCAGCTTTTAGGTGTACATAGATATCTTTAGACTACATTCAATGTCAAACACGACAAGATAGTCAGTTACTTAGCCTGCAAGAATCGTAATGAACTTCCAGTCATATGATATGTCTTTGTGATCAATCCGATTCTGAGTTTTTTTGGGACAAGTATAACTTTAGCAGTGACTTCCAAACAACGTGGAGCTGGATGCATACAGAATTAGATCTACGAAGGAATGAAAAGTTTGGTAATGAGTAAGATGACGCTGTTTGAAAGAGAGAGGTGTGAAATACTTTTTACAGATTTGAAATCTTAAACCGTGCTCTTAACCTTCTCTTACATCTTGAGCATCAGTATCGTCTGCGTGGGTGTGAAGTTCGAGCATAACTGCCTAGCTAACTTGAGGCATAAGACAACTTATCTTGCTATTCTGACTGTTATCAAAATGGAGCAGTGTTGCTACATGCCTACAATTGGTAGAGTTACGCTGTTACAAAATCTGACAGATTTGTCAGTCGGCCACTAGATTACAGTCACTCCAACCTTGGGAAAGCTAAAAGTTTCAGCCTTCTGCAGACTTCCAAGGCATGAAATACTGGAACTCAGGCCATAAAAACCTTGATTACTTGTACTACAGAGTCAACCATTGCCACTACCATCGGACAGTGACAGCCACCTTCATTCCAGCCTTGCAGTGGGTGCCAATTCCGCAGATTAGGTAGTAAGTTCCTGATTTCGTAAACTTGATGGAATCCTTTCCAGACGTGTGTTTGGACCAAGGTGAGGTGGTCTTGCATGAGTCGTAGTCGGCCTTGCTGACGACCATGACGTTATGTAGCCTTGGGTCGTACTTGAAGACTGCAGCAGCAATTGCGATACATTTGAAGCATGCGATCAAAAAACAATGGCCAACACGTTTCAAATCTCTCGAAATTCTCATCAACTGTCAAAAGTACGTCCTGGTTGAACTTTGATAAACTGAAATGATTCAACACTGTTTCCAAGGCATCTAGACAGGAGAAAGGAGACACTTTGTCAACAAGTACAAACTCTTAAAGCTCGATGTCACTTACAAAGGGAGTCATTAGGCCTGACTTTGGTGGAGGAAGCCCAAGTTTGGTAGTTGACACCTAGATTCCAACCCTTGGTTCCTCCCACATTAACGACTGCAGCTGCCGCAGCCTCAGCCAAGACCATAACACACAAAAGCACCGCCACGGTGCGCACTGCATTGCATCTTCCCTGGCAAGCCATCTTAGAACTTCGAAGTGGAGCTCAAACAAGCGAGTAATTTCTCAACTGACAGACTAAAGTTTTGCAGATGACGGTGAAATCGCTGATGACAATAGGTTCCATATCTGAAGCTTAAGTAGTGATGATAGAAGCAATCGATCCCCACGTTTCATGGCTCTCCACCAGAAATGTCAAACAATTCTTGGTGACGTAACATGGGGTTGACTTTTTCACGATGAAGTTGAGGAAGTACGTGGCTCAGATGCAATGGATTCGGAACCCAGATCTTAGGAGTTCAAACAGAAAGCGTATACAGAATTTACGGGAATCATCATGAAGAATCTACAGCAGGGAATGTGCAACTTTGCAAGGCGGAATAAAAGCAACAGTTGAAGTCTGCAAAGGGCAAAGTTCTGTTCTATTTACATTGCCTCGGTATCGTCGAGAATGGTTGGTTCATCCATTTCCTACATTACAATGCTCCTGTAGGTAGACACTGATTCACCTGGAAAGTACGTGGAAATCTGCCACAACGCTTGATCTCCAGAATCAGTGCGCTACATCAGCTTGCTCTGGGTTGCATCTTCGCAACTGGTCATCAAAAATCATCATGATTTCATAACGAGTATACAGCAGAATCATTTAAACACGGAGTAGTGCAGACGTGAAGATGAGACTGTTTGTAAATGAGCTGAATTGAATCGATGACCAATAAGACGACTCGCACTTTCTATTCTCATGCCCATGGCCTGCTGCGTTCGAAGTATCTCGTACCGTGACTACAGTAGTGTTGTCGTGGAACATGGAGAATACCAAAATGGCCTGAGAAGAAGGAACCAAACCGGGAAATTTGCACATTTCATGCAGAAGGAAAATTTCATCACCACGACCTTTCAGCATTTTCAGGGTCGAGGTTTTAGGCGGAAGGACAACAACGGGTTAGTGAGTATGAATTCATTCGTATAGACTCCATGCAGACAGTAATCAATGCTACTGCTGTACGTGTCTGACCTCTGGTTAGCCGATGACCATGATGATTCTTCATCATCACTTATCGGATTTCCTTGCTAGCTTCGTAAAGTTGCAACTTTGTTCGCTCTGCTATGTATAAAATTTTGTTCGTGTCTCTGAATCTTTTGTCCTTGGAAATCCTGAGGACATCTTCAGACTCTGGTGCCTATTCGCAATTCTGGTTGAAGACAACCAGAGTCTCCACTTAACAGTCTCCACTTCTACATAGGAAGATTTGTCCGAACCTGTTTAAAACCAGTAGATTTGGTGATGTGCAATATTTTGTTTGCGGTTTGAAGAGTGGAAGTAGAGCTAGGACAAATAACAGAACATGTTGTGAGCTAGCTCTTTGTACGTAGAGTGCGGATTTTGTCTGAACCTCAAATTCCTCCAGAATCGATACTCTCGTTGACGTTCATGTATGACCAAGCTAATGCTGAATCAGAATTTAGGTCTATTGTACCGCATGTACTTTACTTAAAGTTAACTTTTCATCCTAGATGAACGGATTTCAGAGTCATGCTCATCGAGCTGATTATCATGATATCTTTCTCCTTCAGATGACAAACAGCAATTTGATTAGTCAATACGTTAACATCGTAGCTATAATGCATGTATAGTGTGTACTGAGGTCAATATCACATTCCAAATCATCACCGGTGCGCAGCTTATGATAAAGAGTATACGACGAATTATAACTTGTGACGAAGGGCATGACCGCACCATCCTACAATTTCGTCTACTAGAAATACAGGTACTTGTGTGTTACCTATGGACATATCAGGTTTGAGCTGACCGATTCTTCATAAGTAAATGTTCGTCTAAAAAGTGCAGTCTTAGTACTTAGTAGACTATTCTGAGAAAAAGGAAGCTAAATAGCTTGTGGCAATGTCCTCGAGTGGCAGAAACGAATTGGCGGAGAGGACATCAACAGTATCCTGTTAGGAATGCTGCGCTTGATCGAAGCTTTAAATTCTAAGGCTAACATTTACATGCAGTTCTAATAGGTGTATCCTAAATCCTCTTCCCGAACATCCTTAGCAGCTCAAGGACGCTTGCAAGAGTGCAGTGGAAGTGGCGATTGCCCGGCAAATGTTGGATTTGCAGAGTGCATTGAAATGAGTGTTCTGTTCATTATCCTACTATCTAAGAATTACAAAGGTCCACAGTAGACAGACAGACTTTAATGGGCTAATCCGTCTTATGCATTCGTACCTCAGCTGTTTTCCTCAGTGCTATCAAACTTAGGAGTCAAACTCGTGCAAACAAGAAATTCGAAGGTTGAAGCCGAAAAGCCGATTGCTGGAGAAAATTGAGTTACAAATTTTAATGACTTTGTTTCGAATCCCCCCATGCAAATTAAAGCAAGGCACTTTGATTGTTAATGATTTTACAGCAGTAGAATCATTGACAATTTTTACCGAGTTTATGAGCTCCGAACTTTCGAACATGCAACACCTTCGGAAGACCATTACTTTATCAGTCTTTGCGAGTCCAGGTCGTCCATTGTTCTGGTAGACCTATCTCAGAAAATTGCTGTCTTTTGCAATAGACAAAAGGAACTTAGTTGCACTTGGAGCAGCCTTCTTAGATTACGATAGAAATTCCCACTTCAACTCTTGCACTCACTAAACTTGTACACTGGAAATGTCTGTGCCTCAAGATGGCCGACTCGCAAATGGCCAGCTCAACTTCATGTTAAAAAGTGTCGATTGTTGGCGTTTGAGCTACAAAATACTCTCGCCGTGAACATACATACACCTGAGGCAGTCTGACTGTGTGCCAAGATGCATCATCTAGCTAAAATACTCGCTCCTATTCACCTAAGCATTTTATTCTTCTGAATCTACGAGTGGACCTCTTGAACTAACTATAGACACTGATGCCCCGCTATTGTACCGGTTGCTATCGATTAGCAGATTTAGAAGACTGTCAGTCTCAGAAATAGGCTAAAGAGTTCAGACAAACGCAGTTTCAGTTGCTTAGTGTGAGCAAGAATTTGCATAATGATCAGTCGGTTAGACCCGTCACGCATTGATCTCCAGCTCGAAATCGCCAACTGAAGCTGGCAATCCAATCTGTCGACAAAGCGGGGTTAAGGAACCTCTCTGATGTTCGAGATTCATATAAATCGTGACTCGCAAGCGGAGTCCCAATATGAGAGACTCATCCGTTTACCATCTAACAGTGACAGCCACCTTCATGCCGGCCTTGCAGTGCGTGCCAACTCCACAGATGAGGTAATAAGTTCCTGGCTTGGTGAACTTGATGGTGTCTTTTCCGGATGTGTGCTTGGACCAAGGAGCGCTCGTCTTGCAGGTGTCGTAGTCCGCCTTGCTGACGACCATCACGTTGTGTAGCCGTGGGTCGTACTTGAAAACTGCAGGCATGCGGCACAATGAATCAATAAATGGCATAAAGCAATGATCACTAAGAACTTCAATCGATCAGCAATCGAAATCAGCTGACCTGCGGAGACCGTGGAATCGGTCTCGGGCTGTAACTCTGCAAGTCAGATCACCCAGTGTAATGATAGACTTTTTCCTACTCAGGCGTGAGCCGGCAGTGCCATGCCTCGGTCGCCACATACGAGATTTTGTACGAGACTGAATTTAATTCCTCTCAATCAGAAGGCAAAAGCTCAAGCTAACTGCGGAGTTTAGCAGAGAATTTCGCTGCATTGCCGTGGCTCTACAGCTGGTACTCACAAAGAGAGTCGGTCGGCTTCACTCTCGTCGTGGCTGCCCAACTTTTGTAGTCGACGCCCAAATTCCAGCCCTTGAGTCCTCCGACATTCAGAGTAGCAGCTGCCGCCCTTTCGGACAAAACCATAACACAGACGAGCAGGACCAAAGTGCGAGCTGCATTGCTTCTTCCCTGGCGAGCCATTTTCAGCTAACAGCACTGACGAAAAATAATTTGCGGGAGATGAGAACTCGAGGCGATAGAGAGATTGTTGCGGACTGGTTGATGATCTGCAACCCGCAGATACCCATTTATATAACTGCAGAATTCGACAGCGAAGCCTAGATTTGCGAAAACCCATCGTGGTACAGGAAGCAAGTCGAGCTCTTCCCCGTCAGCTGATTTGGTTTGGCAATGTTCCATCTTCGTTAGCTGATCCGGACTTGGTGCCACCTGAAGCAGTTACCAAGCATGCAGCAGCTCGATCGGTACCTTCGAGTGGTCACCACAGAATTTTAACACAGTTTTCATTGCCTTGCCACTGTCTGTCTACAGTCACCAATAAAGCACGAACTTCTATGAGGACCACCTGGAATCTGGCGAGATTCTAGAATAAGGTAGCGTAAGAGCTGCAACTTTTTCAGGTGCCATGATCGGTGATGAGGTTTCCATGGATGTTCGCAAATTCGAAGAGCATGGGATGCGAAAAGTCGAGTAGACTAGTTTCTGAACTTTGAGGTTTCTGTCGTGTATGAGTTAGTCTTACAACTTCCCCGCTTCAGATCCGGCGGGTTTGCGGGTATATTCTATATACTCACGTTAATCGTCAGACCCATTTATGCTGATTCTAATCTCGAGGTGTACGTGAACTAAGTATTACACTGTAGATTGAGTTCAGAAGAAAATTTCATTGACACTGTGTCAATGAAAATTTTGTTCTCAACTCAATTATGTTCTTCAGTTATTTACATTATATAACTTCGAAGTATTGTATCTCACTTTGGTTGCCCACCACTGTTTGGACTGACCATAGCTGCTCGACAGACTACCTTCCTTCCTGCACTAACTTGGCACCAAAAGATACTCATCTCTTTAGATACGCTCTAATCGTGCCATCAAAGTTCCAAATCAATCTTCTGTTACCGGACGTTATTCAGTTGTTGCTCATCCTTCGGAATTCCATTCACTTCCGTACTGGTATTGTATCTTCACCGTAAGTACTACTCAATCATTAGACAACAAATCACGAAGAGCTTGTGGTCACTTAGTATCAGTCTATCTGATTCGGCATTCTGCAATTTCCCCGACGTACTCTTACCTACGGCCATGTGTTCTTATCAACCTGGTGCGCATGGACAACCTGCATAGCAACGTAGAGACCACAGGTAGTCAAGCCTTGAAGGGCACTGTCAGAAAACATGACAAGTACGGAGGTACTGATCTACGTATCTTGCTGAAGATTTCACCATGCATGAAGCCATGGACTGGGAGAGGACGTATTTCGAGTGATGAATTTGGTAAGATTCATCGAGTCCTGTAATAAAGAAGAACTTATATGGAAGCAGAATCTGCATAGCAATATGTCAGCTTAATAGGATGTGTACTCGTAAGTTTGACCGGTGACTCATTATATTAGAGATAATTTCAAGGTTCATTGTCTCAAGCTTGAAAAAGAACTGAGACTAACAGTGGACAAAAACTTCATATACAGTTTTGCAAGATCCTTCAAATGGTAATTGTGATTTTCCCGATGTTTCTGGTCCTCTAATGCTCTAATGTAGCATGTACCTCATGACTGATAACACTCTACATTAAAATAGACCAATCTAAGCCTTTATTACTATCAGAGTTGATTTTCTTACCCATGAGTCGGTAGGATATCGTATTGATGTCAAAAAGATCAGATGTTTGAATGTCATTTAATTCTAAGATAAAATTAAATTTAAAGATCAAGGTTGAATAATTAGGAAAATAATTATTTCCTAATAATTTTGGTGAAATTTGTATTTATGAGAACGTAATCAACTATCTATCGCATTAAGGGGGAGTTGTTAGAAAAGAAAAATAAATTGCAAGTTATAAAATGGAAGTCTATTACATGTGATTTTCACACCTCCATATATACTTTTTATGTCTGGAGGTGGTAACTCCTAATACAACGTAAAAAACTTAAAATAATGAGGTGTGCAGCAACTACACGTGAAAGTCTCACATACATACGATATTAGTGGAGAATGTGAGTACAAATATTTGAATCAGTCGAACCAACGGTTGAAACAAATTTTGATTATTTGTTGAGAGATATCATCACGTTCATTGCGATATATCATTGGTTCTGGATAGAAAATGTATTAAACTATGTAATATTGTACGAGCAACCTTGGTTTTGAATGAAAGAACTGAAAAATATGATCTTCACTCCTTCGCATTCCTTTACAATATTTTCTTTTTTATAATGTATACATATATTTACATATATTAGGATAGAAAATATAAAACTTTTTAAATTATGATGTTGTATTTATCTTGATTTCAATAGTTTCTTATCAATAATAAAACTTTTTATATTCATATGTAACCTTAGGCAGATATTTTTTCAATACAAAACTTACTTCATTTATAATATTATTTTGAAAAATACATCAAATTATTGAGTGAAGAAGTTAAAACATGATTTATATGAAGTGTACAAAATATAATACTAAAATTTGAACATAAAAGTTAGCAACTTAATGCTTACATTTTATATTTATCAACTTGCAACATACAAAGAACTGAAAATATATTTCAAAGTAGTTACATATTTATGCAAAATACATTATAAATGATTTTTTTTATATATTTCTATTTAAAATTTTGCAAAAAATAAATAAACTATTCAATTATAGATATTATATTAAGAAATAAAAATCTAAGACAATATGATGCTTTTCCAAAGTGCTTTTCAAGTTGCTGTTATCATCATTCTATTCCTATCCATTGAAATAAACTAGTGGTGTTGGATATGTGGATCCATCGAACTCATATATATGTAATCTTTAAATATGTATTACAACTTAAACTTCTCAATTGAAAAGTAAGATGTCTAGTATATTTAAGTTAGTTGGAATGTAAATGTATCATGGAAATTATGAAGTAATTGTAAAAAGAAATAAATCCTCAAGATTAAGATAATTGTTAAAATCCATCGAGGTTATACTACCTCACTTTAAAAACATAATCTCCTTTGTAACACTACCATTGGAAGATTTTAGAGGTGCATTCTGATCCAATACAAGTGACGTACTTATTTTATTTTATTTTAAATTGAATGATTCTTGAAGTATCATTCCAGATCAAGTCTGAAAATGTTAACGTTCTCGGCATCATAAATTCTATTGGAATTTGACTTCATTCGACAAATCAAAAGTTTTGATTTTTATTCAGTGGATTTAGTGCAGACCTAATTGACATTTTATTAATGAATGTTACCTTTGCCACAATTAAAATTGAAGCAATGGCACAATTAAGACTTGTCATACAATGACTATTTGATTGTGATTGAGATTTTACGGCATAAGTATTTAAAAGTTTGCAAAGTAAGCAATGCATAAAGTTTACAAAATGCGTGACGGATCAAGAAAGTGATTGCAATGTGTGTGAGATCGTCTCACAATCCACATAAGCCTCAATCTTTTGATGCTAAAAGCAATCTTGAATTGAATGTTGTCATTTAAGCCTCCAAGGAAAAAATAGTTGACAATTTTTCCTTCAAGCCAAAATTGTATGAGAATGACGATGAAATGAAACCTAGTTTAAAGTCTATATATCACTTATAGTAATTCCTTGGTTGCAATGGAGACTTTACGCAATGCATGTCATATCTAGAAATCAATTGCAATGTGTGTGAAGTCGTTACACGTCCTAACAATTGTAAGACAAGTAAAATGTCATTTTGTAAAGGTCATTAGATTCAATACGGCCTCAAAATTACGAAGAATTTTTCCTGCTTCAAGAAGATGAAAACTGTCCAATGTTAATATTGTGTCTTCTATGGAATGGAAGTCCAGTTTAATGTTGGAATCACTTCCCGTTTTGATTTGAGCTATAAAAAAACATCTTGACATGCAACATGGACACAATTGAACTACATATAAGCATTTTTCTCTTAACTACAAGAAAAAATATTTTGATCAAAATCTGAATAGTGCAATATATTCTTATATGTATAGCAAATTGAGTACTAATATTTTTGAAATCTCAACATGAAAAAAGGCAATCATCTCACAAACAATTTGTTCTTCAAGCCACAACTGGATAAAAATGACGATGAAATAAAGCCAATCTTGAAGTTGAATGCTATGAAGTTATTCAAACTAGTCAATGAGGAAGTTGGCAAGTAGATCATAATCATCAAAAACAAATTGCAATTTTGATTGTCTATTGATCACACAAAAGCAGGTTTAGGTAGATTGTTATAAAGTTAAATTTTCCAATATTGACATACATTGGTGGCAGGATTTTACGTCATCATTGGATATGTCACTCACAAGAGTAAAATGCGTAACCTTGAGTATAACCTCCCAATATTAACATACATTGGTGTTAGTATTGGATGTCATTAGTGAAAGATACGTAACCTCAAATATAATCTCAGAATAGTAACATACATTGATATTAAGTGAGTTGTCATTTATAAAAATAAAATGCATAGATGTATTTTCATACATTACATCAGTCCTAGTACATTTTATAAATGTGTTGTTTGCTTTCAAGATTGACTTCATTCGCAAATTTGTACTATTCACAACCATTAACGTAAGCGTTACAATTGCATTTGAATTCGGATTAATACACAAAAATCTGAATGAAACAATTGATGACAATTTATGTAGTAAATTATTGTACTGAAGCCCAAAAAGAGTGAATTGTTAAGATAAATCTTCAAATAAGCGTAACCCACATTCTTCTTTCTCACAGCTATATGCTTTAATCATGATAGTAATTTAATTCTAAAATTACTATAAAAACTATCACTATTGGATAGTATTATGTCATTATTGGCAATAGTGACAAAATGTTCATATTGAGATTTACACGTTACAAACTAAAGGTTCTGGAGTTTTACGTCACCAATGAGAGTATCTCACCCATGAGTTAACATGATCAAGATGTTTAACATTGTACTATTATTAACCAATATGACAATTGTACTAAAAATGCTAATATATTCAAGATAACCGACCATATAGTTAGAAATTTTGTCCGGATCATTTTTTTCGTTTCATTACAATTCATTTTGACGGTGCTATGCAAATCATCCTGTGGGAGTTCAGCTTACAGCTGAACACAATCGGCTGTCAGCTGATTGTTCAACGCATCAAGGAGTATCATTGTTAGATTTGACAATTTGATTATGTTTTGATTGTGTGTTAATGAAACTGCATGTACAAGTGGTTTTCTTTTGGTATCTTTTGATGAACTACATGGAGTTGATTATTATGATGTTGCATGTGCTTTATCCAATCTGGATTGACAAAGTCATCTCTATCGATTCTGATGGCAACAATACAATGACTGAACAAATCAGAAGTATTATTACATGACTAATGAGTATGTGTTCAAACAAAGTTCTTTGCATTTGGTGTTCTTTTCACATGTTAGATCTTGTTGTGAAACAAGCAACCAACTATGTTGAACATGACAATTTGTGCAAGAAAGCTCATGTGTTTTCATTTTAACTGCAGACGCAAGTTAATATGATCAACAGCATGGGAGTATCAAATTATTTCAAAGACACGATGCAATTAATCATATGTGATAATCTACTCAAATGGATTGTACAAAATCTTTGTCACTCCATTGAAGAAAAACGCTCCGTGCAAGCGCCATTTAATAAGTGATGGACAATTGTTGTGTCCCCATATCCATTTTTTGCAATCATTGAAATCACATTCAAGACATTTCATACACACGACATGTTCATCTTGTAGCAGTGTATTGAACTGGACAAGTTGGTGATAAATATATGCGACAACATTAGTATTTGCTCAAAACACGATGATTTTTTTGATGATGTTGAGGATGAAGATTTGAATTTCATGTTGTTGAACGACAACAATTGTATTTCGTTAGATTCAATTTGTGATCATATTGATGATCTGGATTCATGGGTACGGCTTTTTATTCTAAGAAATGTATGACAATATCAATAACGACATTATCTAGAGAATTTGCAATTTTGCTTTATCAATTGTAATTCAAGCGTTAATGATTAAGTAAAAGCGTGATTCAAACAACAATGCTCGCGAGCTTGAAGACCTGCAAGTTATATATATCAAAATTGATAAATTTTTTACTCATGTCAAGAAACACTGATCACCGTATATTTCTCAGATGAAAGAAGAACACAAAAAGTTGTTAAACGTGTTCAAAAACAATACTACGATGAAGACTACATTTCAACATCACTATGAAAAGACATTTTTGAACGATGCTTGAGATTAGATTAAATCAATCAAGAAAAATTGATACAACTACTTTGCATTGTTGAGAAATCTCAATGGAAGCATGGAAATTGTATTTGCTAATACATGCTTGATCAAATCTGACTGCTTTGTAATGAATGGGAGAAAAATATTTCTCCTAACGGATTTCCTATTTCTTATTGGCATCATACACCTATTGCAGTATGACTTTTTAAAAGCATTATTTTGATTATTCCAACATAAATAAATGTGTTATACTTTTCAGAAATGTTGGATGCCACAAATAAACTAAAAGGTGTCAAAAGTGATAAATGCCACACATAAACTAAAAGGTGTCAAAATGAGGTCTAATGTAGTGGCATTGATTTCTCTTGGAGTACGGTCTAATGGAGTATATCCATGCCATGACTCTAGCCACAAATGTCGAACAAAGTCATCCTCTTGCACATCCAAAGAAGTTGAAGCCAAGGATCACGCAAGCTCCACATTCTAGTGCACCTAAAGAAGTCATCGATGTGGTAGTATCTAAATCCTTGAACCAGAGTCGCTTCTGTTTACAGGAATAGACAAGACACCTAAAGGAAAAGATTAGATATGATGGAATATCACGAATATGACAGAATGGAGGGATGGATATTTGATGATGACGTTGCACTAGATCTCAATAACCAGCGGCCAAAACACTTGTATCCTACACCAAGTTGAAGACTTGGTGTACAATAACTCTGTCAATTGGGGAACCACAGTGAGTATGATTGGGCACAAAGTTTGAGTCACGCGGAATGGCGGAATAGTACCGAAAGTGATGTCACATGGTTGCCTAAGATATCACGCTTGGGGATTCTTTGAACAGTCTTGTGCACTTGTTAATTTCACGAATACGGCCACATCGGACACTATAATAATCTCTCCCCGAGCATCTTACCAGCTACAGATCTCGTATAGATGTGCCATTCCCTCTGGTCACTTTCGGCAGTCATAATTGATTAAACCTCGAGTCCTTCAGGTTCTGCGGTACAATCCTGTCAGTGGATTAGCCGCACTTTCAAGGGGTGACTCTCGAGGCATATCTTTTGAAGAGCTTGAACTCAGATAGAGAGAGAGAGAAAGAAAGAAAGAAAAGAAAAAGAAAGAAAGAAGGAACCCTCTGGATAACATCTCGAAGCTGCGGTCGAGCCTTTCACTACTGGACATCTTTCATTCATCGCTTGCAAATTGAAAGCCCTCTGGACCTACTACGTGATTGCAATAATTGGAACCGAAACATGATCTGAAATATGTGTTTTAACGTACAGATGAACACTGGCAATGTGAGCTTCTAACTACCTTCGGTGTCAATAACGTTTGGATCCAGTTGCCCGTCTTTTGAGAAGAAAATTGTATCCGCTGATCACAGCCACACAGAATAAATTGAGGATGATCTTGGAATGCGCATCCTACCCAGGGAGTTTGTAGGATACGCAATTCTTCACCACATTCCCGATTAGCAAATACTGTTGAAAGCAAACATTCCCCTTAAAGACATGGAACATTGTTACAACTTCGATCCCTTCACGGGCCCCATGCGACGATGTTGACCATATCTACAAACCTTAAAACTTCAGACAATTTATTCTTGGCCAAATCGGAAACAAGGTTTAGACTCTAAACTTTGGAGTCTGATGTCATAGTATGAATTATGAATTAAGAGTAGTCACAGACATTGGACGCACGATGTTTTAGGACAAGAACTTTTCAAGTTGCCTAATCGGCACCTGTTAGTGTGGTATCCATGCATCAGCATCTTTCTTCTAATAAATCTATGAACGTCATGAACGCCTTCGGCACATATGCAAGCATCTGAGTAATTTTACATTTGCAAACTTAGTTGCTGTCTTCCGGTCATTTGTAAGGCGAGCCCTGTACAGCGACTTTCAAATCATCATTGGACGAGCCAATCAAGTTGGAGAACTGTACTACGTATCAGAGGACCCGCCTTACACAGTAGGATGTATCAAAACATAACCGGGGATTGGAACTCCTTAACATTCAACGTTCTGACTTCTAGAACCTCGAATCACCCATGTTAGAAGACACCGACACGAGTGGACCTCGTCCTGTCTCTTGTAAACGCGCTCCCTCGGCACTTTTCCACTTTGTGCTTGACTGAAACAAAAGTTTGAGGTGCTTTAGACGTATGCTCTTAGATATTCACTAGAACTTCCACTCACTTTTCTCCCGAGATTGAAACCACCTCACTCGTTCTATGCACCAGTCAGAAAGTCCAGTAGCTCGGCAGTACCTCTCTCTGGGCTTGATTACAGGAAAGATTACAGGAAGAAGGCTGGCTGTCGACTGACGACTGACGACTGACTAAGACCTCCATACGAGGAACTCTACATCCGGAATCGTTCACATAGGCAAGGTGAACAAAAAGCGGAGTCGAAGGTACGCTCGAGATCATTGTTTACGGGATAACAAGCAAGCTTGACATCATTGGCAAGCAGACGTAAGTTCTTTACCATGTCAAATGAGGTTGGTGTTCGTCAGTGAGCTCGTTGCGCTTGTTCAATGTTTTGAGTTAATTAATGCTCGAGGCTGAGAGACCCGCTGAGATACGGGCTGCATGATACTGGCAGGGAATTTTTTTTAATAGGAAAAATCACCTAAGGCCAGAAGACTGGAGAGATATGACATGCTATTCTCATGCCAGTTTTGATTATCGATCGTCGTGAGAAATCCGATTTTCCTCCCGTAGATTGCCCAAATGGTCCACCTTGACCGGTGACAGCATTATTTTAGGCCTGCACAGCCTGACATGCTTGAGAACAACACGTATGAGCTTACACACAAGTCTTAGATCAGTAATCTGCTTTTGCTTTGTCCACTCAGCTTTTCCCATTGTTCGGCGAGTGTGCAACCATTCGTCGCTCCATTCCATTTGGTTGCCTCGAAAAGAGCTTTCTGACAGGCGCGCTCTTTCTTGGTTTTCCTCCGATACGTTTGAAACCCAAAGTTGCAGAAACGCGTGCTCTGAGATGCTCAAAATCAGGTGAAGAAATCTGAAAACGTGCAGACCTTCATTCTTAGACTACCCAATGGCAACGAGTTTTGCTTCCCGAAAGACCTGCCCGGCTCTGAACGCATGGTTTAAGCAAATAGCAAATTCCACTGACTCGTGTCGGAGCTTGAGGTACTTTTTCACCTTGCTCTCTGTGAGGTCTCTCAACCGTTACAAAATCTCCTCTGGCGTCGATGATTGGAGTCCACCTAACAATAGCTGGTTCTTTAATTTTATTAGCAGCTGCTTGTACGGTGAGGCAAGAAAAACGTGCAGTCTCGCAGCTCATGACCAAGTAGATAAAATATTATGTAAGCAACTGGAGAATTCATCAGTTCTTATGTACTTAACAACGAGTTTCGAGCAAGCAGTTTGCAGATAAGCTCCCCTCGTTTACGCGGTGAGTTCGTCAAAGCCTGCAGCCGAAGCAAGTTTGTGCTATTAAGCTTCAGATACATGTAACATGATTGTTTTCTTAATGACAATAATCTGAGGACAGCAGCGTGCTTTTTAAGAACCACGCGACACAGAAGGATGCAACCGGGGGATTGAGGTGACAGTTCGGGTTACGTTGACATGGAGATATTTTTGAAACAGTAAACAAAGATTGCTGTTTCAGGCAATCATGGATTTCAAGTGCTGTGTATCCAAGCGTCGAGCTCATTTGCTTTTAGTGCCTCTGGATTCCCAAAGTCATTTTCCTACATTCCGTCAGTTGTTGTACTACCTGGCTGACAAAAGGTACAATGGTGTTATAGTGACAGTTATAACCACCCAGCAGCGTGTGCAAGAGCTCTCAAAACTGCGGAGCAGAGGTGACTTCAATGGGTTGGATTTGCGGCTTCAGGAGGTTTTTGGGAAATCCCGTATTGCCCCAAATGTTATAACCAAGGTTTCAGCTTACTGTGAACAACGGAAGCAGGAATTCAAGACTTACCAGGAAAAGTTGGTGCAGTCCAAGAATGACGCGGAGTCACCTTCTTGTATAATTTCTGACATGTTCCTATGCTGGCTTCAGGTAAGTGGCACTACCTTGCAAGGAATGAGCGATGAGTTGAAAGTCCACAGGGCTCCAAAAGATGACCAAGGGAGAAATACGAGTATACTACCTTAGTGTCTCTTAGGAGAACCATCTGTCTGATTTAGTTTAGGAGTGTGATTTGATTGACAATTCTTGAAAGAAATGAAAACAACTGGCTTGGGATAAGAATGCTGCTTTATCTGAAGAAATGATTCAGAATCTGAATACTTCCAAGCAAAAAGCAAAAATATTACATGGAAGCAAACAGATTAAAGAGAAGAATACAACCTTGGAAGCAAGGATGAGTGAGCCTTGAATTCTCCGCAGTAGTTCCGATACGATGAGTTTCAACCTCCTTTTCTTCTGTACTTGAACCGTCAAGTGATCTACATTGTCAATTGTAGCCTACCTCGAGAAGCTTACATATCTTGACCTTCAACATTGGATGACAGGAAACAGCGGAGAAATTGGAGATCCCCTGGTACCCTGTAATTGCGACAGCTTCCTGGTATACTTTGAGCTGCATGAAAGGACCGGATATGAAAAGGGAAGGATTCTTTCAACTAAACACATCAGAGAAAATAAATCTTGCAGTTCCTGGTCTTGAATTTTCTCGAAGTTCAGACTTTCCTTCGGACGTGTTGGAACTTGAAGATTTTTTTACGTGCCATTCACAAAGGTTAGCAAAGGCATGTGCTATTCTGGTAAACACAGCGGAAGAACTCGATGCACCGACTGGAGGGCTGAACGGTCTTCGACTCCAAGTTGAGAAGATGGCCATGGCCATGGCGGGGCATCGGCAGGTACATCTTTCTAAACTTTTTTTCGCCAAGTTTACTCCGAAACCTGGGAAAGTGGTAGGTTCGTAGATGTTGCGGAAGAAACCAAGTTTAAGATGGAATTTGCTGACATCCAGGGTTTCTAACCTTTCGAACGTTTTCTCCCACTGCATTGACGAATTTATGAACAGATCAAAACTCTCTTTGCCTTACTCTCATATCACTGGAACAAGTCACAATGTCAGCATAAAGGAAACCTCTGGTTTAAACCACTGTGCTGTAACACCGATCTCTCATGATCAGGTCTAAGAGCTCAGATGTAAGACCCTCGAAAAGCTTCGTGTTTACCCGAAGTCGACTGTGTTAATATTTCCCTAGTTTGCAAAAACTTGTGTTGTTCTATCTTAGTCTCTATATCAGGGCAGTATATTTCCTCAACCGCTCATCACCGACCTCATTCCGTTTCACATCAAGCTACAGTCTTTGGTCCTTGTCTTGATTCTAAGATCAGGTAGGTTTCTGATTTTTCCCGAACCAAGAATATTCGCCTTTGACAAAGATGTAACTGGTACAGTGCTTCCATGTGAATGCTCAGGCACGAAGGTTTCTCACAACCCCTTTTTGAAAGTCATGAAAATTTCTGGAGTCTTTGTGATCCCTGCTGATATTTACAGAATTCCCATCTCTGCCCTGGAAGTATCATCATCAGCATCGACCTGTTCCTTTGCAGGTGCCAAGAGTCTTTGCTGTAGGTCCAATGGTGAGCATTCCAGGATTTTCGAGCGTGCCGCAGTCTAAATTAACGCCACTGCAAGGTTTCAATGATCACACATTTGAGTGCCTGCAATGGCTGGACAAGCAACCTACCTCTTCAGTTCTATACATTGCATTCGGGAGCGTTATAGAAATTAGTTCCGAGGAAACGGTGGAGCTAGCGTACGCCTTGGAGATCACCAACGTTAAGTTCTTATGGGTTCTCAAGGCCTCTTCGTCAACTCCTCTCTCAAAGTTGCTTCCTCCAGGTTTTGAAGCCCGAACGAAGAAAAGAGGTTTTACTACAAGCTGGGCCCCGCAGACTCAGATCCTGATGCACGCGTCCATCGCTGGTTTTATGACTCATTGCGGTTGGAACTCAATCCTAGAGGGGCTTTGCTCTGGAGTTTCCTTCATCGCTTGGCCTCTAGCGAACGATGAGCAACAAAATGCCCGGTGCGATCTCTGTCATCCAGCTTTTTTTGATAAATTTTGTCTGAGTAGTTCTTTAAGTCTACGGACCTCCGAGTCTGGTCTATTAAATCACCTTGAATTTGGATTTCATCACGACAGTGGAAATGATTTGTCACTCGGTATTTGAGCTCAAACGACTGAAGCATATTTGAAACTGCCATGCTAGTCAAGGGTGAAATATGAGCTACTCCTCAATCATACAACTGACCAAAATATGGAAAGACTTTAATTAATAAACTTGCAAGCGATTGATACTCTCAATCTCACGCATGTACATGAGGTGGCAGGTGATGGAACAGAGAGCAATCCTTGGGTTTACTTGAGTTCGTGGTGATCCAAAAAGATCCATTATCTAACGGGTTTGGGTTTTCCAGTCGGGGTACATAAACCTTTCCCATGTAGGTGTTTTACAATCCTTTCTATGGGAGCAAGCAGGTGGAGTCTAAAGGTGGCACTTCTCTATTTTGTCTTTTCTATACCCTTCTATTTTCACTCTTCCATTACCAATGTCACGTGTCCCCTCATTCTGTGTATTCTTTAAAGACCACCAGCAGTAGTGATAAGATCTGAAATTTGCAAAAGAAGCATTGCTGTACTACCTCGTGAGACTAAAGTCTATCTTCGGAAAATGTACAGTAGCCGGGAATCTGAGTAACGAGTTTGTTTTTCAACTCGAGAGAAGAAATTTGGTTCGAAATCTGGTTTTAGTAGATTGCTGTCAACTATTTGGATCGTAGCGTGTGACCGAAAATTGGTCGTTCAATTTTTGAAACTGCTCAAGGCACAAGTAACCACCTCACTGAAAACCTGTCTCCTATTGTGTAGTTGAACCCGGTATGATCTTGTACATCTTAGAGTGACTGAGCCACTTATTGAACAATTCTTGTAGTGTTTCAGGTTTTTAGTGGACGTGGTGAAGGTAGGGCTGGAGATAAAAAATGCAGGAGAAGATAACAGTCAAATTAAAAGACAAGAACTGGGAAGGGTTATTCAGCTACTTATGTACGAAAAAGAAGGACAGGAGGCGAAGAGGAACTCTCTTCGGATGAAAAAGTTGGTTGAAGCAGCTGTGCGAGATGGTGGATCATCCTATCAAGCTCTCCACTCATTTCTCTATGAAATCACCGTTGGAAAGTGAAGCTTCTCGATCACATGTAAGACATGCACAGAGTCTGACAATTGCCTACGTTTAAACTGTCGGAACACTATACATACGGCATCCATGGCGTTTTCAAATCACTAATCTATCTGAATTTCAGACTACAAGACCATGGACTTACACTTCTTGTCATTAGATTTTATTGGCAGTACCATATATAGTTCATCAGTCAGGGTACTAAGTGCAATGACAACCATTTTTATGACGGTTTGTAACACCAGTATCTTGAGGCTACTTTTCATTCAACCTTATACTGTCATGCATATGTTTCAGCATATAAATCTTCGAGGAAAGGAATTTGTTCTTTTTTGTCAAGTTTGGATTCTTGTGCTTTGTGTTTCTCCATGTGCTTGTGACCATTCACGGGGCCCAATTTGTTCGTGCGTGTTTCAGCATTAGCATTTGCAAATGTTGTATATGCGTAGAAATCTGGCAGGAAATGTAGGGCTTAAAACACAAGTTCTGAAGTACACTTTGTGATCCACAATGTGCCCTACGCCACATCATATTCTATGATTGTGCTTTCCTTGATTCCTCATGTCTGGACTTATGCAAGTTACCGGATCGGTTGCTCGTCGGCACTCCATACTTGGCAGCCACCATTATGAATGGGGAAATATGTACACGTGTGTAATTTATTCCTATCCAGCACATGCTACTTCACATTGTGCTTTTGATCGACGGTCACATGCAAGGGATCAATCGTGTCTTCTGTACAAAGTATGCTCGCGTAATATAACATTGTATGGGATTCCGTGTAAAGGTCTGTCTGTGGCATCCCCAGTAGAGCCAAGAACTAGAAACGTATCAACACTTTGATTGATCGGTGGATTTGGAGGCCGATGTGAGGCTGTGTTATGCTTTGCAAAGTACGTTGTATTGGATCTAAGTAAGACAGCAGGAGATTTTTCTCTTTTTCTTATCAAGATACACGACTGTTATTGAGTTCTGACAAAATCTATAAATTGGCACATGTAGTAAATCAATTGTAACCCAATCTGCCATAGGACGGTGACCACCTTCACATGATGTTGAAACCAGAATTGTACTAAAGCTAGTGGCGTTGCTGTATTTGGCGCTGGCTGTCCAGAGCTTTGGAATACTCAGTATCTGGCCAGAAAATACAACCATAAAAGTCTTGTCCTGTCTACGGAAGCCGAAACCATGGAGGTCAGAGGGTATTGCAAAGGAGCCATCATACTTAGCAGGTGAATTAGATTCAACCATTTAGTATCGCATGCAATTGATAGAAACACTAAAGCCACCCTATAAAATTCTATTGAATAGTATTAGAGGCAGAAGGTATGCAAGATGCCAATTGCGGTGTCTATTTTGATGGGATTGGGAGAAATGTTTCAACCCATGGATATAATATCTATGGGTGGGACGGGATCCTCACAAAAAAGTGATCCTGATCATTAACCGGTTTGGCACATGGAAGCATGACCGATCAAGGACAATTGCCAGCTGACAAAGAGTGAATGCTGATCTCTATATCTTTACTGAATCTGATTTGCAACTCTGAATCCACGTCTTTACTCTGGAGATTGAGGTGTCATCTGACGTCCCAAAGATTGGCCACATTTGTATGAGGGATCATTCCCTCCTAAGAATTTAGAGTACTTAGGAGTTGTAATATTCTATATTACAGACTAGCCTAGGGGTTCATTCTCATATTATTGAAGGAAAAACACAATCCTGTAGTCAGGCTAGAACAGATCTCTTAGAAATAGCAGTAGATTCATCTGAATTTTCCACGCGTGACCTAGCCCCGTTGCTTGTTGATGTATATGTATGAAAAGTTTTTGGACATCCATCTGACGACTTCATTGATTACTTTAGATGGAGACCCTACGTCTTGTTGAAACAAAATTATCCTTTGATCGTTTTGGCAAACTGTTGCCTTGAGTTATACGTTATTTAGGCATGTTCGTGTAAAAATTTGTGTTCATCACTACAATCGTGGTCTGTGTAGAGTGTGTGTCTTATTTTCACATATGTTACAAATCATTCAATTTGAAAAAACATTATTATTATACATTGGTCAAAGTTCTTAGACTAATTTACAATGATAACTTTGGTTCTTTGTTGAATTTCCAATGATCCCATAGCTCGACCGAGCCTATACAACTCCTAATCTGAAAAATAAAAACTCTGGATGCATGCGATTGTTGTTGTATAATCATATTTTCAATCTGAAGAGGATATTCTAAACGAATATCATATCACATATTAAAACTACAATGTTTGATTCTAAAAATAGTGATACAATGAAGTTAATCATCAACTTTTAATTTTATCGTATACCAATTTTGAAAACTATTGAGTCTGGTCTGCTGTACGTTATAGAGTTGTCTATTAAGAATAACGGTCTTTTATAGAGGATACCAATATGAAATTTTATCTTGAGTTTCAGTATTGTGATTTTTCTCTAAAATATTTTCTATAGTAAATAAAGAGCATTGTATTCTTGAAAAATTGAATATGATCTAATGTTGGAATCCACATGATAAAAATATAAATACTATAATTCTATTTTATATGACGAACGTTTACTCAATATTTTATGTAGATTTATTGACATTTTATTTTTAGGTATTCTAATTTAATGAAAAATATATTTTTTAAAATTTATATGTCAAATCTCTACTATTCGTATTATTTGTAACAGTTTTTAAATTCATCGTATATTTAATTTATCATTCGAAAACATAGAGTGCCTTTTATTATGTCCAAAGATTTATATATAAGAAATAAACATTTCTAGGAGTTATTAACGGGAATAAAAGATGCATATAGCTCTTAAAAGAAAATCAGTATAGAACCAAAAAACAGTTTCAAAACATGCTTTGTTAGATGTTTATCACTGAGAACTTCAAATTTGCATAAATAAATGAAGTGAGCAGAAGTATCAATATATGATGCAATTGTAAACTTCGAATTTATCATCGCAAAATCATGAACAATTTACACTACATCTCAAATTACATCGAGGTTTATCCAATTGATGTATTTATATACTCGTTCATGTGTACCTTCCAAGAAGAAGAATGTATGGGACCGTATCTCTGATATGTGCATAACCATGTTTAGTATTGCACAGGAAGATTAACTCACGTGATGCTCTGGACATTTTATAACAGCCACGAACTCTGAGTTACCAAGGGGTCTACTCTACTGAACTGGAATACGCTTCTGAGCTTAACAAAAACAGTCGTCGTCATATCTCTTAGTTTCTAGCTGAATGTACTCGACGGCAGATAATCGGATGCAAACAGTTATAAGAACGAGGTATCATGAAAATTCGAATCTTTAGGTATATTCGCGCTAGAACCTCTATCCAGAACAAGGCTGCGAGGAAGCAGAATGTGTTCGAGACAGGGCTTCTTAGTACCGCCGGACCCGTCCAGGAAGCGCGTCAACGACGTCGGAGTCCATGGCAATGAAACGGTCGCAGGGAGGGCCAGGACCGTTGTCGTCCTCAGTCAGGCGAGTAGTCGATCTGATGCGACCGGGGGGAGGAAGGGACGCGGAGACACATAGACTCTCACTTATCTCCCTAAACCTTCCCTCCCTCTTTCTCTCTCTCTCTCTCTCTTTCTCACTCCGTCACTCGCTGCGCGTGGCCCGAAATGTGCAAGGTTGATTGAGCTTGTGAGGATCCGAGCTCGCCTGCAAGCACCGAGGGTGACAGGAGGGCAGACAGTGAGGCAGGCAGGCAGGCAGGCAGATATGGGAGCAGGGAAGTGCAGAGCGGAGCTGATAGTATTCTGCAACGTCTGGCCGGGGGCTAAAGCGGGTCGACTCTCAATGGTCACTGACTGACCCACTGAGCGTCCGTCCGGCCGTCCTGGGCTCAGATCCCAGCAGGCGATTCTGACTGTCGTGTCTGCCAAGAGATCCTCCGCCTGCGGTACGATCGATGCACAGACGGAACGGCTGGCTTGCAACCTCATTTATTGACTCGTCGTCCGTTCCGCTCGTCGACCTCGACCTGTTGGTCCTCGCCTCCGGCCGGCGTCGCCATGGGCTCCCGGCGACGGTCCGGCCTTGAGCATTGCGGACATGGCAGGAGATCGATGCAGAGCCGAGCAGAGCATAGCAAGCAGCGGAAGAAAGGACTGTTCGTCTGATGTCTGTACGACATCAAAAGCGTCCCCCTCTCTGTCCTATATTTATTGAGGTTGGAAAGCTGAGTGAATGAGGCTTCGCTGCGAGCCACTCACTGGCTTCGGTGCCGAGATGGAAGTGGAGTGGCAGCTGTTCACTACTCAGCATCGGCTATGGAGGGAGCATTTTCAGTTTGGTGTTAAAGTTGAGGTCATGAGACAGTCGGGATTCATACAGAGAGAGAGGGAGGGAAAGAGAGAGAAGACGAGAGCCCGGTCCCACCAACGCCTAGGTCAATCGCAGCAGCAGCTAACTCCAACATCGAGACTGCTCTTCTGTCTCGCAGCTCGATAGTTGCAATCTCCGAGAGTCCCAACGGGATAGGTCCGGTCCGATCTTCAGGTACTCGCTCACTCACTTATTCATACGCTCCCATGCCGTCCCTCCCTCTCACCCTCCCATTCACCCCTACACCGAGTCCACCGCCACCCCGTTTGAGAACCGATGAACAAGTTCCCGTGCAGTTCTAATACGGAACCTCGTATTTCTTCTGACGTTCGGACCTGTCCTGGAGTTCTATATTTCTCAAAGAAAGCGAGACTCAGTCCCTTTCGAGGAAGAATTTGTTTTTGGCTCGCATTATTCACTCCAACTTTCTCTCTTGAAACAAGGTCAAAAATTGCCATCGTACTGTACCTGAGGTCCATTACAGGTGACACAAACAGCTTCGATTACTTCTGACGTTTCTCAGCTTAATGAACTCCCAGAGCGCCCGAAGACTTGGCGCAGCTGTGAAGGAGTTGTAGATCATACACCAGAAGGTTCAGATCTCTATGGCAAGCTAATGGCGATCCCGTATGCATCAGAAGAATGCGTTTCTGCGAGATCATGATAACCATTGTACAGAAGGGGAAACCCATCGAGTCAAGCCTAACGCAAGTCTAGTGGTAGGTGCGAAAGTAGATCCACTCTTGTCCTGGTCGCACTAATAAAGCTTTGGGATGGACAAAACAAACTGCGAGAGTAGTTCGAAAGTAGGTAGTTCCAGAAATTTAATTTGTGCCACTTCCGTGCTTTCCTTTCTGATGTTGCAGTTTAATATGGACACCTCAGTCTACACAAATCTGATTGGTACACTCTCAAATTCGGGAATCCAGAGTCTGGGGGGAAGGTTTTATCAGTAAACATGTCCGAATAAACTTGAACAAATGTGGAGGAAATCATGAGACTCTTCTTTCCCAATGCTCACGTCCATCATTGCTTCCCCACTTGCAAGCAACTTGAGCAGAGGATATTGTGGATTTTCACTTGCAATAATTGGTGGGACCACAGACCGGCAAGTCAGCTTTGAATTTAAAATTGCAGATTTTTCTCATCGATGGGTCCAATGATTTTCGAGCATGAGGACCGAAGGGGTGAAACCTGCTCGAGCTTTCCAACTTCTAAAAAGCTCGGGTTTGAGAATCCTGCATAGTACGAGGTCAGTCTAGCTGTGACATTCCGTATGATGAATTCAACAGCAATATCAAACTTGCACACGTGTGTTTCTATCACACCACATTATGCTCACCTTCGTCACATGTGACAATAAAATATACATTGGACTACTAGCTTGGATGAGATCGAATTTCGATTTTGGACTCTACAGTACAAAAGTTCTTGGATCTGGCGATCTTCCTCCTTTTTCCGGAGAAAACTCATTACACAATGAAAGAAATATGAAAGAACGTGCAGGTCATTTACATTCATCGCGAGATGAGCTCTTGGATGACTTTCACACCAAACGAGCAGAAATAATGTTATTCCAAAGTCTCCACTAAATCTATCACAACGTATGCTGCGCTGCTTCAGCCCTAGTACACTGAGTGGATGCATGTTGGGCGGATGCAGCAGTTTTTACTTGGTAGTTTAGTTAGCGCAGTTCGCAATGGACTTGTGACCTCAAATCGAGATTAGTATGTCAAATGCTCCTGGGTCAGACTTTTTATTAATTTTATTATGTTCTTATTTCTGAAGTTGAGAGTTTGTTTAAGATATAACTAAGGATCGAAACGGTAGTCCTCTATCTAGATTTTGCTTCACCTCACCCTTTTTACGCTATCATGAGAATACTCTTTTCTTCGTTAGGAAGAGTAATTCTTGATTTCTTGTAGTAATTAACTTAATTTATGATTAGTAATGATCTATGTGTTTTTTATGTTGAGTATGTAAGGCGATGGTGGAGTAAATAGAACTTGGATCATAGCTTGCATGTTTCTTTATGATGATTATGCAAGGCCATGATGGAGTGCATACAACTGAAGCAACATAAGACTTCAAATTCAAAATTTTGATTGTCAGCAACTTCCCATTGTTTCCATATGGCTTCTAAAAGGTTCCTGTGAAATTTTGCATGATTAATTCTGAGCTTCTGTATTTTTCAATTGATTTTATTAAGAACATATATATAATTGATAATGATGAATCAATAAGCTTGAAAAAACAGATGTTAGCAATGATAAAAATTTCATCAATGTAAATAGCATTGATATCAAACATAAACATTAAACTTTATGATTTTCGTAAGAAAACGAGATCATATAAAGATCATATTGGTCAAGCTGATATCAAACATAAACATTAAAATTTATGATTTTCGTAAGAAAACGAGAACATATAAAGATCATGTTGGTCAAGTATAAGTACAATATCATCCAGTTGTGAAAATAAGATTTTTATTCCAAGTGTGAATGCAGCAAAATAGTGACGTTTGAAAAAATACCTTTTTTGTAGAATGTTAAAAAAGGAGTAAACAAGATTTTGATGAAATAATAAAAATAAGTTTCATATATATAACTCTGGAATGCACATAGCTTTCAATTTTAAATTTAAATCTTTTTTATTCAAAAAGAGAGATTACGGAGTACAAATAATATGATATTTCCAATGCAAGAATAAAAAAAATCTTAATATAAAAAAATCAAACGGAAATCTTTAAAAGCATATTTTAACTTGTGAATATGACATATATCAGTAAAAAATGTAAATGACTGAAATATCTTATATTCACAAGTATATAATGTAGATGTACATATGCACAAGTAATTATATTCAAAATGTTGATAATTTTTTAATTAATACTTCTCAGAAAAAGCTAATTAAGAAATGAATCAAGACATTATAAGAATGGTATAAATAACATCAACAAAAAACTCCTGCAAATGATCTCCATCTGGAATTTACAATGATGCTAGTTTGTCCAAGTCCAATAAAACACAATTGGCAATAGTTTTGACAATTTGATGAAGTTTTTAGATTGTTACATTCATCAAACTTGTGTGAGTATATTGCATAAGCATTCCAAGTCTATTCTAAATAAAGCTTCCAACGTTGTTTGTTCATCAAAAAATTTAGTTTGACTGTTGTGTATTATTTTCAATGAAATCTCATTCTAACCGTATGTGATCTGACATTTCTTGATTTATCATCATGTAGTCTAATGAATGTGCAATTAAAAAAATTCAAAATAAAGATGATTTCATACTTCATGATTCGCAACCTCACACCTAGCTTTTGCTCATTTTATATATAATTTTGCCTCAATATACCACCTTGGTATATATCAAAAATATTTAAATAAGTATTTTCTTTGTGTAAAATATCATAAAATATGTGATTTGGCGTAAAATGAAAAAAAAATACTTCTTGTTACAATGGATACTCACTCAAGCAATCAACTATAAACAAGTTTAATATTTTCTTCTCTTTATTTTTATGGTCACACTACATACTTTTATCAATTTTAAATGAAATGTAAACAATTGATTACTTCAAATCATAAATGTCTTTGTCCATATTGTGATTCCAAGCCAAAAACGGAAACGCCACGGAACTAATTGATTGAGATGTAACGTCTCAACATTTCGTCTTAATCAATTAGTTCCGTGGCTTTTTTCAAATCTACTTGGTTGATTTTGCTCAAATATATTTTTAACTCAATGCAAATACTGACAACTCGTTTTCAAATAATTTTTTCAAATTATCTTTGGTCTAAATAGTAAACATAATCATGAGTCATAGGTGTCATGATGGTGATAATTTATGCTAAAGTATGCAATTTTGTTGACATTATCAAGCATTTCCGTGTTAGCATGTACTTATTCATTGTGGCAATTTGCTTGGTGGCAAATTTTTGAAATGTCAAAATTTTCAAAGATTTTTAAGTATTAGTCGAAGCATACATTATTCAAATTTCAGGTTAGTTTGTTAATACTTACATTTTCACTCAAAATTTTATTTATTTTGAAAAATATGAAAAGGATTTTCAAACTGAAAAATGTGAAACTGAATTAATATATGGATTCAAATTTATATTGTCGATCATTTTATCATTCATAAATCACAATCACCATTGCGCAACAATAATTCACAACCACTCCCTTGGTTGAAAGTATATATCATCTTTTGTTCAAGAATATGGGGCAACAAATCACTTATCATTCCCTTATAGATTATATTTTTTTATCACAATGAAGATACAAACATCATAAAAGTTGATAGATTGTCCGAAATATTCAAACAAGTAAATTATTAAAGTACGTAATTTTCCATAAAGATACAATAAGTCTATAACAAAATATTTAAAAACATTCATGTTGTCTTGTATCTTTTTCTAATTGAGAGTCATCTTAAAACTCTTATGCTTCTAAAACCTTAATAACTGTTTGATAACATTTCATTGTTAATATAATTCAATTTTTTTTCAATCTATAGATTACATGTCATTTAATTTTTATTGTCTTAATTCAATCTTCAAAAAAATATTGTTTCAAACACTTAGTTTTGAATAATTTTGTTCTCTCACGAATCATAAGACATGATCATTTGTAAGAATCAAAAGATATTGTAATGTAGTGATAATGTCAAATTTCATATCATCAATTGAACATTTTGTGTCTCATCTTGCTTTGTATGTTGATTTTGTCTAATTTGTTTTTTAGATTTAAATTTGACTTTCAGATTTGAACATAAAGTTTTTCCCAGAATCTTAAAAGTTATTTCAGTTAAATTGTATTAAAAATTTTACAATATATTTAACATAAAAGGTTATCATATCTTAAATGAAAATTTATTGCAATTCACTTTTCTAGATATTCATTTTATTTCATGATTGTTGTGATATATAGATCTGAGACAAATTATTTAATGTTGAATTATACACATTGATGTATTTTTTTAAGAAATAAAAAATTCGTTGAAATTATGTTTCTTCAAAAGATTGTACTAAAAAATAATTTATGTGTGAAAATATTATGTTATTCATGTTTTCAATTAGCTCTTTGCATACTTTTAATATAATTCAAATTATTTTCAATAAAAAAAATGAAACATAAGGATTCAACATCTGTTTTATCATACCGATTTATTCTCTAATAAATATTACTCATATTCAATTTTTCCCATTGTAATATTTGAGAATATCATAATTTGATTCTCATTAATCTACTCATGAACATCAATGGTTACATTTTACTTTGTCTTTCACTCTTTTCTTTTGAAAGTAAAACGAGTAATCATTCAAGCCAAGTAGAAATACACGACACACTCATATACTATGGTTCATCCTCATGGGCTACATCCACGGCTGAAACTCACGAGAAGTTTTACTAAAAACTGAATACTGAATACCTTTGAATGGAAACCTTGGAGTATATTTATACCAAAGCCAGCGACACATCTAGCTACAAATATATATAACCTGAGGTTACTCCTTAACAGAAGTTAACCTCAACATTTTCATGTTAAACAAAATTTCACATAAATTTTATTTTTTTGATTTTTCAATATCCAAAACATATCCCAACTTTTCTTTGAGGGTATATTTCATATCAAAAAACTATTCAATTTTTTTTTTAAAAAAAAGCAAAGTTTTTTTATTAAATCAAATCACCAGTATTTAAGAAACACTATTTTATTTTACAATAACACAATGTAGGTTGCTAATAAAATTCTAGAAAATTGTGTGTTGTTTCTAACTTTTATGTTAGTCGATATTTATATAATATGAAGAAAATAAGAAGTTTTTTATGTCAAAATATTATTCCAAAATAAAATTGAAATGAATTAAAAAAAATTAAATGAACGTATACATATTTGGTCACACATGCACAGCTTTCTCATTGTTATGAATAATCTGTTTTAAAAAATGTATGGAAAAAATATTAGTATTCTTGAAGATATCCGCAAGGAACATAATTAACAAAATAGTATCACGATGCAAGTATACAGAAAAAATGATCAAATAACACCATGAGCAAAAATATCAACTTTTAATATCAACGTGTTTTATTTATATAGATATAAATTGTCTTTTTGCAACTGTAATCATTCCAAATTTTATTCTGTAATGTTTTATATTGAAATAGCAATACTATCATAATGACCTCTTTTGCATTTCAAGCTGACAATATGAGTAGTATTATAGATAAATCTACTCCTATGTAATTCCAAGCATGCATGGAATCATGGCATATTTTTTAAAAAAATCATTATCATCATGTAATTTACACTGGGCACTTAATTCCAACTACTTTGTTTACAAATAAAATTAAGATGTATTTATGCATTAATTAGTGATAATGCAATATCTGACTTGGTGTAAAAATTGAATAAAATTATATCTTAAATTAAAATCTAAATTATTTCAATTGATTTCTTCTATATGATATAAATACACCAGTATTTATTTTATTACTTTTACCAGAATATATTGATAACTAAACATATTTGTGTAAGATTCAATAGATTTAAACTGTTGAAACTAGTATATGTCCGATTTTGAAAATGTGTCATATGTACAACTCTGTCGGTATTTTTCTACAAAATTTTATTGCACCTGCCAAAATTGTATTCGAATATACATTATTAAAATATTTAGGTTTCATTCTACTTTGAATTTGCATAGTCAAGAAATTACAGTATAACATTGTGTTCTATTACTCCTGAATTCTAACATCAGATCAGCGGAATTCTTACTTCTTGTAATATACATCATCATATATTTCTAATCTGGCATGTATTGTATAAATTTCATAAGTTTATGATTTTATCAGTAACTTAAAAAATGTATTGAAATATGAGTTTTATTCCATTATTATTTTTCATGCTTTTATTTTAAACGTAAAAATTGTAAATGTCAATCTCGTTGTACGAATTGATTTACTGAATCTGTCCAACTAGTTCATTTTCAAGGAACCACACTAAAATGAGAAGATTGAATCACGTAAGGTAGAAAATCGCTGCGAAAATTGTATTCGTTTCAATTCAAATCAGAAAAGCTGAAAGCATTTATTGCAATATAAATTATTTACAAATATTTGTCCGGGTAGTATAGAAACTACAAGTATATAAGAAAAAACGAAATAAATCATAATGTTCTTCGAAAGCGCTTCATACAACCTTTTACTTTCAAATACCTTGAAGCATATACATACAAAGTTTGAAAGCTGAACGCTTCCTAGGGTATTATACAATGGATCTCGATGTGAACAAGATGTGCTGCAAATGCCCCCGTGCTTTAAATTTCCCGGTCATCTAGAATGTGTATGCTTACCATGTGATTGTACATGCAAAAAGTTGGAGAGTGAGTACCATTACAGCAATAGCACGTATAGTGCATTGCATAGGCCCAAAAAACGAAAATGGATTGTGTTTTCCTCTTTTCGTCACATCTGTCTTTTACCAAGTGAGAACTCTATGAGCCTTCTTAAAACCTTTTGATAGCGGTTGATTTATTGTAAGATCAGGTGGCGCCCTATTTTTGCTCTGACTTATTCCTGCTAATCTCGTGGTTTCAATCCTATGCATCACACAATATCCACTCTAATCTTCCATCGGTAAGATCACTGTTGGCTTGCCATGTGTTGAGCTGGTTCCAATCTCTTTATACAATCATCCATGCGGGTATAATCTATTATTATTATCGTTTTCTTTACTTCTGCTCAGTTCCAGCTCTTCCCACGAATGCGATTCGAATCTCAAACGTAAAAAAAAAATAGTATTACATAAATCTGTGCTTGTTCATGCAAAAGTCATTGAAATGCATAAAAATGGAAGAAAATACTGATACAAATGGACAAGTTCCCGATTTCGTAGAAAATCCAAAAATCTCTTAGAAAATTATTTCCTGAGTGTCCGTTTGTACTAGATGAGAGACGGGGGAGATCTTTATCTAGTCTCGAATCCAACCTTTGTCATACCTGACAAAATACATTCAAGGAAGCCGGACTTCGTAGACGTGATAGGTTTGTAACAAATGAACTTCAATCATAGGTGGCGATTACAAGATCTCGTAAATTCTGATACCACTTGACCAATTGCGTTTCTCAAACCTTGAAGAACCCTTGTTGTGTCAGTCTGATAACATGAACGATATAGCTCAAAGGTACTCATGTTGTTGAGCTGTATCAAGGGTTGAAGAACTTTATTGTGAAACATTACGAGTCTCCGAGATTTATACCTCATGTTTTCTCACTCATTTAATACACCCACTATCTACTTGTACACGAATTTTTCTATTCCAGATCTTCATGTCCATCCCCTTTCGTGAAGTTTCGTCTCTCCACAACAGACGTCAGCCTTGGATGCTCCTCACGCAGGTCCTTTACTTTTAATCAATGTATACGCTTCGAGAGCGTCCACAGCATTCAAATTGACTCACTCGACAATTCTCATCTCAAAAGTATTACAAGTTGCTTTCGCATGGCTCCATGATTTCCCTCTTGCGTGTCTACATTCCCCTCAACTTAAGGAACCTAGGAGCAAGCATCTTCACCGTCTCTCATCAATGCGAAGTGAATGCAATGGACGTCCACATACGCGACACCCTTTGCCCGCCGTTTAGCTTCAAATGATCGTGGGCGGGTTCCCAGCGAAGTTGATTACATCTTTCATTGATTAAAAATATAGTTCAATGGAGCACGTTGAGACTCGAGAGGCTTTCTTCACCTCTTTTCTCTATTTGAAAAATATTCGAGTCCAATCTAATCTTTGAGTTCATTCATAAGTTCCACAGTCTCACTTGTACACGTCCGCTTCAAGGAAAAGGAATGTTCCTCACCACTCATAAAAGCTCTCCTATCATCCTCAGCGTCATTTTGCATCAAATGCATTTTTCATGACTCGTCTACTGCTTCATGAAGGCCACTCCGTCTTCATAGCGTTACTTGATGTTTGTTGTCGTCAAAGCACATACCAGCTTTCAATTGTTCTCGTTAGTTAGGCAGTGTCGTTGGCATTTTTGCTGAAGACTCTGTACAATAAAGACTTACGTGTATATTCATTGATTGCATCACTATCCTTCCTTCGTGACGAGTAGGCTCCTGTGTCTTGATGTGCATGGGACCTCCTGTTCTAAGATGGTTCTCGTATAGAGCCAGTTTGTCATCGCATGTTGTCGACCGTAATTCCATATCATTAGACGTGCATGTGAAGGTGAAAAGGTTATATCCCACTTCGTCACTTTGTTTCAAAATTCTTCCAGCAGTCAACCAGCAAGCAAGTCTTACTTTGACCTTCGGTCAAGTTTGCTGAAGCTTCACTGACCCATTCGTTGAAACCATCGTACATTTCAGTCTTTTGCCCGAACTGCTGTCCTGGCACCAAGAGGATTCTCACTTTCCTGTGTACCAATCCGTCACTAGACCACCGATGCTCAGTCGCTTTCAGCCTTATCTACAAAAACAACTTCAAAAGAGGTCTTAGTCAAAACAAGCAAGTCACAAAGTTTGTTTCTGGTGAACGTACTGTTCTTACTGACTGACCTAAGATAGTGTCGAACATTTCATGAACTGCTTAGAGGGAGAAACTGTCCTCAATGATAGAACGTGTTTTTAATGCATATGTTTCGTACATACACTCCTCTTTTCAAGGTTCCACTCAACATAGAGAAATAGTTTGAACTATTCGGACACTTTTACTTATACATAAAACACGTGCTCGAAAAGGTCCGACGGATTTTAGGGATTGGCCCAGGAGACTGGGCTTGTGTCTTCCTATCTGGCCATTATATTTGATGCCATCGAATTGAAACTCGCGATCTCGCTCTTTCTCTGCTTCCTGCCATAAATGTCATAGTATGGATGGATACATGATTCTCCAGTTTATAATTTGTCCGACTGGATCAGTGAAGCTCTGTCGATTGGACAGACGCCACGGTGGAGCTTCAGCAGCTTCTTTCGTGGCTTTGACTAGTGAGGAAAAATTACATTTGAATGCATACGTCTCGTACATATACTACACTTTCAACATCCGAAAGGGAAAAGGTGCTCCAACAATAAGCATACGGACCTTTTCCACTTTTCACTGTGAAGTACTGAAATCTTTGCTGGGCTAGGCTGTTAGCAGATGTAGTACAAAACCCTGGACTCATGCATCATGGAGCGTGCATTCGGTTTCACGTAGGGCCATGTGTTACAGCATTTCGTGACAGTTGTCGCCGGCAATCTTATTCTCTGAAGAGGACGTCGGGTTGGCTCGGGGTTCGTTGGCATGCTTCTTGTGTGAACCCTACAGATATCTCAAAGAAATCGACTCGAACATGTGATAATGCTCGGCAACTGTCTGCGTATTTCATCTAGATTTTCGGATCTTCTATGCTCCTCGGCTCCATTTACATTTGTATCTAGTCATACAAGAGACAGCTTCGATGTCTGTGCACACCGACATTTGCTTACAGAACGACTGGACGTGACGACTATCTCGGTATGTTTGATGGTACAGCGGGAGTTGTGGCTTGAACGTCGCGACATGCACAAAACCCGGTTTCGGATAAATGGCCAGAGAATTTTTAGTCAGCGACGTTTTCTCGCAGCGGTTGTAATAGTCTGTAGTGCACAGTGCTCTGATGTGGATATACGAGAACTGCGCTTTTTGTTACATGTCGACCTCCGGTTTACAGGGTGAATGTCACAATCCCTCAGTTCACTGACAGGTGAGTAGAGTGATAGAGAACGATGCATCTGCACGATTACATGAGGTTGGCTAGTTCACACTTACTACGTTTGCCATGTTCCGCGATTTTCTGCACTTGTCTTGATAAGTTAAGAAGTTTCTCATAATCTTCTCTGACGTACACACTTAAAGATTTTGAGTAGTTTAAGTGGTTTTGTATGTTTCAAATATACGATCGTTTTTGCACTCAATGTTTATATTTTTCCATTTGCACTTCCATTTTACCATCCTGAAATTGGGCCGCTATTTTGATGGGACCGTCTACCTGCTCTTTATATTAAATATTTACACCTGGCCAACTTTAAATTTCCAAATATGCTCAACTTCGAATTCAGGGAGTGTGTCCAACAATACACAATGAAGACGGCAACACGACAGCGATCGTAAGGCTCGGCAGGCAAACCATCATGGTATATCACCAATGTGGAAGCAAGATAAACGGAATGATGAGTAAATTAGAAAACGCAAGAATTTGCCCATTATTATAGAATGGGTACACTGAACTCTTTCTGATCCGAGCGTCGTGGCTGTTTGTTTTAATAACCGAGCTGCTGCCGGTTTCGTAAACCCAAGTCAAGTCAAATCATCTTTTGCTGTGAATAACATTTATCTACAATTCCGCACTTATAAGCTGCTGCTGCTACTTAGTCATGTCAGAACCAACTTTTGGGCCAGTAAAGCCCGCGCATGCGAGTTGTAATCTATAGAGTCCAGAGGCGGGGACGTCCAGATGTGGCAAAACTCTTAACTCAGACGTTCCGCCGAAAGCCCAGAGAAGTAGAAGAGCGCCGGAGTTCACGCATGGGACGTCCCTCTGTCAGAGGATATGATGTCGACGGGGGATTATGGCGCCGGCTTGTGGGTGCAGTCCAGAGGAGGGGTGGGATATCTGGTGGTGTCGTAGCAGTAGTCATAAACCATGTAGTTCTGTTGCACCCACTTGAGCTTGCTCGTGTCAGCGGCATTCATATTTTGGTACTCTGATCCTGCCCACCAACCGCTGGCGGACGCGCAGTTCACATTGTTGACGGTGTCGCACCCTTCGATTTCGAAGTTACCGAATTCTGACACGAACGGAGCGTAGGTCCAATTCAATTTCACAGCGCCACCCTGCGTCGCCCAAATGTCGCCATTCCATATGCTCGCGTAGATGCCCATAGGCTGAGACGTCGGGAACGCAATTCCTTCGTCCTCCTTGTTCTCGAAGAACCTGATCGGGTAGTCGTCCACGTAGAAACTGCATCCACAAGCCACGAGTTCAGCATTCCCGCCAGGGACCCGACTCATTTCCTCTCAATGACACAAATGGACGAGAAGACCTTGTCCCTCGCATCCCCCTGCTTGCCGAAATGCTTCAGAGGGGCGACCTCCAGCCTTCAGACAAACTGGAAATAATCGGTACATTGAGAAACCGCCTCCCTCCTCCAACCTCAACTTACACGAGGGCAGAAGCTCCAGGAAACTGGCCGGAGCATAATGTCATTCCAGCGGCATTCTGTATCGTGCTGACATCGACGAAATCAGAGAGAAAAGACGCGCGTTGATGCTCAAAGACGAGGAGGTGGAAGGAGGAACTCACACAATCTGATTACGGTTCCAAAGAATTGAATACTGGTGCAATTCCTGCGTGGGGTCGAACCAGAGGTAGATACGCTGCTCGCGCCGACCGATTCCATTGGCGAACACGTTCGTCTGAAGCACGTAAGGCTCGCCTGTGCTGTTGCCGAGGAACTCGAAATCCAGCTCGTCCCTCACGTCTCCGGTCTCGGATGAAAACTGCGCAACGGAGAACTGATCATCAATGCACTGCGTGCTTACCTCTTCCCGACTGGTGGCTGCAGGCAACACCCACAAACCTCTGACAGTACGACAAGACACCCGCAGCCGCAGCAGCTGAGGAACTGTCACCAATTCTACGGAACGAAAATTTGCAAGAAAACTCGGAACGGGATCAACTTCGAACTCTGAGATCTTGCGAATTAATTAATTCCACAGAGAACGAACGTAAAGGGAACTTACGTAGTAAGCCGTCACGGTCCCCGCGGAATTTCCAGGCACCAGCTTGATGCCCGTGCTGAAGTAACCGAACAAGTATTTGCTCTTCGACGCAAACGACGACGCTGCGAACACGAGAACGACGCTGTGAGAAACCGTGGACCGACCTGACGACGGGCAGACGGAATGACAGAGATGCATTGCTTTGCCTCGCTAGCTCGGATGCTCGCTGGTTTGCCATTGTTTGCCAGCGGCAGAAGAGGCAGGGGTGCGAGAGTGTGAGAGACGACTCACCATTGACCTGATCCAGAGCGAGTTGAACCGAACTGCCTCCATCGACCACCGATACGTGATCGTGGCCCCAAGTGACCTCATAGAAGTCGTCGAACTTGCCGTTCGCTGTGTGAGCAGTCTGCCCTACGATAAATGTCACAAAGACAGACAAAATTATTGCAGCTACACCCCATGCTCTGTTAGCGGTACGCCCTATTCTGCAAGCGGAAGCTGGATCCATTGCTTGGTGCGAGGAGTGAGCTCCTGACTTGCCCGGAACCAATTCGCTTCTGCAGCAGCAGGAGGAGGTATCACACGGCCAGCCTGCTTGCCTGCCTGCTCTACCCTGGGTGAACTCGAGCTACGGCTCCCAACCCACCACTGGGACAGATCAGTCAGTGGCACCGCTCGAAGACGACCACTCCGATCAGCCCCACGACAACGAGAGCCCGGCGCCAGCTTCTTTTTTGCTCTTCTTCGACCCCAAAATACATGAACTTCTTCCGCGCCTGCTCTACACTCTCACTCTCTCTCCCTCAATCCACCATCAAATCACGCACTGCGAGCTTCGATGTCCACGTCACGTGCCTCTTGAGCTGCTGCGGAGCGAGACGAGAAGCGCAAGCCCTTTTACTCTCCCTGACCCTGTCACGGATCGACACTCCAGCCGCAAGCAGCATGCAGAGTTCACAGGTCTCTCTCGAGACTGATCTGCAGACGAGACAGGTGAGGTAAAGGTTTATATAGACGCCATGGCGGTCGATCAAACCTGCCTGTGGGTCTAGTGGCCAGTGGGCAGGGACAGAGAGGCGAGGGAAGGCGGGGTCGGAGAGTGGTGGGGGGGAAGGGGGAAGGGGGGAAACAGAGAGGAGGAAATCATACAAAATACTGTAGGATCTGCAGATGGAGAGAAGCGCGACCAGGGCAATCATATACTACGAGGTAGACTCCTCGGGAGTGTGCCCCTTGCAAGCGTTCAGGCGTATCACAAAGCCCTGCTTTGCTTTATTATGGTGAGACGGGTGCTTGTGCTCGTAAACACTATTAGCGGGATTATTTTATGGCTCATAAACTGCGAGCGGACGAACAGTGTGAGACTTCGAGTGTGCCCTGGCCATCGAGTGTCACTGCCCGCCGCGTTGTGTGAGCGGCACGAGACGGGGCGCATGCAGGGGTGCGGCGGGTCTACGTTCTTCTCAGCTTCTCAATCGATCTCCACTTTTTCTCGCGATTTATCGAGATATGTGTTCGACGGTTTCCTAGCCTTCTATGTTGAAATCCCAAACCTCGTGCCATTCGTGTGTTCCCAGTGGGAGCATAATCCTCGAGGATTATCGCTCATGAATGTTTTTTTTCTTCTGGTAATCGAATTACAGCTTCATTTGCCGGAGTGATGGATTTCTAAAGAGTCAGTCTCATTCATGAACAAGTTTTCAATCCACATGTACGCTACACGGTACAGAATCGTTCTCATCAATTCACAAACATCCTTGATAACATACTACTCTCACACGTATTTTCAGGAATTTATATATCTTCCATATTCTTCAGGAAAGAAAAATGTACGCAACTCACTTTATTTATTGTAACTTTTTTGAACATATGTTTCATCATAAGGTCTGACTTTGAATGTATATACTCATGTTTCCACGTCTATATCCGAACCTTATGTTCGAAAGAATGTATTACCAGAGGAAGCATATGTTAATTAAGACTCTAACATATAAATGCAGATGACATCTGTTATTAGTTATTACTATTTTATGTCGAATAGTTCTATCGTCAATAACATCTTGTTATATAAATTACTTCCCATTTTTCCCAAAACTTATGTTTAAAAACACTAAATTAGAACTATGGTAATTGTTTTAAGTATATTCCTCATTTAGTCAATTATGATTGAAAAACCTATAAAAAATTATCACCATTTTTATGAGTGACTTTAAATGCCAAACATTGATCAGACTATCTATATTCTAATTTACACGTACTATTTATATCCATATTTCATCAAAAAGTGGATTAGCATGTTATCTGAAAGGTCCATCTACTACAATTTACAACAACACAAATATATCATAACGATTCACGAAATCTTCAGCGGCATAACGTCGACTGAAAGAACATAGTGGGTAAAAATTATGACGAAAATTATCTTCAGTTATGAAACCATCATAAAATGGGTAAAGCAGAAGCAAAGATCCAAAACCTTCTGGAAACTATGAACGAAAATTTGTGACCAATATTCAAGCGTACAAGCAACTTTGCTCGCCTAGTCACTGCAGGGTTCAGGATCTTGAGAGAGAATGAATGCACATCCAAGGGTCCATTTACCCGGCCTTTTCAAATATGGACTGTAGATCGCGAATCATGATGACTTTAGTGAGCGCAAAGATCTTCTTCACATATGATCTGCCAAATCGAATTTACACATAGTATGAGAGCATGTGAACCACTTGTTACCTATATCACAATCTCTTACATTCTCGTTAACATAGTGACATGGTTATGCATGTAATGAATCATCTTCAATAGAAACTTGGGGATTTCGTTCATGGCGATAATACCCGAGGACACTCGTCATGAATTTTTTCGTGAGATAGCACCTGATTTCAGAAATCTAGTCCATTGATCCCATAACCTTCAAGCGTTTACATGTCGTCCATATTCTTTCAAACTGAGTGTTTTCACATAAGTACTATGTTCGTGCCTACTACGTGAGAAAGAGTGAAAATGACCTTACTTTTGGAGCTTTTTGCAGCTAAATATTTAAATGTCAAGTTTGGAATACATCTCACTCTTTGCCACTTATGTGCCACCTCCATATCAAGTTAATTATTTACCACTCGAAATCGATGGGCCAATCTGTGGATGGACAAGCTGGAATGAGTGGCCCCCTGCGCATAGCATGCCTTGTGCGCTGCTAAGATATGGACGTACGACGTATGTATGCCCATGCACGTTGCATGTACAGTATGGCTTTCGGCGATGGGCAATAAGTCCGCACAGACACGCCGCCGGATGACATCATGCTAATGGTCAGTGTGGACGTGGCATTCTCAGCCAGCTTTGTCCTCGGTGTCGGCCGTCACGTGCAGCCTTGTCTCCAGCTGTCGCTCTGCTCTCACACCTGTCCTGGGTCCTAAATGACTTCCTTTGCCCCGGCACCGGAGTTACCACGGCACCCCTGGTCTTGCCTCCCTTTACGACACGCTTACGTTCGAGCTCGTTAAACGTCTTAATCCTGCTAATACGGAGAACACATGCTCCGCTCGTACTCCAGTCAGCTACATAATATCTGTTTCATTAATTGCTTCACGATATCTTATGTAAGGGGTCTCCTTCTGATTTTTCTTAAAAATTTTACACATTTTATTTTCTGCAAGGTTGACTGATGTTGAATGTGAAATGTATAGGTGGTATGGGTTGTACATGTGATGAGATAAAAGTATACGTATTAAAAATTTTAATTTTCTTACACTCTAAGTATATGAGCATTTCTTGTATTATAAATTACATTCATATATACATATGATTTTATATATAATATTACTATTATGCATGATTTATAATGATATAAAATAAAAATATATTATATCTATATAATAATATATAGATAAAATAAACGATGATTCTTCACATAATTGAGATACATTATGATATAGATATGATCCAATTGTAATGTAGTCCTTAGGACCGAGCTCCTTGTACATCAATGTAGGACTTGGTATAATTCTTTCTTACCTTATATATAGCTTAATCTGATGCCAAGAAAAAAAAATTCTTTCTTGGAGTTATTATTACCTTCTTAAGTAGCAAATTCTTTGGCTTTGATCGGCTTGTACATTTGTGACTTTGATGTTGTTATAACTGGTCTCAAGTTCAAAATGTGGAGTTCAAACCACTAAGGTCACCCCTTGAGCAATATATACTTTATCCCTTTCTTGACAAATCTAAATTTAAATTTTCAGGTTACCACACTTTTTTAAAAATGGTTGAATAGTTTTTTTATGGGCAGTTTAGATATAGTTTACGACAGATAATTATTCCTATCGTTTATAGTAAGTGATAGAATCAGTTACTAGACGTATTGCTATTCAGAATACGTTTTTTTATTTGTTAATAGTATTATTGTCTTTCATCAATGTTGCATTTTAGCATCACTGTGGAGTCATCACACCATAAGATTGTGTTGCCATTGGATGTATTCAACACTTTAAATAACCAAGCTTGTGCATTTCTGTTACAAAGCCTTTGAAAATTTGCAAATAGTATTTTTATTATGCATTCTTCACACTTTTTAAATGATATGTTTTTATGGTGATATGACTCTATTTTGTTCGCATGATATAATCCTTGCTAAAAGTAGACATTTGTTGATGCAAACTACAAGAGAAGAATCATAATAAATCTTTGAATGCTCTAATACTTTGCAGACAATTCGATCTGACTGTTATATTTATCTGATATATAGCATAAAATGTTTTCATTGTGATGCTAGTGTGTCAAGGTCTCATACAACCCCCCTTGGTTTGATCCTTGTACAACTTGGTGTCTATGTTACTCTAGCCTGAACCATTTCCCAAATGTAATATCAAGTTTACCTTACAGGTTTCTTTAACGCTATGAATTCCCAAGACCATTAGGACTTGTTGAAAATTAGATAGTTGCAGTTATCCACCAGATCCGCCGCACACCATCCATAGCTCATGACCACAAATTAAATTATAGTCATTATATAAGACACTCTACCGAAAGTGAGACAAGGAAGTGCCCTTTCGACTGGCAGTCAAGTACAAATGCTTGACTTTCTCGTGTTTCCATACGCAACTATTCCCTCGTTGGAAAGTGCACAGCTCGTCGCCAACAGAAGGAGGATGCGATCTGTCTGTGTTGCTTGGAGGGTTCATGCCTATCGCTGAGGCTATCTCTCCAAGCAGCATGACACCAAGAGAGCCACCGGTGAAGAGAAGAGTCGCCGCCCCAACATTGGGAACGAGATGAAACCGGTGGCTTGTCGTCCAGACAGACATTCGGAAGCAACGGAGGTGAAAGTAAAGTGAATGAGGTCGAGTATCAATGTCGTCAACAACGCGGATTGCGGTCAGTGGAATCAACACTGTGCACTGAGACTGGTGTCAGAGCCTCTAAAACGGAATTCGAAGTATCGATAATCGATGACGTAAGTCCATCGACAAGCATTCCCATCACCACACCAGATTACATTACAGTATGCGGAGAACTGTGCGCTCTAATACATTTCACGCCCTATACCGTCGTACGGTGATGTACGGATTAATCCGACGTATTAATTATGAAGAGGGGTTAAAAAATCATGCTAATTATGGGATCAACTGCCCACCCCTGGGTGCAGTACAGTGTCCAGCTAAGAGGTATGGCGACACTTTATAACTGACTCTAGTTTAACGGATCGAAAACTGCTTTGTCAAGTTAGCCAAGTCCAAGCCGATGCGACGAAGCTTCTTGTGTTTAAGAAGGGAAATTACCGTCTATCAAATGTTGTCACTATGTAACGCAGTAGGATCGTTATTCTCCAATCTTGGTGTGACGTGTCAGGCACAGTACTCAAAGGCAGTCGAAGTCGACGATGCAAAATTTAACCATGGCATGCTCTTTCTGAGTTTGCAGATTTATGGTCAATTGTGGGACTTTCATAACATAACCTACTAACATAAATAAGTGTAAGTCTGACACAAACTAGTGTATACTATGCAACTATATCACATTAAGAATTTTTTAATTTAAAAATAACGATGATTTAATTCTTTTTACACAAACTCGAATCGGAAAATGAATAGCAAATGTACCAGACAAATTAGTTCAAATTTTAAATAAGTTTCATTTTTTAACTTCTTTTTAAATGAAATTAATTAATAAATTAAATATTTCAATTTATCGTGACAGGGAAAAAAATATCATATAATCAATTGATATTGATATTGATCATTTGATATTGAATACTAAATTGCTGAATATATATGATCAATCAATATCAATAAAATATAATCAATTTTAAAAATTACTCAACATAGGTTTTATTTGAAAAATTTTAAAAAATATCTAGTGATTTCATCACATCCTTAGAGAATAATTTTTTGATAATCACAACGATTGAATGGAAAATTAGTGATGTTTTTCAATAATATAATTTTGGATAAGCCATACATCATTTGAAAAATAATTAATCATTAAGTCTATATTCGAGTGATATATATTTAATATATATCTAGAAAGCTGAATAATGATAGTTGATACTCATGAAATATATAATCATCTAAATATTCAAATCTATGAACAAACAAAATAGTCTCTTGAACCCCCATGATGAATTTTTAATATTTTTTAAGTCTATCTGAAAAGTCTATATTTATATTTCATTTAAAATTTCAATTTACATTAAATATCAATCAGAAGCCATAATTATAAAAATAAGGAAATATTTTAAAACATACAAATATAATTCAATTTTCGAAAGATTTTTTTTTTCATTTGAAATAAGAAATTAGTTATTTCACTGCTATTGTCTAATGTAAAATTATGAAATAATTTTTTATATTAGATATAAAACATATTTATGTTAAAGTTTTCTAAAATCTTTGTATCACATTATTACAAAACATTAGATAAAGCAAAATATAAGAAAAATGCGCATGAGCCAAGATGTTCGAGAACGGCTGGTACAAAGTGTTAAAGGACGGTAGAATTACAATTATGTGCAAATGTTGAGTCGAAATAGCAAAACCAAAATAACATAATGCCGAAGTTGAAATAAGACAGATTGCCAAAATCAAAATGCCTATATGACGTAGATTAATGCTAGACCTTCAAACCAAACAAATTTCAACATTTTTCTAGACAACTTCGCTAACAAGTCTTTTTCAACACAACTTTGCTCTTGTAATCTATACATCATGAATTAAAACTTGTAATCAAAGTCAAATAAATTTGAATTATATTTATCCATCATTGAATCAATATACTAATATTTAAATTTATGAATATGTTATTAGAAATTTTTTTAGCAAAAGTCAAACAATGAAAAATCAATAGATTTCTAAAATGAAGGTAGAAAGTTATAAAAACTTCGTAATAGAATATGAAATTAAAAATTTCATATTATAAATTATTCAAAAATTATATTTTGTGACAAGGATTTTGAGAAATTTCTTTTCTTTCGTCTTTTTTTTATTCGTAGTTTCAATCATGATTCACAAATTTTGAAATATAAAACATAGATGCTTTGATATATATCAATAAAAATTAGATTAATTAAAAAAGTATCAATTATTTTGAAAAATTAATATAACAAAATTTATATGTAAATATATTTTCAAAACAAGACAAATTTTTTTAATTAAAATTAAAAAATATAAGAAAATATAATAATTGAATTTTTAAAAACTGATTAATTTTTAATTTATAAGAGTTTCTAGATCAATAATTATCTCAAATATAATTCCGATTTAATATTAATATAATCACAATGATACATTTTTAAAAATTTAAATTTCAGATTCATTTCATAATAAATATATACTAATGGGTATTATTTTTATCATATTAATCTTTTCATGTGATAAACATATAACCATGTTATATTGTAATCGATGTTTTTTTGAGTCACATGTGAATTTTTAATAAATAAATTCAAGATTTTGTTCTTAAATTATACATAAAAATTCTTAAGCATGGTTCAATTTCTAAAAACAGTCAACTGTAAATTTACAATACTATATTTTTATATATATTGATATCTTAGAATGTGAAGATTAATCTTAAATAACTTTTATTCGAAAAATTCGTATGAGTTTTTTATTTTCAGTTAACTAAAAGACTGAATATATTTAATGCACTTGTTTTCAACTTTCTCTATTCAGTTTGAATAATTATTATTTTTATTGTTGAAAATTTATTTTTTTCCACAAGATGTTTTTTCTCCCTTGAGAAAAAATATATATAAGCTAATATATATTAGCTTATATATATTATTTTGAATATATCAAGACAATTCTTGTCTAAAAAATTTATTTACTTTGTGAATTAATAATACTACATTTTAAATTAAGGATTAAATTACATGAGAATAGATGAAAGTTATTGATTTTGAAAACATGCACATTCAAAATTGTGAATATACATTCCAATTTTTTAGTCCTATCTAAATTATGAAAAAAGAAAATGTATGAACTGATATTACTTTTACATGAAATGATTGAATTTTTGAAAATGTATAGATGAAATTCAATTAATTCCTTGTAGAAGCTAACAAAATTTTCCTGTACTTTTTGAATTAATTAGTTCATGTGCTGTTCATATTGTGAAAGCGAAATAACTCAAGATTTTATGAAGAAAAGAATATACTATAAATGTTATAACAATTTATTATCGAAGTATTGTGATGTGTATTTCAATATTGGCTTATATACATAATAGCATGGGTGGATATGCTATCAAGCATAAAAAACAACTTCTTGATGTATAACTATTAATTCCACATTGAAATTTAAAAAATATATTTTATTAATTTATTTTCATAGTTACAAAAGAACCACACTTTCACATTAAGCTAAATTCTTTTCATAAATTTGTACCACCTAAATATACTTAGACTTCGGTGATATAATTAGATATTTCTGTATAGGTGAAGCAGCGTGAAGACATTGGAACTCGTTAGGCTGAACATCATGAATATTTTCAAACAAATTTTACATTTTATCCATCAAACAACATGGAGAAATTAAAAATTTGTGTACTCATCAGAAGAAGCGGAAGTCAGATGCGGTGCATAAGTGAAAACTTGTGTACTCTCATCTGAAACCATGTCACATGGACTGCACCAGGTCCCGATGATTTCTGGACATGATCTCACATGAAGGCATGTCCACTACTGTACTTACGAAAGCCGGCGCTAATCCGATGATGAAATTAAGATAGTTGTTTAAAGTGGTGTTTACAATTGTAAGTCAACAATGGTTTACAAAACATACTTTAAACAACGTTATCGTATACACGTAAGTTGTCAATTTTCAGTGATGTTGAGATACATACTGTGAGTACACAATGACAGATTTTTACATCTATCCACTAATGTCATGTTCCCATTTTAATAATAGGAAAATTTGATAAAGGAATATTCTCGCTCGAGCACATTTTCGACAATCATTAGCCTGGTCTACTTATCCACTACCTTAATTACATATTCGAAATTCAGTCACTCAAATCTGTAATGCAATTCTTTTGCCACGGTGGGGCTTTAGCTTGTTTGTCAAATCACGATAAATACCAGACATCGTCTTGACGACGTTGTCACTCCAAGTCATGTGACCAGTTCCTATCCTAAGATGGCAACATTGGCATCTTAGGATTAAATTTAATGTAAGTGTCAAATTGGGGGTTGTACTGAACAACAGGTGCTAAGTGACCGAAGCCACTAGCTCACCTCTTGTAACGAGTCTGCAGCCTTGGATGTATATCTAGCATTATATTACTTAAACATGAAGATATTTCACTCCTACCTTTCATGATATCACCATACCTCGGGTGTAGATCATGACTAACACGTTCCCCAAATTACAATTTATAAGTCAGAGCACAGCAGCAACGAATCATCCTGAACTTGAAATAGCGTGCTTCTTCTTGAAAAAGCACATCACCTTGATGAGAATAAGTACTTAACAGTGCGGTTGACGACAATTTCTTCTGTTCTACCTTCAGTTCCTCTTATCCTCTGCTGTACACAATGTAAGCAATCAGATGCTACCCTTTGACAGCACATCTGCAATATACCCAGTTTCATACTTCTGTACGTAAACTTCCAAGACAAAGGTTTCCAGTAAGCAGGTCAGTAAGATTATAAGGTTTCCAGTTAGATAGGCCACAATGAACGGTAATGTGGTGTTATACTGTGTCAGTATATGCAGATGTTGACAGAAAGGATGTCCATTTGCATATTACGATTCGCTCAAGAGGAATCAGATTTAACGATACGATATAGTTGTCTTTTGTACAGAGTCTTAATCCGTGACAGAAGGAAAGCTACTGCAACTCTGAAGCTGGACATACTGAGGTTTCACCGAATGCCATACAACTCAATCTCCTTAAATCTTAGCGTTACAGAAGAATTCAATGCAGTGACAACAATAAGAATTCAGTTGTACGTTGATTTAGTCTCTTGGTTATACTAACCACTTGCAGCCCCACTACGTCTTTTCTTGACTAGTTAAGCATTCAGGGTAGAGCAAGCAGTGTAGAGAAAACTTAGCTGGGCACTGTGAGTCCAGGCAGGCTTGACCGTACGCAAGATGTCTGTGTTTCTACATCCAACATGCGCATATCTGGATCGTCTGGGTTTTCTTTGGGGAACAGATTAATCCAGAAATTTTATGTTCCTGACTAGCTTTAGTTCAATTTCGTGCCTGTAGACACGATAGTAGTTGATGCTTCCAAGGCGGATCTTGTAAGATAGTACATTGCATGCTTTAACAAATCTTTGAAGTTTGGTATTTGTAGGAAAAAGAAGCTACTACTGTATATCAAAGAAACGAAGAGATTATGTGGCAAAATAGTAGATCAGTCGGCCATATGAAGTGCAGATCTAAACATTGTAACCATCCCATGCTACCGACTTCTTAGCAATATGAGGAATAGACTGGCCTTAGCAGCATTGTGATTGCTTGCACCATGTGAACTTCGTTCTTTTGTGAGGTAAGTAACCATTATCTTTCGACCGATATCTACAGAGAAGATACTGTCCAGTAAACATACAAACCATCTAGGCGAAACTCCATATTGTGAGGACTGAAACCCTATAGTTATTCAACTCACAACATAAGGTCAGTGGACACAAACGATGGCGGCCTCAAAATTGGAACCAACCTTGTGAAACACCGACAAAGGCAGATCGGTACATGTCAAAGGTCAATGATAATAGCGATTAAGACACAACTCTTCATTAGTGTAGTTGACTGAAACAAAAGACGGAAAAGAAGGCAAGGAATATATGGAGTAAGTATAGCTCATCATACTTCATTGCAGGCTGTAGTGGTAGATGTAGCAAAAGACTGTCGGTGGATTAGCTCCCGTTGCCGTGATGGGCTCAATCTCTCAATTTTGATTTGTACTTTTACTGGAACTAGTGTCGGACCCCGTAGCGAATACGTATGTTTCTAAGAATGACGACAACAGACTCTGTCAGCTAAGCTACGACATTGATATGTTAAGTTGCGTAAAAAACTAATTCACTTACCTGGTCAGTACTTTGAAGCGATGCGATCCGAGTATCTCCGAAATCTCGTCGCCTAAGAATCTCCAAGTGACAGAACGTGTAACTAGTTCCTGTATTCACGTGAAGGCTCTTCAAGGTGACTTCAGTGAAGCAATTGTCAGAGTCAATTATCATGCAATTCGACTTGTCATGCAATTGATCCTGGAAGACTTTATTAAGAGGTATGATGAGAACTCAAATTAGTTGATGATTCGATGCTGATGCATGACAATTCGAATCAGCAACTAATTTGAGTTCTCATCATACCTCTGAATGAAGTCTTGCAGGATTACTATCATAATCTACAGGTGAACTTATGAGTTTGCTTTTTAGGCCGTGTATGAGAGATGCGATTCTTGCCAAACACAAATCACGCATACCACCACACTCTATAACCCTGTTAATTACCACCAGAACTAAATATTTGGTCTGTGACCGAACTCTCCGAAGCGAGCCTAGATTTGTCTCGATATATCAGATCTTAGTCTAATCAATAAAGCTGGCAGGTCTCTAAAAATTTCAAATCATTACGTTGATCACTATGAACAACACTTCTTACCTGGAACTAAACTGCCGACCACACAAGCTATGGTATTCCAAGAGCTTACCGTGGCGATACGAAATAACGCACAGTGGTTTCAAGCTCACAACAGATCACCCGTGACTGTTATTCCTTCCTCAAACCTTGCTTGGGAATCAAATGTCTCGCCCGAAAATGAACTAAAAAAAGGGTTCTGGACTTACGTTTGTGTAGGGGACGAAGTCATCGGCCCTTCAGACGTTCTGGGACTTCTCATCATAGCAATCAAGTCCCTTCATCGGACCTCTCCTGCCGGAGCTTTACAGAGTCAACACATCGTCGATCGAGAAAAAAAACTCAGCGATCTGCGCCAGGTCCCCGTCTCGCGCTGCGGCGAAACTCGATCGTTTGACATCTCGTATTCCGGGTCAAATCGTTGCCGAGTCCCGACTGCGTTCGAGCTGCTCGAACGACGAAACCTGTAGACAGTTCCCGAGGAGGACATCGAGGTCCCCCATCCGAAGTCCGTGCGTGCACTGTCACTGTCAGCCCGAGATAGATTTGAAGCCCAACGGTTCATCGTAGCCCTTGGCCAAGGGTCGGGCGGCCACATTAAATAATCCACAAATGATTTGCGAGAACATCATAGCAGAAAGAGTGGGAAGACCCAATAAGACTAGGTTTCAATATCACCACATTACACAATATTTCATGCTGCACCTAATTTCATGTCTGACTACCTGCTCGGCTCCGTTTTGATTATGGATGGACTGATATCTTCTTTCCTACTAATTCCCCATGATGTACTGTAGTTCAGAGGTTCTACTAGAGCATACTGAAAAATCATAATTTCTACATTTTTTTCCTATAAATACCTTCCCCTTATTAGTAATGGATACATGGACCTTCTCCTAAACTTTAGATCTCATCCATAATGTCATACAACTTCAAGATTATAGTAACAGATAGATGAACTTTATGAATAGATGTATTCGTGGACATGCTGATTTCTTTTCTTTCCTTCAATCTATGGATATGGACGATCATGACTCCAAATTATGTTGTGTGATGTATTAAGACTTAATTCAAATAAGATTTAGTTGAATTAAATCAGGTTTTTGTGAACTTCTCACCGAAAACCAGACGTGATATAGTTATTATCGTCAAGAAGATGATGTTTTGAGTTGCTTATGCACATTAACTATCAACTCTACATAACACTAATGAAAGTAGTGTATTGCATACTGATTATATATCAAGTTTTGAGACATGACACAATAATGCCAAATCTTGAACTAAATAATATATATAGAGACAAGATATACACATTAAAGCTAAATGAAAAGAAAGAAAAGTTTTACAAAATTTTGAATTTCATAAGTGCTAATAAATATTTATATTTACTAGTCACGTCTTCGTAGTATTCCTCTTCAAAATTTTGGAAAAGGAATACAAATCTCAAATAGACAATTGATATATCATGAATGAATTCATTTTTCAAATGAATAAATTGATAAGTGTGAATGAAAAAAAAATTTTATATATATCAAAGAAGCAAACTTTTTATCTAAAATAGGAATATTTTAATACTATAGAATGTAAACTACATAGAAAATATTAAATTTTCTAATATATGTATTTCGAAAATAATTCCATCAGACGGACATAAATCATGAGAGTTTCTTCATTTTCGAAGAGATCTGAAATCTGTATAGACTGACTTGTTATAACTAAAGTATATATTTAACAATCATCATTCACATGTATATGTAATTACAGTACATGATTGTGGGTATAATATATAACGAATTAAAAGAGACGTGATCACAATATGCATATAGATATTTATAAATATGGATATATACCTATAACAATGATAGTTTCATTTTTCAAAAATAAAATAAAAAATACGGTTTTCATTTGAATTCATAAAAAATAGTTTTGTTTCCTACAGTTTTTTTTAAATTTTAATTTTTATGCAAAAAGGTGGAAGAGGGGGTTTGTGGATTTGGCGGCGCAGATCTATCCACCATCTGTTTGGCATCGTTGCTGCTCTTTGAATAGGGGATAGAACCAAAGGGTACCTCAGCCAAATACAGTCAGTCGTGTGCACAGAGATGGTGGGAAGTTGTTTCGATTTCGTCAAGTGGCGTCGGGACTGCAGTACAATCCAATCATGCTGTAATGATAGATTGTAACGAGCAAGTCGCCAGACTCGTCACAGAGCCGTACAGGGCCATACCGTATGCATGCTTTCCACAGTTGAGCCAACTGGGAAAAGCTCAGCATTCATGGCTGCGTCTCTGACAGTATCTTTTGGGCTCGAAGCAAGGACGGGGACCTACGTTCACCAAAAGTCGGCATACAAAAATCCCTGATCCAAGGACTTGAAAAGCCAAACCTCCCTAGCTCAACGACGTGTCTTGATAGCACAGAAAGCTGGCGGTCGAGCCACACCCAGGTACACCTACTGCTGAGCTCAGGTGTGTTATTCGCAGCGAAAGTGCTTGCACCCATGTACGGTTGGTATTAAGGTCCTTCGGTTGATCATCAGTTTGTTCTCGAAGATCTGAAGATAAATTTCGATCGTATTTGCACGAGAACCATTGTCGATGCCGGCAGCTTCATATCTTGAACATCTTCTCGAGCACAGTAACTAGAGAAGAGTCCTGGCAAGACTGTAAGATGCAAGTTGAGCTTGCCACCGGTGACAGCAGATCAACTATCATCAGAAGTCCGGTGTGAAGAATACGACGAGCTGGTCGAGCTGGCCTCGCTCATTTCCTTCAAGCGTCAATAAAGGTCTTGAGTCTAGACTCATCATCTATGAGGATGATCTTGAGTCATCTATGAGGAGTCTTCGAGATCCTCATAGATGATCTCGAAGGGCCAGATTCCTCGTCGAGAGTCAGGAACGGGAGTTCCGGTTGACCATTTACGTAGTAAACAGCTGCCAGTTGCCCGTCCTTCCGGTGGTATCCCGTAGGCTTGGCCAAGGTCCGGTGAACGGTCAACCGGTTAAGAAAAAGGTAAACCGGATAATTAACCAATTAACCGGTCATTTTGAGCAAAAATTATCCAAAATTTCAGATAATTTTCCGCAATGATAGTATGTGGTGCTTGAAGCTAATATGGCAGAAAGTGGATGATTGAGTACGCCAAAATGATGAGGAAACCAACTGGCTCCCAGCATTGCTGACCTCTCCATTTATTCGAGAGGCGTTTTGTTCTTGCATGGAACGGAGTCCACAACGATCCTTTCATCTTGGGTTCTAGCAGACTATGCACACATTAGGATAGCGACAGTTGACTCCGGTTGCGTTGTTAATCCACATTTCTTGGTACCAAAAAATGCAGAAAATGTACCAGAAAATGTACCTTTCCCTGGGACCGGCTAACCAGTCCCAGGGAAAATTGAGACCGGCTAAACGGACCGACGGTTAACCGGTTAACCGCCAGTCCGGATGGGACGGTGGCCAAGCCTAGTATCCCGGTAAGCGCTCCAGCTCTGTCGAGAGGCTTCTCCAGCTTTCATGGGGCCTTCCTATTCTTCTCGATATTTCACTTTCTACTCCTTGCCTTCGAGAATTGATGTTGTTTCGCAATCATTGGGCGGAGGAAGAATCGGTTTCAACCACGTACCGGACAGCTACGAACGGGCACCTTCCTTCTTTTCCCCTCACGTGGTGGGCGATGCCGGTCTCCATCGTCTACCACAGTCGCCGATCGGCCGTGCCTCCAGTTGTGCTCCCGTTCGGTGACCGGTAACGTGGTGGATGGGCCGCCGCTGAACTGACTCGAGCCTTTCCCAGTCGTCGCTAAAAGCGGGATTCGTGACGTGACGTTGTGTCGGTCGCTTGCGTCGATTGGCACGGCGGACGAATCTTTGATGAGAACAGAGCTGCTAGTTTGCTCATGCAGGACCATAATCTCGAGGCTCGTCCAGAGCTTTTGGATAGATTCGCTCCAGAAATTGCTCCGGGTCCGGACAATTCCGCGAGGCAATCATGTAGCTGCAGAGATACTGTCGCCAATGGTGGAACCTTCTTAACAGATTCAGAAAATTCTGCGCGTAGCAGCTCGATAGGATCAAAGTTTTCATCCCTGGAGACGCTCTTGTAAGAGCTACAAAAGTCAATGATACCTCTCACGGAAGGCACATAATATTCTCGAAATGACGGATGGCCCGAGCCCTGGCGAAGCAATTCACAATGTTGACTCTGTTCTCCGTTCTTAAAACCTCCGAGTCAAATTTTTTCCTTTAGAGAAAATATCTTGTCGAGTTGTGATTTTCTCGTCTTCCACGTCAGAACTGCATGTCACGCTCGTCGAGGTGAGGAAGAATTTCGTTCCTGATCTCCATGGACGCTTCCTTTCATGTGGTTTCAGGTGACCGAAAATCCACCAAACTCGACCACTGTACCGGATGGAGATTCGGCCTCATTTCATCTGTGTCTGCACAAAAGAGCTCGACACCTCTAACCTGAATCGTTTGCCGGACGTCGACAACAGTGAGAACCGTCATGTTATGAAGCAGCTGGCAAATAAGACACTTCATGGAAAGCGCATCGTTACTGCCATCGGTGCTCGTTAATAAAACTTCGGATACTCTGTCTGTTCATTTGAAATAAAGAGAAAGCAATTCAGAGCATTGCACTCCAAGTCAAGTAAAAGAGCAACGAGAAGAGATAGAGCGATGAAAGCTTCCGTCGAATTCACCACGAGAGGCACACATCCCCTAGGACGAAAATGTCACCCGCGAGCTCTGCTATGCCATGTCAAAACGTATATGGTGGCCTAAGACGCAACATCTTGCCTCCTGTTTCGTCCTGTTTCTTTAATCTGTTGCGTATTTCACTTCAGGGACCAATCTTTCCCCTCCATATTGTGGTGAAGGTGGTGAGGCATCGAATTCAGAAGACAATTTTCCTTGTCGGTGCATTAAGGCTATTAAAGACTTGCACCAAATGCATCTCGGACATTGAAGGTCGCGAGGAACCACCAGATCCTCAAACTTTAAGTGCAAAGAAGAAGACTGGACCTTCTTCGATCAATAACAACATGTCGATGTAAATGTCCGACAAAGGTTACTCGCATCGCAATGATTTTATTTCTGAATTATTACGTTTCATGGTTGTTCTTCGTAAGAAAGGCTATGCTTTTGAGTTAAACTTCCTTTTCCTTTACGTAAAGATCCGAGCTTTAGACAACCGATATAGTTCAAGCCAAGTAAGTGTCACCAGAAACGCACCTGCAACGCTTGCATGTCTGTTATGATTTTGCACCAAAAGCAGAAAACCTCTTGAAAGATGTAGCTGTGATGATCACTTTTCGGCAAAGAGGGAAGGGGATCAAGGACCGAGTGACTCAACAGAAGCCACCTCTGATCTCTTTCCTCCATCTTCGGGATTACGCTCGGTGAGTCCTCGTTTCAATGTCGATTCTGATGCTGTCGAGAGAAACCTTGACAACGAGACATCTTCTCGTTCATCGTGGTCAAGTTTGAGGCTTGCCGATATTCTTAGAATTTAATGAAAGCATTTAGACGTTCATTGCAAGGAACCAGTTGTGGAATCGGATACTCTACTCTGAAAGTGAAATTAAGCAGACGGAGTTCGCATGTAGCTCCATGGAGGTGAAAGAAAGGTTCGTCTTCACGAGGAAAAACGCAGAGCACGAAGAAGGCATGAGTGATAAACCAAAAGTTGCTGTGCCGTGCTTGGAGAGGTTGGCAAGGAGAATCCACTTTTTCTTGACGAAGAGACACATCAACCAATACAGGCAGAAAAGGAAGAAGCAAAAACACGAGTTCGTCCCTGGACAGAGGAATTAGGAATCGCTTGGAATACAAAAACATCTTGAAAGTGCAGTCCTGGTCAAAGAACACTGTTTGTTTCGCTGAGTGTGTTGGTTTAGGTTGATGGATCGATGGCCTAGTCTTCTGCTTGACTGGAAAGCCTTGCCTCGCTTAGTGTCCTGGATGCTTTCACATATTTAGCACCTTCAGAGATTCTTAGCAAGCACTAGGAATCTCTGTCGAAACCTTCGCAGTTTACGCGATTTAATTTTTAGAGCGTACAGGACGATCGCCTTGCATGATCCAAAGTCTATGAAATTAAACCCGATATGAATTCGTTCCTTCTTCTAGTGACATTTCATCAGCAGATTAAAGGTTATTTCTTGCCGGTAATAATTCCTCACTGCTCAGTCTTGTCAGAAGAGTTAATTGACTTGAACTAGTTGCCTCTATTGTTAAGGCGAAAAGAGCGTATCATGTCTGTAGTTCGTTCTCAACAGTCAATGCAAAAGCATAGGCGACAGAAGAAGATTTTTCCAATGGATGTTCTTGGAGGCAGTGCCAAAAAAATCGTTTGGGTTTACGGTAGTGAAGCACTGTAGATGAATGACGTCCACAAGTGTTGTTTTCTGTGGGTAGGTGCACATGGCCAGGTAACGTACATGACTATCGGTGTAGGATGAGAGAAGCAAACATTCAGATTGACTGCTTCCCTGCCTTTATTCTGAGTACAGTAGTAGCTTTGAAATGGTTTTGGAAGTTTGATTGTAGCACCCGCTGTAGCGAGAGCTTTGCAGCCTTCAGCAGCCACACAACGAAGTTGTGTGTTCGCCTTAGTACAATCCGTATGTGCAGTTGTACGTCGCCAAAACATATTTCCAGGGACATGTACCTTGACTTTGTAATTCCAATGCCATTGTTGGGATCTGGCGACGGTTTGCTTCCTGTCAGTCGATGAGACTGTTCAAAGTCACTTTTTGGTTGATCGTCACTAGCCAAGTTTAAATTGTGTCAAACTTGGAGACCCTGGCAACCTTAAGGTATTGATCACTTGATCAATAACTGCATATGTCGTTTGATATCATTTACATTCAACTGTACAGAATTGGAGTGCACTGAATGTGAGCGCACAATTCATCTTCAAGACTCTTCAGCTAATGACCCCTCGGTCATTATCTGGTAGCTGTTTCGTGAAGCACGGAGTTGAGATTTAAAACTCGTAGAGTCAATATCCTGTGTGAAGAAAAAGGTTTATCTCCTTCTGGCGTAACTTCTGATTTTGTGTTCTCTATCCAATTGTGGAAACATTGACGAAGCTCAGCAAACGTTTTTGAAGCAAATATGTATTTGATTCAAATTTCAGTTATGTATCAGGCTGGGAGATCATTTGACAGTTTCCATGCCAGGTTTGCATCATTTTCAAAATCTTTTGTTGCTGCGATCCGAGAAAATGATAATATTTATAAATCCTGTCCAGTCGACTGAATATGAAGAGAGGTGGTAGATGGTTGGAGTTGAGTGTGTCCAACTCTGTCGATACTGAGTATCAATTGTACTCCTCCCTTCTGTCGAAAAACTGCAAAACTGTGTCTGACGCTGAGCGTCAAACACGCAGAAACTGGGCAGACAACTCAGTTTCGTGTTCCTCACAAAAACTATGTTTCAATTTAGATCAGATCCACGGACCTAATTCAGAGAAGTTGAGTTGTAGCATGAACATACCATCGGTCTTAAATATCTGAAAAGCTGAAAGGCAAATTCGAACTTATTCAAGATTCCTTTACAAAGAAAAGCCTCTGGTGTTATTTCGCCATCTAACCGTTCAATTGCAAAACGCGAGTCAGTGATCCCATTGAATAGCTTCTACAGAATGGTTAAGGAAACCAAGCAGCGAAGCATATCCTGAATCTTAGCAGGTATGTATGCAAAGTACAAGAATGCTTGCATCGCGACATTCCAACATCTTCCACCTCTCGGATTAGAAGCAATCAAGGTGAAATCGCGGAATGACAAGCTGTGTGCTTTGATCACAACCAGCTTTCTCTCAGGGTCGGTTCTTGAGCACCACTTCATGATGTGCGGTTCATAACAGAAGCTTTTGAGATGATTGGCAAGGTAAGGAAATGATGAGGACTTACTGACTCTTGTCCACTGTAATTATATACATTGCAATCGTTTGACAATCCACATCCAACCTCGTGAGACCGGATCAGTCGATTCATCTGTTTAGCTGCACTGGTGTGACCAACCTTCTAGTACAGCAACCTTGACAGAGTGAAGATCCTGACTTATGAAAATAGCTACGCAGGTGGTATCCACATTGGTTCTAGTTTGTTGCACACTCAGGAGGAGCCTGAGGGTATCTTTCAGTGTCTGTGCAGTAATCGTAAATCATGTACGTTCTCTTCACGTAATTTAGCTCATTGAGAGATGTTGCATCCAAACTTTGGTATGCAGCTCCTGACCACCAGGCGACGGCGTTGGCACAGTTCCCTGCGCCGTTGGTATTTTCGCATGCTTCTATGTTGAAAGCTTTGTACGATGCAACAAACGGAGCGCCAGTCCAGTCAATTTTGTCGAGTCCACCCCTGGTAGCCCACTCTTCTCCATTCCAAAGGCTCGAGTAGATGCCCATCGGCTTGAAATTAGGATAGTCCACGCCAAGATTCACGTTGTTCTTGAATATCCGGATAGGCCTCTGGTCCACGGCAAATCTGCATAAATCAAAATGAAAGGTTGACAGAATCGAATAGTCAATTACCTGAACCATGGTGTACAGGAACATTTTGAACAATTCACGTACACGAGTGGCAGTATCACGACGTCAGCAAGCTGCTGCAGCCTACCCGAAGGGTGAACCGGATGCTTCGATCACTTACATGATAATCTCTTTGTTCCACAGCACCGAGTAAGTATGGAAATCTGCGGTCGGGTCGAACCAGAGATACAGGCGTTGTTCACGAGCTCCCACCCCGTTAGCGAACACATTGGTTTGAAGAATGTAAGGTTGGCCCGTGGTGTTCCCGAGGAATTCGAAGTCCAATTCGTCATGATAGGGTGAGCTCATGTCAGACGAAAGCTGCAGGTCCCACAATTCCAACACGAGCTCAGTCAGCACCGAGTAAAACCTTCAGAATACTTAGCAGATCTGTGAAACGAATTCCAAGCGGTACCTCTGTGTACCCACCGGGGCCATCCACATGCGGCACTCGCTAATACTTGCACCAGTCTCAGACTCAGTGTTTGGAGTGTGATCAAAGTCTAACGCTGAGCATGAAAGAGAATGTTGGCTTTCAGTGTTGGTGTTCAGACTGGGCACAGCGGCTTACGTAATATGCTGTTACAGTTCCGGCAGAATTCCCGCCTACGAGCTTGATTTGAGTACTGACATATCCGAAAGTGTACATATCTTTGGAGGCGTATCCGGAACCTGGTATGATCAGACAGGTACCACATTATGGATTGCACAATCGCTCGTACTTGCAAGGCACATTGATTTATCAAAACTCGACTGCTCACAGTACGAACATCTGTTAGATTTTACCAGACACTTGATCCATCGTAAGTTGAACACTGCCATCCGCAGCCACTAGCACGTGATCTGTGCTCCAGGAAACCGTGTACTGACTGGCGAATGTACTGAGCTTGGGAGGCGGAACTGACTGGGACGCAGCGGATGATATACTGAGACAGGCTACGAGAAGGAACACAATTTTCGACATGATCGTCTTCTCAGAACAGAAGGATGCCATGGATGGATGATAAATCTCCCACACTGCTACTCAATTTTCTTTCCGAGAGCTCCGAGAGTTGGCCAGAGGTGGCTGCCGTTCCCCTCCTCCCGGGCTACGCACACGAATGGATGCACCTTCAAGTTGCCATGGAGGATGATTTCCGAGCAGTAGAGCAGGTAGGCACTGCTCTCTACAGCGCTGACTCTGACTCTCAGATTCTGATTCCTCTCGCTCCACAGCGCACACGGAGGAGACGACTGATATGCTAAGGATACGATGGGTGCGATCTTATGTATGGATTTCAAGCAATGAACTCGAGCTTGATTGCTGCCCATGGTTGCGCAGGATGTGGCCAAGTCCGCGTGCATGTCGTGACAGGGTCCACCAACATAATCAGCCCCGGGAACCATGGGTTGGTGGCATGAGCGGGTAGCTTGCTGGCTCACTGGCTGGCTGGTAGTCTGCGTCTTGGGTTGGGCCAAGGATGGCAAGGCAAGCCTCACTAGCTAGAGCCGGACCAGCGGAGGAGACTTGCTGCTGCAGCATCCGGAGCAAAGGTGGATCCGGAAAGTAGCGCAGGAGGCGCACTGTTGCTCGGCTGGGGGTCGAGCACTCGACCCCCAGCCGAGCGCTTCGTCCGCCGAAGAAGCGCGACCTTTACGCGATGACCTCCGCAGATCACCGCCGCTGCTGAGGCTTTATCCGGGTCTGTGTAGATCCGCTCAGCTCAGCTTAGATCAGCAAGCGGTTTGAGTCTCTCAGCTCCTCCAAGGCTCTTCTAGCATCACCGATAAACCTCTCCCCACCACCATCATCGTCTATCTATCTGGATGACACCAATGACTTTCTGGCTGCGCGACTGCCAAGGCAATTCGCTGATGTCGTTTTATGATCCGCATAAATCTCCCCCCCTGACGTTCTGCTCCTGTGATCGGACTTACTTTCTGTTCTGTTTCTGGCTTTGCCTTCATGTCGACTTTTACTCTTCCTCTCATCAGAATTGCAGGACCTTAGGACATCGGGACCTCCGACAATAGTCAACTCACGTGGGACTCGACGGGGGAGTCTGGCGATTGGCGTCGATTCGCGTTCATCTGCTGCCTCGGGCTAATAGTCCGAGGCAAGCCTCTTTGCATCGAGCCATAACTACGATTGCTAAAAACTTGCATCAGTTCGGACTGAGGTTATGACTACTGCCTCCATTCTGTCGACAGCTGCTCTCGCTTGCACGAGCCGTTCACAATTCGGAGGGCTTGATGCGTAGCAGTCAAGGTCCACAGCACCTCCACTCTCCTAATAAAACCATCGGAGTTGACGTATGGCTCGCTTATGGCGGCACAAGCAGTCATACGATCCAGTCATGCTTAAGCTTGCATCCTTCATCTCGTACCTGGAGACCCCGTGGGCTTCATATTCATCCATTTATTAACTGCTGATTTTGTAGCTATCCAACAGTCCCACTGGGCACGAAGATTCTCCCAGCACTAGACTACCGGGCTCCGGAAGTTGGAAGTGGTCCAGAGGAAACCGTCTATGGTTTGACTTAGTGATAAATGCCAGTCCGAGTCCAACTTGATTGCCCATTTGATACTCCTGGCTGCGTCTGGAGCCTCAAACCATATCCTATCAACAGAAATGATATCTGCTCCACTATGATATCGGTTGACTAACAGCTACACACTTTCTCGTACACGCCAGGCGAGGGACGTCAAACCTGGAAGCGATGGGTAAAAAATTAATTTCAGTCCACGGACGACGCAATCTCTCTTTGATCTCTCTTTACCTCTCAACTCATGTGTCACTCGTGTGAATCGGTGAATTTGTACCCTTCGTTGTCCTTTAGCGGAACCGAGATGATAGAAAGTTGTGGGCATGGCTGTAGCAAATTCTGCACTGTACGTACCTTCACTGCTAGCGGCACTAAGTTGTGTATCATGGATGCAGATCTGAGCCGATCTACGACACCATTTGGAGGAATGAGGCGAGCAGTAGATGCGAAGTGGTATACATTACAATATATATCTCCGATTGTCGGCAGGAATTAATTCTGGTTCCAAGTCGCGACATAGTCATGAGAGACACAGAGAGATAGAGAGTTTCCACACTCGTCCCAACGCAGCGTGAAATTCATTGTTTTCTCTCCATGCCGCGAGCTAGAGCTAGAGCTAGAAGAGTTCATGTTCTTGTAGCTAGTCTAATATTCTCACCTGGGATGCTATACAGTCTACAATTGGAGAGCATGACATGATAATCTCTGTCATCATTTCGCGGAGATTCGACTTCAATAACATCGAGGTAAAGTACTCGTGTGCTCGTTGCATGCTCGCATCACAAAGTGGGAGGATGGGGGGTTCTGGAGGGGCGACTTTTATCACACTCTCCATGTTTATATTCTCGAGTGTAGGGTTGCTCTTCCGCCCTCAAGCGACATCGAAACTCTTTACGCAGCAGCGAGCGAATCAGACTGAGAGCCTCGGAGGCGGATGGTATATCCACCGCCAGTCTAAGTTCCTTGGATCCTACATTCACTCTAAAGATCCTTTCTATGATTGATTCCATTCACTTTCCAGCACATTCTTCAATTTTCCAGTCATCCATGTGCTGCTCATAAAGGCACATTCGAGAACCTTCAGTTAACTAACTCCTACCTTGGTCGTTTTACTGTCGCCACTGCCATGAACACGCCAGATCGATATACTTCGAGTCCTTACGGGACGAGAGATGAGTTTAGTTCCAGCACCGTGTAAACGACAGTTTAGGTGCTCATCTCGAGGGTTGGTGCAAACTTTATCAGATTGGGCCCAACATTGATGGGAACTCACTGCAGAAACTGGAAAGATCCTCTTGACCTGCTGATATAGAAGAAGATGTCCTAAAATCATCGACGGCGTCGCTGTTGATGCTGAAAGCCGATCAACCATTTCACGACTTTCTGGGTTTCGAGTGAGGATTCAGGAGAATGGCGGCACATCTCTCACAGACCGTCCTTGGGCAGAAGTGTTCCATGAAAAGGAAAGCCTAGAGGGACTTTGTTGGGTGCTGGTGCTAGACGAGAAGCCCCGGGGCATTATTCCTCGCTGTGGTCTAAAGAGTGGTCGGAGGCAGAACTCTGTTCCGAGGCAGTGACGTAGATGGTCTCTTTTCTCATTGAAGAAAGCCCCGAAGTCGACGTGGATCTCGAAATTGGGTTTCAAACGGAAGAACGTGTGGATGAGCAAGCATCCAGCAGGATCTTCAGGGCTCAGAAACAAAAGGCCTCAGCGGTTTGAAATTTGGCACCTCTCGAGTTCGTTCGATTACCGATATTCCATTCCCATGGAGACAACGGAAAGTTGGAGCAAATGATGAAATCAACACTGAAGATACGCAACTGAGGTGGTAGAGCATGACTGTCGTTCAAATCTCTTGAATGAGTGCTCTGTATGACGTAGATGCTGCTCAGTCAACGAACACGACAGGATGACGAATCGGTTATCGACCGGCAGATTTCACCATAACCTCACCTTTTCATCCACTTGATCTTGCCGACTTTGGAAATGAATCCATACATACTTAGTTTCTTCCCGCACAAGGGACTTCTACTTTGTGAACCAACTTTGTCTTTTGGTCATCGAAGAACCGAATGTCGTTCCTTGGACAGGGAGGAGGACGACATGCGCTTTACAGAGCAAATTAGCTGCACAGATTAGCAATCGCTGCCATCGTGAAGTATGTAGACACCAGTCTTCAAGCAATTTCCGACGGACTTTGCATTAAACGATCGAGTTTATAATCAATCAATCAATCAATCAAAACTCAAGGTGGTCATCGGATCGGAAGGTTGACGACGCAGATTCATTTTACGTCCATTCCATTTGTACTTTCTACTGTAATACCAGTGAGCATGTGCTCTGCCAGATGACATCTGGAAATGAAATCTGGGAGGATGTGTGCACAGCTGCTCCTCGAACCTACATCAACGTCGACCGAGTAATGGTGCGAGGATTATTAATCTTCGTATGACATCTAGAAATGGTTTGTGGTCAGCTCAACACGGGCTTTGCTTGCACTCGCTTCTTGCCCTCGGGCTCAAAGGCAATATCCAGCGCTAAACCCTAACTTTTCCTAAACCCATGGTAACTTGTTCTTGCGCCGATCTAGGGGGAGTTACGGTACTAATAGCGGAGAGTAAATTAGAAGAACTGGAGACGTTTTTCATTTATTGTTAAGAGTTAAAGGGTGCAACGACCAAAAAAACTTCTCTTTTTTGTTCCATGGGTAAAAGGTTTAGTTGTAACAAACAATGTGATTCTTTTCCAGATGACAGAAGAGATAAGTTTCATATCTTACTTTGCATGACTTGGTTTTTAGAGGAAAGTTGTTCGAAAATAAGGCATATTATAATAGATTGTTGTGAATTTATTTTAGATAGGAGATTTTCATATTGACAACTTTGATTTTTAAATATAGAAGATAATCACGTTTTGTATTCATATATCTGGTGAGAGATATAACTTGAAATTCCCTAATGGTACTATAATGAGCAATATGTCATAAATCATGTTGTTTACACAAGAATACCTGGGTGAAACATGTGCATAAAGATTATAATTTGGGTGAATATGAATTAACAAATCTACTTTCAGACACGATTGTCTTTCTACATATGTTCAAAACCATATTATTCAAAATGAACAAGTAGTCTAACATTTGACAACGTAATTGTAGGATCTCAGAAAAGCTCATACCTAAAATAATCTTTGAGAATCCCACATCAACATACATGGTTCATCTCCATGTCTAAGATAAAAAGCTTCATTAAAGTGATAATGTACATTAGGCTTCCATAGCCAAGCTCTCCACTACAGTGTATATGTGAGATTGAAACATCCGGCCAAGATTAAAAAGCTTCACTAAATCCAGAATGTACATCAGGTCTCCATAGCTCTTCACTACGATGTACATGTGAAATTGAAACATCGACGTGCTTGTACTCGGATTAAGTATACCAGACTTTAACTAGAGGTCAAGCCTAATTAGGGTTATATTAACTATGATTAATAAGAGGCGGGTTAAACTTACAGTAATAATGTAATTTATATTCATCCGCAATTAAAAATATATCATTGAAATTTTGAATATCAATCTAAAAGAATCATTGTGTCTTCAAATCTTAAAATTTGAAGACGCAACCTTTAAAGACAAAATAAATCAATTATAGATGACTACATAAATGAAAGTTGTAGTTGAATATAAAATGACATTTGCTAGTTGGCTTCTTGCCATGAAGAACATTCTCATGCATTAGATGGATTACTAAATAATAAGATCCAAGATTAGAAGTCCAACTCTATGTCCTCTGGTATGGTTTCTTGTTAGTTGCATTTCTGGATATCTTTACATTTTTTCTTTTGAGTCCATGTATAACATGAAACAAAGTATTCAAATCTGATGAAAACTTCAATCCTTCTGAATTTTTATTAATGTCAAAAGATAGTCATTTATTAAGTTATTTATTATTATAGATAATCTAGAGTGCTCTAATTCTTTTTTTGACTGTAGATCTTCAAATGCTATTTTTTATTGTCTCTGTAAAATTTCTGTCCAACCCATTTATTTATTCAAAAAAGTTTTACCCTTACTTTATTAAATTTGATTCGAGTATCATATACATCTTTCATACACTAGGGAATTTGTGGGTCTATGATAAGGTGTATTCTGAGGTTTCCATCTTTAGTGTGAATTGGAGTTATTAGCAATGGTGTACACATCATACTTCATATTGTATATTAGTTGGTCCCTCTCCATACCAATCTTATCTTCACGATCGGTGGTTCCAGATAATTTCATCATCGAATAGTATGCAAGAGTGATAGATTTTATTTTATTTTACAAGTACTTTACAGGAAGACGAAGGATGTTTTCTCTTGGAGTTCCAACGTGAACTCATGTAATGTTCCAGTTTGTTCAATTACTGTTCTAGACTATGACGATTTGCCTTCAAGGTTAACATAATGATATATGAGCTCATGAAATATTCCAGTTTGCTCATTTATTGTTCTAGAGTACTACGATTTACTTTCGAGGTGAAAATAGATAGGATATATGAGCTCATGAAATATTCCAGTTTGCTCATTTATTGTTCTAGAGTACTACGATTTACTTTCGAGGTGAAAATAATTAGGATATATGAGCTCATGAAATATTCCAGTTTGCTCATTTATTGTTCTAGAGTACTATGATTTACCGTCAAGGTGAAGAAAAATAGGATATATAGCAAAGGAAGATGAAGATGAAAGATCATTTCTCTTGAAGTTCCAACGTGAGCTCATGTAATTCTCCAGCTTGCTCAATTATTGTTCTGGAGTACTGCAATTTACCTTCAAGGTGAAAATAGATAGGATATACGTGTGCAAAATGCCTGTGACCGTTTTCTTACAAGTCTTATGACGGAAAATGAAGTATTTTTTGTCCTAGAGCTCCAACACGATCTCATCTAGTTTTCCAGTATGCCCATCTATTCTACTACGGTAAATTCTAAAACTTACCTTGTCTGTGGGATGAAATAGGATAAATGTATGAAAAACTACGATAAATATAAGATTGCACATCTGCGTGCTATGTACAGACCTGTGATGCGGATGGGTAGGTGCTGACACTGATACTGCTACTCGACTTGATTACGAATTCAGAGCGAGGCTGGATCAGGGCCTTTCTGGATCTTTCTGGTCGTTGGTCTGATGGCCGAAGTGGATAACGAAGAATGCCAAGCGATTGAACATGCTACGAGGAGGAGGGATATATGTCGCAATAGAACCATGCTCGTCCCACATTGTGCAAGCAACTGGAAAGTGAGAGGAGCACACGAGGCTGGTACGAGAAGTCAGAGTTATGAATGATCAAAGTTGGACAGAGGTCTTGTTGAAGAGGATCTCATCTGAATGCACACCCTATTCGAAACTGTGTACCATGAAGTAAGTAAGAGCTAGGGACACTGTCGTACTTAGCCTTGTAGCTACTTATGACCCTTCCAATCGCTTCCGCAGTCATTGTGTCATCTTAGATTGATCGCCAAGCGAAAATTGTGTATGCTAGCGTCGGTCAATCTAGCTTAAGATTTGCAGAGAATATGCTGTTAAAGATTGTGGACTCGTCACGAACCTCATGTCACGATGTTTCAAGTAGAAGATCCACCTGCACATAGAGCTTCCATTATGTTTGTTTGGATCTTTTACATCTCTTGGCATCCCACGATCACGATCTTTCTCTAAGGAACGTAAAACCAGCAGTGTACATCTTGGCAGTCCATGGAGTGAGAAAGGTTTTGGTCAGTGCTTTGTACCGCAAACACTGTGTGCCTACTTGTCACCTTGCGCGTCCTCACGACTCACGTCTCATAACGAAAACGGCACGAGGCCCGTCGTTTCACGTTTTGGGACAGGAGATCCCTGTGCTGATAATGTTGGAGAACCTCTATGGTTGAAAGATTCAGTCGTCATAATATACACTGGTCTTCATAAGTCCGAGTTCCACGAGACATGTGACCTGCAGTTGAAATGGCTGCTTTTCTCGTTACGTAGATTGAAATTGCTTTCGACCTCAAGGATGGCGAAGCAAACTGAAGTGTCCTCGTCTCCCCTGGGGATATGTACGTAGTCAAGATTTTTCTCGATTGTTATACTCTCTTCGTGGACAAAATAAGGAGTTGCTCTACGGATCTACGCTTTTACACAAGAATTAAGGCATGCGTCTTCTCATGCTGAGCCAACAGTATCTGCTCTTGTGGTTCTGATTTTGATCTACATGATCTCCATGAGAGAAATCAAATGGGTTTAGAATCTGAAACCCCATTGATACTGGTATAGTACAGATACAATTTCCGGGTCAACCTCAAATTTTCTATGACTTTCTGAGAAGTGTACAACAGTATGTTAACCTTCTAGCGCAAACATACGTTTTGCACTCTCAAGAGTGTTTTGGAGCAACATGGCAATGGTCATAGGCCCTACTCCTCCTGGTACTGGGGTGATGAATCCCGCTACCTTCTTCACTTCTTCAAAGTCAACGTCTCCAACAAGGCGGTAACCGCTCTTCTTGCTAGGATCATCTACAGAATTGGTGCCAACATCGATGACAGCTGCACCGGGCTTGATCCAGTCTCCTTTTATCTATGATTCAAACAGAAAAGTGTAAGCAGAACGAAGAGCGAGAAGCAAATGAAAATTCATACAGACTTCAGATATGGCCTGCTTCAGTTGACCTCGGTAGAGACTTATATTGTCGTTGGCCACAAGCTTTGCCCCTTGCTTTTAGGCATATCTAAAACTTGATATAGATCCAGGACCCTTACCATCAGCGGTTGACCTGCAGCAGCTATGACGATGTCCGCTTCTCTGATGATTGCTTCGGGGTTTTTGGTGCGTGAGTGAACAATCGTGACGGTGGCATCACGATTATTTAGCATCAATGCCACTGGCATTCCGACGATGTTGCTACGTCCCACCACCACTGCCCTTTTCCCGGCAATCGCGATGCCACTTTCCTTCAGTAGCTCTATGCAACCCTTAAGATTAAAAAGAACGTTCAGCGTCAACAATATTAGTCGTCTGAAAAAGACATACATTGCACAGCAAGAGACAGAGGCTGTCCGAGAGATCAGCTTACTTATTGCATACATCCAGAGAGTCGAGCAAAACCAAGCGATGACATTACGAAAGTGCATTACAACCCACAATGTGGACAGAATTGGAAGGTAGAAACTTTCAAAGTTTTGGTTTGATTCCTGCAAATGATGTCCTAGTTTGTGTTGCATCCTGACGCTGCCGTTAGTCCGACAAGTCAAGCTCAAAACATAATGGATTATCATTCATCTTGGTTAGGCCCATGAGGAAAGAGGATCACCCAAGCTCTTCCATGCCAAGCATTCAAACATACTGTCAATTTGTCATTCGGGGGTGAACCAGATGGTGTAAAACCAAACATTTTCAACCTCAACCATTCATCCTCCAATAATTGTTGATTCGTTACATTTTGAGCTTATTCGAAACATGAGAAAAAATTGCGGCATATGACAGTTGTTTGAGGAATAATTTGGATATGCTGATAAATCATCAAGAAAGCTGACAAATATATTGTTTGGTGTATGCAACCGATATACCTTTGGAGTGCAGGGACTGAACAAAGGTTCTCTGCCCTTCATAGTGAGATTTCCGATGTTAAGAGGGTGAAAGCCGTCCACATCTTTCTCAATGCTGATGGCTAGTAAGATCTTTTGTTCATTAACATGCTTGGGCAGAGGTAACTGCACCAGTATACCTGAAAACTCCAAAACATTGCAGGAATGTGTATAAAATCACAACCTTCTAGTGAAGTCTTATCGACCTAGAAGCCCGCTGCCAAGCCCCTTTGAGCTACATTCAACACACATACTGATACCTAGAACCGAGCATCGATAACGTAGACAGTGCCAATGCAGGAAACTTTCCAGCAAGTTACTAAAAAATCCCGGAGCAGAAATCCAAGCCAGACTACTAAACGGAAGGTCTATCTGACCTACCACAAATAGCGTCCATACGTTGTTCAACAAAAGAATCTACGGTCAGTTTGAATTCAACACAGAAATAATGGCAAGCATTTAAAAGTAGCAAATAGAAAGAGACCCGATCTACACAACAGAATTCACATACCTTGAATCTCAGGATTAGCATTGAGCGCGAGCACAGCGTCCAAAATTTCCTCCTCGGTTGCAGTGGCTGGTAGATCTACATCAAAGGACTTTATGCCCACTTCGGCACAAGCTTTTCGCTTCATGCGCACATAAGTCTGAGAATCCTTTCTTTCTCCGACAATGAGAACAGCCAGACCTGGAACCTGTAACACCACGCACCAGATCAGTGACCAATCCTGTATTCCTGGAGTGTAAGTTAAGTGTCTCCTTCCAGCCAGCATTGTCCACAATCCCTACTACCGACTCTAATCCCAAGTCTGAAAGCACATCAATGATCCGACAGTAGTTTGAACACAATTCGGCTGAGCTGCTCAGAGAACTTCGTCATCAAAGAGAATTTCAACAGCTCGACGGGCTTCGAGTAGAGAGCGGAGAGCTGAAAGGAAATTATCAACGACGACAAAACAAGCGTATCAATCGTGGCACTGGATGGGCTGAAACGTCAGAACGATCTCTCGACCTCACCTTGTCATGGCGTTCTTTCAAAGTTGTGATCTCCTGAGCGATACTCCAGTGTATTTGCTTGGCGATCAGCTTGCCGTCGATAATCTGCGCACCACCTGACTCCGCCATCGCCAAGTCGATTCGCACAAGTCAGTTGGGCTCGCCGTTCCCCTTCTTCCCCACGAGTGAAAATTGCATTCTCCTCAGGGACCACGGCGGCCCCAGACGCCCCTTTGACCCCAGTTCACAGCGGGCTACCACACCACCATCCCAGTTCTCCGGTCGACAGGTGTCCGACTCATCCGTGCGGCTGCGGCTGCCGCATCCGCAGACGCAGATCCAGAGGCCCAGCATTCTTCCGTCTGCCCTGTCAGATTGACGGCACTGCCTTCTCTGAAACCCCCTCCCCTCCCCTTCCTTCGTGGAGGATCTCGACCGCCACCCATCTCCGAGACTATGGTTTTGTAGATTCAACGGTGTGACTAGAAGGTGTCCAGTAAAATAGCAAAATAGTTTGATGCAGATGCCCTTCAAACTCTGCCAGGATGAACCTAAGGGTTAGATCTCTCTACCAACACAATGATACATGTTTTCTTGGGCGTGAACGCCGAAATTGCATGTTATTGTTTGTAAATCACATAGCATTGAGGAGAAATATCTACTTTGATTGAGGTATGTTGGAATAAGGTAATATATTTTTTGTGTGAATTTATAGTTATGGAAGATAGAAATTAAAATTTTTCAAATTTTTTTCTTCCAAGATTAATTTTTATGAAAGCACATATATATAAATTAATAAGATTTTTCAAATAAATAAATATACAGTGATTAATCTCATTTTTTAACTTAGATGTTATTTGAAATTTATTCCTTTCGTGAATTGAATGTATTTGAAACAAAAATTCAAATCAAGCTAAAGGATTTTTTAATCTCTAATTGAATTTTTTTCTTACTTTTCATGTGATATAGACGTTTAGAAATTTTTATTATTTAGTGAGATAAAATCAATCATAAAATAACAGTCATCACTTACAATTGTTTTATACTAGATGTAATAATTCATGTGTAATAAACTTTGTAACCTTCATAAATTGATTATTTAAGACTTATTTACATTATGTATGATCTCATCATATTTTATTCTACATGAGATGAAACATAATGATCATTTTATTCATTTATAACCTCTATGTTGAATTTCACTCCGTTTTATATCAGATAACATTTTAACATCTCATAATAAATTTAAATTTACTTCTATCTATCATAAATGATAATAGAAAAACATTATCTCACACAAAATTCCAAATCACAACATCATAATCTTATGTCAATTTTCATAATGCTTCAAAATATCAATGTATTTACACTTAAATATTGATTAGGTATGATTAATTTCTTAATCTAATTAATTGTAAACCAGAAATAGCTATGATTAATAAATAAAAGAATTTTCGAAACACTATATGATATATTATTATTTTTTAATAATAGTAGTGATGAGTTTCCTGGAATTTCATTTAATAATATAATCATCCATATCATCAATGCACTCTATTTTGCATTTTTATATTATAATCTAGTATATTATGTAACTTCAAATGATATTAAGGATTCAATAATTGTGTTTTGTATTAGTTTTTATTTTTTTTATAATGATTTAGTTGATTCTTTAATAAATTCTCAAATACTTATTTCTACTAAAAATTAAATACAACTCAATTTTTTAGCTCAAAAAAGAAGACAAATATCAGTTTTAAAATTGCTAGAAGATCGAGCTAGAAAATCAATATTTAAATTAGAAATAAAAATATGCAAAGAAGAATGAATTTTTTTCATTGAGAATAAAATATATGATTCATATGTTTGAGCTAAATCATAGGAACTCAATTATCTTTGACAAAAGATATAACAAAGTGATAAAAAATTACCTGAAGATGATGAAATCAAGAAATAATTGTGTTGATATTAGTTTGCAACTTTTGATCTTTGTCAATAATTTTGATTGGTAGATTTATCATGTCAAATCTGGGATTTGTTTTATAAATTAGCTAATGAAGTTGAAACACAGATTTAATTTAATTTCTCTTTAAATCAATTGATAAATATTGATGAAATAAAGATTCTATATCAGAATTATGTGAAACAAAAACTTGAGCTTAGTTTTGCAACTTGACCCATCACTCTTTGTTATATGTAGAAAAGTACATGAAAAATGAAAAAAAGCTGTGAGCAACTTAATCAATCTGATTGCTAGTAGCTAAGATTTAAGAGCCAAAACAACAGGCGTATTTTTTACTAATATCTTACAAAATATTAATCACTATCAAAATTTGGCATATTTCTTGTTGTTAGTCATAAATTTCAAAGAAATCATCCTCTTGCTAGAACCCAACATTAGGTGACCATATCCATGCCCATGAGTTTTGGGTGACATTATTTTTTCATGGATGAGTAATATTTGGATGTACATATCTTTCAAATGGATACGAACACATGCACATCAATACTTCTTGAAACTCGGACACGCTAGTAAGTGATAGCTTGAACCTCAACTATCTCCTTTCCAAGTTATCCAACGTACATGACACAGGGAGAGTTGGGATACTACAAGCGAAACCATGACGTGAATGTCAAAATCGAACTACATACGGATCTGCTCTTGAATAAGGAAAAACCTATACTCATCACAACGAATAATACCCTACACATACCTTTGACCTGTAAGATGCTCATGTTGACGAGCTAAAAGCTATTGATCGACAAGCAGCAATTTTCTTTCCAATCTTTTCGGAACCTCCGTCAACCCTATTCAATAGACATATTCTATTGATTCCAATGTTTACACTCAACATCCTGAAGTCGGACTAAACTCAAATATCCCTTAGACTAAAGTCAGACTGAACTCAAACTTATTGTTCACTTCACTTAATAATTTTCAGGACATCAGTATTCGTATTGAATACATGTTGCCACTTATCTACATTCCACATGATTCTCCTCTGAATTTATAACGATGCATTTGTCACGCTCGGAGAGCTGAGCAATTGTGAGAGTAGATAATGAGCAACCTGTTTAAAACCAACAGAGTGAAGCGAGTTTCATATGTCACATGAAAATCGGATTGAAGATCAATTCTGTTCAAATTTTGTACAGTATCTAGAAGCAATTAGAAATTCATCTCGCGAATGTCAAAGGAAGGGTTTTGTCTTCCCGACTCGGCATTTGAAGTTCATCTAAAGTTTGCTCAAATTTCTAACGTCGTTCGTAAGTTCGAGCATAAGTTTGTTCAAGTTTGCATGAAGTTTGTTTGAAGTTCGAGAGTTTCAGTACAAAGATGCAAGATCGTGTCACAGCTTTTCAATATTTCCGAAAATGACATCTGTTATATCTTTCCAAAGCTGAGTTCCTGTTCTATATTGCGTTAGTATTCGCTTGCCTATTCATACATCGTCCAATTTTTTGTGCTAATCGCTCGAAGTATCAGATGATCACCTCGACCAGTCAACCAAGTTCAATTCACTTTGTTCTGTGAACAAGAGTTACCGTTATGGTTTTGAACAAATTCAAGGAAACAATAGACAATAAGAAGGATTTGGTGTTCAATAAATCATTGTTATGACAGAGTGTATCAAACATGTTTACTAACATGTCATTCAATTGAATTTGACTTCTTCGTGTGCATTGATAATAAATTTTCGAATTGTTGGAACTACGTAATTAACAAGACTATGAAACAAGTTGATGGTAAGAATAGCAAGCTTTTCAACCGATAATTTGATGAGCCCACCATGAGAGCTCTACATATTCTTGTTGACGCCAATAAGAGTTTGATCACATATTTTAAGAATCAAGTCTTCAATCAAAGTTGTCGAAGATGCCGAAACAAGAGAATGCAACCAAATGGAGATTTGTAGATTATTATTTCCTTAGTTTCTATTGAAGTAGAAAGATGCAATGTGAAAACTTGACCCAATCATAGAGATCTTTTTGAAACAATTAATAGACTTGTTGGTACCATTTCAAAAGTCAACTTTGAATTTTGAACAATTCAAAGAGTGTAAACTACACAATGTTGTATTTTGGAGATTTTAAAAGTTGAAGCATATAAAATATATTATTAACGATCTGATTAATGAAATGGTGCTTTGAGTACAAGTATAGATGCTTGATGTGCTTATGTTCCAGCAACATCATTGGATCACGTCATGGAAGAATCATTTGCGTAAGATGGATTTTTCCAAAGCTTTAGTTTCTAATGAAAATTCAAAACCTTTGTGATTGGTTGGCACAAGGGAAATTTTGGCAAATTCGTTTCACTAGAAAGAAGATGCACCATCACAAAAGAAGAGTCCTACTAACGACACAACGTATGTGCATGATGAGTTAGAAGAGACTTGTGTTAATAGAGCCGAAACCTTAGTTTTCAACAACCGGTTTTGTGCATCCTCGCATCCACCTCAAAATCAGAGTCAAACTTTTTGGATGCAGGGATAACAATAACCAAGAAGCGCTCCGAGCTCAAATTAGCAATAGTGAACTACCTTTTGTTTGTCATGTGGTGTAGATGTATTATACACATTGCATAATTTTTGAATACATGTACTTAATTTGAATAGCATGGGTGATGACAACTTATAGTTATGTTCTGGTATAAGTTCGAAGTAAAATGTTGGATTCTTATTCATTCTTGGTTGAGTTTGTTTAAATGTTTTATTTTATAATATTAATTATAATTTGTTATAAATTTTTTTATTTAATATCACCAATAATTTTCTTTATTCATTTCATAACTCCGACTTACTCTAATTTCAACATTTTGTCAAATTACTTTATCTTTAATTTTCGAAAAATAATTAATAGTTAATTTAATATTTGAAATAATAAATAATATTTAATTTAAATGATGAAAAAAATTATGAAACATGTGATTAAAAATTAATATAGATAATATGATCTGTACTAAGAGTTAAAAATTTCTCATCGTAATAGGTAAACATGAATTTATCCTTTATTTTTAACAATTTATAGCCGACTCAAGATAAATACATAATGTTTTCGGAATTATGTATATAAAAAAAAATTATTATGTATAAAATACACAAATGTGTATTTTATTCTAGGTGTAAATAGAAGAAAGTTTCCATTAGACCATTTGGCAGATTCTGTTTGTCCTTTAATCTGCAGATTATCGCCTAATATGATAGCAGAGCGGTGAAACAAGGATTGTGATGGAATGTGTTGAGTGCCACCGTACTAAAGTGCACATTCTGCGATGATGATTATGAAACTCCTCGTGTATCAGCACCTCATTTTTGAAGTGAGATGTATGTGTTGCGGTTAGGGGTTGGGTTCCAATAAAATTATTGGTAACTCATAAGCGCCCCAGATATTCCTCTTCTCGTTGAATAAAATGGAGCTGGCACAAGTTGAAAAGGAATGGCTTCCATCCGTACCATCGCGCTGTCGAGATTCGATGGATGGAAGATTGAGCTCTGGAATAGCCCATCTGGATCCCACTTGAACTGCTTCACATTTGGAGATTGTCGTTGCTCTTGTCCAGTTGTTCCCGAGCATTGCACAAGGAGGGCTGAGTGAATTCACGAGACTTCAGCAGCTGATGGACATGCACTTTTGCTGCTGAGAGCGGCTTGAGATTACATTTCAGTTGATTCTTGGCAGCAGAGCACTTTCAGGTTTCTCACTACACGAAGTTGTGCACATAATAGGTCTCTGAGTTTGAAATGTCTCCTTCAGGTGAATGGATAGAAGTTGATAAACAACAAAGAGCCGACACTGACATACGCGAGGAAGCTACTCCATATAAGCTTCCCGGTCTTCCCTCTCGCACCACCGTTCAGGAGTAGATGTGCTCCACACCAGTACACAGGCGGGCTCACCGACAAGAACCGAGTAGCCACTTGCACATGCATGACGAACATGGCAACTGCTGTCATAAAGCAGAGCTGGATCAAAAAGCACACAGCTGCCGGAGAGAAAAATCCTCTGCTGGCGACCTTGTAATCTTCTCCACCAGGTCCCTTGCTTGCTCCTTTCCCTTTAGCTAAGAAAGTCATCTCATCTACGTGGCTGAACATCGCAACTTTGGACTGCGTCGATGGAGAAGCAGCCAATCCTAATGAGAATAGAAGTTTGGGCTGTTTCTTCGCGTATGTAAAGATGGAAAAGATTGCAAGACTGAGCATCGGAGAGGCGAGTAAGAAATTCGGTAGCTGCTTGAGCTGGAAGTAGCGCAAAAACCCTACTTGCCAGTACTGGCTCTGCACGAAGCCGTAGAGGTAAGGCAGTGGAGATTTACACCAGGGGCGAGGAGGCGAACGAATTTGATCATGGCAGAGCTGGAAGTATCCGTAGGTTTGGAAAGCCAAGAAGGGAGCGGCAACGGCAACACTTTGCAGTATCGCGACAAGGACAATCGACACAATTCGCATTGAACTTCTCTGCAAACTCGCCAGATGGAAGACCTTGTGCATAGCCTGAAACAGAAAGAACCCTGCGTGCAGAATGCCGTTCGATCTCACGCCACTCGAGAGGCCAAAGAAAACAATCGATGGCCATTTTGCTCCGCTTACAAAGCACACGAGCCCTGTGAATGAAAGGAGGGCGAATAAACTCTCCGAATAAACTGCAGAGTAAAATGCGGACGCAGGGTTGAAGCAAAAAAGAGCTGCAGCCGTGAGCGCCAACTTCTCGTCTTCCAACAGAGCACGCGTCAACCGATAGAGAAAATAGGCGGCGAGAACGAAGGAGACATTGTTGATGAGGTAACCCGCAAGGGCCAGAGTCGCCCTCAGCCCCAACAACGGGATCAACTTTGGCAAGAAAGTCCGCGCAACGAAGCGCATCAGGAGAGGAAGAAGTGGCAGAAACGCATGAACCTGCTCATACTCATAACCGCATTCCGCAATTTTGACATAGTACACTCCGTCCCAAACCACAGATTTCTCGATTGCCCGCCCTAGCCTCGGGGCCCAGCGATCGGCATCCGTCGCCCCGTCGATGTCAGCACTCCAAGCAGAATTTTCCGCCAGGCAGGGCCGATTCAACTCCGCCGATGTATCATACGGGTCCGCCAGCCATCGCCACACGAAAAATAATGTGAGCACCAGCACGCGCGACTTCACCGCAATGCTCAGAACTGTGCGCCGGTGTCTCTCTTTCGTCGATGACGATATCGCCATCTTCCTCGTTCCTCTCGATTTTGCTTCGATCCTCTAACCCCAAACTTGCCTCCATGTCCACGATCCCCACCCAATGTGCCTTCGACCTTCGGCGTCTGGTTCACGGCAGTTCCATACCACCATCCCGGTTGTCCGGTCATACGGCAGCCGCAGCCGCAGATTCAGAGACCAAGCATTCCGGCTGCCCTGTCAGATTGACGGCACTGCCTTCCACGAACCCCCTCCCCTTCCTTCGTGGAGGATCTCGAGCGCCACCATATCCGAAACTATGGTTTTGTAGAGTCTACTACGTACCGTGTGCGGGTGTGGAATGTCATGCTACTGGCAGGTCTAATTTATTATATTTTCCCACAGTGTCATTGGAAAGTCTCCGGTATTATAGCGAAAATGATGGGTATACCCATCAAACTCTGCGATGATGGTTTGGTATATAATGATAATCTATATTTTGTCGGTTGTGTGACGTAGGATGCTCCATGATACGTATTTTAAGATTAACTAAGTCTTTTAATATTTTATTATCGAAGTGCATTTTAAGTTCATAAAATTCGAGGGTCGAAGTCAGAAAAATGTAGAACATGGTTTTCAATAGTCATTGTTTACCCTCTTGCTTCAAGAAAGATGTTGGATTGTAGAAGAATGAATAATATTCGTTTTAGAATTAGAAAAAAAAACATGTACGTTATGTAAGTGATTGAAGTTACTAAATGCCTATGACTAAGAATTATAAATCTGTAGGACTTACTCATCTTCACAACATGATGTAGTGCAGACTCAAACCCTGGGTGAGGCGTAATGTACGACTGATAAAATTGGCTCAAAGTAGTGAATACATAAATTGAACACGAAGTGTAATTGGTTTTGATTGTGGATAAACGGCAGCGAAGTAAAAGGAACCAAGCATCAAGTTTATCGACATAACAGCCAACAAAGAACAACAAGGGGCTTGCAAACGTCCCGAACAGGAAATGGGAAGATGCAAATGGGAGACCAAATGGACAAAAGAGAAATAAAATTAAATGAAAGATACAAGGTAATATTAGAGGCTAGGTACAGAATGTACTGTGAGAAATTAGAGGGTTCAGGGTTCAAGGTGAGCTTGCATGAGGGGGGCAAGTTGTGGCTATCATCGGATCGGGATTGAGATTATTATCAACCAGTGCAGTTTCATGGTCCACGAGGGCTCGGGACAATGGTCACCGTGTCCTGCGAAAAGAATGGTCATCTTCATCGGGCGAGCGAGAAGAAGTGTTCACTATCTTGGAAGTGCAAAGTTGTTTGGACCCTTTGGCCCCCACCTCAGCACCTCATGCTCATTTAATTCTGCAAAGTCGAAATTCTGACTATCTATCGATCTATCTAACCTGTCTGTCGCTTTGCAGCGCTATCTTCTCTGAAGAGGATCGTGCAGTTGACACCGATCCATGAAGTAAATTAATCTGATTACGATGGCTGGGTCCCAACGACGATGGGGCTTCTCACTTTGTGATACCCATCGGACCATGTGTAGCTTCCGAAGGCGTAGGTCTCTTGAGAAAAGTCGGCCGGCTTCGTCCTCTCGAGTTTCACTGTGAAAGTCTTCGTCTCGTAAGCTCTCGAGTACCGCAAAATTGAAGGGTATATGCTCACCTTCACACCTTCGGGAGCTTGAACAGAAACGGTGTACAAACTCTTGGCTCTTCCGACGTTGGTGACCCTGCGAGTGATGGTCGTGGCTTTCATCGTCAGATTGGCAACTGATAGTGAAGGGTAGTTGAGGTTGCTCAGAGATGGGAAATACTTTTCCGCAGAGCAGAAGCCTTTCTCGCCAGTGATGACCTCCACGTTCTGATCGCTGTAACCGAGAGCGCACAAAAAGAGGTTGTAATCTCGAGCACTCGCGTCGTATACTAGACCCGGTTCAAGAGCAGCCGGAGGATTCACCATCCCAGAACCCGTGGCGAAGGCGCTAGCTGTGGTGCCATCCCAATCCTGGATCGGTTTCTTGGTGTTGTCGACTGTCTTTGCTGCAAAAATTGAGTTTGTGACATTGAGTTAAAGGCCTTACGATTATGGCATTCTGTAATCACAGAGCTTTCATCAGCTCGGTCGAGATGACAGTGCGATGCTGTGTACAAGTTTCTTCTTGAGAATCGAAAGGTATAGCCTGGAGCTGGGCTCGGTAACAACGCTGTGGTGGTCACGTACCTGAGGTCATAATAGCTGATTTGATCGCTGCTGGGCTCCATCTGGGATGAAGCGCTTTGATAAGTGCAGCTACTCCTGCAATGTGTGGAGTCGCCATTGATGTCCCAGAAAGGAAGGCGTAGGGCTGGTTGTAAAACGCTCCCAAGATATCAACTCCTGGCCCCATAATGTCGGGCTGCAGAGTTCAAGGCAGCCGCCTGTGGGTTAGACGGAGTTTTAAAGATCAACGATCATTCACTTTGGTGGCCAAATAACAAACAATGACTCTCGTTAATTGCCCTCTCGTCTTTTGATGGTTGAATTGGGAACATTGTCATCGGGTGATTTGCAAACGACATGACGACTCCCACTCACCTTGAGGATAGATGGTGTCAAAATGTTGGGACCTCTAGCTGAGAAATCAGCCACCATTGGAGAAGGCTTCAACCCCAAGTAAGACTTGGGAGAATAGATGGTAGCCACGGGATCTCTGTTTCACGAAGTCGATTATATTCCGGTCTTGCGATTAAAATACCATTTTTATGGACAGGGTAAATACACAATGGAAGGACTGGTATGCAATACAGCATGTCATGAAATAATCCCACCGACATGAGAAGTAATCAGGACTTGTCACCTTGAGTTACAAAGCCCTTCGTCACAGCTGGATAAGAAAGCCTGGATTCGAGAAGCGTCAGCTGCCTTCACGAGAAGTGCAGGAAAGTTGTACACCAGGTCGAAACGAAGTTGGTAGTCCATCGATTTGTCTGCGTTTCCAGCGATCATTCCTACTCCACCGGCATCCATCACCATTTCGGCCTTGTCTTGCAAGTCCTCCGATAGGTCACCCCTTAAACAGAAGACTATCTTCCCTTGCACTTCTGATGGATCCAAAGTGTTGTTCAGACAGAACCTGACACGCGTGTAAACTTCGGAGTTAGCTGCTGACAGAACTCTTCTTCACGTAGCTCTCGATCTCCTCCAAAACAATCTCACCTCTAAGCACTCACTCAAATAGCGCGTGCAAAGAACCACTCACTTCGACGTGTTCGTAAACTTCGCAAATGGAGCGGTGATGGTGGGAAACTGGGTAATTATCGATCCCTGCAAATCCGACAAATTGATATGAGAATGTCGAGTGCAAGTTCTCCAATACATTTTACAGAATCTATGAAGGTTCCATGAAGAACATCATGAGAAATCAGCCACTGTAATCATCACCAATCTGTCAGTGCAAGGGGCATGAAAGAAGAGAGAAAGTGCAAGGAATCTGATGCCCTGCTTCCTTGAGGACTGATTTCGCTGTGTGTGGAACTTTCAGCTGGTCAGTAAAAGAAGATTGCAGACGTGAACAGAAGATAAACTTTATGCAGAGGCAAGTACCCTCATTGCGATGGAGGGCTTTGCGCGTCCCTGTAGTCCTATACGAACATCAGAGCCCAGGAAGCGATCGGTGGTACCAGCCGCTACTGCCATGGACCATGGCTCGCCATGGACCACGCGTCCGGCAGAGGGGCCGGTGTTTCCTGCAGAAAAGCTCACGAAAATGCCCTGCCGCATGGCGTGGTAGGAGGAAATGGCCAACAAGTCCTCGAACATGGGCTTATCGAGCCCATTATCGAGAGAGATGGTGATCAGATCAACCCCGTCCTTCAGGGCCTCTTCTATACCCGCAGCCACATCGGCGGTGGAGCACATTGCTCCCGCCCAGCAGACTTTGTACGCTGCGATTCTGGCATGAGGAGCTCCACCTTTGGCCGTGCCGTTCCCGAGTCCGTTCCAATCAGCAGGGGCGAAGTTCCCTGCTGCAGTCGAAGCTACGTGAGTTCCATGGCCATCCACGTCTCTGGCCGATTTGTAGTCGAACTCCCAGGTCGAGTCACTCACACCAAGATTGCCGTCTAAGAAGAACTTTGCTCCGATCAGCTTCCTGCAACTCACGGAATCACTCTGGTCAGGGTCAGATTCGGGCACGATCCTCGCCCGGCTTCGCATGCAGTGGAGCTCCGGGACTCAAGATTAGACAATGCATCATGTTTCATCGAGCTTTGAATGAATGATCGACCAAGATCTTGTGTTGGAGGAGAGGGTCGACTTGCCTGTTGCACGACTCTTTAGAGAACACGTCTCCGTCCACGCATTCACCCTTCCATCTGGCGGGGACCGGGCCCATGCCATGATCACTGAAGCTGGCCGATTCTGGCCAGATGCCTGTGACAAGGAGAAGCAGGCCGAGGACTTTCAGTATCCGGCCCAGAGGATGTACATGTCTACACGAAGATCGACCAACATTCGCATCATCCACTGGCCTAGAAGGCAGCAGTACCTGAGTCGATCACGCCAATGATCACGTCTTGGCCGTAGTTAGCTCGCTCCCACAGAGCGCCCGTCTCAGGGTTCTTGGGACTTTCGACGCCGAGAAATCTCCAGGAATGCGTGGTCTGAGTTTTGACGAAGGTGTTCGGGACCACAGACAGAACTCCCTGCATTTCTGCGATGGATGTCGACAACAGTTGGACGTGTTACTAGAGCAAACGGTTTTCATCACTGAGCATGCGCCGTGCAAATCACATCGTGCACGGATCAGACCTGTTGCAGGAACTCTTGCTATCCGGAAACTGAGCTGAAAGTGTCGTGAATTCAGTCAATGGGTAGAACTTACGGGAAAGCTTGGAAACTTGCTCGGGTGTGAGCTTGGCAGCGAAGCCATCGAAAACATTGTAATAACAGTAAATCAAACAGCCGTCCACCGAATCGTTACTGTAAACATCCACAACCGCAAGAAGCATCGGTGAGTCTCGAGTATCGAGGAGAATCCGCGAGTCCAAGAGTGCAAGCAACGAGTGACTCTTCAATGTAAGGGCCGCTATCACGCTAGTTGCCTGCCTGCCGACCTACAGACTCAACACTCTGTACGAAAGTACAGAGTCATGCTCCACTGTACTACTAGAGCACAAATCGAAATCGCAGCTGCGCATCTATCCATGGAAAGGGCTCATACAAATTACCCGCCCAATGCTGCTTCCAAGTAGCCACGATGAGAGTACGCTGGATCGTCTTTCCCCGCACGAGTAGGACTCAGTTGCACCAAGTGAATCTGCTCGACGAAATGCACGATATTTAGAACCAATCTCGCCGCCAATTATCTAAAGCTAAGCAAACGAATGTGTCACATCCGATTCGGCTTCCTTTGAAATCTTCTGATTGCCTTCTGAAGCAGTGGAGTGCAGAGTCGGATGGCGGGCCTTGCAATCGTATGATTGTGCTTCTTAGTAAAATGTCAACTCTCTAGTTGACATGTTACTCTTGAACTGAGAGAATCATTCTTAAGAAGCTTGTTCGAGTAAGAGCAGAGTCCTTCCAAAACCGTCCAGACTGACTGTACAGCGAATCCATCCACTGCAGGCTTATGTTCTGCCCGGCCATGGCTGACAGACATTACATCGAGCAAACATCGTAATCGAAATTCAACTTGTGTCACAGAGAATGTACCTGTTCATGTGCTGCAGATGAAAAGGAGAAAAAATTCACGGACAAAAGCAGGCCGAGTAGCCCGAGCCCACGCCATGACACCATACTCCTAGGATCCAGCTTCTTTAAGTTCCCTGATTCCAAATGAAGAAAGTTCCGAGGGATCCTATACGGCCACCAGATATTCGAGAAAAGCTCATGAAATCCTGCTTAATGGTTAAAACCTTACAATCTCTAGCTCCCTAAATTTGATTTGAATAGCATATCATAATGTACTGTGACGCCCTGCTTTGACAAAAGTTCCAGAGCTCTTCTCTCCACGAGCTCAAAGCCTCTGCAGGGCCTAGAGCACGCAACGGACCTTGGTGGGGTTCGGGAGAGGACACTTTTATATAGTCCGGAGAAGAGGAGAGAAGAGGAGAGGAGAGAAGAGAAGAGAAGAGAAGATCAGAAGCTGCTGAAGCGAGACCAACTGGGCACGGGTGATGGTTTGTGGAAATAGTCTTTCCGATCATGCCCGGATACGTGAGAAGATTATGAATTCACTGGGTTGACCATCCAGAATATATTCCGCCTCCAAACTTGGACACAGTAAACAGTCCCATCCCCTTCCAGTCATCACTCGAGAAAGGTTTGCAGCAACGCAGAGGAGTCAGATCTACCGCAATGCAAGTCTTGTTTTGCGTGCACGAGATTCAAAAAGTGGATGCAGTTTCATTTTGCTTCCTCTGTGGCCCTATATCGAGCACATCCCAACACGATCGCAGCAGCAGTCATTCATCCAATTGCAACCTGGTTCGGACTTTCGTCCCTTTGCTGGGTTTGGAGTCCGACTGCAAATCACGTGAACTACGGCGCCTTCTGCTCAGTGCCGGCGTACGTTTCCGGCCTATCAAATCTGTTTGTAGCTATGTAAGAGAATCCGACGACGGTTCAGACGCTCACGGATGAAAAGAAAAAGGGCACCAATTGTAATCGTCAATTTCGCTTACGTTTCCCTCTCTGAATCTTCATGAAGGTGTGTCAATGCAGCGTGTCAAGATCCGAACGGACTCGAGGTTCGGGTGGACATCATTGAGCTTCAGCTGAGTACTGAAAGAACGGAATAGCCCAAAAAAACTCAAGCAGACTAACTTCAGAGCTCATGATTAAACGTGGTAGATGGATACTTTAGTTAGAGAACGAATTGCTGTGGCTTAGATGACAAGGAGGATGTCTGTCGTACGTTCTAAAGTAATGGAGATAGCCAGAAGCTAGGAAACGTCCTCCTCATAGAGTGAAGGACAAGAAATTTCCCAAGCACATGATTCCACACGTAGAGCCCGATGGTCGTCTCTAGAGCTGATGAGCGTAAGGATCAGAATATATGTCGCTCCAAAAACATGTCATAATAAGTTCAGCTTGAGCTTCTTGAGAGAACATGTGGATCATCCCAACCAAGGAACCATGCAAAACCAGATAAACCTCTCTGCTTCATCATCAGCATGTGTAGTTTGCACATTCTTGGAAATTAAATGTCGAGCATTAAATTGGGCAAGGATGTCATCCGTAGGTATAAACCTACAGATTACTCACTTATAAATAAAGAAGGCCAGGCATAGCAGATTTACATTACTGCAACAGTGATGTAAGAGGAGATACCGGAGCCTTAATTTCTACGTTTTCAAGCCGAGGCTAATGGTTCCGCCGTTTCGATCAAACTGGATAACACCTTCAGTGACTGTGATAGCCGCCCCCCCCCCCTGAGATTGTGACTCCCCAAGATGGACTGCGATAGCAGGTCGAAACCATAGGCAGATATAGAGGATTTAGTGATATCCGCAGTCACCGGATTTGAAGGACTTAGCGAATTAGGCGGATGCAAAATGAAGTTTTGCTTGTGTATCATGAGGAAAAACATCCGGACCGCTCGGTCAACTTACGTACGGCCAGTACGATTCGCCACAGCTGTAGGCACCGAGAAGCAGTGCGCAGCACTATCTGAAAGGGTCCCACTTTTCATTCGACTCGAGTATGAAGCTCCTTGACCTATATTCACATTTCTTTTCCTACTTGCAATCCGTCTCAATCTAGCCTCGGACTGTAGTTTATGTGCTCGACCTGATCCTTGTCTCACTGCAGTGACAACTGCTCGTGGAAATAAAGGTGCCGTTTCATGGCTATAGAGTCTTAGGGTCAAGCCTCAACAGGCCCGCTACTATTTTAGCGCTGTGCTTGAACAAACGTCTTGAGAATAGGCCATCGTGATCTTTATCTGAACAATCTCCGGACAGTATTACCAGCGATTTTTTAAGACTCCAGGAGTCTAACTCGCGTCACATCGAACCCGGGTGAACAGAACAGATTGGATAAGCATTCCGAAACGCGACGGTCCTTCCCGATTGTGAAGGAGTACGAAGCACTCTTAAGATTCCACGTCCAATTTGTCAGCCAGAAGTCGTGCGGCTATGATAATGGAAAGAGTATCACAGATCATGTTCTTCAGGGCAAGTCCATCACGCGGTTTGTGAATGGATATAGAAGTGGTGATGGAACATAAAGTGATGGGTGATGCATGTTTGCATTTTATGTTTGAGCTAGAAATCAATCTTTGGAGTACTAAAGGTATGCGCGTTGTTGATATATCTTCTCGATGTCTTGCAATTCAGAGGAGGAGGAGTTGAGATGTAAGTCGAGATGGTAATGACGTCAGTCTGCAGATCAGGTTCAGATGCAGCCAGACGGAAAATGTGTCGACTTCTGTTGAAGGACTGTTGAAGGACTGTGTGTTGACTGTCGATGTACATCTTCTCGATACGTTGTCAGCAGTTGCCTGGATCTGCTCCCCGCCATCGAAGGGTGTCATGATACTCAGCTTCTCGGAGGATGCGAGATTGGATCACGTACCTTCGGACGTCTGATGTCATTGCAAAGCTCTAGAACGACCGAGGTCCATGACAGGAACAGATGCAGATTGCTCTGAGTAGCTCGAAGCTTCTGACTGAGAGCACGTCGATTGGCCCTCTCACCAACGCGCTTCAAGTACACTTGGACGACGTAATTCGAATTCTTCTCGATGACTGGTCTCGGATCACAGACAGGGCTGGGCCGGTGACAGTCAATTTCTCAGCGCAATGTAGAATACGGATATAGTAATCCGACACGAACATCGGATGATGTTCTCGAGCAGAACTCACAGACATGAGGAGGTTTGATGTTTCCGAAGTTTGTCGGAAGCTGATGTAATGATGGGCTCGGAACCCGCTTCATACTTGTTGCTGCCGAGACTTGGGATCACGTTAAGCTTGGAGCGCGCAGGTGACATCGTTGACTCAAACTACTGTATTAGAAAGTCTCGACCTTGCGTACGTATACAGCGACTTCTGAGCTCTGAAAGTCTTAGAAGATATCGTCATATCCATCTATCTATCTGCCATGTGTGCTCCAAATTCACGGCCAGCTGAACCCGTGTAGACCACCGATGCAGTTCCCCAGCTCGTGATGCAAGGACGTCGTTCTCATGATGCGTTCGAGTAGCACTAGTCCTGTTACCGCTGCAATACTCGAGCAGATGAAAACCCTTTTGTTTCCATTCGTCCATAACACAGTCCCCGGAGAATTTGCCGCCGCAAAGCCTGACCATCGTGCGCATTCGAGCTACAGCAGACGTAGACATAGCGGGCGCACAGTCAGGATTCCGAATCTGTACATTAAAGATACGGGACCCCGTCATTGCAGGCACGAAATCTCCGCATGAATGTTGTGAGAAGTATAGATTTCACTTTGACTCCAAGTAAAGTCGGAGAGGCGACAATCGTGAACGTGGAGCCCCTTCTCAGCACCGGACTGTTTGACCGTCGCAGGCCGTGAACATTGTTGTTACACGACAGACGAAGAAACAGGATGCAGGATAAATGTTAACTACAGTGTCATCCTGGCTCTGCGAATGATCTAAACTTGACTAAGCTCGCACGATGGGAGCAGATGTGCTGGTTTCATGGAGCTGGGTTGGGCGTACTCGACTCTGCTTTATTGGTATTTTCGTTTCGAAATTCGGAGCAAGTCGGAGGCGTTTCGATCTGAACCGATCTCACGAAGCGGACCCACGATTGACGTAATTCTCGTCGTTCGAGATCAATGGCTAGACTTTAGTGTCATCCATTTATCTGCACTAGCTGGCTGGCTTCGACATAACAGATGCTGTGCAAGGATCCGTGACGAAGGAGCTATTCGCCGTTGGTATGCGCTGTCGAGTGCCTTATAAACGACACTTGAACGAATGAATGCTGAAATTTAGTCCATTTGTCTAAAGATTTATGCATGCAAGAGTGGCAATGAGCGAGGTAAGCGTAGCAGAACGCGTGTTCCAAATGCATTGCAATCTTAGGACTGTGTAGGTGTATTCAGATGCAGATCTTTCTCGATGGACGTGAATCTATGAGCTCCGTTGCACTCACCAAACGACACGGATCTGAGACACTGACGGCATTTGCCTGCAGACGGAATCATGTTGCTTTCAAAGTGCAGCGTTCAGAAACATTGTGAAGACTCCATTGATGGTTCTAGCTTTCGTGAGAAAGCACGAATAAATCAAGTATTAGATTTACTCGGTCGAAAGATGTAGATTTCATTGAAAGAGTTTCTCGTCAGTAGAACATTACAGCAGAACGAAGGTGCAAATCGCAACATCACTTTAGAGGTCCTATAGATCAGTTGCAGTTCTTTCTCGCGCAGCAGGCCATGGAAGACGTGACGTAATAGCTCCTCGAGCCGATTCAAGAATAGGTCGTAGCGAAGAATGATGATTCACATTTGTGAAATCACTTGCAGATCCAATGGCAAGCTTTGGGGAGAAATGCTGGTCACGAACAGCGATGGCTCAGGACCACGTCCTCGGAGGTAACCGGCGGGGCTTGATAAGCGGAGCTCGAGAATGAATGTAAGGCATGCCTGGCTTGCCCGTAGATGCAGTCGGAATGGCTTCTGCACATTCATATGACACACATTTCCGTCCTGGATGACGTGAACTCCCGATCGTGATCATGCGCTGAGGCGATAACAAGGCTGTTTCTCGCCCCGCTGCTGAAGAATGGCAGTTGCACGATCGATCCAGCCAAGAGTCACGCTTGACGGCAGCACAAGTCCTTGTGCACTCTGAAGCATACCGATTGCACGTGCCACACTCGCGATCGACCAATGTGCAAAAATGCCGCAAGCGAACCGACCATGCATTCCGAATGGAACCCCGTACACTCTTTATCTCAAGAATGTCGATATACGGGCGTGAGCTGCACGATCGATGGTGTCGATCGTAAACTGCTCGATGAGCTGTGCTCTATGACTGAGTGGGTGACATACGCAAGCCGCACAATCTCGGGTCGAGCTCGCCTCCCATTGAACCGAGCAACTCAATTCTGTCTGACAGTGGACCTTTCCTCTCGCAATGCGTAGGAGCGACGAAGAGCTTTTCCCCTGGACAGAAAAGCATGTCCTCCCGGTTTGCACAGCTGCATGATGCTGACCGAAGACAAATCAACGTCGTTCTGCGCTCACCATGAAATTGCCACGGCTGTTCATTGCAAGAGAGAAATAGAGAGACGCAAATCTAGCGACGACTTATTTTCAGGATCCCTGCTGCAGAGAGAACATCGACACCAAGGGTGCGAAGCGAGAGGTGGAAGGGGAGTGGAAAGGAGTGGAAAGGAATTCTCAAACGACCATCGATTGCCTGCTTACCATAGCGACCGAAATGATTTGTCGCGGTCCCCGTATGAAGTTCGGGTCATCTGTCTTTCCCAGCAGACAAGGCCCCCAACCACGCATTTCACTGACAGTCGAGACCCGGACATGTGTCTAATGTGCTGATATGCAGCTCAGAGATTATACATCATAGTCGGCTCTCGATTTGGATAATCTTCGATGTCTGGTACTTATATATCCCAAATCTTGGAAAACTGGCAGGGATTTAGAACCCTAGCCATCAAGAGCCAGGAGTTGCATTGTCATGTTTTCATGAACAGATTCGAACATTTGACTCACGATCAGATTCCTGTGACTTCAAATATGTCACAGTTATGGCGTACGTAATTATTAAGTATCCAGTACTTTATACTTTTCTATACATCACACTCCGCATAAACTCATGATGGTAGTAGTTTAATGCCAAACTTCGATCGGATCGCGTAAAATTCTCACTAAACAGCACAAGACTCATGAAAGAGCAGTGCGATGGCCAAGGCTGACCAGAAGACCCGTAAATCTCGTACTGACGCATGGGCATCTCAAGCACAGAGCTGTGTATCGTTCTAAAACAACTACATCACGTTATGCTGTTTGAGGCCAGAGGATTTGATAATGGCGAGAGCGCTTAATTGGGAAATGTTCCTGTCCGTAGGACGTGGTACGAGAGTGTACTATACTGCTGGGATTCTCGTATTCTGAAATCAATAGCTGGTCAGCCGGAAGTGCAACTTGAGCTGAAGGTGGCCCATTCTCCGGTTCAAGATGAAGAAAGAGGTCATGCAGATTCCAGCCTTGAGGACTGCATTGCCATGTGGCCTACCGTGTCCATGGCCATCACGTATTCCAACACATGAGGAGATACAAGCAAACGACACTAAGCACAGACACGAAGAGCAACACCATAACTCGAGAACCACAATTGCTACCACAGCGCTGTCCGTTGAATGGCGACTAGATTTCTCTGACATGTGGGAGAGCGCATGTGCTGTCCACGGGCAACTCATCATAACTTCTCTTTGACAAATCCTTCGGGGACTGAATACTGTCCTGCACTACAGCCCCTGGACCAACTACTGTACTTATCCATCCTCTACACAACGTGGTGAATACTTCTCTCAAAAGCCACAGTTCGGTTGTGAACGGGGATCTTCGAGGTTCTGAACCCCAGAAGAAACAGACCCTGAATTTGAGGATGTGACACGTTCGAGAATACAAACATTCTCCTTTTTCCCAGGGTCTGGCATTTCATTTGACTGGTGCACAAAACTTCTGATGAGCAGACATAGAATGAGCCATGCAATCCCATCAACTCGGTCTCCCTATCTCGGCAAAGCGCAGTCCTTTCTTACGTGGATACAGTGATAGTACTAGCTTTAGAGTCAGCAGAGGCTTTTTAGTGCGAGTGCAAGTCTCGCGGCCGGAGTTGTTCACGAACCACTGTCGTCACATCTTTCATTTCGCTGCCCACGGATCGACGCACTATATCCTCCGTAAAAGAATTAGATTGGCACATCGATCGTCACATCGATCGACAGTCAACATCACTACACAATTGCGCTTGCAAGTTGAGCCGAGGTTCCAGGGTTATGTACGAGTGTCAGGACTCAGGATACGAGAGGCCCCAGCGGACTCCTCGTCTCCCTCACGACTGATATACGAATAATGATACTTGGGGATGTGGAGTGTATCAATCACTTATGGCCCGCTTGACCCGCAGAGCATGCCAACGCGTACTACTGTGTAGCTTACATAGCTCTCCATAACCTGGGGAAAGGTACGCTTCGAATGACACGTGCCCTGGATAGAACTGGTGCGATTCTGCTATGACTTCTCAAATCAATATGTTCTGAAAACCATTAAACTCTACAGTTGAATTTTCTCGAGAACCACGGTGAGCTTCAACCGGCTTTGAGTTTTGGAAATTCGGAATATTCTTTTCTGCTGTGGGTTACCCACACTTGCATCTGAAGTTGGTGGGATGCGTTGAGTTGTGGAGTGGTACGCAGAGTGGAGACCCTTTCTGCAACAGGGGACCATATAACCTGTCTTATAACCATCACGATGGTCTTGGAGGCCTCAAAGAAAGGAGAGTATCGTGTTGGGGACGGTTGAAACAGCTTAGTCCAAGGTCAGCGCCAGTCTCCCAATGACCCGGGATGAACATTGCAGTCACTGCTCGCTCGCCAGTGAGACAAGATTGTTCATTTCAAGGATTTGAGATATAACAAACGTGGACCGAAATGGACAAGAAGCTTTTGATTTTATAAAAAAGAGTTTGAATTCGGAGCTTTTCAGAAATGCGGAGAATGTCTAAAGAGAACGTCCAAATGAATGAGACGTAGCTCGAGTACTGTAGAATATACTATATCTGTCAACCGCGAGTGCACCGAATGTTGGTCTTTTGGGGGTACGTGTTCGTCATTCAAAGGTCTCTCCAGTTTTGATTAACGAGAACTTGAATAAGTAATCCATAAGCATGATCTACTGACACAAACGTCATGCTTGCCTGGAACAACTTCTCAGCACAGAATTGTCGTTATCAGCACCTTTGTGAGGCTCTCTATCAATATGCAATTTTCCCGTGTTAGAACAAGACCATCTTTCTACATTACTTGGCATCTGGCTGAGAATCTAGATAGCCATTACGATTGAAGTCCGAGGTCTGTCCCCCAGCATGGTAGAGAACGATGATTTTCTGATTGGCCTACGCTTTCAATATTTCGCCACATATTTCCAAACTTAACGTCTAGCTAATGAATCCAGAAAGTAATAACCCGCGAGTGTGCTCTGTGTGAACAAAGCATGTGTGAAAACCAGGTTATAATGACAGTGTGCATTGGGGGCCTGATCTTGAGCAGAGAATCAGGCAGCAGAACACTATCAGATGGTCATCAAAAAAGCATTACAAGCCAGTTAAAGATGACAGTGAAGAAAAATTAATGACATACAGCCAGCAGCTAGAAACACTTTGATAAACTGTTTATGAACAGCTGCTTCGAGCATTTGTCGCCGCTACCAAAGTACGAGACAATTGTCTCATCTGTTAAGCCAAATGCTTTCTAATGACCGTATATAAAGTTCCTAGGGCCCATGCTGCAATTCGAAAGGAGCTCAACCGTGAGAGCGACCTGTGCATCTCTGGATCGCTCTCTTGGAAAAAGAGCATTCCCAGAGTTCGTTTCAAGTTTCATATCGTAGAAATCTTCGAAGGTTAGGATATCGAGGAAAGAAGGGATGGGCACGATGAGGATGTCACAGCACGGGCTCGGGCTGTTGAGCATCCTGCCTCTTCTCTTCACGACCGCTCTAGTGTCAGCTGCTGTAGGCGATCAGGTAAATGAGTGGGCGATGCTTTGATCAGGTCCTCCTGTAAACTGAATCATGATAAAAACGTTCAACAGATATGTCACTCTCAACCTTCACTTCCAGATCCGAAGGGTGCAATAACATTGAAAAAGGCCCTCCTACCTCGCACATCAGTAGAATTACTCTTCAATTCTGATTATTGCTAGCTCACCACCACCTCCAGACAATGCACAATAAGCTTTTCGCTAGACCTCCACATTTCAGAACGGAATTTCCAGAATGTGAGTGACAGTCTCGAGGATTGATTTGGGGGCCGCCATGTTTTCGTGTTTTGGGGGCATTCTTGCTCTCTTCTGTCACAATTATGAAGATGTTTATGTACAAGACGAATTGAAACTCTAAACACGTGCTCTTCTCTTGCAGCTCCATGTCGTCTATTTGAGTCCAAACCGTCCTCAGAAAGATGATGCAGCTTACTCGCATCGAGGCTACTTAGATGCCGCATTGGGCAGGTACAGCCCGACTTACTATTTTATGCATTATTTTACTGTATTCCCATTCCTCCAGATCCGCCCATTTGAGCGGCTTGCTGTTGACTCAACTGAAACAACTCCTCACGAGCTTGTGCAATGTTCACGCCTGAAATCATCATATGGTAGACTTTTGTTCCAGCCTTCATCGATAACTATGACATCATAACCAACGAGTGCTGAGTGTGGGATTTGCAGTGCCGAAGATGTGGATGGTTGTCTGGTGTATTGCTACACGAAGGTTCTCGATGGCTTTGCTGCCAAGCTCACTGAAGAGCAAGCACTCAAACTCTCCAGTAAGTAAAAATCTCTCAAGAGTCCTAGCTCACAGATATTCCTCCTTGGACACTGTTAGAAGACACTAGTGAAGGATACATTTCTCCTTCAGATTTTAAAGAATAACAGTCTCAGAGTCTCAGAGAGTGCGTGGAAGTGTGAAACTGTCTGAGTTGTATTCAATTCTCGTAATTCTCAACCTCGATGAGCTTGGGGAAGTTTGCACCTGTTTGTAAAGAAAATGCGTGACGAGAACGTTTTGTTCTTCTACAGAAATGGAGGGGGTTCTTTCCGTGGTTCCTAACCACAGGCTGGAGCCTGCAACGACAAGTATCTGGAAGTTTCTTGACGTAGAAAGCTCAGATCCGGATGCCGCAAATACTGGCGCTCTGTGGGAGCGAGCAAATTATGGTAGAGATGTGATCATTGGAGTCATCGACTCAGGTATTAATCAGTTTGTAAGAAGAGAGACTGTGAGTCTGAACATAGGCAGTGGGAGCGGATGTCTATTTGCTGTACATGGTACTGCTGGCGAGGCAAATACCAAGCAAATACGCAAGCTGAAGCAATTGATGAACAGAACCGACGAAATAATTTGCTTTAATTTTCGCGCTCAAATGTCTAGAACTTAGTTTTAGGAACTCTTAATTTATGCCATATAATAGTCCAAGGATACTGTCATGCAAATAGATTCCGACGTGAAGATTGCATTGAATCGGTTCAGGTGAGCATCGGGCTAATAAGGATAATCCTCGTCAGGTCTTGGATTCATCTTTCATAACCTGAAAATAGAATCGAGTTCAAGAGTCCTCGTTCCTCGGCTGAGGAACGAGTAGTCAAGTTGAATGTTGAATGTCACGATTGTTATTAGCTCGCGAGGGAAACATTGGCCTGGTCAGGCTTCTCTAGGTGTGTAAATTACAGCGGGAATAAGACTAACCAAGGTCGGGTCGATATTACTTGAAACAGGCATTTGGCCAGAATCCGAGAGCTTCCACGATAGAGGACTCGGCCCAGTTCCTGCACGATGGAAGGGAGAATGTGTCGAAGGACAATTGTGGACCTCTGAAAATTGCAACAGGCATGGCAGCTGTTGCCAGTTCACCGTGTGGATCTGATTTCTTGAGCTTCACCAGAGAGATGGCATAGGACTGCGCCTGAATGTTTCATTCCGCTTATCAAATGTTCAGTGCCACCCTCCCTGTGACGTTCTAATACTTACTCCAGATATGAATCGATGTGCTACAGGAAGCTGATCGGAGCTAAGTATTTTTTTGCCGGAAACCCAGAAATCACGAACGCCACCTTCGATGACGGACTGGAATATCGGTCAGCACGGGACATTAACGGGCATGGCACACACGTCGCTGCAACTGCGGCAGGATCTTTTGCTCCTGCGAGCTGGAAGGGGTTTGCGAATGGCACGGCCAAAGGAGGGGCCCCTCAAGCAAGAATTGCGGTGTACAAAGTGTGCTGGAACTTGGGTGGTTGTACTTTTGCAGATGTGTCTGCAGCAATAGATGAGGCCATCGCCGATGGGGTCGATATCATCAGCATTTCCATCAGTGGCTCCAATGATCTCCCCTTCTATCAGGACCCCGTGACCATATCCGCTTACCAAGCCATGAAAGCTGGCATTGTCGTCGCCTTCGCTGCATCAAACAACGGCCCAACTGCCAAGACCGTCAACCACGTCGAGCCCTGGAGTGTCACCGTCGCTGCCACCTCTCACGATCGTTTCATCGGCTCCGAGGTTTTCATCAGACTCGCTGACGGTCTTCAACCTCGTCTCCGGCTCAGGGTGCGTTCCTGAGCTGAATCATTTCCTTCTTCGGCGGACTGCAATTGCAGCTCCCCTTCGCATCTGCTTGCTAATGCCTGCAAACATTGAGCTGAAGGTGCATCTGCGCTGGTGCAGGGCGCAACGCTCAACAGTAATGCTACCACGACCGCTCCGTTGGTGCTGGCGAGTGAAGTTAAACTTGCAAACGCAAGTATTCCCCTCGCCACGTGAGGGACCTCATCTTGATGTCTCATCCCCCTCTTGGGAAGATCTTGAATGCAGTGAATGGCTTGATTATCCGCCATGAATCTATCTCAACTCTGCTGATTCTCAACTCTGTTGATACGTCATGACAGGTCGTGCTTCAAGTCCTCGCTGGACCCGGAACAAGTGGCGGGGAAGATCGTGTTCTGCTTGAAACTCTCGCCTCTCGAGATCATTACTAGCAAAGCAGAGGAGGTTCTGAATGCCGGAGGAGTTGGTATGATCGTCGGAAACGGATGGTCGCTTGGGGACCACACCGTGGAGGCCGAGGAATTCGTCCTCCCGGCGGTTTATATCACGGCAACCGACTCTCAGCGTGTGCAGGACTTCTTGACCAGATGTGACCTGGACTCTTGTAATTTCAGGTAAGCGCTTGGCACCTAATTCACTCACTCGTGTAGGAGATTCTATTCTTGCGCAGGACGAGCCTCTTCCGATCGAGTTTTGTGTATATGTAAGGAATCTAATTTTGCTCGGATCTAATTCGTTGCTCGGGTATTGACGGGGCCAGAAATACAAGAGCCACCATCTTCACGGGAAAGACATGGTTGGGAGTGAGGCCAGCTCCGGTCGTTGCTGAATTCTCATCAACCGGTCCCAGCGGAGTAACCCAGGACATACTTAAGGTAACGAACGCAGCACACCAGGGCCTCAAGGTTCCTCAGGACTAAGAAATTTTGTTGAAGCTGGTCTCATTAGCACGGGATAAACACTCGAATCTTCTAATTTGGAATGGGTGATTGGATTTGGCAGCCCGACATTGCTGCACCCGGAGTAAAAGTGCTGGCAGCATGGATAGATGGTACTTACAACGCCATCGATGGAACTTCCATGGCCACCCCGCACATCTCAGGGGTGATTGCTCTGATTAAGTCCATTCATCCCAAATGGAGTCCAGCTGCAATCAAGTCCGCCATCATGACCACAGGTGAGGGCGATCGACTATACCGCTTCGTTCAGTGAATTTCTTCGTGTTCCACCTTCATACGTAAGGCATTATACAGAACTATAAAAGTATCCGTGGTTGGACTCATATGTGCTTCTCGTTGGACGGATGCAGCTATCACTGTCGACAACTCCAACCACAAAATACAAAATATTCAGAACAAACCGGCGGGACCATTTTCGACGGGATCGGGGCTGGTGAATCCGAATGCTGCGGTCGACCCGGGGCTGGTGTACGAGGCAGGGCCCCGGGATTACACTTTATTCCTGTGCGCGCTCAACTACACGGACCAAATGGTGGAGGTGGTCACGGGAGAGCCCAATTCGTGCAGCAGCCAGAAGTTCTTCCCCTCAGCCAGCAGCCTCAACTATCCGTCGGTCTCGATCGGCGACCTCAAGAAAATCACCACCGTCACCCGCAGAGTGACCAACGTGGGCGCAGCCAGAAGCGTCTACAAGGTCAGCATCCAAGCTCCCAAGGGCGTCAAAGTGTCGATCTCGCCCTCGCGTCTGTCGTTCAGCAATGTCTACGAGACCAAATCCTTCAACATCCGACTGCAGCGGACGCTGAAGACGGACGCCGATTCCGAGACGTACGTGTTCGGCAGCTACACGTGGTCCGATGGCCGGCACAAGGTGAGAAGCCCCATCGTCGTGGGCCATCAACCACAATAGGTTCCGGCGGGCTGTTCAGTGAGAACAGAGCCGGGGAAATTAAATGAGACATTTGATTTAGTTAGCAGGATTTCCAGCGCCCGCTGTTGGCGCAGCCACAGTAAAAATTAGTTAGGACGATATTCGTCGATCATGCGGAGCAGCTCAGTAGATCGATCTGCTCGTCGTGGTCCTTTGGGTGGGTGCTATCGTGACGTCAAAATTCTGATACCTCGCGGGGCTGACCCTTGTCCCCTGATCGATCACATGCGGCATACCCGCCTTTCCTTCCTTCTTTCCTTCCTTACGAATGTGCTCGAAAAAAGCTCTCAGCTTCTATAGGTGCCTGATCATGGCGCTCTGCTGCACATGTGGTCGGATTCCGATGTTCGATTCGGTGTAGATTAACCTCATCCAACTTATTGAAGGATCGTGGATTTCGGTGGAAGTGTTTCCATCCACTCCATCCGGCATCCACGAGGCTCTGATCTTCGAGCACTCGTTGATCAGCAACACGCGCTTCTGCAGGCACTTCTGAAAGTCTGAATCTCTTCAAACCTTGTAGATTTAGAAAAAGAAAAAATTGATTGGTCACAAACATTTCACAGCAAGAGAACTGCATACCGAGGGAGGGGAAACCAGGTGAGGGACGGAGACTTCCAAACTAGCTCCAGGAGCGGAACAAGTCACTTGGCTTTACTTACAAGGAGGGGATCTGAAAATGACCCCAACAATCAATCAATTTCCCATTCATGAAGCTATTCAGATTGGTAATGTGACCGATCCATATTTGAAGTTTTCCTATGTACCTAGTTGCCATGTGCTCATATAAATATAAAAGTGTCGATCGCATTGATGTATAATTGTGAAAAATCATGCCACTCCAAATTGCTCTTTCTGCCAGTTTCATGATTCCGAAAGTGTCATGTTCGCAACAGTTATCTGCAATCCAATAAACTCTGAATGTTTTTCAACGGATTTATTCAACCACGTTTTCGAGAATGAAATAAGATTTCACACTCTTCTTCGAGAAAAAATGTACTGAGGTGGACACCATATAGAATTATTTTATATTTACCAATACATCTTGAGAATAGTTGTAGATTAGTTTAGGTAATAAAACGCATGGATGCGGTGAGACAGTCATCATCTCTAATGAATGAGAATGAAATCTGTTGTTGCGGGACTCTCTAGTGTGCTGATGTGGTTTGATTTATCCGGTGCCTAGCCATTTATCATCTAGGGAGAGAGACTAGTAAATTACTTGATGGGACACTTGGAAACTCAATTTCATTAAGTTTTATTTTACCCTATGGTACCAATTCGACGGCCACCGTAACCCATATGCTTATATAACCTACTGATTTGCTCTACAGAGTGGGGAGTGTACGCCACTGTCGGGCCAGAGTATTTTAGCCACTAGTTGGGAACCATGTCTAAGAAATTGCCGGGCACCATGAGTTTAAATTACTCCCCACTAGCCGTGATTTCATGTTCTACTCAAAATAACCCAAAACAGTATTGGAACAACCTTGAAGGTGGGGCTGCAGGGGATTCTATGGGTCCCATCAAGTGTTTTGAGTTTGCGGGTCCCATCAAGTAATTTCCTCGAGAGGGAGACAAATGTAAGGACGTTAGAAATCGCGTACTCTTCGTGCATTCATATGTTTGGACAATCGATATTCATGGTTCCATAAATCCGGTTGACCGCTTATTCACCCCTCAGTCCCATCAAGTAATTTCCTCGAGAGAGAGACAAATGTAAGGACGTTAGAAATCGCGTACTCTTCGTGCATTCATATGTTTGGACAATTGATATTCATGGTTCCATAAATCCGGTTGACCGCTTATTCACCCCTCAGATGTCAACAATTTTCTGCAGTAGATCAGAGATGCATCCGGCAGATTTCATTATTTCAGCTATCAGTTGAGTTATATTCCTAAGTAAAATTATAGGGGAACATGAATTTTTGTCAAATAATTTTTTCAAATATTGAGATTGATTGTAATCTTTTCTGTATTATATTTAATTTAGTCCGATGGCAATGAATAAAAAAATGCACTCAATTTTATAATATAATTATATGTTGCTATAAATTTTTTATGGTAAAATATTTTATTCATGTACACATTGTTAAACAATATAATAGGTAAAACTTCATATTACACAAAAGCCTAATGAACATATCAACATAAACATCAGTATTAAGATTAATCTTATTCACAAAAAGTAAAGTAAGGTATTTTTTTTTTCTTATGCATAATTACATGTAACTGTAAAACTAATTCGTGTTATCCATAGATAGAATAATAATATGATTAATTAGTACAATAGATTCAACTAATTTTATCAATTTACATAAAATGATCTAAAAAATGGGAAATTTTTATGATTTAACCATCTCCAATATTACTAGGATTTTACTTTTTTCTCATAAAATTAAAATTCTGATAAAATTTGAACAACAACTAATGCTTTATCTAATACAATCAAATTATAATATGAACAATGTATATGCAAATCACAGCTGTATATTTAATCATGATCAAAGCAGCTTGAGTTAATCAAAACTTGAATTAATTTTTGAACAATATTTTCACATCTCATATTTTCAAGACTATAAATTTTCTTTAATATAAGATTTTTTTTATTAGAAGAAAATTTGAATCACCTCTTGCAACTAGTTATTTAGAATTAACTCATTATTGAAATATGGTTAAGTCGTTGAGGTTAACTCCGGTTAAGGAGTAACCTCATGTTATAGCTATTTATAGCTAGGTTTTTTGTTGGCTTGGGGTATAAATGAACCCCCAAGGCTTCTACTCGATGTGCATTCAGTATTCTTTGTCAATAAATATTCTCTTGCGTTTCAACTGTGGATGTAGCCCCTGAGGATGAACCACGTTATATGAATATCTCATGTGTTCGTGCTTGGCTTGAGTGACACTTGGCTTTACGTTTGAGAATGGATATAAGACCCGGTTACGGTTCACACTCTTTGTCACAGCGTGTGTTGTGATAATGGTTTCTTTTCAGTTTGGAGATTGAGTGTTTTTTTCAAGTTTTGATTTGGAGTTCAAAATCATTTCATTTTTTTTAATTTGTGATAGAGGTGTGAGTTATGACACTATTTTTCTTCGTTGAGGAAACAACTAACTAGATTGTGATAGAAGTTTTGTGATTGTGATAGTTTGTTGATGATTTTTGAACGATGACAGTTTGACGCTTTTCAAAGTGACTAGTGATGATTTTGAGTTTGTGACGTTCTTATGCTTTCTGTTGCGGTTTTGAAGTTTTTGGAAGCTTGAAAAGTGACTTACCTATGGTGGCTTCTATGTTTGGGAGACCAGTGTAGTAGTTGGCAGATTTGTTGCGTAGTCTCGAGTCGAAGAGTGTGCATTTAGGTTTTTTCAAAAGTACCTCCATTGTCTCGAGAAAAAGGAGTGTTGAGGAGGCGAGAGGTCGCGGAAAGCAGAGAGGCCGCCAGAGCTGAAGCGGCAAAAAGCAAGTAGCAGTAGCATACCCCGTAACTCCCCTTTTGTAGCGGAGTCGGAGCGCCGGGCCGAGAGGTTGCGGGTTAGTTCGCGGAAGCGGCCAAGAGCAAGAACGGCGGACCTTGTATTATTCCCGTCCCTTTGCAGCGAGATTGATTTCAAATGAATCTTGACGGTAATGGTGGTCACGGGCAACAAGAGTCGCGAGTGACGAACGCTATATCGCGGGCAACGGTGGCCACGGGCGACGAGAGTCGCAGGTGACAGATGTTGTATTGCAGACAACGGTGATTGCCGGCGGAATTTGCGCATATGTGGGCAGTTTAAGCCCGTCAGTTTTTTGTACTAAAGATTCTGATTCGCAAAAGATTCCGTCATATTAGTGGAATATTTGGTTTGTGTATATTTTGTTCCAAACACTCTTTGCCAAAATAGAGGCAAATTGAGTATTGTTGAAAAGCTTTTGACGCGACTAGTGCATCTTGAACATTTTCAGAAGCTGAAAATGCACCTGAAGGACAAAATTGACGCGGAAGCAAACGTTGTCTCTAGTTTTCGTCGAATTGAGATGGCATCGAAACAGGTTAGAGGAACATTGTACAACATTCTTACTCTTGATGACCAAAGTGATTACCAGCTTTGAAAAAGCAAGTGAAAGTCAATCTGAGATCTATGAGTCTCGCTAATGTGTTTAGAGAGAAACCAATACACATTACCGACATTGATCGGAGGAATTCATAAGAGCAAGAGTTCTACATTGTGATGATATATATAGATCCTTTGGTTATAAAGCAAGTTGATGAGTATTCAAAGGTTACATAGCTTTTTGATGCCATATAAAGACGGTTCCATCATAAGGAAATATCACATGTGATGAACAGCTACAAGAGACTATTAAACTTTAGGGTTAGGCCGGTATAGAGAATTGATGATCACATTCACACCTACGGAGATTTGTTGATAGATCTTTAGACTATAAGAGATGAACTTTATAACATTAAGAAAGCCATGCATCAATTCTTATTTCATGAATGGCCACATCAAGAAGGACTGTCGGATAATAGTAAGAGATTCGAGTATTCCTCATGTGGCGAATGTTACGGAGCATCTTCACTCCGAAGAGAAAGACATGTTTGCCGACGGTCTATGATGTCAAAGGTATGCCCTATGTAGTTCACCAACAATTTTTGATGATATATGGATTTTGGATATTGCTTGTTCTTATCACATTTGTTACATTAGATAGTTCTTCTATATTTTCTAAGAATGTTATGTTCTTATGGTGAATGACCAACCTTGTTAGATTGAGGGTGTGAGATCTGTAAAATTCCGCATGTTAGATGGTGTCAACCGAACATCGACACACGTTAGGTTTATATTTAACATGAGAAAGAACTTAATCTCTCTTGGAGTGTTAGACTCACACGGCTTAAAGTGGAGCTCTAGGCATGACGTGTTAGATGTCAAATCCATTGATAAGAAGATTATACTTAGGGGAAACAAGCACAAGAATCTATATTTATTAAAGTGCATCAAAATTTGTGAAGAAGTTAATTTTACCAGATCTCGCGTAGAAAAGAAAATGTTACCAGGTTTGGCTTAAGTTGATTTCGTATTTTGTGAACATTGCATCATGGTAAAATAGCATATGCAAGTCTTTCGTATTGGAACTCATAATTCCACGGAGATACTAGAGTATGTACATAGTGACGTGTGGACCATCTTTTACTTCCTCACTCTTAGGAAAGCTCTACTGTGTATCTTTTAGAGATGATTATTCCAAATATGTGTGGATATATTTTCTTACCCACAAGTTTGAGGTGTTTCCCACCTTCAAGACTTGACGCATACAAGCTGAAACTCAGACTCGCAAGAGGGTAAAACATTTACATTCAGATAATGGCGGCAAATATACTTCTCAGGATTTTTAGAGGTATTGTATAGAGGAGGAGATTACTCGTCACTTCACGACAATTTACACTCCCCAACAAAACGTTCTTTCTGAGAGACTCAACAAAATAATGTTGGAGAAGGTGCGGAGTATGCTAAGAGAATTCGGTTTACCAGGAAATTTTTGGGCCGAAGCCGTCAACCTTATAGTTGATTTGATAAACCTCTATTCTTCTACTGTAATCAATTTCTCAATTTCTCCACACCGTTTGAACTCAATCATAAAGGATGACGTATTACAATTGCTTGAAAGTTATAGTTATACTGCTTATACTCTTACATCAAAGGAGCACAGGACTAAGTTAGACCCTACGTCGAAGAAATGTCACGTAAGCTCACAAGCAAAAGATGTAGGAAGCGCAGGCACAAAGAGCAACACCATAACTTGAGAACCACAACGTTGTTCCGGGGCATCTGTTGAATGGGGACTAGATCTCTCTGGCATGTGGGAGAGCGCATGTGCTATCCACCAGCAACTCATCATAACTTCTCTTTGACAAATCCTTCGGGGTTTGAATACTATCGTGCACTGCAGCCCCTGGACCTACTACTGTACTTATCCATCCTCTACACAACGTGGTGAATACTTCTCTCAAAAACCACAGTTTGGTTGTGAATTGGGATCTTCGAGGTCCTAAACCCTAGAAGAAACAGACCCTGAATTTGAGTATGTGACACGTTCGAGAATACAAAAATTCTCCTTTTTCCCAGGGTCTGGCATTTCATTTGACTGGTGCACAAATCTTCTGATGAGCAGACATAGAATGAGCCATGCGATCCCATCAACTCGGTCTCCTTATCTCGGCAAAGCGCAGTCCTTTCTTACGTGGATACAGTGATAATACTAGTTTTAGAGTCAGCAGAGGCTTTTTAGTGCGAGTGCAAGTCTCGCCGCCTCGTCACATCTTTCATTTCGCAGCCCACGGGATCGACGCACTATATCCTCCGCAAAAGAATTAGATTGGCACATAGATCGTCACATCGATCGACAGTCAACATCACTACACAATTGCGCTTGCAAGTTGAGCCGAGGTTCCAGGGCTATGTACGAGGGTCAGGACTTAGGAGACGAGAGGCCCTAGCGGACTCCTCGTCTCCCGCACAACTGATATATGAATATTGATACTTGGGGATCTGGAGTGCATCAATCGCTTATGGCCCGCTTGACCCGCGGAGCATGCCAACGCATACTACATTACTGTGTATCTTACATAGCTCTCTATAACCTGGGGAAAGGTGCCCTTTGAATGACACGTGCCCTGGATAGAACTGGTGCAATTCTGCTATGACTTCTCAAATCAATATGTTCTGAAAATCTCTAAACTCTACAGTTCAATTTTCTCGAGAACCACGGTGAGCTTCAACCGGCTTTGAGTTTTGGAAATTTGGAACACTCTTTTTCTGCTGTGGGTTACCCACACTTGCATCTTAAGTTGGTGGGATGCGTTGAGTTTTGGAGTGGTACACAGAGTGGAGACCCTTTCTGTAACAGTTGGGCCTATCACGATGTTTTATAACCATCACAATGGTCTTGGAGACCTCAAAGAGGGGGCAGTATCGTGTTGGGGACGGTTGAAACAGCTAAGTTCAAGGTCAGCGCAGTCACCCAATGACCCGGGATGAACATTGCAGTCACTGCTCACTCGCCAGTGAGACAAAATTGTTCATTTCAAGGATTTGAGATATAACAAACGTGGACCGAAATGTACAAGATGCTTTTGATTTTATAAAAAAGAGTTTGAATTCGGAGCTTTTCAGAAATGCGGAGAATGTCTAAAGAGAACGTCCAAATGAATGAGACGTAGCTCGAGTACTGTAGAATATACTATGTCTGTCAACCGCGAGTGCACCGAATGTTGGTCTTTTGGGGGTACGTGTTCGTCATTCAAAAGTCTCTCCAGTTTTGATTAACGAGAACTTAAATAAGTAATCCATAAGCATGATCTACTGACACAAACGTCATGCATGCTTGGAACAACTTCTCAGCACAGAGTTGTCGTTATCATCACCTTTGTGAGGCTCTCTATCAATATGCAATTTTCCCGTGTTAGAACAAGACCATCTTTCTACATTACTTGGCATCTGGCTGAGAATCTAGAAAGCCATTACGATTTGAAGTCCGAGGTCTGTCCCCCAGCATGGTAGAGAACGATGATTTTCTGATTGGCCTACGCTTTCAATATTTCGCCACATATTTCCAAACTTAACGTCTAGCTAATGAATCCAGAAAGTAATAACCCGCGAGTGTGCTCTGTGTGAACAAAGCATGTGTGAAAACCAGGTTATAATGACAGTGTGCATTGGGGGCCTGATCTTGAGCAGAGAATCAGGCAGCAGAACACTATCAGATGGTCATCAAAAAAGCATTACAAGCCAGTTAAAGATGACAGTGAAGAAAAATTAATGACATACAGCCAGCAGCTAGAAACACTTTGATTAACTGTTTATGAACAGCTGCTTCGAGCATTTGTCGCCGCTACCAAAGTACGAGACAATTGTCTCATCTGTTAAGCCAAATGCTTTCTAATGACCGTATATAAAGTTCCTAGGGCCCATGCTGCAATTCGAAAGGAGCTCAACCGTGAGAGCGACCTGTGCATCTCTGGATCGCTCTCTTGGAAAAAGAGCATTCCCAGAGTTCGTTTCAAGTTTCATATCGTAGAAATCTTCGAAGGTTAGGATATCGAGGAAAGAAGGGACGGGCACGATGAGGATGTCACAGCACGGGCTCGGGCTGTTGAGCATCCTGCCTCTTCTCTTCACGACCGCTCTAGTGTCAGCTGCTGTAGGCGATCAGGTAAACGAGTGGGCGATGCTTTGATCAGGTCCTCCTGTGAACTGAATCATGATAAAAACGTTCAACAGATATGTCACTCTCAACCTTCACTTCCAGATCCGAAGGGTGCAATAACATTGAAAAAGGCCCTCCTCCCTCGCACATCAGTAGAATTACTCTTCAATTCTGATTATTGCTAGCTCACCACCACCTCCAGACAATGCACAATAAGCTTTTCGCTAGACCTCCACATTTCAGAACGGAATTTCCAGAATGTGAGTGACAGTCTCGAGGATTGATTTGAGGGCAGCCGTGTTTTCGTGTTTTGGAGGCATTCTTGTTCTCGTCTGTCACAATTATGAAGATGTTTATGTACAAGACGAATTGAAACTCTGAACACGTGCTCTTCTCTTGCAGCTCCATGTCGTCTATTTGAGTCCAAACCGTCCTCAGAAAGATGATGCAGCTTACTCGCATCGAGGCTACTTAGAAGCCGCATTGGGCAGGTACAGCCCGACTTACTATTTTATGCATTATTTTACTGTATTTCCATTCCTCCAGATCCGCCTATTTGAGCGGCTTGCTGTTGACTCAACTGAAACAACTCCTCACGAGCTTGTGCAATGTTCACGCCTGAAATCATCATATGGTAGACTTTTGTTCCAGCCTTCATCGATAACTATGACATCTTAACCAACGAGTGCTGAGTGTAGGATTTGCAGTGCCGACGATGTGGATGGTTGTCTGGTGTATTGCTACACGAAGGTTTTCGATGGCTTTGCTGCCAAGCTCACTGAAGAGCAAGCAACCAAACTCTCCAGTAAGCTCAAAATCTCTCAAGAGTTCTAGCTCACAGATATTCCTCCTGGAGACTGTTAGAAGACACTAGTGAAGGATAAATTTTTTTTCCGTCAGATTTAAAAAAAATAACAGTCCGAGAGTCTCAGAGAGTGCGTGGAAGTGTGAATCTGTCTGAGTTGTATTCAATTCTCGTAATTTCTCCACCTCGATGAGCTTGGGGAAGTTTGCACCTGTTTGTGAAGAAAATGCGTGACGAGAACGTTTTGTTCTTCCACAGAAATGGAGGGGGTTCTTTCCGTGGTTCCTAACCACAGGCTGGAGCCTGCAACGACAAGTACCTGGAAGTTTCTTGACGTAGAAAGCTCAGATTCGGATGCCGCAAATACTGGCGCTCTGTGGGAGCGAGCAAATTATGGTAGAGATGTGATCATTGGAGTCATCGACACAGGTATTAATCAGTTTGTAAGAAGAGAGACTGTGAGTTTGAACATAGGCAGTGGGAGAGGATGTCTATTTGCTGTACATGGTACTGCTGTCGAGGCAAATAACAAGCAAATACGCAAACTGAAGCAATTGATGAACAGAACCGACGAAATAAGTTGACAGGATTGTTGCTTCAATTTTCGCGCTCAAATTTCTAGAACTAAGTTATAGGAACTCTAAATGTATGCCATATAATAGTCCAAGGATACTGTCATGCAAATAGATTCCGACGTGAAGATTGCATTGAGTCGGTTCAAGTGAGCATCGTGCTAATAAGGATAATCCTCGTCAGGTCTTGGATTCATCTTTCATAAACTGAAAATAGAATCGAGGTCAAGAGTCCTCGACTGAGGAACGAGTAGTCATATTGAATGTCGGTTTGGCATGTCACGATTGTTATTACCTCGCGAGAGAAACTTTGGCCCGGTCAGGCTTCTCTAGGTGTACAAACTCCAGCGGTAATGAGACTACTAAGGTCGGGTCGATATTACTTGAAACAGGCATTTGGCCAGAATCCGAGAGCTTCCACGATAGAGGACTCGGCCCAGTTCCTGCACGATGGAAGGGAGAATGTGTCGAAGGACAATTGTGGACCTCTGAAAATTGCAACAGGCATGGCAGCTGTTGCCAGTTCACCGTGTGGATCTGATTTCTTGAGCTTCACCAGAGAGATGGCATAGGACTGCGCCTGAATGTTTCATTCCGATTATCAAATGTTCAGTGCCACCCTCCCTGTGACGTTCTAATACTTACTCCAGATATGAATCGATGTGCTACAGGAAGCTGATCGGACCTAAGTATTTTTTTGCCGGAAACTCAGAAATCACGAACGCCACCTTCGATGACGGACTGGAATATCGGTCAGCACGGGACATTAACGGGCATGGCACACACGTCGCTGCAACTGCGGCAGGATCTTTTGCTCCTGCGAGCTGGAAGGGGTTTGCGAATGGCACGGCCAAAGGAGGGGCCCCTCAAGCAAGAATTGCGGTGTACAAAGTGTGCTGGGACGTGGGTGGTTGTTCTACTGCAGATATCTCTGCAGCAATAGATGAGGCCATCGCCGATGGGGTCGATATCATCAGCATTTCCATCAGTGGCTCCAATGATCAACCCTTCTATCAGGACGCCGTGACCATATCGGCTTACCAAGCCATGAAAGCCGGCATTGTCGTCGCCTTCGCTGCATCAAACGACGGCCCAACTGCCAAGACCGTCAACCACGTCGAGCCCTGGAGTGTCACCGTCGCTGCCACCACTCACGATCGTTTCATCGGCTCCGATGTTTTCATCAGACTCGCTGACGGTCCTCAACCTCGTCTCCGGCTCAGGGTGCGTTCCTGAGCTGAATCATTTCCTTCTTCGGCGGACTGCAATTGCAGCTCCCCTTCGCATCTGCTTGCTAATGCCTGCAAACATTGAGCTGAAGGTGCATCTGCGCTGGTGCAGGGCGCAACGCTTAACAGTAATGCTACCACGACCGCTCCGTTGGTGCTGGCGAGTGAAGTTAAACTTGCAAACGCAAGTATTCCCCTCGCCACGTGAGGGACCTCACCTTGATGTCTCATCCCCCTCTTGGGAAGATCTTGAATGCAGTGAATGGCTTGATTATCCGCCATGAATCTATCTCAACTCTGCTGATTCTCAACTCTGTTGATACGTCATGACAGGTCGTGCTTCGAGTCCTCGCTGGACCCGGAACAAGTGGCGGGGAAGATCGTGTTCTGCTTGAAATTCTCGCCTGTCGAGAGCATTACTAGCAAAGCAGTGGAGGTTCTGAATGCCGGAGGAGTTGGAATGATCGTCGGAAACGGATGGTCGCTTGGAGACCACACCGTGGAGGCCGAGGAATTCGTCCTCCCGGCGGTTTATATCACGGCAACCGACTCTCAGCGTGTGCAGGACTTCTTGACCAGATGTGACCTGGACTCTTGTAATTTCAGGCAAGCGCTTGGCACCTAATTCACTCACTCGTGTAGGAGATTCTATTCTTGCGCAGGACGAGCCTCTTCCGATCGAGTTTTGTGTATATGTAAGGAATCTAATTTTGCTCGGGTATTGACGGGGCCAGAAATACAAGAGCCACCATCTTCACGGGAAAGACATGGTTGGGAGTGAGGCCAGCTCCGGTCGTTGCTGAATTCTCATCAACCGGTCCCAGCGGAGTAACCCAGGACATACTTAAGGTAACGAACGCAGCACACCAGGGCCTCAAGGTTCCTCAGGACTAAGAAATTTTGTTGAAGCTGGTCTCATTAGCACGGGATAAACACTCGAATCTTCTAATTTGGAATGGGTGATTGGATTTGGCAGCCCGACATTGCTGCACCCGGAGTAAAAGTGCTGGCTGCATGGATAGATGGTACTTACAACGCCATCGATGGAACTTCCATGGCCACCCCGCACATCTCAGGGGTGATTGCTCTGATTAAGTCCATTCATCCCAAATGGAGTCCAGCTGCAATCAAGTCCGCCATCATGACCACAGGTGAGGGCGATCGACTATAGCGCTTCGTGCAGTGAATTTCTTCGTGTTCCACCTTCATACGTAAGGCATTATACAGAACTATAAAGGTATCCGTGGTTGGACTCATATGTACTTCTCGTTGGACGGATGCAGCTATCACTGTCGACAACTCCAACCACAAAATACAAAATATTCAGAACAAACCGGCGGGACCATTTTCGACGGGATCGGGGCTGGTGAATCCGAATGCTGCGGTCGACCCGGGGCTGGTGTACGAGGCGGGGCCACGGGATTACACTCTGTTCCTGTGCGCGCTCAACTACACGGACCAAATGGCGGAGGTGGTCACGGGTGAGCCCAATTCGTGCAGCAGCCAGAAGTACTTCCCCTCGGCCAGCAGCCTCAACTATCCGTCGGTCTCGATCGGCGACCTCAAGAAAATCACCACCGTCACCCGCAGAGTGACCAACGTGGGCGCAGCCAGAAGCATCTACAAGGTCAGCATCCAAGCTCCCAAGGGCGTCAGAGTGTCGATCTCGCCCTCGCGTCTGTCGTTCAGCAATGTCTACGAGACCAAATCCTTCAACATCCGACTGCAGCGGACGCTGAAGACGGACGCCGATTCCGAGACGTACGTGTTCGGCAGCTACACGTGGTCCGATGGCCGGCACAAGGTGAGAAGCCCCATCGTCGTGGGCCATCAACCACAATAGGTTCCGGCGGGCTGTTCAGTGAGAACAGAGCCGGGGAAATTAAATGAGACATTTGATTTAGTTAGCAGGATTTCCAGCGCCCGCTGTTGGCGCAGCCACAGTAAAAATTAGTTAGGACGATATTCGTCGATCATGCGGAGCAGCTCAGTAGATCGATCTCCTCGTCGTGGTCCTTTGGATGGGTGCTATCGTGACGTCAAAATTCTGATACCTCGCGGGGCTGACCCTTGTCCCCTGATCGATCACATGCGGCATACCCGCCTTTCCTTCCTTCTTTCCTTCCTTATGAATGTGCTCGAAAAAAGCTCTCAGCTTCTGTAGGTGCCTGATCATGGCGCTCTGCTGCACATGTGGTCGGATTCCGATGTTCGATTCGGTGTAGATTAACCTCATCCAACTTATTGAAGGATCGTGGATTTCGGTGGAAGTGTTTCCATCCACTCCACCGAAAAAAAACACCAACGTAAACAAAAAAAATATTTTTTCCGAAAAAGTTCCTACGACCAAAAAGATTCGGCATCCACGAGGCTCTGATCTTCGAGCATTACTTCACCAGCAACACTCGCTTCTGCAGGCACTTCTGAAAGTCTGAATCTCTTCAAACCTTGTAGATTTAGAAAAAGAAAAAATTGATTGGTCACAAACATTTCACAGCAAGAGAACTGCATACCAAAGGAGGGGAAACCAGGTGAGGGACGGAGACTTCCAAACTAGCTCCAGGAGCGGAACAAGTCACTTGGCTTTACTTACAAGGAGGGGATCTGAAAATTACCCCAACAATCAACCAATTTCCCATTCATGAAGCTATTCAGATTGGTAATGTGACCGATCCATATTCGAAGTTTTCCTATGTACCTAGTTGCCATGTGCTCATATAAATATAAAAGTGTCGATCGCATTGATGTATATTTGTGAAAAATCATGCCACTCCAAACGTTGCTCTTTCTTGCCAGTTTCGTAATTCCGAAAGTGTCATGTTCGCAACAGTTATCTGCAATCCAATAAGCTCTTAATGTTCTTCAACAGATCTATTCAACCAAGTTTTCAGAATAGAGTAAGATTTCACACTCTTCCTTGAAAACAAATTTACTGATTTGACACGATATAGAATTATTTTATATTTGCCAATACCACTTGAGAATAATTCTAGATTAGTGTAGGTAATAGAACGCATGGATGCGGCGAGTCAGTGGTCATCTCTAATGATAGAGGATGAATTCTCTTGTTGTGACGCTCTTTAGTGTGCTGCTATGGTTTAATTTATCCGGTGCCTCGCCATTTATCATCTAGGGAGAGAGACAGATGTAAGGACGTTAGAATATGTTAATCAATCTTATCTCATATGATGACAAAAGAAATCGCGTATTCCTCGTGCATTCAGATGTTTGGACAATCAATGTTCATGGTTCCAGAACACCGGTTGATAGGTTACTTACCCGTTAGTTGCCAACAATTTTCTAAAGGAGATCAGAGATTAGCTCTGATGGGGTTCGGGTAGAAGGTTATACCTGGCCCGAAACCCGAGTATGAATAAAGCCACGACCCATAACTTATGGGTCAACCCGGACCTCTTATAAGAGGTCCGGGTCGAGGGTTGTACCCGAACCGAAACCCAAGAATAAAAAACGCAACGAACTATAAGTGCTCAGGTGCAAGGCCAATTGATCCGTTTTCTTCTGCATCGGCTTCCGTTCCATCTCGCGAGAATCTGTTACTCCTCTCGTGTCTTGCACACTTTCCTCGTCCCGCCTGTTGCGCACCTCGCTTGCTTCTATGTCCTGACTCAAATTCTCGCATCACCTCTGATCAAGAAAATACTCCCTGCTCAAATTGTCCGATTTTCCCTGTTCCGACCCATTTTTTCGGGTGCGGGTAAAAGTCTAACATGATACGATCGTAACGCTATTAAAGATGGACCCGGGAGACTTCAAGTTATACTTTTAAGTAAAATCGAATATTTGTTAAAATAAATAAATTATTGAATTAATAAAATTATTTTTAATATTTTAATTGACCTAGTTTGATGGTATTAAAATAAAAAATATTATCAATTTTATAATATAATTATATGTTTTTATATATATTACTATTATAAAATTTGATTATGTACCCATTGATAGAGAATATAATAGTTAAAACTTTATATTTCACAAATTTTTAATGAACACATCAACATAATCGTCGTCAAACATCTGCATTAAGTTTAACCTTATACATAGACAAATTTACAAATAAATTAAACTAAATTTATTTTATCCTAAATCATATTACATATATTTGTTACACATTATCCATAGATTCAAGACTAATATAATTAATTAGCACAATAGGTTCAACTCATAATATTCAATTTTATCTGATTTATTAAATAATTTATAATTTAAGAAAATAGTTTAATTTCATCTTATATATTTAATAATGTGATAATCAACAAATATCAAAATGGAACCAACGAATATCAAAATGGAGCATAATGGTATAGATTCATTCACACAAAGAAATATCCAACACTAAAAGTCACGTATTAACATTCTATTGAAGAGTTTTACTTGTTACTCCTAGAAAACACAGTTCGGATTACGGCCGAAGAGTAGAGTATAATCACATTCACAACCTGAAACTTTTCCAATCAACACCAGTGTGAATCGCCTTGGATCCCACACTATGATTTCAGGGGTAAACTTCCCAGAATTGCATATTTCCGACTTTTTGACTCGAATACCCATACCCGAATTTGCTTAAATCCCGAAGAGACCTCGGCTACTCAAAACATTCATGCTGGATACTCACAACTCACGCGGTAGCTTCGACAAACCAGAGCGCACTATGCTCGGTAACAAGATCACACACAAGCGCACAAACACACAATAGATAACAAACACACAGATACAGGTTGACAGTCAAAACAAGCCAATTGATAGAAAAGCCCCCCAAGGAAAGAGCCTTGGGCCTCTTTATTCACTTTAAACTCCTAGGAATCTCAACCACCTGAGGTGAACTACTCTCAGGTGCGGTGTCATCCGACGTAACGATTACAACGTCCTTTGAGCTTAGTTCTGTTCCTTATCAGCTCTGCCTAAGATCATGATTCACTCCTCACCGTATACTTTTCCCTCTTCTTATCTAAGTACTTCAATAAAGGTACTACGCTATCCTGCAAGAAATCATGAAAGTCAACCTCTAACGCCTTTCGTCCCTCCTCCGAAGTCTTCTCCTCTACCTCGGATCTCACTTCTTCTTCAGGTGTGGCGGTGCTGGAATATCCGTGATGTCTCCTACCGTACCGCCAACCTGTGCAACAATCTGCTCAAGTATTTCCTCACTCAGCGTGAACTCCTTGGCTAGCTCTTCACTTGTCTTCAGTTGAGTTACGTCTTCACACCCCACAAATCGCGTCTACTCCGAAGATTGAAAACTTGGACAAGCTGTCTCCGTCCTCTCCTCCGAAGGCTCCGCTGCTACTTCCATTGGGACTTCAACTGGTACCGCCGAAGGTCCTTCTTCCAACACTTGAAGAGTAGGCTCGTCCTTCTTTTCTTCGGTCGTCGCCAAAGTTGTTGCATCCGTCTTCTCCACACTGTTGTCTGAAGAATATGACACAACCACCCCGTGATTCGCTTTCTTCTTCGGCCTAGCACAAGTACTTGACTGCCAGATTCCCGCTATCTTAGTCTCTTCCATCCGCGACTCGAGTATTGAGTCTTCCTCGTTGTTTGTTAGTACCTTCCGTTTCTTTGCAAGTTGACTTTCTTGCCGCTCTCGTGTTGGCAGAACATCCACCTCTATTGGTCCGCGCGCTGTCGTCTGAGATGGCACTCTGGTTCGGCCATTGTCTTCTTCTTCAGTCTCCTCGCTGGATTTGATTGCCAGAATTTCTCGTTTCTTCGGAAATCATTTCTCCTCCTCCTTCGTGAGTAATCTCATGCCCTGATAGAAATTCACGATGTAAGGTATTAGGTGATTAACCAATCCTCCTCTCCATCAGTACTCGCATTGACCCAAACCAGATCATAAAAGATCCTCGCCCAATGTACTGGATTTCCCTTCAAGACGCGCTCGAAGAAGCCGACCTGCCAAGCAGTGACATACGTCGTGCGCTGCGGTCGCAAGATGTGCATGACTTCCAATGCAATCGCACGTCTCATCGGATTTTTGTAATCCGCGATCTTCCACCCATTCGTTCCTGATCGCGCGTTCCGGAAGAGTGGAACGAAAGTGAATTCTTTCGCGTTGGTTATCTTCACGCTATCTTTCTCGAACATAAAATCCCCGTCGTTCCTGCGCACGGCCCCATCACCCTTGTCCAATGCTTAATTGTCCAGAGCATTGGATTGTCTCGAAGATCCTCTCTCTTGTTCCGATTTTTGTCCATGATCTCCTTACATATGTTCGCCGATACGCAATTTCAATTCCACAAGAGTAAACCTAGATGCAATTCGCTGAACTCCCGTCTATAGAGTCGCAATTACTCGTATGGCACTTTCAATGGAACCAATTTCTGCACCTTGGGTGTCTTGGGTGGTGCCATATCTTCAAATCGCATCTTCGCTGCTATCACGGTCGATCATTTCCGCAGTCTCTCACTCTCGCTCGTTCTCGCTCGATGTCACAATGTCGGCGCGAATGTCCTCGTCCTGCCCTTACCCTCGATGCCCTTACATTCCTCTCACGCGCGTGAATTGATACCCTCGGCACGTGCGAACATTGACCGGCCCTTCGCGAATTCAAATTGATCTTTGGTGTTTTCGCCGAAGACCCGGCTATTGCATACTCCAAAATAACTACGCCAAAGGTCTGTTTTTCTATTCGTGGCTGACGAGGTCTTCGGCCGGAGTGGAATCCTACTATACTTCTCTATCTAGCTAGATTTTCCATAATTCTTCTAACTTGTACCACTTAGAACTTATCCGTCTTCATTCTAACACGATTATGTTTAAGTTTTTGTTAATTTTATAAAAAAACAAAACACTAAGCACCACAAATAATTAGAATAATATTATAATATATATTTAATATTTTTGAACATTTAAATATTTTTATAAATAAAACGGGAAAAATTTATGAATTGAAAAAAAAAACTTCAATTTTATCTTCAATTGGGAGTTTCACTTTTTTGTCATAAAATTATAATTCCGATAAACATTGAAAAACAAAGAATGCATTATCTAATAAAATCAATTGTAATATGAATATCATGCAAATCATAATCATATCATGAATCATGATTAAGTTAGCTAAAGTTGAATTAATTTGATTTTAATTAAGTTGAATTTTTTAATTAATGGAAACTTGAATTAATTTTTGATAATTTTATTCACATATACCTTCAAGACTATGAACTCTAATCTATAAAATATATTTTTTAATCAGAAAAAATACAAAGTAACTGCGCAACTAGTTAATTATAATTAATTTATAGTTGAAACATCTTTAGATTTAGTGAATGGCTAATTATCACTCAATTTGGGCTAATTATCATTCACCTTAGGTTAATGTGTAGAATTTTTTACTTAACCATGTGTTCGTCAAAATTATATCACATAAATCTAATAAACATAGTAATAACTCTGACCAATCAGAAAGTTCTGTTATGCATAGAATAGTAATGTGAGTGATAATTAACCCAAACCGAGAGATAACTAACCCTTCACTAGATTTATCCATATATGAAAATAACATTATTGCTAGTCTATTCTACTTATACCTATATGCATAATTGCAATGTGGTCAAATATTATGATTTTGGAATAAGTAATAGCAAAATTGAATTTACAATCATGTTGATTATCATTTGTGAGATACGATGTGTCCAAAAATTATACTGAATATTGATATCTTTACTTTACATCAAAATTCATCTAATGGGCAGCAACCTTATCTTTTAGATTTTTTTAACTTCATAATTGAGATTATTTTTCGTTTGCAAATCCATTTATAATTCAACTATTCTCTGTACTTTTGAAATTTCAATAACTCTCAACCCTTTTATCAATAAATAATTACATCTTTTTCTACATTCATGCAATTCATGTAATGATACAAAACAAAATTTGAACCCAATGTATGTACAAGTTTCAGCTTTTTTCATGATACAAGTCAAAAAATTATTATCAAGAAAAATAATATCACTATTCAAAATTAAATTGAATATTAAGATACAAATTTACGTACTGAAAAATGGATGAATCATTCATCCGAAGACGTTCATTTTAAAGCTTCTCATAGTAGATTCGAAATTTTATTGAATGTTCAAAAACTCACTTTGGTGTTTTCATTCAAACCCCTTAAGCAATAGAAGTTAATACATTCTTCATATATATATGCTTCACATGGGATCATTGCGACTTCGTTTATGAGATAATTTTATTCAAATCACGAACCATCTTGAGATTCTGCATTTCGATCAAACAAACGAACACTTCAAGTTTTGTAAAGTTTGCAAAACTCTAAGAGTCTCAGAATTCGTTTCTTGATGTGCGATGCGAAGAAAAGTCATTCGTCCATGCAGGTCCAAAATTCATCCGACCACACAAATCTTCGACTCACTCTGCTCAAAGCGTGATATTTCTGTACATGCATGATGATCTCATATGCTTCTCAAACGTAAAGCACACAATTGCGAACAGCTGCACTTTGTGCAAATTAAACCTTCAAAATGAGAGTGCCAAAATATCTCGTAGAAAACTGGACCTGCATCCTACCTGACGTTGTACAACAGCAATGACTCGAATGCTTTCGTCTCATAACCTCGTCATGAAAATCTGAACAAAATTATATACATCAGACATGACGACTCTAGCTCAAACATCGAGCCTTCTCCATCGCTCTTCTCGACAATTCGTCTCGGCTTAAACCCAGAACCTTGGATCGGTGGAGATCACAAGCCTCGTACCAAACCGAGTTATCAAACCTCTGTCGCACATCTGTTTCCAGTGGGGGCGGCGGAGAAGGGAAGAAACTCCAAGCGATTTCGAGCGCACGAGGTCGCTCGAGTGGTGGCAGAATCGTAGAATGAATGGATCGATCGACAAAGCTGCAAATTCCGGATGCAGCCCCCGCGTAGCCACCTCCTCAGGCGGGCTTGAAGAAATTGAGCTTGATGCCGGTCTCGATGATGCTGTAGACGCCGCCGGCGCAGACGGCGATCGAGAGGGCGCAGCCGAAAGTGCCGAGGCCGATGTTGAGGTACCAGGAGAAGCTGCGGGGGCGCGGCGCCACGACCTTCAGGTACATGAGCGACGGGAGGAAGAAGGTGACGGGCAGATTCGTGAGGCCGCCGATGAGCCCAGCCATCGTCGACAGGAACGGGATGGCCACCGCCCCCAGAAAGCACAGGAACACGATCACCGTGCGGTAGATCAGGCGCAAGAGCGCGTTGCACTTCCGGTCGAACCACTTGCTGTACACCTGCTCGATCATGTCGAAGATCGACATCGCGTACACCTGAAAACTGCCCAGCGAGTTCACCACGATGAACATGAACGTCGTCCCCTGCAGGGTGCGCGATATGTCCTGTCCATGAAAGAAACTCAGCGAGTACAGAATTCCCCCCGGCAGCATCTGCATTCATTCCATGTCCATCTCGAGTGAGTTCGCTTCCGGGCCAGCGTTGCACATCAGAGAAGTTCCTGTCCTACCTCCATGCTCTGATACGCTTTTTGCAAAGACAGTTGCAGTTTCTGTTCTGTTGTGATTTAGTGCAGTGAAGTATGAAATTGGGGATTCTCTTGCACGACTCCAACTTGTCCAGATTTGTACGGGGCAGATTATCAGCAGCAGACAGAGTCTCACGATAGAGATTTAGGGGCTGATACGTATGTCATGTCAGACAGAGGGTGGGGGTTGTTGGAAATTTAGCCATTCACTTTCACCCATTCCTCCTCCTGTAGACTCGAGTGGAAGGATCTTGTGCCTGGAGGGAGCCATCCTCGGGAATGCAAATTAATTTTTGTTTTCACAGAAGTGGTCATGCTGTTACGTACCTTGTCTCCGTAAGCCCAGTATCCTCCTATAGCCAGGGGGAAGTAGCACAGAGCTGTGAGAGCAAACGCTGCCGTCGCACCTCTCCACATGGGAACGCGTGCCGGGTGCTTCAAGGTGGATGGCATGGTAGCCTACAGTAGCCACCCAAATGCAGAAATTACGTGAGTATGAGAATGTTCTCGATCTATTTTCTCTCCAGCCGATAGTGACTCTGGAGCATAAACGTGTGTGTGGAATCTGACAAGGGCACCAGAAATCTGGTCTACATTTGTTTCGTGACTTTTTTCCTCGTCTATTCTCGGCGGCATTGGAATGAACACTTTGGCTACGGGATTAAAAAAGTAGAATTTGGAACAAAATCGAGAGGACCATGAAGCAAAGGAGCTTTCCGAAGCTTGCAGTCAGCAAGGAATAGAAGCCATCCGCACAAGTCACACCTGAATCTCGAGAACGAGATTGTGTCCTCTGAAGGCGAAGACGATCATGCCGAGGGCATTGAGTATGCCAAAAGTTGTGACCAGGGCGGATCCTCCGGAGACAATCTCGTAGCCCACATTGGGCATTCTGGGGACGCTGACACTCAGAGTCCACAACAGAGTGGTGTAGGCAACGGCCATGGTTGCTCCTATGAGGGACACTCCTGCAACAGAGTTGAGGTTGGGGAAGTAGGATAACAGGGCGCAGAGGATGGTGAACACGAGGTACCACTCGATGGGAGTGAGCGGGCTCTGACAGGTCGGGCACACTGTTCGGAAGAAGAGCTGCAAACAGCTGCCTCCGATGGTAATGAGTCCGATGCATGTTCCTCCAAGTAGGATCAGGAGTTGTATTACAATGATCTGTTTACCGATGCCGTTTCCTGCAACCAATGCACCCACACGATTCTCAGCAAACCTGGACAGAGCATCAGTTTACACGTCCGTTGTCTTTTCGTGCTCATTCTTCCAAGTCCATGTGAACTTTCAGAGGCCTTGCGAGTGTGTCTTAACTATCTGAGTTCATCAACGGGGCGCCTATCCTCGTCACCCTTACTTGGCAGGCAGCAGTGTTTTCAGATCGTTTTAGAACCTTCTTGATCCCAGATTACTACCGGCTGCAATCTTCCATAGACAGCGAATAAGAATCTACTCTCGACACGAAAACTCCTCGCGAACGCTAGGCCAAATTCTTTAATCGGAAGACAGTTATCCATCCCGGGTACTAACGATCGAATTTTTCCATGGATAATAGGACAGATTGAAACTGTGTTATTATCTATCTGTGCAAGTCTGCGGCATTGAATTCATCCAAGTCCCTCTCATTGTAAGCGATAGAGAACTTTCCAAACGCATCTGTTGTCTCTAGAAGAGCTTCGAGGCTTCGATCCTACACCAGGGACTGCAAGTGTCATGAATGCAATAGTGGAAAAATTGACGAGAAATCAAAGGGCTTCAGGAAGATGTAAAATTTGAAGTAAACACTGGAGATTAATCTTCATGTATATCTTGTCTTGCACAAATATCGACGTGCCAGAACGTCAGAGCTCTGTCGTCTGTGAAGGTCGAGGGAAGAAATTTCTTGAGGGTATGAATGAGGAGGTGGAACAGTAAATAGTCATGCTTTGAAGCTTACCGAATGCTATTTCGACGAGATCAAGGTACCGATTCACTCTCTTCCCCGGAACACACTCGTGCATAGACACCAGTAACCACTTGGTGTACATCATCCAGCAGAAAGCAATGATGAGACACACAATCCCACTGGTCCTGCAGAACAAACGGGAAAGATCAAAATTACCATCGCCACAACCTGCGCACAAAATAGAGGATCATGCTTCTAAGACTCAGATCTTAATTCCGAGAGTGATAATATTTAGTCAAATATCTGTCGGTTCTTGTACCTTTCGATCCAAGCTAGCAGTTTCAAAGTCCACACTTGGAGTTTCAAGGAAAAGTTGAATGTGCTGACTTCACTCCACCCAAGTGTCCACTTTTAGAATTCGGTGAGAACTAGATGGATAGAAAAAGATGTCCAGTGAATGTTAATTCCAGAGTATCTAATTCGAAAACTGGACATTTCTGGACGACGGTTTGAAATGTAGAACCAGCCAAGAGTTTGAAAAGTGCCACGAAGTCACTACAGGAATTCCAGTCTGCACTAATCCCCCAGCTACAAGACCAAGCGTTAATCAAGACTAATCGGCCATTAAATTCGTCTAATTGTCAACTAATTGATCTGATGAACTTTTGTCAGTTATAGCATAGCAAATTCCTAGCAGCTTTCGTGAAAACAAATCACATCCATTCCCTGCATGCTCCACCGGTTCTCGGGGCTCGTTCATGTTTTTTTATTCGGATTTTTTATTCTCTCATCGTCATAAATATTGCAATTATTCTCAAGGTTCGGCTCGTTTCTAAGCCGTCAGCAAACGTCGAGTAGCATTTGGAGAACACATGTCGACCGAACAAGAGTCGTGCATTTCCTCCAGATTTATATCCGAGCTCCAGAGCCTGTGGATTCCGAGGGGGACGGAGACAGACTTACCAGCCGAGGAAGGTGAAGGCGAGGGGCAAGAGCAGAGCTTGAAATCCGATCGAAGCGTTTACGTTGTGGAATGCGGCGTAGTAGGCATTGCCGTGCCTGGACTCGGTGATGGGGAGCCACGTGTCGCGGGGGTCGATGGTCGTCAGGTGCCCGAGCTCCTGCAGATACTCCTTCATGTTGCGCAGCGTGGTGGCCAGCGGGGACGGCAGCGGGCTGCGCAGCGGTGACGTGGCCCACGACGCGAAGGCCTTGACGGGGGACTTGGGCGTCGCAGGAGATAGGGGCGTCGCGGGAGATTTGGGAGGAGTCGGAGGAGGCCGCAGCTGCGACGGCCCGCTCCTGGGAATCAGACTCGCCGTGCTTCGCTGCCGGTCGAGCTCCGGCGTGTGCCCGGCGACGGGAAAGATGCCGTCGCTGAGGGACGGCGAGTGCTGCAACTCGCTCGCCATGGGCCTGAAGGGCGGAGCAGGTAAGGTATCGAGCTCGTCCAGTCGGTGTCGGGGGCTCGCCGCCGGCGTACTACCGGCTACAGAATGCGGTGACGATTTCGGCACGTAACCGGCGAGCTCTCTGGAGTGTCCCGTCGGCGTGACGGTCCCCGAGTCCCCGTCAGACTCCATGACTTCGTGCACCGTGGCGGGTGATTGCGGACGTCGCCGATGCTCCTCTTCCATGACTCCCGTCCAAGCCTCAGATCTCTCCCCGAGAGCAGCAGCAGCAGCAGCAGTAGCAGCAGCGAGTCTAATGCAGTGGATGGCAGCAGAGTTGTGCAGTCGATGCGTTTCCTCCGGGTCCGAGCGGGAACTTCGAGAAATTCTCCACCTCGTCGGACTCCATAGGCGAGTTCAGATTCAGGCCCCAAGATGCGCTTCCTGCTCGACGAGATGCACTGTCAGCTGAGAGAGAGAGAGAGAGAGAGAGAGAGAGAGAAGCGAGACCCTTGGGACAGGGTGAGCAGATAAACGATGCGAACATTGTCTTCTCGTCTCCCTATCCCGGACTCTCAACAGCCTCGAAGCGAACGGAAGGAGGATAATAAAAGATCATCTCCAACATTTCAATCCGCTCAATCTGCTCCAGAGAATACGCAAACGCGAGTACGGGCACACTCTCGATGGCAAAAGTACAAAGTGCAAAGTGTGTGCCTTTACGACTCAAAAATTCATGAGTCTCGCTGAATTTCAGCAAAAGGGCGACGCTAGGATGTGGGCTGGAGAATCTCTCTGCTCCGGGAGAAGAGAAGGACTCAAGGACTAATTCCGCTAAATGGTGTGACGAAACAAAATCGACAGTCTCTCGGGACTGACATCAACCCGAGTCAAACAATTCCTGACGGTTTTCGTTCATCTGAACGGAGAAAGACCGACCGTGATTGGGCTGGAAGACCAGCAAAGAGGACAGACGAGAATACAGAGCGTAACCAGCTGCAGCAGCAGCAGGCTTCAGGCTTCAGGCTTCAGGCGAGATGTAGAGAAAGGTGAACACTGTTCACGTGTAAGAACCGATTATGTAGGGAGGTGTAAGCTATGGCTGGCTTTACATCACGTCAAGTTTCGGCGACGTTCGGTTTCAAAAGTTTCAGAATTCCGCCACGATAGAATCTCACGAGTTTCCTGTGGAAGGATGACGAGGTCTGACTGGGTGGGACACTCTGTCTGAACACCTGCGGTTGTTAAATGACTCGAGGCTGAGGCATGTCGGACATTGCAAATATGCAAGTGTCAACGTTTGATTGAGTCGGGATGTCTGGACAGTCGGAGCGGTCTGGAGTGCCCGAGGGATGATTGAGAAGCTACTGCGAGGAGAGCTTGCGGATTGCTCCCAACGGAAGGCGGGAGAAAGAGGGATGGAGAAATATCTCGTTCTGAGCACTCGGAAGCTCGCAGAAAAATGAAAATAGCGCTTTGGATATCCAGCTCCATGCACGAGAATTAGGGAGGGATGACTTCCACCTATTCTGCAGGAGTTTACGACTTCGAGTCCCGCAGATTCACATGAAGACTCATTTTGAGCAAATTCAACAATCTCAAAGTAGTAAGTTGAATTACAAAATCCGAATCTCCGACATACCGACAAGATGCGAAGACTAATCGTCTCTCACGTTGCCTGCGAGCTCGCTCAGAATTATGGACTTTCGAGTCCGAAGTCGTCAGTGAAAAATATAACAAGTCCTAGCTCTCCTTCTGCTTGCAACACAGATCCAGAAAAAGTCCGATCAGCTCCATGCCATTCCTCTCAAACCGGTTCAAACTAAAACAATATTTGCGGCATACGAAACCTCAGATAGCTAAGAAAATCGCAAATTCTCTGTGTCTCCCAAGTCACCAAGCTTGCGAGAAAATAAATGAACACGGAATGAGATCCTGGACCTTATAACATGCGGAGGCATCGCCTCCTATCGTGGTCTCCGGCAGCTGATGCAGGTGCCGATGCCGAAGGCACTGTCTCGACGATGGACGGTAGAAATGCTCGCTAGGAGTCGAAAGCCTGAAATCCTGAGAACTGAACTCTCACTCTCACTCTCTCCCCGACGAGAGCAGCATGCGCAGCCGGGCCAGCTCAGAATCACTGAACACGAAGCACCACAGGGGGAGGATAACGGTACTGTACCACGTGCCGAGAAACGCAGTTAAGTACTTGTACGAACTACGTACATCGACGCTTGCTTCAGACGTCGCCCGAGACCAAGTCTCTGCCTCTTCCTATTTCTCTACACCAACTTTGAGCTTTTGCTTTGACTTGAGGATATTATAAGTCAACCTGACAAGGCAAGCGAAAGCATGATTTGACCCGAATCGTGTCTCATACAAGGAACAATGGTGAATGGAATGTACAACAACGTAGGACAACTACTGGTAGCACTTAACGGTTTGCTTATATAGGATCCATGTGAAGCTAGAGATCTTGATACGTGAATCCCACGCTGCCATGCACTCTCCTATGCTGAATCTTAGGGTCGATATTAGTGACCGCCGTCGGTATCGTCATCATGATCTAAGAATAATCTAAGAACATCTCGAGCAGTCATATCTTCCTACGTGATCAAGATTGGAAGTGGACAATTTGGGCAATGAGGCTCCCGCGTCCGCTAGCGACTTAAAAACTTGTAGTCGATAGGAAGAGCAGCCAGGCAGACAGCGGTCAAATTGTCACTCTTGATCATTTTTGGAGTAAAGACCGTACAGGACAATGTAATGGGGCCTTTCAGAACTGAGGGCACTCACTACTCTCAGCGATTTAGGCTTTCTTGTCACGTGCTGCGACCTTGCGAGAATTATGTTGATGTGAGTGTGCATTGTAAACATGGACCTTGTCAAACTCTCTGAAGCTTTGAACATTAAATACTGTGAGCATAGTATTGCAAATACACGAACAAGGTATATATAAATTTTATATATAAAATATATGCTATATTATATATATTTATAAAAAATCATATATATATTACATTTTATGTAACAGATCTCGATTCTTGTGCCTCACATGATGTTATAAATTTTTCCACTCATTATTTGTTGGGAAAATTACATTTGAAGCTTTATATCTGATCGAGTGTTCCAGCTTAACCACATATAGTACCTACTTTTCTACAACTTTGTTGCGTACAAAAGGTATATGATTGCACTAGTGAAAGTTATTTTCCCCTAAATATCAAATAAAAAAAAATCTGCACGTGATACTGTTGACTTCGACCAGGTAAGGAAGATTCTGCTGAAACTGAGACTGATACAAGTCCAACAACAAGGCCTTCATATCTTCTGAGAACTTGTTCCTTGCAGCAAAACAAATATTCTCTCCTAACTCTTTTCACATCACCAACTTTCGAATCACTTCAACTGCACTGAGGTCACTTATCTGGGTCTTAGTTCTTGAACGAGCAAAAAGTGTGATACCAAATGATACAGAAAAAAGTAGGAATTTAAAAGTACCCAATTAAGGAATTAAAAGGTATAGGAATACCCATAAGTCTCACGTGCATATATTAATCAAATGAAAGGCGGGTACATGAGGCTAAGCCCCAATAGCATTACGATGGTAAATAGGTCACCAATAAATTCAAGGAACACCGTTGAATGGGGATAAGCTTCTAGAACTTTTGAGAAGTTCAATACTGTGGAATTTTTTAGTTTGATGGAACCCTGGTACAGGTATAAAACTGTGGTGTCAGGGCAACGACGACTTCAGGTATTGATTCAAAAGCGTACGTTCTCATCTGTCGATATGTCACAGGGCAGGTCAGCGTGGACTTGCCTTCCCTTGGGAATGTTGAAATTAGCAGCCTAGGCAGCAGTTCACTCTAAAGTCGTCGGAGGATTCATTATTTGGGTCAAAGTCTAAGCATTAAACTAACAAAAAACATGCGTCACCGATGCCAGGGATCGTTGAAATGAACAAAAAGAGATATCATAATATCGATTGTCAAAGTCAGTCATGTGGCATCACCAAGTCTTTGCTGTCGATGGCACTTCAAGCATAACGCTCTTCTGCAAACCTCGGTTTGTTGAAACCAGACTGATTCAAACCAAAGTTTCATGTTCTCGCCGCTGCAGCGATATCGGTGCTGTTAGGTAGCAAACACGCACCCAAAATTTGCCATACAGTGAAGTATTTGAGAAAGCATGAAGTGCCAAGAAATTTTCTTCTTCTGAGAAGCATGAATCTATCGAATCTGCGAATATACACTCCCACCTTTAGCTGACTGAAGTGAAGCTTTCTTTGGAACACATTTTGCAATCTTGTGACCGGAAACCAGTTTTGAGCCAGAACCAATTGGAGTATGTGCACTGACCATGCGGTAGGTGACCCCTGGTCGTCAGTGAAATTTTTCTTGCATCAAGAACTGACAACATTTTGTGAAAGCATGGTCAGAGTTCGAGATGCGACTCTTTCATGGGCCTATGGCAGTATAAACGAGAGTTCTTAGTTTATGTTCTCTGAATGGTGTCAAGAAGTCTAGTTCTATCCTGATCTCTGGATTGGTGCACTGCATCACCAGGTCTTCCTCGCCGGTCACATTCCTTCAGATCGATACACTTTCGGGATACCTGTGAACACAGCAAGTAATGGAATGGAATGCGGGTCCTACCACACTCATGACCGATGTCGAAACAACCTTCCGAAAGTCTTCGGGCTCTCTTTTCTCCTGGCATCATAGGTTTGTCAATCCCCCTTTTCTCCTCGCATCGAAACGCGCCCCCCCTCATTTACAGAATACGAGTGTCACGATTGACCTCTCCATCAACCACTCCGTAATCCTTAAATCCTAAAACCTAGTCAAAAGGGGCTGACACCTTTGAGTATTGCAGGTAGTTGGAGAAAAAATGGTTTCCAGGACGAGCGAGGCACTTTCGAGCACTCCTTATTTGTCAAGCGCATGCATTGCTAATTATCCGTCGTCTGCTTTCCGAACGCTCCCGAATGATTCTCGCGCGCCCCTCGAGACGCAATTCTATTTCTCGAGCGGGACGGAACAACTTTTGTGCGGCAGCGCATGAAATGCATGCAACTCTGACATCGGAGAAAAATGCATCCACCACCAAGAGGCCTCAAGATACTCACGGATCCGATCGACTCGCGCCCCGCGCCATCGCCACGAGAGAAAAAGCGGATACCGATCTCGGAAGAGGAGCGAGCGAGAGATTGAGGGAGAGAAATTGGACGAGGACGAGGAATCGGCAGATTCTTAAGCTCGGCCTAGATGAGAGCAGCGACGGTCGCGGCGAGGAGCGTGACCGAGGGGGCGGGGCGCGGGACGGCTAGGACCGGATGGAGAGTTCGGCGTGGAGGAAAATGCGACCGTCGCAGACCCACTGGCTCTTTTCGGCCAGGAGCTCGGCCAGGTCCTTGCCGAAGAGGTCGGCGCAGCGGAGGAGCGGGTTGTCGACCTGGAAGGTGTGCTTGGCGTGGAACCGGTGGACGAACATCATGAGCGGCACGGACCAGACGGAAATGTTGAGCTCGGCCTGGATGCGGCCGGCGGGCGAGCTGCCGCAGAGGCGCAGGTCGAGGCCGACCTTCTTGCGGGTGGACGCCGTGAACACGTGGTGGATCTGGAAGGCGAAGACGCTGCCCGCCACGCGGAAGCCCTCGAAGGTCAGGTGCCCGCTGGGCTGCAGCGCCTCCAGCTCGGCCGGTGACGTGTCGAAGTGCACCACGGCCTGCTTCTTGGGCTGCTCCAGCACCAGGCAGTTCACGGGCCTCAGGTACCCGCTGCGCTTCTCGAACCGCCGGTGGTGGCCCGCGCCGTCGCCGCGGAGCTTGTGCTTCATGTCCTCGGACGCCGTGCGGAACTTGAGCGCCTGGATCACCAGCTCCTGACACGTCGGCGACGCCAGCTCCGGGTACTCGAGCAGCCCGCTCAGCACGTCGGGCTTCATGAACGGGAACCGGATGAGCGGCGCCAGCTGCGTCATCATGAGCTGGCTCTCGGCCACGGAGAACGTGTTCTCCTTAACCCAGAGAATGAGCGCGTAGAAGGCGATCTCCTCGCGCTCCACCTCCAGGTCATCACTCGCCAGCAGGGCTCGCAGCGCTGACTGGGCCAGTGACACGAAGTCCCGCAGCAGCTCCTTGTTGCTCTCGCGGCTATGCTTCGAGGTGGGCTTCGAGTTCACGAAGCTCAGCTTTTTGAAGTGCCGGATCAGAAAGTGCGTGCTGGCCTCGATCACCGAGCGCAGCTCGCCCGACGGATTCGAGTTGTACGCCGCCTCGTGGATGCGGATGGCCTGGTCCAGGTCCAGCGGCATGTCGCGCAGCCTCCTCAGGCACAGCTGCGAGCAGTTGTGCACCAGGAACCGCTCTGCCAGCCCCCACAGCGAGATGAACTCCTCCACCTCCGTCAGCGATACGCTGTTCGTGTACATGCACTCGATCATCGCGTGGAACGTGCACCGCTCTGCCAATCGTCACTCGTCGTCAGAATTACAAATCTGCTCGACTCTGCTAGACGCTTCCAATGATTTTAATCTATTTGGTCCACAAGCCCGACCTCTATGTGGGATCATAGGGCCAGCCCTCCTCGGATCGACCGAGAAGGTCGAAATTTGAGAATTCTTCACAGCTCTGTTCTCAAATTTGGAAAGGCACGTGGAAGAGGTTTGGGAGGTTTCATTATCCAACAGCTCGATTGCAGCGAGCTGAGGTCGTGAGGAAGTAGACGGGTCCAGCTCATTATATGGGCTGGCCTGATTCAGCGTATGAGTTTGCAGCTTGCTACTTCAGCTCCTGGGAGCTTGAGTGAAGATGATGGCCAGTGATACCCTAGACGGGCTCATAATCTGAACACGGAACCAAGAGGAGACTAGAGAATGAGCATGAGCTTGAGCTTGAGCTTGAGCACAGGGAATGAATTTCTTACCCTCAGGATTGATGTGAATGTCGACGGTGTGAGAATTGCAATCTCGAAACCCATTGCCTCCGAAAAGGCTGCGGAAAAATGGAGATTCTTTGGCGAGAATGACTGAATTGACAGGAATTTTGACTGTTTCGACATCGAACTGATCGTAAATGTTGCCGTCATCGTCGACGAAGTCCTCCTCTTCGTCTGGATCCACTGCTCGTCACAGAAATCAGACAGACACACAAGGCGCATCAGCTGTGGGGACGGACAGAAGCAAAACCTCCAGAGACTCAACAGGAAGCGAAAAATATCTCTGAAGCTCCTTCTGATCCGAACGCCCTGGGCAGGTCATGTTCGATCGACCGTAATCAGTCAGAAAGGAGTCGAAGAAAGCTAAATGAAGGCCGAAGACCTCAAGCAGCTGGTCGGTAACTGAATCAGATCGACAATCAGTCTCTAACTAACATCCCCAAGTCGAGATTTGTCAGTGCGGCTTTATCCAGAGTTCCACATTCGCCAACCATCCAGCTGAAAGAACTCTGAACCTTTTGCCTTTCTTCCAAACGCCCACGTGCTTAAATGCGTCTAATACAAATTTCTGAGCTCGGGCCAGATTCTCCGAGAGTGGTCCCATAATTTCAAGGATTCAAGAGTTAGACGCTCCGAGTCCACTTATCCGACCCACAGTACGAGTGCTCTCACTCAGAGCATCAGAACTGCGTCTGCAATGGCTGTAGTGCCCCGGTTCTGGTTCCTTCATTTAATCTCTCTAGCCTGCATTTCACTGAATTTTACGGAATTTCACCGACTGCATTTCATATTCGGGGATCTGGTATCGTGCAGTTGATATCCCATGATCCATGAACACGTGAGGTCCATTCTTCCTTATAAGAACACCGCCGCCAGTACGAGTCCAGTCGCAAGCTCGACAAATGCTCGGAATAAGAACCGAACTGGATGGACATCTCGGACGAGATTCAGAAATGAATTCGTATGATTGTGACGGAATGCAAATCCCGTCTGTCATCGTAAAGCTCTAGAGCAGTGCTGGCTGGACTATGGCACCCGCTTCGCATGCGACTCATTCGTCATCGTATTTATCTCGAGGAGGATTTCGGATCGATCGTGCTCGTGAGAACGTCGAATCTGAACGAGCTTTTCTCGCAGAGTTATGGAATCTGCATGGAAGGGAAGGGAAGGGGAAGGGAAGGGAAGATGAGTGCGTACCATGAACTGCGCATTTGATGTCGATCCTTGAAATGCTCGTGTCCAGAGACGCTCCGGAGAAATCCGATCTGACGATCAACCGGAGCTCCCTGTCGGACCATCGAGGGTCGTTGTAGGCGAATCCGAACGACGAGACCGGCTCGAAGGACGAAGCGTGGTCGTACTCTTCTCCCTCGGCAGCGAGTTCCCGATAGTTGTCGTCCATCGTGATCGATCGCTGCGCTGACGGACTGCGCTTCTGCTGGAGCGTTCGGCTGCTCGGGGCTACGACGGACTCATCTCGAGCTCGAGTCAATGCAATTTTCTCGCAATGAAGAATACGTAAGCTGGGCATCATTGAGTCTGGCACGCGCATACACAGTCTGCGAGTCAAGCTCTGGCTGGCATCACAAGGGCATTCTGAAATTCTAAAGTTTGAGCAATACAGCATATAAAACCCCATTTTCTCTGATCTCAGCAGCCGCACAAATTCAAGGGCATGGATTCCAATTTATCTTGTTTCTTCAGCAGCGGATACGATTTGAATCGGGGAGATTTGTGTTCTTTGCAGGCAGGCAACATGAGGAACTCTAGCACTTGAAACGGAGTCAGTCATGTGTCATGGCTGCTAAGGCTAAAAAATTTAACGTCAGATTTAGACTTCTCACTCTAGAGCCCAAACTGCCCGCATGTGCATCAGGCCAAAGAACTTGGACTATGTAATGGATCGTGGAATCGATCCTTAGGTCCACATGTGCCTACAGCTGGACAGGATCGTCATAGATAATCATAAATGAGTTCTGAAATAAGTGATACATATCTGTGGACTGTGTCTACGGTCTTTGTCAAGCAAGTAAGTAGTCGAGGATGCACATGATGAAGATGGTCCTGAAGCGAGTAGATTACCTGAATTTGGATATGGTCCATTCCAAATTGGAAGAAGTGTACCCACGTTCCGAGGGCAGTCACTGCAATCTTCTGCAAGGAAGATTCAGTTGATTGGGATGCACCTGCACGCTCGATAAGCTGCCAGCGAGGAGCGCCGTCGTTGTCGTCGTCGTCGTCGTCATCATCATCGTCATCGTCATCATCCTTCAAATGTCATTACACCACTGCCACAACAAATTTCCTGAGAGTGTTGCTAGTGGCGCCAGTCATCGAGCTTCTGTTCGGAGCCAGATATGTTTCAAAATTGAGTCAACAAAGTTTCTGTTGTAATACAACAAACATCTTCTCTCCGAGGCATGAGTTGACTTGACTCCCGGGAGCAGCCAGAGATGTGCTGAATTCCAGTTGACTAGGGCTGGCTCGCTGCTGGCTGTCTAGGAGCTCGGGGCTCGTGGGGATGGTGGAATGTCTACCAGAACCCGGGAGAGCATATCGTGAAAAGTGCAAACACCTCCCGGAGGAATGAAGAGGACGGTGCAAAGGGACAAAAATGAGGCCCTTCTTCTTCAAGGCTGAAGTAAGATCCGAATTCTGAGCTTCAGTGGCTGCTATCGGAGGAAGAAGGACAACTCACAGACTCTCGTTGGCACAGCCGTAGCTTGCACCTTGCGAGCTACACCAGTCCGAGTCGATCACAGGATGATCGATCAGCAGCAGTAGCAAGGCAATGTCTCGTGGCCAGCCACTCACAAACTGCTTTCAAACTTGGTGTCGGAGCCTGGAGACTATGAAGACGAGCCGGAGAGGAGACGGCTCGGGAGAGGTGGACGGAGGAAAGGATGCAGGCAGAGCTGGAAGTTCAGCATGGAATCTGAAACCAATGGAGGATCTGCATCTGTGATCTAGGCTGTAATTTCATCATTCGAGGGAAGATTTGGGGTCCAGGGTCGTACAATGCAATCTGTTCCAACAGTGAGCAAGCAGTGACTTGCTGGTTGAGTCTGCTTCTGGAAGATCCCGGAAAATCTCTGCACGCATTAAAGAAAGAAAGCAAAGAAGCACTTTCTACATCACAGTAGACTGCACATTATCTGGATCAGGGATTCCATTTTATTTTTCGCGACTGAACTCACGGCATTATTCTGCCTCAGCGGCAGTGACTCCCATCATCCAAAATCCGTTGCAAAAACATTCCGGAAGTCGAGAAGGCATCTTCTTCTATTGTGACGCATGTATGAGTCGGTGGTTTCAGTCTACTGCAGTGGAGGGTGTGATCTTACTCCATGCACTTCCAATTGAGGTTTTTTAGTGAACGTGTGGGGGATCCCAGTGCTGGTCACGATCTTGCCATGCTTACTACGTCGTGATTCACAGGCAGAGGAGAAGGACGTGGGCCTCCTCTAAACATGGCCGGAGCACAGTGAGCTGGTTTTGAGCTCTGCAAGCATCCTATTGTTCGCTGATCGCCCAATTGCTGCTCCATGATGCTGGCGAATATACACTCTGGTGTTCTCTAGCGAGTCAGCGGATGAGCAGAACATAATCTGCATGAACTGCCATAAGTGAGCCGTGAAACCAGGTACTCTGGGGAACAATCTTTCCTCAGAGCCTGGCTCTGATTCTCTCCGGGCTCGTTCTAATGCACTCATAGCTGGACTGCGTGTGTCTTACCTCCTAGTGATAGTAATATCGCGTTCCTACAATTTGGCATTCGCTCATTTTCTTACAAGCTCACGCAACATTATCCCAGCTCCAGCTACCTTGCAAATCCTGACTTTATGCTACTGCTATATCTCAACTGTTCAGAGGGTTTTTTTGTCCAGGTGACGAAACTGCAGGATGTTGTTCATCGCTCCAATTAGTCGTCAGTCAATGAATCATGCTGCAGTGGTGGAGAGAAATAGAGCAAGTGGGAGAACGTTCAAGTACTACAGCATCCGCAATAGGACGCATGTTCTTCTAATTTTGCAGCGAAATTGATATCAGCGTCGCAAGTGCAGCCCAGTACATGTACGAAGTACAACATTCATGCTCTGTATGTACTGAAACGAAGGAAACTGCTACTAGAGAACTCAGTCAGAATATTCTGCTTTAGGAAGTGATATTTCCACAGCCTATATAAGAAAGGATTGCATTTACGTCCAGATTGACACAGGGAGTATCTATAGGAAGGATGAATTTGCGCCTGAATCTGAGTTCAATCATGCAATTTGGGTTCTTATGATAGGAATGAGCTAAAAGTTGAAATTCCATGACAGATAATTACTGTGCATGAGAATGTTCTTTCAAGTGGTATCGATTTATCTCACGCCTCATTCTATCTACATTGCAATGTTTACGTGAGATCTGACTGGTTCAAGAGGATGGGTGACAACGCCATTAGCAGAAACATGATGTGCAATTTGAAACTGCGTGTGTAAGCAGAGGTGTCAACTTGTCATCATGAACTAAGACTAGTCAGAGCGAAATAGATGCCACCCGAGGGTGAGAAGGTGAATCAGTTAAGTGATATGTACTCTAAGGAGTGATCTCACTTGTGTCAAAGCTATGAAGGATCTTGTGGGTCCAGGAGACGTATTCATTGTGGAATGTTTTTTCAGGATAATTTTCTCTCAGAGGAAAGATTGTCGTGTCATAGAAAACTGTCTGCGTCGAAGCACTTCTGATTATCGTAGTATGTATGTGGTACATTTCATTGCAGGTGAACTTCATTTTTCAATTTGTGTGCTCCACATAATAATAAAAGGTTTTAGTTTGAGATATTCTCGTAAAAAAATAGCAAAACTGTTGTAGTAGAGACTATGGAAAGAGTCAAATATCATGAAATAGGAGATAGTGGAGTTTTAGTTGAGAAAATTACCGAATTATTACACAATAATAATTTAGAAGAAAGGTGAATGATTACCTGAATGACTCGAATCACGGCTACTATCTTATTATATGAAAAAAAAGTTTAACCTTCAAAAATTTTCTTCAATGGGCACACTGCAGTTCACTGACTCTACATTTCCGTTGAACTATTTTCATAATCGAGTATAGTTCGAAGTAGCTTCAAAGACTTTATCCAGCCAAATATTTAATCTTTTGCTGATGGCTACAACATTCACTGGGGAAGGTGTGGACATGATGTCAGATTCTGAAATGGATCAGATGGCGAGAATTCGCTGAACCCATTCCTGCTCTGGTGCAGATTCGCGAACTGAGCACGAGACTATGATAAAACATTGACTCTCTTTTTTCTAGCCAGGAAAAGGTCGGAGATCAAGCACAGCACCCCGTATATGTTGGACATGTGCAGCCTTGTGATGTAGTAAAGCTTATATAAAACCCTCAGACTGTCTTAAGAGTGTGTTACAAGGAACAGAAAGTTATTGTATTGTATAGGAGCAATCAGTCTGCGCAGCTCTTACAATTTTCATGTCAAAACACTAGTACGTACTGTTCAGAGTATAGAGTACTTTGGATGCATGCGAAGAAATATAAAATTGGAAGCAGTATAAGAAAAGAAATAAATTCTTGTACAAGATAGCTATTCAAAATCTACAACAGAACTCATCGTGTAGAGAGTACCTCAAGCATGTCCAGACTATTGTGGTAAACTTTTATTTGAATTCTCAAATTGTAAAAATTCTGGTCTACACTAACTTGGCATCCATACGAATTATGTGTAGATATGTATAATGTGGACACTGACATAACATTTGTGATTTTCGCATAGAAAATGTAATTATTAGTATTGGATGATTTGCATTGAGGAAGAATATGACCTTTCTGAAATAGGTTTCAGTCAAACTGTTTAGGAAATGTAAGATAGACATCTGTAACTGGAGCACTTTGTTACGCCTACCTTGGACCACAATATTTCGGTGAATATGTAAGCACTTTGGAAAATCCGTTGACATTGAGATAATGTCATGTTTTCAGTATTTCATCTTACATGTTTATGTTCACACAATTATTGGTCAATCACTCTTTATTATCTAGGATGTAAATAAAACTAATACTCTTCATATATTCTGCATTCATAGTGAATAGATTAGTAAGATATATGATTAAGTAAAGACCATTACTTTGTCCAATGAATCCAAATTCAATTGATTTGAAATTTCAATTATTCTACCAGTTTATGGGAACTACATACGGTAATTATTATCATAGACTACTCCAATCTTTTTACAGCTTACTTTTTCACATCAAGTATAGTTAAAGAAATCTCGAAAAGTGCTTGCATTCACATCCATTGTTAATTGTATGATACCATGAAAATCAATATATTTTGTGCATATACCACATGTTTGACAAGATGTTGAGATTTAATGAAGCCAACCACATTGAAATTTTATGTGCAAAGATGATATGGCATGTTCTATAAGTGGGTATTTCACAAACGTATAGGCTTACAAATGTTTAATCTACCAACCAATAATGCAAAAAATATTTTATGGTAATACAAGAATGTGCATTGTAAATGTTAAACTGGTATGTTTTATACAGTCTGTACTTTAGAACAAGTCATCGATTCAAAGTTCATTTGCTCACTCAATTGTTAGAGCTGTCATAGGGTGGTTGGTTGATATCTTTACTCTTCATGTGTGATGTTAAGTTCTAATCAACCCTTTGTATATTTCATCGAAAAATATGTACACATCTTATATCAGATTATATTCAGAGTATATTCATGGGAAAAAAATGATAATATTCACTATTGCAACCATATTTCTAATGATGTCACTGAAGACTTTGAGTGCAGAGCTTAATTGGAATGACTCTAAGGATCTTATGTAAGGAGTGATGTGTAGTTTTACTCATACCAAGATTCGAAATGACATTAGAAATGCTACTGAAGTTCTCAAGCTTTGCTCAGCGTATTGTCTGTAGCTTTTTCATCGATTTTGTTTTCCTCGATGCTCTCGTTGTTGCGTCACACCGATTGAATTATCCCCTCTTCGTTGAACTCGGGTGGCGCATCCTACTCGACGGGATTCAGTATATATTCCAAAGATCCATCGGATATGAGACGAAGCGATAGGAACTTTTGAAAGTGGAGACACTACGGTCAATCGAAGAGGTTGGCTGCTATTATAGTGGTCATCCAAATCATATCATTTGTGTGATGCTTCGTAGTCTGTGTGACACATGCACAGACTGTAGATGGTGCGAATTGGCATTTTTTTCCTTATATAATAGTAAATAGCATTGTTTGTCATTTCTGCCAAATTTATCCATGTCCAATGTGAAGTTTCTTCACAATGAAAAATCTCTCAATAGGATTTTGGGAGAAGTGTATTTATAAGTTATGGAACTTATAAGTATCACCTCTCATCAGACTGCACTTGAAAGATTTGAAAAATACCATTTTTGAAAATACTTCTGATTACTCTTTAAACCTTCCGCAGACTTATGTCCCTGAATATTTTTCGGCAGGTAAACATTTCGCATTAGCTTCTGATCAAATTCTTGAGTGAGCACTCGGGACGCTATATTTGTTCGAATAAACAAATTTGATACACTGCGAACAAGGCAAACCTATTCTGATGAATGCGATCAGATACACACACATTTTTCCTTTTCGCCTTACACATGACCAGTCAACAGTACACAAAAATTTAAAACCAAATCATTCTTGCTATCGAGAATAGTAAAAATGAGTTCAGAAAATAAATGATACACATGTTGATTGACAGGACGACACTTCTTCCGGACTATATCCAGAAGAAAGCAACTGCACGTCGTACACGAGGACAACGTGGTGGGATTTCCGGAGAACTGCGTTACGAAACGCATCGTAAGCTCCGTACATGGTTGGTTGGCTGGATGGCTGGGAACAACCGCCAGCGGGCCAGCACCAAGGGAAGTCAGGCGAAGCAGATGACGCGGTGCTGTGGCGCCGGAACAGCTTTTGCTTCCTTCGTTCTTTCCATCCATCCTTCCACGAGCATGACTCACCCCGCGCCTCGTTCGAATCGGAGCCGACGCAGCGCCAGCGCGAGCGCGGCGCCGGTGGGCGCCCCGCATGCGATCTTCGAAATTTGAACGGCCCGGGCGCGTAGTCATGGAACCCGCGGCTCGATCGGATCTCGCGCGGCCTTCGGGACGGGGCTCGGGGAATTGCAGTCTCGGACATCGATCGCTTCTTTCAGTCGGACGAGGAGCAGGAGCAGGAGACGGAGGAGAGGAGGGCCCGCGAGGGCGATGGTGATGGCGATGGTGATGGTTCGTGGTCTCTGACAGGCGCGAGGATTGAGCTCGGCGCGAGGATGGTGAGCCGGAATTATGCTTCCAATTGCACTGCAATTGCGCGGCGTTCTTGCTCTTCCTCGTCGTCCTGGGACGAGCATCATCCCTGCGAGGAGGCTGGCGACATGGCGAGCTTGCCCACGGGCCCTGACGACACGACGTCCTCCTGCTGCCCCGCGAGGGCGTACCGCGAACAGAGCGTAGAATTTCAGAAACGGATCGTGTCCTTGTGAGTTTGGCCGTTCCTGCTTCGCCACCTTGTGTCCTGTAAGTCGTTCACAAAATTCGACGGGCAGGATTTCGTCGAGGGCCTCAGTAGGTCCCGCTTCGTCAGAGTCTGTGATCCTCGGCCAGGGCCAGAGGCGTGGTGGAATTGCAGCCTTCATGCTTTGTCTGCACTTATTGTTTTTCGCTTAGCTGTTGGATGCTTTGTCAATATAATAAGACTCGAGAAAGGAACGTAGATGTGCACGCTACGGGCAGAAAAGTGTTTCAAAATGAACAACATCGAAAGTAATTTGAAGGTCTCTCTTTCGCGGGTCGAACCGCGAGTGAATTCTTTTATTTCCAATCCGTGTCCGTAATGGGTAAAGTGATAGAACACTGACACGCAAATGCGTATCGTCAGGAGGGAATCAAGAGCATTGTTAGATCAGAAACAGCGCATAAGAGAAGAAAGGGCCACTCGAATGAGCTATCAGTTCAAGAATATCTTGTGCCAGATGAAACAAGCTCAGGAGGAGGCTCTCGTTGTACAAGAGCGAAACATGAAGATCCTGGGTTTGGAGGGTTTCCAGCAAAAGCATGTACATACAATTTCCTGTCTCACGTGCATTCCCAATTTCAACGAACTTGAGAAAAGCGTTTTGTTTGGTTCGGTTAGATGTGTCCTATTCTTCTGTGAGGCCGTTTTGTTATTATACAATTCTCGTGAAGTTTGACTTTGGATCCATTCTTAGTCAACTTTCCAGATTTCATGGAGTCCAACAGAGCAGCAAACTCATGGAGAATGTAACGAAGGGCCGAATTTCCAAAATGCTAAACATCGCCCGATAGTCAATCAGCAGGAGATTCAAGGAACTGCTCTGAAACAATGTACTGAAAGGTACACACAGCTGATCAATGTGTACTTGAGAAAAAAAACAGTATGCCATTGTGCATTTCTGGATGCAGGAGATAGGAAAATTCGTCGACTGATCACCTATTATCTTCCTCAGCAACTGTGCAGGAAGCTCACAAATATTTCTATCGATTGACGGTACCAATGAAACAGAGGCCACAAAACCCAAAACAAAGGCCGAAGCCATATCCAGCTGTTCTCCTCAATTAGCTCTGCCCCTCCAATCGAATCGCGAAAGTAAATCCAGAAACTCTTCCAGAAGCTTCTCCAAACTCTTATCCAACATACATACTTCATAATCTGTGTGACACAGATGATGAAGTTTGTATGTTGGAACAGAGTTTGGCATTGTGAAGTAGCTAGCAAGGTGTTGACTAGAGTATGATCTGCACACGAGTTACCACACTCGAGCATCCGGCAGTCAGGAATAGGGGTCGCCACACATTTAGCAATTCACAATCCAAACAAATAGGCAAACCCACGAGACCCTCGGCATGAAGAGTCAATACCTTGATAGGATTCATCAATCCCTGTTGATTACTCTCACATCAGTCGCTTCTGTCTTCATGGTGAAATTCGCTTAAACCCAATTATATAGCTGTAAGGTATTCTTTGTTAATCCGGACAGGGCCGTATATTTCTGTTCACAGAGGAAGAAGAGGATATGCTTAAGGCGAGGATCCTCTGCGATGCCAGGGAAACTCTGATTGACGGACAACAGCCACCTACAGAAAAGCTGACAGGCTTGGAAGGGGAGGTCAAGAGAAACTACCTTACCCGGGTCTTTGGCCCAGAGAAGAGCTGTTCCCAGTTAGAGGAATGCCCAAGGGAATGTGAGCTTCATGAGCCGAAGGAGCCCAGAAAAAGGATTGACGATGGCCAGGCCTCCCAAATATTAGGCAGCAGCCAAGAACCTATTGACAAGGATGGTGGACTCAGGGACAAAACCACGTGCGTTCCTCCCGTGAACCAGGATGCTCAGGACTGCTTTGCCAACACAGCCGAGGCCTCAAACACAAGAGGAGTTGATACGTCGGTTCTTCCAGAACAAAGAAACCCTCCTCTGAAGATAGAGAAGAACGACTGCTTTCCCCCTACAGGCGAACGTGTCGTTTACGAGCCGGAGGTGAATGAATCAGAGCGCCAAAGCTTTTCCCCAAACTTATCTAACCAAGGGAGCAAATTCCTACAAGTGCAATTTATGACATAAGACAATCATCTTCCTCATGATTCGGTGCATCAGATTGTGGATGGCGTCAATGTAAAGAGCGGCTGAACTAATAAAATAATTTCTCATTGCAGGTTGGAGAAGCGTTTGCCAACGACAATGAGGCAGTTAGCCCTGTCGGAGCTGACTTTCAGGAACTTGCTGAAGAGAGGAGGGCGCACTTGAGAAAACTCATTAGCTTCTGGTCTCCGGACGAAAAGCTAGCGGTGTTAACGACCCTCAAAAACACAATGTTGCTGTGGGAGGATCCGTACTCTCAGTTCGGTCGGTGGCCAGAGTCGGATGTTTTACTCTCCTCAATATTTGCTGCCAGGGAGAGCCAGTTGAAGCTTTTCGAATACCTGGAGGTAAAAGAAGACGCATCAAGGCCACTGATCTGCTGCGGTGCTGTGTACGAACTCGTCAAGGCCTATCCTCCAGAAAAGCTAATACCTTTCGAGTTTATCGAGGACTTGTTTGGTTCAGATGATTGGAACAACCGCCTGCAGAGCGGCCTCTCGTTCGTGCAATTGCAAGAGTATCAAGAGGAGCACTCACACTTCTGGCAGATGCTGCTTCACCATTCAATATCCGTGAAAGATTTGGGTCTCGGAACTCTGAGAGAGGTCGCTTCTGTTACGAGAGAAATTTTCTGTCCCAGGTACCTCCGGCTCTTTCTTCATCATCAGCCTTCAATACTAGGTCTTAGGAGCTGTCGTAGAGGGAAAAACAAGGTAAGAATAGCGAGCATGGATTCCCAAGTCGTACACTTCGAATAATCGTTCACCGCTTCTCTTCAGGGACTTGTTGGTGGAGCTGTCGCCTGAGATTGCGTTGAACATGCACGAGTACCTACTAGAATTCTTCACTGAGACGTTCAAGACGTACGAGACTTCTCAGAGCCATAATTTCATCGAGGAATCGGATGGAAACTCTATACCTCTTAGCTACAATTGCATCATTCCCGTCGAAAGGGGTTTACGTATAAACTTGAAACGGCCGCCAGTTTATAATATCGAGGCCGCTTTACCTTACGTGAGAGACGTGGTGGTTTCAGATGGCCTCGAGCTAAGCTTGCTTCAGTATGACTTTCTAGAGACGAATGGGGGTTACAAGTCCGAAGGCTCTGTGAGGAGGAGGAGTTGCAAGAGGGGCATATTTTCATCTCTTGGTTCACTTGTACGATCCCCGTTCAGACTCTGGAGAAGTCGAGGATTATCCAAAGTTGGTGACAGTGTTGACGATGGCTTCGTTCGGCTTCTAAGCCCCAAACGCAGTGTTTCCATAGCCCGTTGACACCCACCCACTTGCTCTACGCTTGCCCTCTTAATCTCAGGTGCACGATACGCCCAGAGAACTAATGACTGTCGTGCGATACTTACAATCACACCATCTCTGAGCCAACTCCACACGTAGTGTCCTGAAAGGAATTCCTTATGAACATAAATTCAGTCAACAAGCGCCTTTCCAGCTTTCACGTCCAGTGTGCCGATAGAAGTCAGCCGGAGTCGCAAAGATTCCACCCGCCTTGGAGACCAACGAGTAAGCAAAGCACACGTAGTCATCGTCAGTGACAGTAAAATTTATCGTCACACCTGGCAGTAGTTACTGGGTTACTCTAGGAGTTACGCGGGGACTCTGGACAATATCTCCAGTCAACAGCCCGTTGATGGAGTTTTACAGGTGTCAGGTATCAGGTTTCGGCGTGCGAGATTGTCGTTGGAATAAAGTAGAATGAAGACATATATGTATATTTTGAAACAGATGAAATATCAAAAACATTCCGTTGAGACTCTGTGAGAATAGGACCCGTGCCTCAGAAAAAAAAACTGTTGCCGTATTTTCGGGCTGCAACATCTCTTCTGCTGATTTTACCCCACCCTTGGACACTGCTTCCGTAGACGTGAGGGACGTGTTGGTGGCCTCGTGCATAAGAGGATCTTTCAGGCCCAAATTTAGTAGTCTGAGTTCACTAGTCTTCGAAGAATATACACAAAAGAGAAAATTCAATTGATTTCAAGCTCGAATTTGTTGAACAAAAATGGATCTAATGATACAGCAGCTTTACTTAAAGACGCTATAAATTACAGACTCCCATGTCCGCTTCGACCCTTAAAATTGCTACTGGACAGGTGACAGGGAACTCGAAACTGAATGGACACTCCAGGCATACTCTCAGTCAAAGTACCAGTTTGTGAACAATGGGCTCTAAGCTGCCTCATCATCAGCATTTTTAGTACTTTTGATCCGTAGGTATGCATGACTATCAATCAGATGTGCCTGACTAATGTACAGGATGGACGGACTATTAACATGAGGCAAAATCTACGATTACCTCGGGTCGCAATGGGTGAGGAGGTTTGGCCTAAGTGATACAAGACTCTAGTAGTCAAACGTTGGCGCTTGACTGTCGTTCGTCGCCTCATACAAGACTCTCGGACCAAACTCTTTGTAAGGGTCAGCATTCCTCTTCTGCTGCAAATAATCCAGTCCAGACTCTACTTCGTCTTTGACCTTGAGGTAAAGGTCATTCATTGCGTCTCTGTCGTTGATCGAGTCTATCATTCCTGCAGAAAGAGCTCCACATTAGATTTATGATCCCTAAAAAGGGCCGATATCCATCTGAGCATCGATCATCTGGCTCGAAAGACTGGAAATCTGAGAAAAGTAGGGAATGTTTACACGAGTACAGAACTTTTTTTCGATATAAAACTATTTTCTGCATTGGTATAGGTTAGACAGCCGGATAAAGCTATTCAAGGTCTTCTTCCAACCATTGCGAAACAATTTTACAAGGCAATCAGAAAATTTGAGTAGAGTTCAAACCTTCAGTAGTAATGGGTTGTTGAAATAAAAAGTACATTCTAGGTGGAATCTTGGGGTACGCCAGAGGGAATACAAACGTTTCATTCGCAACTTCGCCGGTGGCGTTCATTCTGATCACGCACCAAGGTACAAGCAACGCTCCCATGAGCACAGAGTGACCTTTGAAAGCCTTATAAAAACTGCATAGTTACTAGAACGATTTGTGGTAAAAGTCAAGTAGAATGTGCTGAAGTGAGGTAGCAATCAGGTTTCCAGTCAGTATCTTGAACAACAAAGCTGATTGAAGCATGACTTCCATTCGTTGAATATAAATATGAAAGAAACAACCCTCAAAGGTTCAAAATCTGAGAGTTGAGCACTTCCATAAAAAAATGGTAAATCCATCAAATATTCAAAGCATACCTCGCCGCAGGGAATGCGCTAGCCGACTTTCGGAGATAGTCTCCAAGGAAAGGAACTCCTAAAAGTTCATCCTGGTCGAGCACAATCTGCAGAGAGAACACAAAAGCCAAGTAAGGTCTCTAGACTCCTATCATTGGCTACACTCGTTGACATTCAAGGCTCATCTCATGAGCGACGTAATGATGCCAACCAGTGATTAATACTGTTGTTCAGTCAACAAAAAGATGCGTTATTCCAATACAGAGGTTTCTGTCATACAATGCACTAGAGCACAGCTTGACAGATGTCAACTGTCAACTTGCACAGATCTGCACTCCGCACGTGAGGCCTGTTGCAACACATGAAGATTACGTTTGACGTATGACTATATATTTTCCCACAGCCCTGCAAGCTCACCTCAACAATGTCATCCCCTCCGACGGCAGCGAACGGAATGATCGTAGCACCGTGGCGAACGGCCGTTCTAACGAATTCTGCTCTCTCAGACCAAATAAGTTGATATTGTTCGCCCTGTCCACGATTGAGATGAGGTATCAGTGGTGCTGCTTTATACATCAAAACTAAATTATCACATCCCAGAAAAAGAGCAACTCCGACAACATGAACCTGATTCCAGCCATGTGGAAGGAGGACTACCATCTCACCTTTCTTTTCAGTGCTTCACGGACCCCTCCTGGATAGAGCAGGGCTGCTTCACCTCGGGAAAGCAGCCTATAAAGGTTATTTCCGTTGACTGGCACGGTTCCAAACAAGCGGAAGAGGTCACCACCACCTGGCTCCTGGAGATCTTGATTCTCTATCGACATAACTGGATGTGCAAGCCCGCGTAGCAGTATACCTTTGTTCTTCAAAAACTCGTCAACGATCATTCCTAAGTCAAATCCTATAAAAGTGTGATTTCCGACAAAGAGCAAGGGTTTGCCTTCGGTTAATTTTGGCAATCCTCTGCGGATCCGCCCATCCTCGGTAGCACTCAGAAAAATTGGGCTAAAAATTTGACGAACAGTCCTGCAAGTCAAATAAAGAAAGGTCACAAAGAGCTGGGTGTTGTAGGGGCACGGCAAATAATGATAGACCTTGAACAGGTGAGAGGCATAGGCTTTCAATCTATAACTCGCTACCAGGAGAAGCACATACTAAAACCTTGAGAATCTTCATGAGCTTCAACTCATCACATCAACTTTGGATCTGCGACCGTAAGTAAATCTAAAAGCATCATCACCGTCAACTCTTATTTCTCGAACGACAAATTACAGCAAAATACCTAATGCTGGTATTGCGAGTCAGTTCGATCTCATCTTGCTGGGGTGGTCTGAAGTCCCGGATAGGATCAAACTTCTTCGAGTGGCGCAATGTGTTAGTCGCTTTTATGAGACTTGCAACTTCAACTCCCTCCTCCTGCAACAACAATGGGAGGTCAGTCCTGATGAACTCACATAACGAAGAACTCCTCGCCCATATTAGATCACGAGGGGACTTATTCTCCATGACACAACCAAGGAACATGTACAGATCGCAAAAGAAGGGAAAATACTGCTTGTAAGATCTTGTTTAGAGACGATTTTCTGAATATACGTAAACAGAGAAATGCTCAAGATACCAAATCATCATTACATATTGTGGAGAGGGTCGAGGACTAGAACCGTCTTGGGTCTTAACATGTACATCCCCAGCACCTTTTGGAGAAAAAAGGGACAAGAGAACATGCGCCACTCTCTGCCAGTTGACACTTCCTGCCAGTAGAGACTTACCAATAGCAGTGTATGTCCGCTATCTTTAAAAAGCCGGATTTTTGTTTGAGGTAGAATCTCCTTCAGTCTCCTTGCTTCATCTACGCTCGGGAGCATCTGATCCTTCCCACTGCACAAGTTTTGAAAAGAAATGGGCTCGAGATTAGGAATCCGATATCCCCGCCAACTCTTGCCGGAAGATTTGGTCGGGCAGCTAGAGGTTGCGGGACAGAACTGGAGCTCTAGAAATGATCTCCGTCTAGCAAAAACTACTTATGTTTGAGCCCCATGCAAATATAGTACCTAACTAGAAGTAAGATATCCGCTTTCACTGCATGAAGTCGGGAGTTAGCATATTTGGCACCATCGGAGAGCAATTTAATTTTCCAAGCCAGCGTTTCCCTGGGCATTAAATCTGCAATTGTCTGCAGGCAAAAAGGTTTGTTATATTTTGCTTCCGTCTTCGGGTTAGTTCAAAGTTAAAAAGAAAAAGTTCGAATTGATTCAAGGAACATTTTCAAAGCTACGAAGATTTTGTTGTAGTTTCTGTAGGAATAAACTTTGAGAAAAATCATAAAAATAAATAATTATGTATAAACTTTGAGAAAAATGAAACCATGAAATGGCAGTTCTGTAGATGTTTGTTTAACCTAAGCTATGGTAACAGATGTTCATAAAATCGTGGACAGATCGAGTATTGGACTGGTATAATGATCGAGACCCCATAGAACTGTACTTCGAAGCCAAAAAGCATGGAGAAATTTCTACCGGAAGGGTGGGAAGCAATGAAGTCAAGGCATCCGCCAACTTAGGAAGCTTTTCCCAGATTGGAAGTGTACTGTCCACACTCGCCGATGCCATCTTGACAGGATCACCTGAGTTGGCAGAATGTTCCAGGTTGATGAGAAACAAGCAGACCGAGAGGATGCAAATTCACAGTGTGTAATTATTAACTTTTATGAGACCAAGCTGAAGCCAAGACCTAACTATCAGAGGAGTCATCTATTTGAATGCGTAATTACGAATGAAGTCATTTCAATATCGATGTCGATTACCCATTGTGAAGCTGAGTGCAAATGGTAATAAGCGAAAAACTTCAGGCGGTGCTATAGGCAGTAGTGGTATCAACGGTTGCAGCTGACTACTTCCGAAACTTGTGGCTGCAAAAATGAGGGCATTAACAATATTGGCGAGCATGAGTAAATGTATTTCTAGCGTTCAAACCCATATTCTGTATCATCGTTGAAAGTAAAAGCCATCTGCATTTTCATGCTCACAAATCAACCAACAACACATTAATACCTCGAAAAGTACTCACAGAAAAGCCCCAATTATGGGTTATGTAAACACGTACAGCATTATACGATCGGTATCTAAACCAGGTCAATGGTAAATCGGGTGCTGTAACCACGATTCGTATTGTTCGCCACCACAAAGTAAGCTTATGCACCTAGTTTGCAAATTCGGGAAAGCAATTCAAGCAATCACGCTATTTGCCAAGGATCAACTTTAATCATCTGTGTGGATGTAAAACCACAAAAGGCATACCAGGGTTTACGAGGACCAGGACAATGTCGAGCTTTGGATTCCTCGCAGCAATGGTTAAACACATAGACCCTCCAAATGACTCTCCTAATAGGTAGATGGGCCCAGGTCGTTTGGCGCTCTCCTCCTTCACCACCTTTTCCACAAATTCCACGAGGCCTGGCAGAAAAAGACAGCAAGATCAGATCAAGAGGAGGTTCTAGCACATCTTCGAGAAGGCAAACTTGACTCTGTTTTCAACTTTATATTTTTTATATTCATCCATGTCAAGAACACTCGCTGCCATCTGAGAAAATCGGATCCGACCACTTATAAGTGACGAAATTGGCTCCAAGGTTATTGTGAGGATTGTTCCTAAGATAGAATCCAGTTTCCTCCTATCCGACTACCTCGCCCTTGCTCCTGGGACATTTTCCCAACGGATCCTGTCTCGAAGCGAATGTTGCACTTTGTAAAGCAGCATTGCTTTGTCATATGTCTCATGGGAAGATATTCATCGACAACTTATAAGTACTTATCGCACTGCTGATTTCAGTCTACGGATATATAGAATGCTCACTCACCAACAAAAGAGGTGCGATCCTGAAGAGGTATGTGTAGGCACCGCACTTCAAACAATCTGTGGAACAGAAGTGACATTAGAGATTAAAAATATCGGAGGATAAAGTTGTTTAATTTGACATATCAGAACACTTGTCGCTTATCAAAAGCTTCCATCGCAGCTTAGAGAGAAGAAGCTTTCGTCGCAACCATGAGACATAAAAGCTCTTCACTTGCATACACGGACAGACGGAATTGAGGTAAAATCGCTGCAAGAGTTACCTAGCAAGCTTTCTCTGGTGTAGCAATAGTCCCAACCCCATGCTATCCATTCCTGCGATTGATCGTGGCGGTGTGAGTTTATGCAGATATCATGCATTTGGTGGGAATGAGCTAAGCATTTACTGTATGAGCGGGACAAACATGACGCAGTATGAAGAATTGCATTTCAGACTGCACAGAGATTCCCACAACATAGGCTCCAGAAACAGGAAACCGAACAAATCTGACAACATTCTGCCCAACACGAAGACAAATGGCTGCTCTGAACTTGGAGAGGAAGGATCAACCTGGAATGAAGAGTAGCAGAGGTGCATCCTTAGGATAGCCCTTTGCATCCAGCGAGCAGAACCACCGGGGAGGTCCATTGTCGTTTTTTAAAAAATCGGGTACCTGTTCCATGTAATCCTGGACACTTATCAACTTCGTTTTGCCCGCAGTGTCCAGATAGGTGGATTCCTGCACCACCTCCTGTGGCGTACTTCTCATTTGTTTCTCAAGTACTTCCACCTCAACTTGTCCAGCCTCCGTGGCAACTCCACGAATAGCTCGGTTGACCCTTCTCTTGGCAAAATCTCCTTCAGGAGAAACGAAATGCCTACAATTCGATCCGACATAAGAAGTATGCTGCGCTGCACCTGCTCCGTCTCTTTCACTCTTGTGAGGTTTCCTCCGAATGCAGCGAGTTTTGGTTGAGCTACCTTTTAAATTGGTTCTAAGAATTGTGGAGAAGGCGAGTTCAGAGGTCGGCTTAGCTGTATGACGACAATCTCGAGAAGTTCCGTTCGGGCAAAATTCTCTCGAGCTTCCATCGATGTAAGCCTTCACTGTGTCAGGTTTCAAACTGCTGAGTGCAGGAACTGATAAGCACGACACGTGCGCGCTCACAAGGAGCGCCATTATAATTGAACTGTATTACGTGAGTGAATTTCGCGCTGAAATGGAATTCAGATAAGTATCAACGAATCGAGTTTCCAAAAAGCTGAAGTCGTGATTTGAGGACACCTGGAAGGGCACAATTTCACACTCCACTCGTGTGCATGTCCAACTTGCCAATGCAGAGTACCTACCGAGCACTTCTCACAGAATTGTGCGGCTCTCGCTGCACAACATCAGGATCCTGGGCAAGATGCAGCTCAGAATTCAAGAAGATAAATGAAGCTGTCGAAATCGTACTATCAACATTCACACAGTGCGTCTCCCGTCCACCTCGCAGAAATTATGCAAACCATCCATCCACAGGGGCCAAATTCTCTTCCTTCCCCAATGAACTAAATTCACTTGGTACAACTCCCACCGAACCAGCCACTACTCCGACGGCGCTTATCGGAAGCTGTACGGATAACAGTCCAAGACACCACTACTCGCTTCTCGAGGCCCGCAAGCTGACGAAGACGAAAAAAAAACTCCGCCCCCGAGCACAAAATCGAGCGAAAAAACACCCGAATCCTCCAACAAATCCTCGTCGACTCTCACAGCGACGAGCACCGTCGCAATTCCGCCCGAACCAAAACCGACTTTTTCGTCGACTCGCTTAGCTCGGTCGCGCTCGATCGCTTGATCAATCGATCGAAGAATCGATCGTCAAATTCCGCCCGAACTCGCTCGCTCGCTGCGCGCGAAGCCGCACAGAATCCCGAAGAAGCCGAACTCCCCAGCTCCCCGTCGCGCGCGGCACAGTACAACGATCAAGATTCGCGGCGAGCGCGGAGCAACGTAACGCCAATGTGCCGAAAGAGCGCCCAATGGCGCGGACCAAGAAGGGCGCCCAATCCGACGCTGGAACCGAAGGGCGCGGGCGGGCCCCAACGTGTGGCTCGCGCTCCGCGTCCGCCTCACGGCATCGTCGTGGCGCTCCGACGCTCGACCGAGCGATCGCGACGCCGCGGCGAAGCTCGCGATTGTCTGGAGGCGCTCTCCGGGCGCCACGCCGGCAATCAGAGCGGACTCCCGTCGCCCATTGGCTCCCGCCCCGTACGGAGCTGACGACGCCGCCTCCTGGCGTTCGCTTTCGCGATCCTTCTTGCTGGAGATGGCCCCGTGCCCTCTCCAGGTCCCCTCCCTCCGTTCCTCCCTGGCGTCGAGCTTCTTCGTCCTCGACCTCTGGCTGGCTATGGAGGTGGGGCCGGCTCGCAGACAGAGCCCGTGGACGGATGGTAGACTGCGAACGAAGGAAGCTCTGCACCGATTTGCTCGTCGGCTCTTTTCCATGGGCAGTTGGCTTCGCAGTCGGTCGCTCCTCCTCCTCTTTCTCCTCTTCCTCGGCCTGTGTGATGATGATGATAATGATGATGCCCTGCCGTGTTCTATTTCTGGCGCTTCGCAGCTTCTTGCCTGGAGCTCGTGGAGTCACAGGGACCTTGTTCGGTCGGGTTCGATCGCTGGCTTCTTCTAGCAGCAGTCGTTGATCCGGCCGAGTAGCAACTGGATTGCGATTCGGCGGTCGTCGTGGTTGCTGCCATGGGGCGGATGGCTTGTCTCTTTTTCGAGAAGTTACTGTGCGGTCGCAGAGATTTCAGTGTTGTGAAGGTGGCCGTCGTATTTTTGGATGGGTCTCAGAGGTTCGTTGGCTGTGACCCGCATCGTTCAGGTGAGCTCAAGTGTCATCGAGTGCCGTCGTTCTCGCAATCGGTGTTCGGATTTGGGCAGCGGATGACGGAACGGAGGTTCGGAAGGAACCGCTCACGCAGGCTTTCGTTTGTCCAAGGAGAGGGGCGATGAGGAATATTCCTGAAATGGAAGTAATTCTCATGGTATGAGTGTGAGCTGAACAGCTGACAATTGGTGAAGGTGACGGACAGAAGCTTCCCCGTCTCATCATGTGGGGTTTCTTCGTATGACCCTCATCTCCAGCTGCTATCCCGTTAGTCCATCCGAGACATCCGATCGTCAGAAGATCAGCAGATCTGACCAATTTCTTTATTGATGGTATCATTTGATTGTAACACTCTACAACAGCAGAAGCTCGCGTCCTGCAACTGACTTGTGAACTTCGTAGCGGGCAATGTTGATGTTACTAATCGTAGAACTGGCGACGAGGGTATAAAAGCTATCCCGCATCGAAATAAAGCAGCCAACGAAGGTTTCGATAATTCTGAGCTTCCGAAATACCTTTGTACACAGTGCTGCACAGTTACGAGAAATCAGTCAAATGAGTGGAGATCGTGAAATGCGAAGTAAGCATTGGGAGTGAAGGAGTCGTAACAAGACTAAAGGAATCTCTCGAGGTTCTCAGTTTCGAACGAAGTTGATTTCTTTTTCTTAAGTAATCACACAAACAATGTTAACATCGCAAATTCTACAGCTGATAGTCTGTGGTCTAAGAGTAGTAGAGTGTGGCATCGGGGGACATCTTAATGGTCGCAACCAATTTGAGTGGAGGCAGGTTCGGTAAACGAGTAAAATCATTGGCAGCAGAGAATAAGGAATGCGTATGTTGAGGGCAGTAAAGACAAAACAACGTACAGCACGTCTTAATAGCTCCGACATCGGCAGAAATCGGACGCTCTACTGCCCGCGAACACATTTGCTTCTGGCTACCAACTTATCAAGACCGTGGAACCCTATTCTCATGACACTGCGGTAAAACTTCTGGGTAGATTTGGCGTGCAATCTTTTGATACGGTTCGCAGGCAGATTAAGGCATCATAAGTGTGGTTACGTTGGGTGGAGTTCTGCAAGACTTGAAAGAAGTGCACCGAAATGATGGTGGGTGGTTGAAGTTGTGTCACCCGCTCTGGGTTGAACGAGCGCTTTGCAAACGCCATGAATGCTTGGTAGCTCGATCGCAGCTTTATCATCGGTCACCCACTCAAGTCTGTGCAGTGCAGCACGTCTGGGTTCTGTACCGAATGCATCATTGCCTGCGTCGGAAAATCCGAAAATCTTCACAGAGCGATTTCTTTGTTTTCCTCTAAGAGCAGTTTAGGGATCATCAGAGTTTCTCCTCTTTAGACGGGTCATGAATTTGGACTTCAGGTGAACGCGCCAGAGCTATGCTGTCATACCAGGTGAAGGATCTGTCTAAGCTGCCTTGGACTGTCGGTGCTCAAATACCGGTCAGAAACAACACGAAGGCTCCTCTCGGTTGCCGTGACAGCTGTACGAGGTAACTTTAGCATCGACATGGCCCGAGTAAGCTAATCGTGTTTTATCGCTCTTTTTTCTCGTGTGCTGTCGATGCTTACTTCAGACTGTATCACCTTCGTTAAAGATCCTGATAAGTTGTACCCTGCTCGATGGAAATTCATATTTGCCTCGGGAATGGAAGGCCCAGTTCACTTTGCGCAGTTGCTCTGTTGCATGAAATTGTTCTCTTTTAGGAAATTTCTTGAAATCTGACGAGGTTCTCTCCTATTTCTCGATGCATTCCTCGAATGCATTGACACTTACTTCACAAATTTGTACAGAACGAAAGAGAAACAGTTCATGTGAAGTGAAACTCACTGTCAATAGTAAACTCTAATCCGCGTGTTTTCCGTCCTGAAGGCACACCGTTTCTCAATTGGAGAGTAGTTGACTGGCTCGTCGTGCACAGGCCATCTCTTACACATATTCACATCGAGCAGGCAGGTTCGAATCCGCAGGTGCAAATGCCTCATCCGGTAGTGGATGCCAATGTTGACAGCATATTTGGAAAGTATTCTGCTGAAGAATTCTATGCCCGTCATGGGGTTACACACTCCGAGGCCTTTATAAGAAACTCGAGTGGGCTTTCCTTGTACACACATTCCTGGAAACCTGCGGAGGGCAAGGTGAAGGGGCTTGTATTAGTTTGCCACGGCTATGGATCCGACAGCGGGTGGCTTGTGCAACTCACGGCCATTGGCTTTGCTGAGAGAGGATATTCGGTGCATGCCATAGACCACCAGGGACATGGACAGTCAGGAGGGCTGAGAGGTTACATCCCGTCATTCGATGCAGTCTTAGATGACTGCATACTCTTTTTCGATTCTGTGAGGAATTCTGAGCAGAATAAAGGCCTTCCGTGCTTCCTCTATGGTGAGTCCATGGGAGGTGCAATAGTTCTCCTGATCACCTTGAGGCAGCCCAATGTGTACAACGGAGCGATGCTGAATGGAGCGATGATGATGATATCTGAAAAGTACAAGCCCCCATGGATTTTTGAGGAGGTCCTGAAGTTTGTTGCCCCTTTCATGCATCGGTTACCCATAGTTCCTACCAAAAACATACCCTCTATCTCTTTCAAAGAAGAGTGGAAACGAACTCTCGCATTAGCCAACCCCAGAAGGTACACTGGCCGACCACGCATCGGAACCGCTTTCGAGCTCCTCCGAATCGTCAGAGTCATGGAGCAGCGCTTAGCAGAAGTGAAAATTCCCTTCGTCGCCGTTCACGGAGAACTGGATGTCGTCGTCGATCCCGCAGGAAGCGAAGCATTGTTTGAGAAATCGAGCAGTGTGGATAAAAGCCTCAAGGTGTATAAAGGAATGTGGCATCAGCTGGTCGGAGAGCCCGCTGAGAACGTCGAGGAAGTGTTTGGATTCATCTTTTCCTGGTTGGATGAACACGCCGCCAAGCATATTGTATGATCTTTTTTGCTTTCTGCTTTGTAAAAGCTCGACCCCTACTTAGTGATCCGCTGCAGATTAAAAAGCGCCGGAACCTCCACTCTCACTGACTAGTGATTCTCAGTGTGGCATGGCATGTGCCCCAAAATAATCCTTAGCTCTGCGACTTATAAAGTTATCATTCTTCGTTGAGTAAATGTCAGGTAGGAGAAGTAATTAGCTCCCACGTAAGATTATGAAACGCGAGGCTGAGACATACCGGTGAAAAAGCAGTTGGCTGCATCGTAACTTTTGACGAAGGGAGCCTCGGGACCGAGATCGGCCACCTTATAGATCTTCATCACATAACCATGGAGTAGCGCAAGTCGGTCATTTCGTTCTGGCCCGTCGAGCTAATCAATGTTTATAGCCTTAAGCATACGTATGCTAACTCCACTATACATCGGCATTATATGTTGCAGTAATTGTTGCAGCGACCTGCTTGGAGGAAAGTTTTGGAGTCCTTTGTTCTAATTGTGCTGCTTCTGGAGCTGTTCTCGGTCCATCAAACGCTCCGGTTCTGAATACTGATGTACAGTACAGTAGTCTATTTGTCCATCAAATGCTGAGGAATGCAAGCCTTTGGGAGGTTTTCATCTCTCTCGTCGGTACGGAAGTAGGGCATTCTCCAGTTGTGTGTCGAGGTTCTGTTCCCTCTGCCCCCCATAGTTGATACCTTTTCGCATTTTTACTTCATACATTTAGCAAATTCAGAATAAAGCTCAATAGATCATAAGAATCGTCTCCTCAACATGAACTCAGTGAGTTGAAGTTGCATAACCGTCCTGTTACAGAGTAAGCTTAGGTCCATGGATCATGACGGTATCTGTATAAATCCGAGTTTGTTGGAATTTATGTGCAGTTTGTTTACAGCGAAACTGTGACATAGTTGTTGAAGAGGTATCATTCAAGATCACTCCATTGATTGTTTAAGTTCAAAAGTATGTGGTATAAGCAGATCTAATTGATGTTGCATCCGACTTTTCAACTGACACAAGCTGTGAAGAAAAACTGAGCAGTACACTGGTCAGAGCGAACTCCTAGATCGAGGAGATTTGCAGACCAAGAGTCCGGATCTAGTCCGGAGCTAGATATAACCGGATCTAGCTACCGTTACACACTAAATTTCCAGTGTGTAACGGTAGCTAGATCCGGTTATATCTTCACGTCTCAGTTTAGAAGAAGTTGAAGAAGTTGGTTTGAACACCGGTTGAACTGGAAATCTGTACCAAACTTGTCGACTGGCAGAGAAAGTCAGCCGGTCTCGAACAATTTGCAGGCGCGTTTACATCGCTTGACTCCGCATCATACTATCGTTACCATCCAATTAGAGCCTATTGACGGAAAGCGACCCGGTTTTTTCAACCTGGATCTTCCAGATTGCAAAAGCTATTTGTCATAAGTCCATCTGTTTTACCGATTTGATGGTCAGAGATCCAGCATGCCCACGCTCAATTAGAGAATAAGTGCTTTCAGGGTTTGCTCTTTTCCTAGATCCATCATGGGGACCAGATGTAGTCTCGTAAGGTCAGTAAGGCTCTCCAGACCTAATAGTGAACTGCAACACATCAGCTAACACTTGATATACTCCTTGTCGATAGGAAACATGGCGATCTTGAAGTTGAACACATCGTGTTCGATTGCCAGACAGTGTCTTTGTTATAATATACACGGGTATCCTAAGGATGCAAAGATCGAGAAGTCGTCCGAGGCAGACAGATCGCAAGCACTGAACATTACTGCTTTTAAAGTCATTGATTGGCTCGATGATTCTCACCATCACCTCATCAAGAAAACATCGCAATTCCATATTTCACTTCCACACACCTACCTCCAAACATGAAAACTCGGGCAATTTAATCAATGTCCGAGTCTTCAATGAAGAAGTCCACAACTTCCATGAAAGCCTGGTCTATGACATGTGCCCAGATTCCGATGAAGATGCACTAAACTGAAGTACACTTCATACTCCACTGCAATCAGAGTGCAAGAGGGGTCAACTGAAGTCAACTGAATCCTCAGTTGGGATTGGATCAGACAACAACTGAAGAACCTGATAACTCTGTTTTATGTCAGAAGGGGACCAGACAGCAACCAGACACAGTCAGAGACCAGACCAATGTGCATACACGAGGAGAAGGAGAACGAGGATCCGAGCTGGGAACAGTAAGTGTAATGTCCATCGAGAAATGTAACATTATATTGTGCGCAATACGATTCAATGACGCTCCTTGTGTGCAGCATCGTTAAGTAGTCTAAGAACGAGCTGGAATGAGAAAGCCTCAGTACCTACTCGACTGATCAAGTGATGTTCCTGTGCCAGATTCCTTTGGTGATGGATATTCCTGTGAGACGCTTATTTCAGTTGACAGGCCGAGATGGCCATATGCAACCGACACTCGTACTCACAGCTTCTGGCACTTCGAGCACGACCGTGCAAGGGATCCTAAACTTTCACTACGATCGATCCAGCTCAGCCATGCAGACTAGGCCTCAGACACGAGCTCTGGAGAGTTGGTACGCATGAACACCTCTACAAGCAAGCAGCTCGAGGCTTTCCTGAGAAACTGCACAGTTTAATGTCCATACCAACAGGCAGACCTGTCCTTTCAGTAGCTCGAAGGTGACAGGGAGCAATTTTCTCGCCCCAGTGAATGTTTCAGGTATGCCAGGTTCAGGTTGAATCGTTCCAGGAACGAAGAGCATATCAATTCACCAGCTACTCTTGATTCTGACTTTTCCTTTATTCCCTTCCGATCTGCCATGTTTTCTAAAATTAGTTGAATTACCATTGTCCTTGCACCATAGTCATCCAAGGGGTACTCTTCTTAGACGCTCTCTGCAAACTCTACAACCTGGACTTCATATAAGCGGAGTCTCCAATGAAGTAGAGGAGTGGGGTACATGTACTTGTGCCAATTAGATCAGCTCCAGACAAGACAAGGTGAGGGCTGAAATCTCTTCTTCACTGATTCCGAGGTTCTGTGAAAAGTGAAATGTAACCACGTTGCGTGCACTTGCAGGTGGCTTATGGTTGTGCCTCATTTTTAAACCAACAGAGTGTATGTTCCATGCACTTTACGCCAAACGCTTCAGAGGCTCGCTCGTCGAGCTGTCATGATGTATGTCTCTAGCACATCATGTCAGAGAGCTCTTGGTACAACTCTCGGTTTTAGCTCGAAGGATGAGAAATGTCATTCGAGACCGGTTTCTTCAAGCTCTTCACGGACTGAGAATCGTATTTTTGCATGACCATGCGTGATGATGCTGGTGGTGTGATCTGCAGAACACACCAGCAAGGCACCATACCCCAAGCTGGACAGCATGTACGTTAATATTGTACCGATGGGACGGAAGGGAGTGTACGTGGGACATACGCACATTCATTACCTGGAATGCCAGCATCAAAAAAGGGAGGATCTCTGCCATTACAGGTTCCCTTCTGTGGCACTCTGATCTCAGCTGATTTCGATCATCAACCCAGTTCTTCCGAGTACAAATACACGTCAAAAAGTTGCAGCGCACGCTGTGCAGTAAAACGAACATATGATTGTGGCATTTAGAGGCCCATAGTCATTTGGGTTTCTGAATGCTGTAGAATGTGAACAATGGTCAGTTAAGACTTGATCCTTTCAAGTTAGTTATTCAATTGAAGCTCCCTCCATTCCCTCTCGACTCCGTGGACCTTCCCAAACGAGTTACACAATTCTGATCCTCATTGAATGGATCGAAGTCCCTGTTGAGAGCACCTCTTTCCTCAATGCAGATGACACTCGACTTCAGAAATGAGTCCGAGAATATGCAGTACGACCGCCGCAATCCAAATTCTTACTTCATCATCTCTTCGCGATTGAAATAATGATAAAAAAATAAAATCTCATATAATTAATGTTCTTAACATGAACTTTCTCGTATGTATATGGATTGAAATATTAACAAGAATATTGTTGAAGAACAAAAATGTGTGGGGGCTGTCCGAGGCGTTCCTTGACTGACGAGGGCACAGATGAAAGCTTGTCCGGTGGAGAAGAGGCATGGACTCGAGGCACTCGAGTTGGATGACAACTGCAGCACCATTCCCCCATCGTCGCACGTTCTTTTCCCAAAGCGTTCACAGTGCGCCCGGCACGGCGGGGCGAGAGACGGCGTCCGGGTGAGGGGACGTAGAAGGGGGAAGAAGCGGCGGCCGCGGTCGAATCGTAGCTCAGAAGATCATCATCACCATCTGCTGGGCACGGCGGCCGGGCCCGAGCGGCCGTTTGTGCGCGACCACGATCGAGTCCAGCTGGCAACGCGCCCGTCGTGGGAACGTCGCGCTGATCCGGAGGCGCGGACTCTGCGACCTTACGACCTCGCGACCTTCCGGACCCGTCGGGAGAAACCCCGCGCCGGGAGCAGGTCTGAAGAGTCCCGCTGCTCTCTCCGAGGGTCGGAACAGCTGCGACCTCCTGAGGAGAGCGTACCCATCGTCGCAGCGGAGCCCGACCTCGGCCCGAATGGTGAACCTCTTATCGCCCGTCGAGGTGACCCTCGACGACCGGTCGATCAGGTAAACGCACCGGAGACCTACGGCACGCACCTCTTTCGCCGGTGGCAACCAACAGCCCGAGCCCGAGCCATGCCACATTTTGTGCATTTGACACGAATTTGGTGTCCTTTGGGTGGACATCGTGAATCACTGATCTCGTTCGTGGAATAGTTTGGCATTCGCGGGTAGACTCGACGCGCTTTCGGACCTCGCAAAATCCACGTTTGTCAGTGGGTGTCCGACAAACGTGGGACAGTTTAGAAGTTTCTGACCTTGAATCAGCAGAGGGCTCTGTTGCAGGTGAATCGAGGCATGTCCGATCCTCATTGAACAAAATTCGTTATGAATATGGTTTTTATATACTTTCCCTATATATTATATACACCTAGCAACACATCATAATCCATACAGCACAATCCATACATGAATAGATGAAATAAACATAATAGAAATGACTTTCATTTGAATTCATCACAAGTGAGTGGTCATCTTATAACATATCTTAGTTTTCAGTTCGAGTTGATAACATTTTTCCACTCTTAATATACCACAATCTCACTCTCTAGTTCTCACACTTAATAAATCACGTAAGAACTCTACCTATTGAATACTAGTTCTCCTAAAACTTGATAATTGCACTATCTGCACACAAATCTTTGAGATGGGGTTACGTAAATAGGGACCTTGTTTTTACCGTCAGGGTATGTTCAAATGGCACTTTACATCACTCAAAAAGTCTTAGCGTAGACACTTCCGCAATTGATTCGAGTGGAGTACAGCTACTGAGTGAGCAACTTTCAAACTCAGTGTGCAGTATATGTTATCAACAGCATTTCGATGTTGATAAAATTGATTGAAGTTGGTGCTAAAAATGGAATGAGAAAATCGTTCATCCACGATTGGCATGACATTTGACAAAAATAACTCAAGGGCCTCACAGAGACTTTTATTTTAGAAGTTACTTTAAACAGCAGAAGAGTCTTCCTTCGTTCCTTCAGTGTAAGCAATAAGTCAGGTTCAAGTTCCCAAGACAACATGAACGAGACTGCCAGTAAACTACGTTCGCAATTAGAGCCATTCAGATTTCAAGGCATCGAGGAAAATCAGCCAAGAGATCGGGTAATGAACCACCTTCGGGACCTCCGCTGGCCAGATCACTTTCGCATCATGACTGCGCCTGCATTGATCGAGATGTTCACCTCGACAAATCTG